TAGACTCCCCTTCTAAAGGAGATAACTATAATAAAGTTGCACACTCAACTGTAGAAGTAAAAGGTAAGTACCTATCCTTAGAATGGCTACTTAATTCCTATGCTTCATCCTACATAACTAACTAGAGATCCCTCTTTAGACAACTAAGGATTCTCTAAACGAGAAAGTAGATTAAGGTTAGGGGTAGCTATCTTTAAGCTACACATAAGGGAGATGCAGTTATAGGTGGGAGAAGAGGGAGATAGATTGTCCTAAAGAATATTCTTTTTGTTCCTAATCTTAGAGTTAATCTTGTTTTATAGAACCAATTTAGCAAACAGTTTGGAGTCTAACTACTAAAGTTCACCCTTATATCCTCCTCTAGGAAGCCTATTGTTTAGACAAGGCTTTAAGGGGGTGTTCTATTTATTAAGGAAATTAATAAATCTCTTTAGGAAAAGGCATTTGTTTTATTCATTTTAGAGGAAGAAGAATTTGGACTTACTACAAAGGAGTCACAAAATTAGTAGGAGCTGTAGCATAGAAGGTTTAGCCACTTTAGAAAGGATCTACTTAAGAATATATACAAGGTGTTAGACTTAAGCGAACCTATCCAGGTCCTAGAAGCTAGAGAAGAAAAGTGCAGAGTCTGCACCCTTATAAAGATAAAGAAGTATAAAGGCAAGATTATAGCAAGGAAACCTCAAGTTCTACAATTGGTTTCACTTGACATCTATAGTCCCTTACCTATATTAAGGCTTGGATTCAGGTACTAGCTTAAGCTTGTTAACAATTTCTTAAGAAAGAAATAGGGTATCCCCTTAATTTCAAGAGAAGATGCTCTAGTAGCCCTAAAAGCCTAGAAGATTAAAGTAGAAAGACAATTATCTATGCTTCTAAGGGCAACAAGATCAGACAATACAAGGGAACTTACTAGCTTGCTAAAACAGTAGGAAAAGGATCTAGGGATTGAATTTAAGACAATAGAAGCCTACAACTCTATCCAAAATAGAGTTACTAAAAGATTAATCCAGACTTTAGAAGAATTAATTAGAGCAATGATTAAGGAATCAGGAATGCTAATTAAGTTCTAGCCTAAGGCATTAGATGCCTAATACTATGTTAGGAACAGACTTCCTAATAGGCCTGAGATTAAGGGATTCAAGGTTTCTCTAGAGGAAGCCTTTACTAGGTTGAAACCTAGTGTATCCTATCTTCGAGTCTGGGGCTGTTAAACTGTTATCTATATAGATCCTAGAGCCTAACCTACCTAGGCAAGAAGTAACAAGCTAATAAACAGGGGAAAAGATACTGTCTTTGTTAGATATATAGAAAACATAGCTAAAGCCTAGCTCTTCTAGGAGCCAGATATAAAGGCTGTTAAGCAACATTCTAATGTAGTTTTCTTTAAAGAGAAGAAGGGGGGTAATATAGATCTGCAATTCCAGACCAAACATCTCTCTTCAAATGTACTATAGAGAAAGCTACTTAGGAGACTACTACTTACAAAGCTAGCAGATCAGCCTGTTTAGAAGGAGGCACCTACTATATTTGTTTAACTTCCTCCTCCCCTAAAAGATTTGGGGGACTTTTAGAAAATATAGGACCAACCTAAGGACACAGTTCAAACACCTGAACCTGTCCTAAGGAAGAGAAAAGCCACAGGAGATGTAGATAGATTTAACACTAAGTCAAAAGCACTAAAGGCAGTTAAAGACACCTATAGTCAAAAGAGGGCAAGGGAGGATGATCCTAAGGAGGAAATAGATAAGCTAGAGGCAAAGAGGCTTCTCTAAGCACTAGCTACATTGCTAGAATTCTTTCTAGAGGAGACATATAAAGTTACCTTCTCTATATTTGCCCCTAAAGTTACTCTCTCTACATTTGCTCTAGATCTTGTTTAGCAAGATATCCTAATCCTAAAATCCTATAAGGAAGTAGTAGGAGACAAGGAATAGGGAGCAATGTAGAAGGAAGCAATTCAAAAGGAGTTGAATGCCCTTATAAGTAATAACACCTAGAAGGTAATAGTTCTACTAAAAGGATTAAAACTTATTATATCAAAATAGGTGTTTATAGTTAAGAGGCTAGTCAGTAGAGCTTTAGACAAGCTGAAAGCCAGATTAGTAGTAAGAGGGTTTTCTTAGAAGTACGGGGTAGACTTTAAGGAGACCTTTGCTCTAATAGTTAGACATAAGACCTTAAGGACCTTCTTAGTAGTAGTCTATAAGAAGGACTTGGAACTTCACCTTATAGATGTAGACAGTGCATTCACAAATAGCTACCTATAGGAAGACATCTATATAGCCCTACTAGAGGGAGTAGATCTCTACCCTAGCCAAGTTCTAAAGATCCTAAGAAGCCTCTATAGTCTAAAGCAGGCTGCAAGGGACTGGAATTAGCTGTATATATTAAAGTTAAAGGAGCTTGGATTTGTATAGTTAGATGTAGACCTATACCTAATATATTACTACGAGAAGGAAGTAATAATTATAATATATATAGATAACATCCCTATTACTACACTAAGCATAGCCTTAGTCAACTAGTTTAAGAAGAGTTTTAGTAAGATGTTTAAGATTAAAGACCTTAGTGAACCTATAAGGATTCTAGGAATGAACATTATAAGAGACAGGAAAGCTAGAACTCTAAAACTAGACTAGAGCTACTATATCTAGGAAAGCCTCTAGAAGCTTGGGATTGATACTAAGGCATCTAAACCAACCCTTTCAACTTTAGACAATTACGAAGGTCTTAAGAAGTCAGCCCCTTAGGACCTAAGGTATAACAAGGAGGACTACTAGAGCATAATAGGAACCTAGATATGGCTAATAATTATAACAAGGCTAGACATTACATTTGCAATTAGGAAGTTAAGTTCATTCTTAAGTGATCCATCTAAAGAACATATAAGAGCATTAAAGAAGGTCTTAAGATACCTTAGATTAAGTCCTAACCTTAGACTCCAATTCTTAAGGGATAGATCTAGATGCCTTATTAGGTATTTAGACTCAGACTTTGTAATAGACAAGGTTAACAGGATCTCAATCCTTAGAAATGTGTTTATACTATGTAATGCCTCTGTCTTATAGATAAGTAAGAAACAGAAGTTAGTAGCAACCTCTATAATAGAAGCTGAATTTATAGCAATGAATGCCTGTACAAAACAGTCTTAATTCCTCTTAGCACTTCTAAGAGAGATAAGATGTCCTGAACTTATTAGCTAGAAACCCTTCTAGCTAACAGTCTAGGTAAGGAAGGAAACTACTTAGGAATTCAGACCAGTTTAGCTCTTTAGGGACAACTAGGCGAGCCTAACCCTTATGAAGGATGCCTATGTCTATAAGAGATCTAAGCATATTAATATTACCTACAACTATATTAGAGACCTATAGTAGAAAAGAAAGATCTGTGTTAAGTACCTCCTAACAAAGGAAATAGTAGTAGATAGATTGACAAAACTATTAACTGGACCAAACTTCTAGTACTTTATAAACTAACTAGGAATCTAGTAGGAAAGGCAAAAAGGGTCTTACTAGATCAGACATTCCTGTTTAGAATAGCTAATCTAGCGAGATACACTAAGGCTAGGAATTGAACTATAGGTAGTAATTCTACTACTATACTATCTGACCTAAGGTAAGAGAAGGGAAATCCTCTACAACTATAGAGGTAAGTTCTAGGATGAAAAGGGAAGATGTATAGGCCTTTAGTCCTAAGTAGGAGTGTTAGAAAGTGTAGTCCTTAGCGGCTGTACTAGATAGGGCTAGTCACATGATTTGGTCATATGACCTACAGCTAGGAACTCCAAGTTTAGGAGGATTATATATCGCTCTAGATAATCAACTTAATTAACATATTAGTTCCTACTACCTACCTACCTTGTAGACACCTTCCGCTACAGCTATACCTATACAAAACTGTTGTTAGGACACCCTTTTAGGGACTTAGTAGAACAACTATTAATATTGCTAGCGGTAGGGCGCTCTTAGGGCAATTCGAGCTCGTAATCGATTTAAGACATCGTTAAGAGGTAGTATACGAGCTATAATAGCGTAGTAGGCAAAGAGTAGCGAGATATAGTAGATACTAGTAGTAGTAGTAGTAGTAGTAGTAGTAGTAGTAGTAGTAGTAGTAGTAGTAGTAGTAGTAGTAGTAGTAGTAGTAGTAGTAGTAGTAGTAGTAGTAGTAGTAGTAGTAGTAGTAGCAGTAGCAGTAGTAGCAGTAGTAGCAGTAGCAGCAGCAGCAGTAGTAGTAGTAGTAGTAGTAGTAGTAGTAGTAGTAGTAGTAGTAGTAGTAGTAGTAGTAGTAGTAGTAGTAGTAGTAGTAGTAGTAGTAGTAGTAGTAGTAGTAGTAGTAGTAGTAGTAGTAGTAGTAGTAGTAAGGTCGTAGGTACGAGGGTACACGAGCGGAACGAGATCCCGCGATTACACTGAAAATCGGCTATACGTATGGGGAAGAGCGCTAACCAGGTATTACAGTAAATTACGAGTGCGCCGGGTGGATACCAGAAGTGCGCCGGGTGATTAGCATTTCCCATGCTGCCAGTGTCGGCGACCCCGCAACAATGATCGGGCGTACGCCGCGTGGGCCGCTCGCTTATCTGGCCCGTCTACGCACGTGACGGTCTACCAACGACCTCCCGCGATCTGCAATCTGCTTCTGTCACTGCCTCTGCCCGCTGACGCCTCCCTACTTCTCGCTGTTCTATCGCCCTCGCGCCTCGCGTCCATCCGGCCAAGTCGCCGGCGTTCACCAGTCATCACCCGGGGTACCCACGCTTCCGCACGACCTCGGCGACCGAGAGCGTGCCGACGGAATCGTAGAGGCTGACTGCGAATGAGACACGGCTTCTTCAGACCGGATCGCAATGTTTCGCGCGGGTCCCTGAATCCATCTCCACCGCGGGGAATACATCCGAAGAAGCTGGAGCTCACGCCGCGCACGCCGCACGCTACCCAGAGCATCAGGCACAGAGAGGCGTCGGCGAGGCTGGAAAGACCCGGTCACAGCAGGAAGCAATGCCCCGGCCAAAGAGAGAGGACGGCGTGGAGCCCAAGAAGCGCAGTCGTACCGGCTGCTGGCCATGCAAGGCGCGCAAGGTCAAGTGCGGTGAAGAGAAGCCCGTGTGTGCGAATTGTGCCAAGAGCGGAGAGACATGCGACTACAGCATTCGTCTGAATTGGGGCGGGCGGAGCAGGAAGGATAAGGATGCTACACCAGGCGAGGCTGGGAGCTTCACCTTCGTCGCGACGCCGACCTCTGTCCGCTCGCCTGCAAGCAACAAGAGCTCCGCCCACGATCATGTCTTCCCCGCGCAGCACATTGCCACTGCACCTGCACGCCCACCGAGCAGCCATCCCGCGAATCCGCCCACGCCAGAGCCGACTCCGGGGAACGATGGCAGCGCGCTGGACCCGAGGCTGCGACTCGGCCACCAGGGCCCGCCTTCGAGACCAGACGAGCACTCTGTAGGCCTTCCCTCGGCCGGATGGCCCGCCTTCTCGAGCGCCCAACATTCGCCCGCTCCTACCGACCGCACCTCACCCACCTCCGTTCCTGCGACCGACGAGTTCAGCTGGTCTCCACAGCACCGTGCCAAGCGTGTCAAGCTCAACAGTTCACCTGCCACCCAAGCAAGCCCTGTCTTCGCGGTGCCTCAGTATCCAAGTCAGTCCGACCTTTCTCCGCTCCCGGCGCACTATACACCACACGGCATCAGCACTATCGTGAACACGCCCGCCACCCCTGGATCCAGCGCAAATTCTGGCTCTCCATATCCCCCGAATCACGCAAATCTACATGTTCACGATCCGCCTGATCTGCGCAGACTTTCTGTCAAGTCTCTGCTGTCCGATCCTTCACAGGAGTCCGAGCGACCGCATTTCACTCGAATCGAGAGCCACGGTCATCGCACGTATGGATACGACCATGGCTTCGCAGATTTGGATGTCCCTCACAACGACGATTTCAACGTCGTGCTTCCCAAGTCGCCGGACCTGCGGCGCCCCAGTGCTGCCGTCTCGGAGATCAGTACATCCAGCGGCGAGGTCGACGCGAAGCAGATTGCGTTTGAACCTGGCGGCTACTATGCCCAGCCCGTGCCCATCAAGATACCGCGCGCCTTGGAACCACTTCCTCCGGAGCTGTTAGAGAATCAGATGAATCTGCTGTACTTCCACCATTTCATCAATCATACGGGTCGCATTCTGGTGCCTCACGATTGTCCCGAGAATCCCTTCCGCGGAGTGCTGCCACAAATGGCTGTACGAAACATTCACCTGCTACGTCTGCTCCTGGCGTGGTCGGCTTCACACAGGGCGAGACTGCTGGATCATCCGGAACCTGCGAATCGCATCGCCCAATGGATGACGGACGTCCTGCCTGCTCTCAGGCAAGCTCTGAATGAGCCTTCTTCGCCTGGAACGACAGATCCTGGAGACCCTTCATCACTGGCACCGCTGGCCACGGCAATCACGCTGGCTTCACTGGAGATTGTGACGCCGGACACATTCTCCGTTCGTATACCCTGGCAGCAGCATCTCCAAGTCGCGAGGAACATGATTGTGCAAAAGGGCGGGCTGGATTACCTCGCACGCAAAGCAGACGGCGCAAGAGACAAGGCAATATTCTTCCTGTCACGCTGGTTTGCCTACCTTGACGTCCTGGGCAGTCTGTCCAATCGACACGAGCAGCCTCTGTTTGGGGCGTATCTAGAGGATGGAGGTGGCCTGTGGTTGGTCAATCGCGACAATGAGGAAATCTATCAGATCGACTGCTTCTTCGGCTTTTCTGGACGCTGCATAGCACTACTCGCCCAGGTTGCCGAACTCACGGCGCAATGTGATAATCAGCGAATCGATCCTGTCACGAACCAAGTGAAGGCGGGCTGGCGGCCTTCCGAAGAGGTTCGACACCAGGCCGAAGAGCTCAAGAAACGATTGACAGCCAGCGCCGGCACCGTTTTCCGCGGCTGTATGCACACCGATCCCACCAGTTCCCAATTTAACAATGAGATAAGGGATGAGAAGGACACCGAAGAAATTTATGCTACCAACGAAGCATATCACTGGGCAGGGCTGATCCACCTGGCACGTCGTGTCCTCGCCCTTCCGTCCACTCATCCCGAGGTACAGGACTCGGTGCAGATGGTGTTGTCATCGCTGCAGAAGGTGCGAAGAGGAAGTTCTGCCGAGTCGTGCTTGTTGTTCCCCATGTTCACGGCTGGGTGCGAGGCACAGAAAGAGGAGCAGCGTGCGCTGTTCATGGATCGTTTGCGGGCGGTCGAGGGCTGGGGCATGCAGCATGTTGGTCGAGCACGCGCCCTGATGCAGACTGTATGGGACACAGGGAAGCCGTGGGAAACTCTGGTCGATGGCGAATTTTTTGGCTAGCGTCCCCACCGCAGCAGACCAACTTCGTTGTTCACCAGTCTTCCTGCAGCCCCGATTCGTATAGCGCGTGTCGTGCATTGCTCAGACCGGTTGCCCTTTGCCATCTCACCACAGCAAGTGATTGCCAGTAGCATGCGCGGCCCTATCGAATGACCCACACCCGGTCGATGCTGATCAAGTCTATGGTATGAGCAATAAATCAACTGTGAAACGTCAGAGAACCCATAAGCCCACGTGAGCAAGATCTGGTGAGCATTTCGTCGTTCTGTGATCGCGCTCTCAGAGAATTGAAATGTCACTCACATCCTGTTGACGCGTCTGCCCCTGCCTGGCCTCCTCCTCCCCTCTTCTTCCACATCCTCCACTTCATCTTTGCCCTTCTCTAACTTGCCGTCTTTCAGCTCCCAAGGTTGCAGGTCCCAGTCAGAGATATCGTACCAGTCCTCCCCATCACTCATTTCGGTCACCATATTGCCCTTGCCATCAAGAACCAGATGTGCCTCCGCCTTGCAGCTCTGATATACAAAGTGACGCAACCTATCCGCTTTTTGTAGACCTGTGTACAGATTGTCGAGGGAACGGACGACCTGCTCTTGCTTCTGAACGTATAGCAGAAGAAGCTTGCGAGTGTCTTCTGCTTCGCCCGCTGGAAGACCCAGGTCTCGGTCAGCAAGACAGGACGAGGGCGGGACAAACCAGGGATGCACGGCTGGCACCGAAGCGGACTCGCTCGGAGACGGCGAAGGCGTCCGATCAGAGCGCTCCGCGGGTGACCGGGCACGGGCTCTTGTGGTCATCGCGTGAACGCTGGTGCCGTTGGAGTTGGATGCTGTTTCAGAGGCGGTCTCGCGTTCGGCCAGGTCAGTGATGACAGGATTGGGCGCCTGTTCAGGACCATCGTCTTCGACTGCCGCTTTGGAATTATCGTCTGCTGCAGACACAGGTTCGAGATCATACCGAACCTGGTCGGTCTCTTTGAGCCCCTCCCGACAAGTATCGTGAGCACCTCCCTTCGTGGCAACAGCGGCCATGTCCACCGCCTCGACGCCTTCCATGGCATCACCTTCAGGGGCCTGGTCGGGGTGGTCAGCCGTAACCACATCCTCCGCAGAAATTGCCGGTGAACCTTGTTCTTGGGGGTCGACAGATGGCGGCTCCAATTCGAATAGAGGTTGATCCATCTGGACGCTGGCCATGGTGCTCTGCTCTCCAATACTACCCTCTTCCTGCAGCAGCAGTTCGTCGTGCTGCGTCTCGAACGTCTCGCAGGGCACCCAGTCGGCGTCGCCTCTAAACCTTTGCAGAAGCCGCTTCGCCTTCCACAAGCTAGTGCGCTCACGACGCAGCATGTCCAAAGCCTCCTCCGCCATCTGGGTTAGCGCTTTGGCCTTGTAGGGCGCGCTCAGTGTGGGGTGGTTGGGAAGATCGGCGGCAGCGGTCAGAGGGCGCAGGAGCTCCTCCAGTCGCACTTGTCCAAAGGGATCGTCCTCGAGAGGCTCCCCGTATCGCTCTGCTTCGTTGTCGGAAGAGGTGGGCGAGTAGACGTCGCCGTCGTCGTCGAAAAGCGGCGGGTTGGTGGAGATGATGTTTCGTGGGTATCCAGCATGGTTGACCCTCTGTTATGCCCAGTCAATGTCCTTCCCACCTCGTAACTCCATTCTCCCTCCGACTCTTAATGCGAAGAGACACACCTTCTTGTATGCCAGCCCGCCTGTGTGATCCAGGCGGTGCTGCTGGACGAATTTGGCACTGCGCTTGAGCTTGTTGCCACGATTGGTACTTGAGCGAATCTCGTCGTCGCTGCCGCTGTCCGACGGCCTTCGCTTCATGGCAAGCTTCATGCTGCATCATTCAAATCGGGTTGTCAGCGCCTACGTCGTGTTAAGTCTCTGATGTCTCTGGAATTCCACTCACGCGCGAACCGTCTCGGCGAACTGCAGTTGCTGGTTCGCCATTTTGCTGATGAGAGGCAGCTTCTTCCGGCGATCGCGTTTGGGACCTGGCTATTGATCTGGCGGAGCAGAGACAAGTGGTACATGTAGTTAGTTTGGTGTGTGATGTATGCAGCAGCACAAGTCCCGAACTTCCGAGCTCGGATCGGCTGCCCGGCAGGCAGCGGTGCGGCACGGTTCCGCAGAGCCGCGCGGGAACCCACGCACGCACGGACTTGCTCGAAAAAAGTCTCTCCGGTGGTGGTAATCTGCAACCTCGAATCCCCAATTTCCCCAGCGCTGGACTGAGCGAAGCGGAGCTGCTGGATCACTGCTGGATCGCCGCTGAGAGACGTGCTGGACACCATCACCTGCGTCTCCACCACCACCACCACCACCCAACGGTCGTCTCCATCTTCGATCCAATCCTCCTCTCGCACCTTGCGCCTTCTGGCCCCGAGTATGGCTTTGCCAAGTGACTTGCCCTCCGACGCCCCTGTGCCTAATGCCTTGTGGTCAGACGATCAGGTTGCCCCTCCGAAACTGCTCGATATCCTCTCTCAAGTCGCCCACTTCTTGGACCAATTGGGCTACACCAAGACGTTCACTGCTCTCTTGAAGGAGGCCAAAAAGAGTGGGCTTACTGTCGACATCGCCGAGTGGGAACGAGGAATTCAATCGAAGACAGCTGTTCCACTACTCGATCTGTACGAGGGGTGGTTCGATGAAAATGCTCAATTCCCCACCCTCCCGCCCCCGGAGGACTCTGTGGAAGCTGCCGCAGCGGACAGCGGCGACAGTGACAGTGCGAGCGACAGTGATGTCGAGGAGGACGATTCAGACGCGAGGGACTCAGCGGAGGGTGCACTTATCGATGTAGAGGCAGAAGAGACGAGCGACGACAGTTCTGATGAAGAGAGTGAGAGTGAAAGTGAGGGCAAAAAGGAAAGCAGCTCCGACGGTGACTCCGACAGCGACTCGTCCGCTCCAGGCTCTGCAAAACAAGGAGTTAAGCGTAAGAGAGTCTTGACACCTCCATCTTCGTCTGAAGACAGCGACTCCTCTGAGTCTAGCGGTTCCGGTGACGACAGCTCGGACAGCGACGACAGCAGCTCTTCCTCCGACGCCGACGACAGCGATGCCCGCCCAGCCAAGAGAGCGAAGACGACGGCAACTGCAAAGGCAGGCGCGAAGTCATCGTGCTCGTCCCCGTCCCACGACGATGATTCATCCAGCTCGACCTCTGATTCAGAATCCAGTTCCAGTAGTAGCAGTGACGATAGCTCGAGCGATGAGGATGAAGATGGCCATTCAGCCCCAGTCCACGCCAAGGAGAAGCCGAGGCAAAAGAACAAGGAGCAGAAAGCTACAAAGCCAGATGGAAAGAGCAAGTCAACCAACGTCAAGAGCGAATCGAAGGACTCAAGTTCACAGTCGTCCGCAACCTTGGATGCGGACTCGACACCCGAGAAGGAAACAGAAGTCGCGGCGCTTCAGCACATCCATCCGGACCGCCTCAAACGCATGCCCGCTACGAAGAAGGAGGTAGCCGCCGCGGAGAAGAAGCAAGTGGTGCCCTTTTCACGAATTCCATCCGACCAAAAAGTGGACCCAAGATTTTCAAGCAACGACTACGTGTCCTACGACTACGCCGACCGCGCGTATCGTGACCTCTCCGTCACGAAGGGGAAGGGTTTTACTAAGGAAAAGAACAAGAAGAAACGAGGTAGGCGCGGCCCTTGACAACAAGCTCGCAAAGGCGGATTCTCTGGACGCGTTGAAGACTGACCATTCCAACAGGTGCCTACAGGGGCGGTGCCATCGATCTCACGCCGAAAGGCATCAAATTCGACGACTGAGAAAGAAGTCTTGGAAAGGCCGCATCAGGAAGGACGCGTAGGAAGTACGCGTGGAACATCGTGGATGTCTCGCGACTTGTCAAAAACACTTTGGATCGGACTGCGGCCCGGCGTGTTGCTTTCGATCGGCAATGCACACTGCGTCGGGGAAGTTTGCACCCTGCGTGGGTCTTTCGAAGGGTGGATGTGGTACTTGCGAGATCGAGCCTCCCTGCACACTGGTCGGTTTCAGTTCTCGTCGACTCTCGATGGCGGCTCTTGCTGCTGTGCGAAGGCTTCGACGCACCTTTGTAATCTGTATGCTGCTACGTTCAAAGCTCACATCTTTCGCATCGTCGTCGCAACAAATCACTGGACAGAATGACGTCAATGTCCGCTGGCGGCGGAGGTCGAGGTGAGTGCCAAGTAGGAGGCGGTCTAGATGGCGATTCCGTGCTGTGCCTGCAGGACAATACACGTCGAACAGCTGAAGTCGAAAGAAGGTCGATGCCACGCGTGGTGTGATTGTAACTCTCTGCGCATCCCGTCCAACCGTCCACCTGCGAGAGTCATGCTGCAGCTCCATCAAACACCTTCCAATGTCTCGCGCCCTCCATCACGTTCCACTTCCTGCAGCTCCGCCGGCATCTTCCCTGAGATCGGCGGCCCACATTCCATCACTTGTAACATCGCGACGCCTCCCAAACCGCACGCCGAGCATCATTTGCAGCGGAGCCAGCGAATTGGCAGCCCCGTCTCCTCCACATTCGGATGGCCTTACGCGGAAAGCAGTCTGCAGAGCTCGCTGCGGTGCGCTATTTAGAAGATGGCCATCCCAGGCTGTCAGACTGCCCGTGGCAGTGGGTTGCAGCCAGCAGATATTCCCTCGCCAAGATGTTGGGGGCCATCTCGCTGGCCTACCTCCTCGTCTTCCGAGCTTTTGGGGCTGTTCTGCCGCGACAGGACGGCGAAGCGCAGACCGGATGGCCGCCTCTACAGTTCACTCAGGACGGCACGTTTCACATTTCCGTATTTGAGGATCTGCACTTTGGAGAGAGTACCTATGCTCAGTATATCCACTCGGCGTGCCGATTGCTGTGCTGACGTGTCCACTAGACGCATGGGACCAATGGGGCCCCCAGCAAGATATCACTTCCGTCAAAGTGTTGAACGAGGTGCTCGATGCCGAGACACAGCAACTGGTGGTCCTCAACGGCGACCTCATCACCGGCGAGAACTCTTTCAAGGAGAACAGCACCGACAAGATCGATCAGATCGTTGGTCCGATCGTGCAACGAGGTGCGCTGCAGTTGCCCGCCCCTATCGTCGGATGCCACGCTGACGCCTCCAGGGCTGCCATGGGCCTCCACGTACGGCAACCATGACAGCGACTTCAACCTCAGCCGGAGTGCCATTCTGGCGCGCGAACGTCAATATCCCAACGCGTTGACGACACAGAGCGTCTTCGGGCGTGATGCCGGAGTGACCAATTACTACTTGCCGGTGTATCCTTCTGCAGGTGGCTCCGTGCCCAGTCTGATCCTCTGGTTCTTTGACAGCAGAGGTACTGTCGTAGATCAAGACGACTCGCCGAATCATGCTGACAGACGCAGGCGGCTTCTACTACCAAGAACGCACTTCGACCGGCGAAAAGGTCGGACAGCCCAACTGGGTGGACCAGAGCGTGGTGGACTGGTTCGAATCGACCAACGCATCCTTGGCCAGCCAGTACGGAAAGACGATCCCATCTCTGGCCTTCTTCCACATCCCTACGAACGCCAGCGTCGCTCTGCAACAAGAGGCCGGAATAGACCCCAACCGCCAGCCAGGCATCAACGACGACTACCCGCTCGCGCCCCAGGCGGCCGGAGCCTGTCCCGATGGCGTCGCGAACGGCACATGCATGTACGGCGCACAGGACGTGCCCTTCATGCAAGCCATCACTTCCACGCCGGGTCTCATGGCCGCGTTCAGTGGGCACGACCACGGAGACACCTGGTGCTACAAGTGGGATCGCACGCTCCCGGGCACGACCCTGGATGGCAACGGACTCAACCTCTGCTTCGGCAGCCATTCGGGGTACGGGGGCTATGGAAACTGGGTGAGCGCCTACATCCCCGTACTCGAGTCCAGGACGGTCCACTGACAACTCGGGTCCTCGTGTACAGACACGAGGCGCGCGCCAGATTTTGGTGTCGGAGAGTATGCTGCAAGACCGCATCGTCGACACCTGGATTCGGCAAGAGACAGGTGACGTCGTCGGTTCAGTGCGTCTCAACTCTACGTACGGTCAAGACATCTATCCCGAGGTGAGTGCATGAAAGGGGAAAAACCATCTACGACAGATCTTTCACCTGATTCAGCTATCAACGGCCAACTATATCCCTCGCTTGGCGAAAGTCCCCGCGAATCACTAGCTGACCAGGCGCTCTCCCACACGACAGGTTCCAGACACGCGCACTAACTGCCCTACTTGCATCTACAATTGAACGCCGAAGACGACGTGTAAAAGGCGGGAGCTTTCGGGTAACTCTGAAGACGCAAACGTACTGTAGCTCAAAGCGGCATTATTTGAATCTACCTGACAATTTCTCCATCTTCATCTTGGCCTCCTGTCATTCCGTCGGTTCTGGGGCAGCGGAGCTGAGGCTCCAATGCATGGGCGGGTCGGTTGATATGGATTCTGGTGGATCCGCCACTACCTGCCCTTGTCCTCCAGGAGCGTGGCTCTCAGAAGCTTGACTCTCCACGGACCCCGTCGCGAGAGCATTCGCGGCTTCTCTGGAGGACGAGGACGCCTGCGCCATCGTCTCGTGCAGTCGAGCCCGAGCCTCCGTGACAGCATTGGTCGCCGCGGTGATGTCGTGGCGAATCCAGTGCTCCTGTGGCGTCATGACCATGGTTTTGAGATACTTGACCGTCTCGGAAACGCGTTCGAGCTCCGCATTGCGCGCCCCTTCGTTGAAACCGCTTTCGAGGAGATCCCTCTCTGCTGCGAAGATGACTTCGTGTGCCGACTGCAGCAGCAGCTTGTTTGCGCTTGCAATGGTCGACGTCAACGGTTCTGCGACGGTTTCCAGCCCCTGCGCCGCCTCCGCCATTTGTGTAGTATCGGCAGCAGACTGTTCGTTCTCGATCGCCTTGTTGAGCGCCTCTCTGTGCGACTGTATCGATGCACGCTGTTCGTCACCCAGCCGGTCGCCGTAATCCGCCAGGCTTTGATCGATCTTGGCGAGTAGCTCTTTGGCCTTGAGTCTCGAGTTGGCGGCATGCTCCACCTTCTGCCTGCGAAGTGAGCCCTGTTCCGCCCAGAAATCCCTCACCTCCTGTGGATAGCTTGTCGACTTCACCGGAATCTCCCAGTCATCCAGATGCTGCTCTGCTCGGTCCAGCCAGTATCCCATACGCTCTTCTCGAGCCGGCACGCCCGCGAAATGCACCAGAAAGTCACCCCTGCGGATCTGAAACGGCGCCAGGGTCTCGTTGTGTTCACCCTGGTATGCATTGAACCACCGCTGTGGCGCCTGGGCAATGTTGTTCGCGAAAGCCGGCTCACGCAGGAGGATATCCATTGCCGACTGGTCGCGAAACGTAAGCGGCGTATCTGGACGGTAGTGCCGAAACGAGGTAATGGCGGAGAATAGCTGCACCGACCATTGGTTCACGCGTACTGGAAAGACTCCGTTATTGAGCCCATTCCAGTCGTTGGAGTACAACAGGTGGATGTCGTCAAATTGGCTGCCCGGGGGAGGGAGGAAGACTTCGATCGGGATGTATGGATTGAGGATGGTGGTGTCGGCGTCGACCCAGAATAACCACTCGAGGCGTTCATGGTCTGGCTTTGCCAGCTCACGTAGCAGGAGGCTCAGGATGTATGCTGGCTTGGACCAGACATCGTCCATGAGATGCTGCCGAAGCACGTGCAGACGATATCCGTGTTCGCGATCGTGCCGCTCATGTGTTCGTATCGCGCGCTCCCAGAAGCTATTGCCGTTGAACAGTATCGTACATTTGCCAATCCGCACGCGTGCACCGAGGCGTTCCTCTTCTGTAGTCCCTTCTTTGACGAACTCGCCCTTCAGCAAATTCGTGGCATTACCAGAGGCTTCCACCTCGGACGTGCCGTTACTTGCGGCATACGTTGACGGAGCAGAGTGAGGCGGTTTGACCAGATACGGATTCCAGGCATGTAGCTTGTCCTTCACAGCATCGTGCAGTTCCGACAATGCGCCAGTCACGGACGGCTTCTTGTCTTCCACCACCAACCCCGTCTCGTCTTCCGGCAGGGAGCCTCCGAGGATCCCGGGCTGCATTGAAGGCGTAGGCGGTTGAGCACCAAAGCCAGTGATATCCTCCGAAACCCCTCCCGAGGATGTGTCGTGGGCCATGTCGGCTTCCCACAGATCTCCGTCACTCGGACCCAGCGTAGATGTAAGCATCCATCCCATCATCATGCACCCACTGGCGATGAGCAACACCCGTAACCGCCCATTCGACAAGAGACCAGACCGCGGGCGAGTCCGCCTCAGCCATTGTGGCAACGAGGGAGGCGAGACGGGTGATGAGGGTGAGGGAGGTGTTGAGTCTCTGAATGATTTGCGCTCGGGAGAACTGCCCGAAGACATTGCGTAGTTTTCGCCAGGACGGTTTACGACCTGACACCAGGAAGCATAGATCCAACACAGCTTCAGCGAAGGGGCGTGAGGCCATATACTGTTTACATGCCAGTGCGCCTGTCAAGCAAGGATCTAGTAGCGGCCACAAGCAAGGGGGGTTTCCACGCCCCCAAATATCTGCGCGTCGTTGAACGGTATTTCATCCTGAAATCCTCCACAACTCCACACAGCTGACCAGCGGTATTAATGGTCCGACCAGTCCTCGTCTTGCGCCACTGCAGCTTTGGACAAGCCGATGCTCCCACAGCCGGGAAGTCCCGCGGCACATGTTCCTGGCTTGTTCCCAAATCCTCCAATCGGACCCTTACTGTGTACTACCTACGGAACGATACCGAGGTTCGCGAAAGGATGCATTACCGTGGACGAAGCAGCACTAGAGTCTTCGTCGACTCAAAGGGTCGTGGAAGTCGCCACGCTCAAAGGCTTTAAATTGGCACAGCACCACGTGCGAGATCTTTCAGCCGCGAGTGAAGTGAACAGGTCGCGGGAGTTATGGTGGCGTTTTTCAGTCCAAGCTATCACTTGGTTGTGACTTGGTGCAGGACGCGGCGTGCAGAAGCTTCCAAACCTCGTTGCCATTGCTGAGCGAGGGCGAATTTCTTGAAGTCGTCCCTTGTAGCGTGGATACAACCTCGATGTGTTCGAACCGAGCCACGTGATCCATGATCATGCTAGAAGGTGACATGTGGGAGGGCAGTGATTCCGAGTACGGATGTGAGCGCGAGGGATGCGCGATATCGGTGTTGTGCACCACGAAGTCGCGGGCGTCGAGGCCATTGTTGTCCCGGCTTGGTTCGTGGCAGGTGCTTACGAACTCAACAGATGTCTTGCGCAAGTCTGCACCCGGTCTGCTTCCACCGACAAACTTGACCAACCTCCCGAGAATGGCGAATTCGAGCTTCAGCTTGATGCCGTAGACGACGGATTTGAGGAGGGTCTCCAACACATACAGCGAAGCGGCCTCCAATCCGAGTAAGGCCAGGTCCATGATGATGATGACCGCGTTGATGCCAACCAACTGCTTCATCGTCCTTCGCGTGCCCGGCTGCAGTGACGTTCGGAGTATCCTGGCGGTCTCGAAGATGTATATGGAAGACAGCAGAGTCTCCTGGAGGAAGAAGCCGGTCATCTGAACCTTCTCCATGATATTGTAGGCAACCACAAAGGTCTGCGTGTCGATGATACCATTCGCACCGAAGGTAAGCACGGTCGTAGGAAGATGGAGACAGACGATGTTGATCAGAATCATCCACTTGGTGTAGCGGAGGATCTTGTCACCCTTCTGACCGGTGACGATGAGATGCAGCCGGCACCAGAGGACAAAAGATTGACCGATCACCATTGAGTACCAGCCGACTGCGGAAGAAGATGGTGAGCCCGAGGAAGGCACACGACGGAGGCGACTTACGGGTGATGATGGACACCGGGAGCCATCTGGACTCTCCAGTCGTGATGTTCATATACTTGAGGAGGAAGCCGAGGGAGTAGGGGATGATGCCGAGGGTGGAGATCAAGAAAGACCAGAAGTAGGGACCTTGGAAGCGCGTGAAGGTCTAGGCCGAAGAGTCTGTCAGTCCTTTTCCCGATGGACTGGCTGGGTGCGAGACTGACCATGAAGACGATGATGACCAGCTCCACGCTGTTGTAGAGCGAGAGACCGCAAAGGAAGACGACGAGAATGCGCAAGGTCTCGCTGTGGGGGCTGTAGTCGGCCGTGATACCGGCGCCTGCAAGGTGAAGGAGGGGAGGTCAGCGAGCGTCTAGACGTGAGGTGTGGTCATGGGACGGTACGCCTCGAAGTACTCGCCCGGCGAGATCCATGAGGTGCCGTCGGATGAGGTGGAGGCCATGGCTGCACGAAGGGGCGTGGTCAGGACGATGATGGATGCGATGGCGCTCGCTCCCGGTTCGGCCTGTGCGACATCCTGTCCTCGACGACGTCGTGTCCCGGTGATGCCGTGTCCTGGCGGTGTCGGATGGCGGTGCAGAGAGACGGGAGAGATGGACAGTCGGTGGGGGTCGGGGAGGAAGGTGTCGGTCAGGGTGGTCACCAGTCACCGTCGTGAGCAACTGAACCTTGAAGCCCGTTGACAAGCCCGTTCGCAAGAAGGAGATAAGGTAGAGAGTTGGCGCGTGGATCAGCCACGGCAGAGGCATAGGAGGTTGGCGGACACGTTGGCACGTTGGATCCGAGGGTTCAGCTGCCAAGAATAGATCATGATATGTATGCAGCAGAATGCTATACCACATACTGTACCCCAATAGCAGTGACTGGAGATGGTGTAGCAGCCCAGCGATCAGCGTGACCCCGTAAAAGCGCGAGATCGTCGCCGTCCTTCCCCACACACACTAGACAGACCGCGGACCTTCCCGTCCGGCGACGGCTCGGGGACGCCCCGTGGGATCACGCGTTACGTCCATTGGCGGAGCACAGATGTGGAGAGGACAGGGCGGATGACGTAGCAGGTGTTCGCGGTCACGTGATGAAAGAGGAACGGGAAAGGAACCCCCGTGGCAGGCGGGTCCGGGGTATCCACGCGGCTCTGCGGCAGTGGCGAGGATAATGGAAGCGTGGGAAGCTCATCACGTAGAAGCGATATGGAAGGAAAGACGTGCACATTACACGTATGGCGTGGAAGCATGGAGGCATGGAAGGATTCAGCGCGTGAGCGGCCTTCTCCGCGCTCCTCCAGCGCTCCAGAGCAAACTCACGGCGAGCAATCGCATCGCCGCATGGCACGGCATCGACGATCCACCGCATCCACCGCATCCATCATCCTGATCAAGAGAATCCGTCGGCCTGCGAAGAATGGCGAGGCGTGTAATGAACCTCGTCGAATCCATATTCCGTGGCGATGCGATGTAGCGGCCGCGGCAGCGGTACACGGTCTTGGAGGTGCGCGAGAGTGGAGCCGCTCACGCGAGAGTCGTCGTTCCATTGTGTGTTGGACCGCTGCGTCATCTCCCGCCGCACACTCCACACTCTTACCTCTCTCGCATATTCCTCTCCTCACATTCTTCCCGTCCATCCTCATCACATTCCTCATCTCATGTCCAGTGCTCCGTTGCCAGTGTAGCTTCACCAGTCCTCCAGCAGCCCGTCTGCTCTGCTCCGATCAGCATGCCTTCCAAGCATACCCATTTCCCGGAAGAGCCGCCTCAGGTCATGGACCACGCCGACCTCGACCGCGCCAACGAAAAGCTCCACGACGCTGCCGACGATTCCTCCAAGGACGGCTCCGACGCCAGGCATCATCGGCCCGCCGACGGCACCACCACTACTGACCACATCGATAACAAGGAGTCGAGAGGCGACGGCGCCAATCTCGAGAAGCTGGGCACCTACGACAAGTATGAGCTGACCGAGGACGATTGTTACGAGGAGCTGGGCTTCTGCTTCCCCACCTGGAAGAAGTGGTACATCCTCACCATCATCTTCATCGTTCAGGTCTCCATGAACTTCAACACCTCCCTCTACTCCAACGCCATTCCCGGCATTGAGAAGGAATTCGGCGTCAGCGCCCAGGCTGCTCGCTGTGGTGCCATGATCTTTCTCGTCCTCTACGCCTTTGGCTGTGAGCTGTGGGCTCCGTGGTCCGAAGAGTTTGGACGTTGGCCCGTCCTCCAGCTCTCCCTCTTCCTCGTCAACATCTGGCAGCTTCCCGTCGCCCTGGCTCCCAACTTCGCCTCCATCATGGTTGGCCGAGCTCTCGGTGGTCTCTCATCCGCTGGAGGCTCCGTCACTTTGGGTATGATTGCCGATATGTGGGAGGCCGACAGCCAGCAGTACGCCGTCGCCTTCGTCGTCTTTTCTTCCGTCGGTGGCTCCATCCTCGGGCCGATTGTAGGTGGATTCAGCGAGTCTTTCTTGGGCTGGAGGTGAGTCTGGACACTCTGCCGTATACCATCTCCTCCTACATCCAGCTGATGTACTCTTGCAGATGGTCGATCTGGATCCAGCTCATCTTCGGCGGCGCCATTCAGATTCTCCACTTCTTCACCGTCCCCGAGACCCGAACCACCATCATGTTGAACCGCATTGCCAAGAAGCGCAGAAAGGAGGGTAACCCCAACGTCTGGGGCCCGGACGAGCTCGTTCCGTTCAAGGATCGGTTCTCCGCCCGAGAAGTGCTGCAGACATGGATTCGTCCCTTCAAGATGTTCTTGACCGAGCCCATTGTCCTGGTCTTGTCGCTGCTCTCTGGTTTCTCCGATGCTCTGATTTTCATGTTCATCCAGTCTCTCTCGTTGGTATACAAGCAGTGGAACTTCTCCACCGTGGCCGTCGGCTTATCTTTCATCCCGATTGGCGTCGGGTACATCATTGCGTGGATTGCGTTCATCCCTGCAATCCGAAGGAATATCAAGGAGCGCGCAGCCAAGCCGGACGACGAGAGAGCACAGTACGAGTCCAGACTATGGTTCCTGCTCTACACGGCACCATGCCTTCCCATCGGTCTGTTCGGTTTTGCGTGGACCATCCTTGGCCCTCCCATCCACTGGTTTGGCTCCATGGTGTTCGCCGCCGTGATAGGCATTGCAAACTACTCCATCTACATGGCAACCATCGACTACATGATCTGTGCGTATGGTCCGTATTCCGCTTCCGCGACAGGTGGCAACGGGTGGTCTCGTGATTTTCTGGCCGGTGTTCTGACCATACCGGCGACGCCCTTCTTCACCAACATTGGAGCAGACAGCGGCTACAACTTGGAGTACGCTTGCACGATCCTCGCCTGCATCTCCTTCGTGCTCGTGATTGCCGTGTACGTGGTATACTGGAAGGGTCCGGTGTTGAGGAAGCGATCGCCATTCGCTCAACAGCTTGCCGGCGCCAGGGAGCAAGAGGGCGGTCGACGATCGAGCGCGTTGGACTACTATGGATCGCGGCAGGGCAGTGAGTCTTGTCTTTCTCCAACGGTGATTTCTGGACTTTCAAATGCTAACACGCACGCAGGTGTCGCTACCCATGCGAGTGGTCGGCAACGACCCGGACCCGGCGAACGCTCGTATAGCCAGCAGCATCGCTTCTTTGGGGAGTCACGCGTGACGCCACGAGGGACGCCGAGAGGAACACCGTCAGCGAGCAGAGCGAACAGCATCGTCGGAATGTCTCGAAACAGGTCGGGAAAGGTCTAGCTGTGCTCTCCTCCCCGACCTTTGATGGCTCCCCGTGTCATCAATTGTAGGTGTTCTGCTCGAATTTTGCAAGTTCTCCCATGATGACGAGGATGGCCCCGGGTCAGATTGGTATATAGCGCATATTGTGACATTCGCCTACACATCTGAGCTCGCCCACGAAGCCAACACATTAGGCATACCTTCCGATTCATCTGTCTGTTAGGCATGCACTGAGTACGAAGAGCATTCGATCCTCAAAATTGTCTCGTCCGGTACGGTTCACTCGACTCCATCCCGCCAGCATCTGGCTATGCATCTGTCTCGTCTCCACTCACGCCGTACACAATTTCTTCTGATTCCATCCTCTTCTCGCGACGAGATGACGCTTCGTGCGCGCTGACCGGAAAGGTCGCGTCGCTCAAAAGCATTCCCCATTGGCCCGGAGTCCGTCCTTGGTCGGAAATTCTCGCATCTCCGGCGTCAGCTACGCTGGAGGTGTCGGCGCGTGAGACGCTCATCTTGGACGATACGGACATGCTGCTCCTACGTCTGTCTGCGGCACGGGATCGACGAGTGAGTCTAGCAGCTCGCTTCTTCTCCGTGCACGCGGCTTTTTTGCTTCCATGGGCCTGGCGTGCCGGTGCCGGCGGGGCGCGGCAATGCGCGGTGACACTGGGTTCGTCCTCAACCTCTACTATCTCGCGATCGTGTATCATGCTCTCGGTGTCTGACGAATAGTGCTCCGATTGGGATGACTCTTCCATGAAGGCCGCCCTCATGGGGCTCAAGGAAGCCCGTGCGCGTTCTTCTTCCAGCTGTGCTCCAAAATCATTCTCAGGCCCGAACTCTTCGTCTGCTTCTTCGTGGACCACCGAAGTCTTGAGCACGGTGAGGCCTCGCAGTCTGTTGTGGAGGGTAGGAGGCTCTTGCCCGTCCTCGACCGCCCTTTGAGAAGTCCGATATTGCTTCATCGCATTGATCCTATCGATTTCTGGTTGATCTTGGCGTAAGACGGCATTCAACATCTTCTCGTTGGCTTCGAGATCCTCCATCTCTCTTCGAATCCGTAGTGGATTGTCGCCAACGATTTCACGCGCCACATCATAGCGATCAGAAGGGGTGATGTTTTTGTAGAACTGCTTCGGCTCTTTATGAGCATAGTTCGGGCTACCGGAGCCATTGGTCTCGCGATGCGTAGGCGAGGCTTCGAAGTCTTTCTCAGGCTTGTTGGGCACAGGTTGGGAGGTCTTGTTTCCAGGCAACTCGGTGTTTCCATTTGATGTGGACCGGGCGGAAGTATGGTCTGAAAGGGGGACAGGCTGATGGATGAGGGTTTTGTTTGGTTCACTCCTCCTCGTCCGATCGATTTTCCTGACCAGTGGAGGAGCAGCTTTGCTCGCCGGCGCTTTCACCAAGGTCCTCTTGTGAGACTTGGGCCTGGCCTCGACTTTCGTTGCAGGCCCAGCAGCGACACGGCCCTCGGGCGGAAGCGGAAGATCGCCCAGAGCTTGGCCTGGACCTTTGGCTGAAAGAAGGGAGTCGACGTGGTCTCGAGGAGTATCTTTTACAGCAGCTGCGCGTGAGCCAGACTCGTTGGTGGACGGAATGAGATGATCCCGGGATGTATTGTGGTCAGTATTGGACCCACGATCGATAAGCACGACCGGGCTCTTGTCCCGGTCTGTCGACGTCTTCTTATGCGGCCGGTCACGGGTCTCCTGTGAAGATTGCGTTGGAGACACGCTGACTGAATCTGTCCGCAGACGCTCGGTGTTGCGCTGCTGCTCGAGCTTTCTCTTCAAGTATGTCTTTCGTCCTCTGATTGCGCCTGCAGATCGACTCGGCATCAAGGCTTCGTTCATGCGCCTTGCCGAGAGGTTCTCTTTGATACCTACAGGGCGTAAAATTTAGCGATGTGAGACAAGGTGGTGATGCAGCGAGAAATGACGACATGCGCATCGCAGACACTTACCCTGCATCAGAAGCTCATCTTCTTCTCTCGACCAATTTTCCGCTTTCTTGTGAGGAGCCTGGGCGCCATTGAGGAAGGAGAACGCGTTCCGCGGGCTCGAAGTTGGGGGCGTTGGAGCCTGGGGGTTCTCTCGGACACGCTTAGCCGGCGGCGCTTCCTCAGGCGAAGAGCTGTTAACCAATACGACAGGAGACGGCCGCTTCTGAGGCAGCTTGGTTGGTATCGGGGGAATCTTGAAGCCTTGCCGGTCAATGCGCACGTAGCCGTCTTCCTCATCGTCATCAATCGCTTCTATGTCATACACATCCGGCAGCGCACCACTTGAGTCCGGCTGAGACGCTGTGGCTGGGATAGTCTTGAGGTGCAGATGCATGTACAATTGCCGTTCCACTTGCGGTGCCGTTGGCTCGAAGAGGTCGCCCACCTTGTCGCTGAGGACCATCTCAGTGCCCCAAGCGTCCTGCACCTGGCCACAGTCGTAGCCAGCGAGTACACCACTGCCGAGTTTGCTCGCGACTCGCTCGTCTGCGGCGTGCACGAGGTCGTCAAGCGTTTGTCCCGACTTGTAGGGAACGCTGATGGATGTCCACGCATTCTCTGGCTTGTTGCTGTTGGCAGTGGACCGCGTTGCAACGTTGGGCTCCGACGGCAAGATGATATACACCGTGAAGTACATGGCAGCGAGCGCGCTGACGCATCCGTCATGGGCGGTGGCGAGATCTCGTTGTCGCCGACACTAAGATATCATGAAGAAGGGCGCCGTTCCTGCTGGCGTACGAGCGCGAAAAACGCGCTGGAGGATGAGACGACGCGGCACGACACGCTTGCGAAGATGGGATGAGGTGATGTGGAAGGTGAGGTCGACACGAACGCTGGTGAGGGGAACGCGTGGGCTCCGGCATTGGCATTGGCAAGGAAGTCGCGGTGGACGTGGTGGAACTTCGGCAGTCACGATCTCGCTGCCCTGTCGACGGGAGTGCCGGTGGCCGCCGCTAGTTTGAGCTTATTTCCGTGCTTTGTTTCGCGGCTATTCGCAGTTCACTCTCGACGCCAGACGCCAGACTCGCCACGTTCTCCATTGCATTCGCACCAGCAGCATCAAACGTGCGCAAGAACTATCGTGAGGACTATACACAATGCGGACTGCGCCGTGCCTCTCCCTCATTCAAACGCGAAATTCTCCAATGTCCGAGGGCTGCGCACAACGCCAGCTGCATGCTTTCCGTAAGAATGGCAGGACGGATTCGGGTGTCAATCCCGCCTGCGCTGATCCATGAAACCACCACTCCATCCACTCAGCTCTTGGAACTACAAAGGACTTGCCGCACGTCGAGCATACCTGATTGCCAAAGTGAGCGCCTTGGTGTGCCTTCTGTAGCCCGATATGTACCTTCGGGGGCAGACGGCACGGGAGGTCGTCGAGCTGAAAATTCGATTGCACAGTCTTGAGCGCCAGTTCGAACAAAGATGGTGCGGAATAGCTGGCGAATGATGGAGGGGGCTCGTTGACAGCTCTGGCTGGCGCCCAGGGCATCTCCTCGCAATTTGCTGCATGGCAAGGAACGCCGTCCGGTCCAAAGTATCGTACAGCCGAGCTGATCAGATGGATGAGCTCTTCACGGCACACGTGGGGCTTCGTGCCTGCTCGCGAAGCGTTCTGCAGATGATGCATGCGCTTCAGCCTGCCAAATCTCCAACGTAACTCTAGATCTGCGCTGTCGTCCATCGGTTCAAGGCCCAGGGGATGCTTCTTGAACGCCTCGTAACTCATCTTCTCCCAGTCACTGTCGCCCAGGTGGAGAGTCTGAGAAGATGCGCTGAAGGGTGTTTTCAGCGGAAAAGATTGGCTACAGATCCCTGCCTCAATCAAGGGGTTCGGGCGCACAGTGATCCGCTTGTGTACCCCATGACAGTCGAAAAAAGGGAAGAGCTCCCAGGGTAAGAGTGCAATGTTGTTGCCAGCGATGTTGAGCTCCTGCAATCTCCGCAACCGTCCAATGCTTGGCGGCAGTTCAGTGAGTTCGTTATTGCGCAGGCTCAAGACCGTAATGTTCTCAAGCCGAAAGAGCTCAGGAGGCAACGAGGAGATTCTGTTGCGCGCCAGGAAAAGCTTGATTGACGGCGTGAAAGCAGTGAATTCGTACGGTGGCATGACGTCGTTGTGCGCATACCGGATGAGCTGATGTAGTGGGGACAGAATTTCCGAGTCGAGGTGCTCCATCCCGAGGTCAGAGAGGTCCACCGATTCCGTTCCGGTCTCAACACACTCGTGCACAATTAGCTCCGCGGCGGGAAGAGCTTGCGATGCAACTGCTTTGTTCGAGGCCTTGTACGGCCATTCTTTCTTATCCGGACTTCGACAGGCGCTTTGCATAGTCACGACCCGATCGATGCTATCCTCGCTCAAATCGCTTCCCATGAAGACCCCACTATCCAAGTTCCTAACATTTTGACCGTTCAAGCTCTCAGTAGAACTCCCCACCGCCCTCTTCTGAGCGAGCCTCCACCATGGACCTCGCACCAATCTCTTGCGCTTAGTTCTGTTGTTGTCAGAATAGGTCTCGGCCTCTGAGATATCTTCAGAAAACAGCGGATCGCTGGAGAGGCTGCTGTACTCGGAAAGGTGCCGCTTCCGGCTAGACGAATCGATGGCGAGGTATGAGGATGGCTGCAACTGCGCGGGTGATGAGGGCAAGTCGGGCTCCGGTAGCAGAGGGGGTGAGGAAGGTAGAGCCATACCAAGTGTGAGGTTGCGGGAAAGGAGAAGTAGAATAGCAAGGAGATCACAAGGAGAGCACAAGGATCTAGAGATGCGACGCGGTCACGACGCGCGACTCCACAACAGAGATGACGCCACTTCACGGCCCGCGCCTGTCGATCTCCGGGTAGCTACCACGTGCGCACGTGGCCGGTGCCTCACATGAGGGCTCAACGCTGGGAAAGATAGTATTGAATAGCTATATCTGACGCCCAATCTTGTGGGTATCGAAAAGTGACGCTGACTACATCCCTCCTGTAGCAGCAAAAGTCTCCTCCATGAATGCCCTTACTGTTTCGTCTGGTAAAAGAAGCCCGCTCTTCGAGGGTAGAGTTTGCACTTTGGTAGTGGACAACGATTTGGAGCGGCTTAGAGCGACATAGGCCTGTCCGGGAGCAAAACATTTGTCGAGATTAACAACAACGTTCTCCAGTGTCATGCCTTGACTCTTATGGATCGTGACTACGACCATGTTAGCACAGGTGCCGAGATTCAGATATAGAACAGGCCAATCAACTTACTAGCCCAGCCTGCGGTCAAGGGGATCTGGGTGCGCGACAGCAGACTGTAAGGTTCATCGGTTCCCAACTCTTGAATGCTACAATGTGCGGTAACAACCCGCTCAAGGCCATTGCTGAATCTGACAATCGGCCAAAGCTTGTCATTGACCTGTTCTTGGAAAATGTCGACCTGGTCCTGCATATATTTTCCATACTTGTGAGCCTTCCGTCGCTCTTCGGTAGCACAGAGCTTCGAGTGCCGCAAGTGTTCTGATGACTCGGCCGGCAATCTCCACCGCTGAAAGCCGACGATCCTGCCGCCAGTGCCATTTACCAGTCCTGCCCCGATATCGAGATTGTGAGTCAGCAGAACCTTCATGCCTTGCTTCAGCACCAACTCGTTCTCGTATCGATGTGTACGCAGGCTGGCAAAGGGTGCTGTGGACATTCCACCGGGTTCAGTTGGGTCCACGAATTCTGGGTGCTTTTGTCTCCAGCGCACATTGTCAATGCAGCTGTACTGGCGTGTGGGTTCAACGATCCTGTCCAAGTGCGCCTCGTTGATCGCCGAGACCTCGTGCCTCAGCGGACTCAATTTGATCGCCATTTCAAAGTCGACATCATTCTCGTGATCTAGTAGTGCGTGCTCTTGCACGGATGTCCAGCCGATTCCCATCCGCATGGATCGTAGAATATCACTGAGCATCGTATCTGTCTGTCGAAGCAGCTTCACCAGTTGAATGTTGGCAAATTCGCAGTCCCTCCAGACGGAACCCCGAAAAGGCCATTTGTCCTCGTCACGGAACTCGCCATGCTTCGTACAGATACGCGCATCTGGATCGTCTTGGGATTTAAGTGTGGCGTCACCGCAGGATAGGCAGGTAGAGAAGGGGAGTACAGGCGGAAGCTGGTAGAAGTCACCAGTAATGACCTGGCTCGCGAGATGAATTAGCTGTTGTCGTGGTAGGCTCGGGTTTCTGTGTGGTTGGACTTACGACCTGCACACCGCCAAATGGGAGCTTCATGTTGTGCAGGGCCTTCTGCATCATGAAAGACAGCCTCGCGAGCGTGTCAGCCTCCACCATGCTGATCTCGTCGATGACGAGCGTATCAGTGTCGGAGAAGCGCTTCCAGACTTTTGTCTCATGTGCAACGCCTTCAAGCGCATCCAACGAACTCGCGCCAAGCTTCACACTCCAGCCAGCATACATATGCAAAGTAGTTCCAAAGACATTGAGTGCGGCCATGCCTGCAATAGATTAGTGTCCGCCTTAATCTGAAATGCTTTGACGTACCCGTCGGTGCGACCACCCGAACTCGTATTTGGTTGCACCGGAAGTACGCGATGAGCGCTTCAACCACACGCGATTTACCAGTTCCTGCTGCACCAGTGAAGAAGCAGTTTCTGCCCTCCGCAACGGCGGATACCACACTGGCTTGTTCTGCGCTAGTGAGGACACACTAGGTTTAGCCCAGGAGCAGCATGTGTCAGCGCTGAAGGCGACTCACTTGAGGTTGTAGTCGGCAATGCACAACTTCAATTTAGAAATACGTTCTGGCGTCGAGAGACACGCCTGGCATACTCTTCCCTTGTGAACAGGAGGATTCCGGTCACAATACCTGCAGACACTGAGTGATCGGCTTTTGGGCTGCGCCCAAAATCGAGGTCTGTTCACGTCGCTCGGTTGCTGCGAGGTGGAAGACTGTGCAAACGCACATTTGCCGCCGCAGCCATAGGTGCACGAGCTGTGGCTGTGGTTCATGTAGCGGATAGCATCATCGACGACTTCTTGCACGTTACCTGGCCTGATAGAGGCTTTCTTACCGCGTGGAAAAGATTGGAAGAGGTTATCGGCAGAACCACTAACCTGCGCTTGAGCACCTTGGGGGCCAGAATAGTCGTAGTAGAAGCCGGGCACGCGTCCCCGGAGGACACAGTAGACCTTTTTGCTGCCTTTCGGTATTTCTCCTGGTGAGAGGGTCCACTGTGGTCGATCTACGGTGAGGGCGCGAAACAGGTCGAGGTCGATCATCGGCCGTACGTCGTCAGTCTCGATTCGATATTCATCATCGTCAAGCTTTAGCCTCTTCTTGAAATAGTCGGTTTCTTGCGAGTCAACGATCTCATCGATGCCAAGAGCGCGCTTTGCTGCCATCTCAGTATTGCGACGCTGTTGTATTACATGAGAGAGAGGTGATGGTGGCTCAAATCCGTGGACCGTCGACTCGCGGTCGGGACCGCGGGACGACCCGTGCCCCGGAGCACAGAGGTTGAGAGGTCCACCTCGGAGCGAGGGAGTTCCTGTTCCTGCTTCTCGTCGTCCACGCCATTTCATAGGTGACCAGCCCACTCCATCGCCTATCCATGGCCAAACTGTCGCCGCCGCTGTGTCTACGCTGCCTCAGGCGGACACTGGATCCAATCGAGCGCTCGACGCCCGCCGGTCTCTCCCATCGCGCCGCCTTTTCCACCTCTCCTTCCCACTCGGTCAACCCGCCCAAGAAAAAGAGCGTTGTCGCCAAACCCAGCACACGACAGGGCCGTACACTGCGGCTGACCAAGAATACTCGCGCTTCCACAGCGAAACCTCCTGCTGTCGGAGAACGCAAGGCGCAGCGCAAGCGTGTTGTCCTGAGCAACAGCAATGCGCTCGAGGTAGTCGGATTGAAAGATCTCGCGTCCGAGCACACTCGCAGCAGGCAGCTCGAATTGCACCAAGGCCAAGTGCTTGGTCTTTCAAATGAGACCGTAGACGCGCTGCGAGCTTTGGAGGCATTCAAGCCTACTCAAGGATGGAGTCTGTTTCGGCGACCTGCCACCCTGATCAGGAAAGAGACGCTTACGCTCGCTGGCGATTTGGAACAGGCGACAGAACGGGATGCGACGGGTCTCGCAGCGAGGAAGGACGGCGCGACAGACCAGAAAGAAGGCGAAGCTGTGCAGAGGTTGCCTGTGCGGAAGGTGCTTTTCGGTGAGCGTGGCAGCGGGAAGAGCGTGTTACAGCTGCAAGCTCTAGCATTGGCCCATCTCGAGAACTGGGTGGTGGTACATGTTCCGGAGGCCAAGGACCTCACCAACGCCCACACTTCCTATCAACCCCTGTTCGGGCCCACAGGGGTAACTTACATCCAGCCACATTACACCGCAAAGCTCCTCGAGAACATTAACAAAGCCAATCAACCGCTTTTCTCCAAAATGCGCGTGAGCCAACGACACAACATCTCAGCACCGCTGCAACCAAACTCAACCCTGGAACAACTGGTCAGCCTGGGCGCCAGGGATCCGGCGGTAGCTTGGCCCGTGTGGCAAGCACTTTGGAACGAACTTCTCCTACCATCGAATAGTTTGTCGAAGGGCGAGGAACGACCTCCTGTCATGTTCGCCCTGGATGGCGTTGATCATATCATGCGGCATTCGGCATATCTCAATACTGACGCAGTACCCATCCACGCACATGAGCTTGCTCTCGTGGAACACTTCGTCTCGATGCTGGCTGGCAAGATCGAGTTCCCCAATGGCGGCATGTTGCTTGCCGCAACGTCTGAGTCGAATCGTGCCTCGGCACACACATTGGATCAGGCTTTGGCGAACAACTTGGCCATCCAAGATGGAACCCAATCAACCCGCTACTATGATCCCTATGTCGCTCACGACATACTGGTGCGGCGCGCCATGCGCTACGTCAGCGTGCAGAAAGTTAGGGGTATAAGCAAAGACGAAGCAAGGGGCATCATGGAGTATTACGCCAAGTCAGGAATTCTCAGGAGCACCGTCACGGATGGTTTGATCGGCGAGAAGTGGACGTTGGCTGGCGGCGGCATCGTTGGGCAGATTGAGAATGGCACTGTCCGAGCACGTTTCTAGAATCGGTGCGTGTCACAGAAGCAAAGTTCTCGTCTTCCTCGGGCTTGCCACATCCGTACTAAGATTACATGATTCTCTTTTGCGTAATTCTAGCCACAAGTTGAACATGGAAGTTGGTCCCTGAAAAGACACCTCTTCGCCATTCCCTTCTACTTCTTCTCAAAGCCCACCACTTGCATGTGACCTATCTACGCTATTGGTCAAGGATCATGCCTGCACGGCAATGGTCCTCCAGCCTTGCCTTACGGTCAATCCCGTACAAATTCATGGAGCGCGGAAGAACATGAGTGTCGACTGATTCCCATTACCTCCGATTACCACGGAGATCTAGCAGAAAGAAGTATGAGCATAACCAGTCCCATCGCAGACAAACCTCCTCGTCTATCAAATCGTAATGGCCGAGTAATGCGTCTTGGACCAGATGTCGAGAGTTCGGGTGCGCTCCGACGCCGTCAGCCTACCACCTCGCTTGAGTGAATTCAAACCATCGCGACACACGACCTCCAACCCTTTCAAGTCCTTGGCTCTCGACAAGGCCACGTATGCTAGTTCGCGACTCCAGATGCGATCCATATGGACGATGATCTGCGAACCCAAGCGCGCGCGCGCGAAAGTCAGCGAGAGGACGATGGGTTTTGCGCTTCCCAACGAATACTTGCCTTGTCAAACTCCTGCGACTGGACCCTGTGGATGGTGAGCGCCCAGGCGAGGGTCAATGGGATCTGTGCGCGGGCAACGACCGTGGGCTCCGATCCCTCGACGAGCTGGCCGATCGACTCGACCATGCAGATCGGGAGGACGACGAATTGCTCCACGTCCTTTGTGCGGATGACGGGCAACCTGTCGATGCCGTTCTGTTCGCACCAAGCTGCAACATTGCGCTTTCGATCGGGGTAGAATTCTCCCCATTGGGCATTGACCTTGGGAACGGATTGCCAGCCCACGATCTTGCCCTGGACGCCATTGACGAGGCCCAACCTCTCATTGACATGGGCAGTGAGCATGACTTGCGCGCCTACCCGCAATTCCGACCGCCTGTCGAGACGATGCTCATGATACTTCGTGTCGGCCATGTTGCGAGCCAGCTCCCAGTCTTGCGGCGAGGTTCCGTTCCATACGAATTCGTCTACGCATTTGTAGGTCTGGGATGGCCCGGGAAGCTCGTTGAGCCTCTTCCGATTGTGCTCATCGACGTCGTCGTTCCTCGGATACAGATGTATGCCGTCAGTCGTGTCGGAGTCATGATGCAGGAGCAAGTTAGCGTCTGCATCCGAGAGCTCACCGAGCCGCACTTTCGAGAGGATGTTGAAGAAGGCCTCGTCGATTTGTCGAAATGGCTTGGTGAGGGCTAGGTAGGAGAACACGCACTCATCCCAGACGTGGCAGCCAAAGGCGAGAGGCTCTGCTTCGGACCAGTCTTTTCGACATTGTGGGCAGACTACGTCGACATTAGTTGCGACGCCACAATCCGCACAATATTCAAAAGGTTTCACAGGCGGCAGCTGCCTGAAGTCCCCCATCGCGATTCTGTGAAATCCGATATCGTTAGTGAACACAGAACCTGCTTTCGCCTAGTCCGTGTTACTTACATCTGGATCCCACCGAATGGCTCATCGAGCCTGGACCGCACAAAGCGACAGAGCTTGTCCAGACGATACATCACGACCGAAGACACCATACTGATCTCGTCGATGACCAGGATGTGCGTCTCGAGTATTCGATTGTAGCTTGGTGAGTTGAGTGCCTGCCGCAACACTTGCACCAGAGGCTTTTTCTTCGTTTCGAGCGTGAAGCCAGCCCAGGACTCCACAGTCCTTCCGCCGATCGTCAGCGCCGCCAGTGAGGAAGCAGCGGTGATGCTCACGAGTAGGCCTTTCTCGGTAAGCTCCTTGGTAAGGAGGCGAGTGATGAATGACTTCCCAGTGCCTCCGGGACCGAGACAACATACGTTCTTCAACTCCTGTACGGTTCGCATGAGCTTAGCCTGCTCTTCGCTGAGCACGATTTCGTCCTCTCGACAGCAAGACCCTTGGCATCCGTTCTTGTCGTGGTTGACGAAATAATTTCCCTCTTCTTCGGTGTCGCAGGCTTTGTACAGAGCGTTCGAGAATCCGTCCATTTGCTGGAGAGCCTCATCAGGATCCTCATATACACCAGGACGGTGCCCTCTACGAACAGCGTGCCATTTCGCGGCCGCGCGACCGTCCCCGTCTGCAATTCCTTGCCCGCCTGACTGCTCTAGGACAAGGGCGTCGAGCCGGTCAATACATGCCGTCCAGGAGATTGAGCAGTGAAATGTGGATGCAATGCCGTTATCCGGCTGGGATCGAGCCGGCTGGGATCGAGCCGGCTGGGAGAGGTTTCCGGGCTGAGTCCCGCCAGACTGTGAGAGCGCCTGGAGAGCCGCGCTGCCATCACCGTCGGAACCGCGATCCGTGGCCGCGCGCTGAATTCTTTCTTCATTGTGCTGCGTACCCGCGTCAAGAAATTGGAAAGACCACTGACTGCAGCCCATGGTCCCGGGAGGAGAGTCGTTCTCGTCGGACTCTTCCTCGCGTGCTGTACATAGCCGCTCAGGAGGGTCATGTCCGACCCCAGCCCCAACACCGGTAGAGACCACATTGTTGACGCGGATTGCATGCTCTTCGCGTGCGTCGCGTAAGAACTGCACATCTTCGTCCGACCAGATCGAGCCACTCGGAAAGGTGGACGATGGTGGGATAAGCGTTGGTGATATTTCATTGTTGGAGCCCGCAGACGGGTCGCCGGAATATGTTTGCACCCTACTCGTCGTCGCTCGAGTCTCTTTGACGGGAAAATACGGCGAAATTTTCCCTTCACGACGCTTAGTGATAGAAGTCAATCATTCATAATAACTCCTTCACTCACCCGTTGATTTTGGCTGCTTTGACCGAGGGGTTAGAACAGCCCCATTTGAGCCGTTGGGGGGACTTTCCAACGAGGTCCTACCGCCTGACGTTGCGATTCGCCGACGCTTCTTATTCATCATCTCGACATGGGCGATGTCGTTCAGATTTTGCTGGAATTTTCCCACTGCGCCCCCTCTCTGTAACGGATATTCGCTCGCACGACCTTGTCCATTCTCGCCCTCTCTCCTTTCACTTCTTATCGATCCGCCAGCATTCAAACCGAAGCCCGCAACGAGCTGCGAGAAAAATTCCGGCATGCTGATGAAGCGAGGCCCACGCGCACAAGTTCGAAGTCAGAAGTAGTGGGAACTCGAGTAGTGCCTCTGCAAAACAGAAACCCAACTTCGAGTGCTTGATCAGGAATGAGAGAGTTGAGCGTCTACAAAGGCACTACTGGGCGATGCGCCGTTGCTCTGGTCGGTCGAGGGGGGATTGATCCAGACATCATTCGATCAAGTCACGCAAGTCAGATATCCTCTGATTGCGTTTCTGAGTGCTCTGTAAGACCTGTGGCAACACTTCATCTGGCTCAATAAAGCTAGAAATGAGTTGGACATGGTATAAGACGCCCTGCGAGGCGTCCCAGCAGCGAAGCAAATTTGTCTGGTCAAGGAATAGCGGCTCTCGAGTCATGACTTCAACTGACCTGCAGAAGCATAGAAAGGGTGTGTGAAAGATTTCGATTAGCCTGGGTATTCCACATTTTGCTGGTCGGTCACCCTGGGTCGCCGTAGTGCGAAGGGTGAATAGTAGTGCCGGGCATGAGTGCAGGCTCAAGGATCCGCGATGTATGTTAAATTTGAATTGCTTCTTTGGTTCTTCGCAAATGCAGTATAGGCTTCGCTTATCCTATCATGTCCGAGGCAAAAGTGCGTGCTGTCTCCGCCGACCTGGCAAGTGTCCCGCGTGGGCGCGCTTTCTCATCCCACGCAGTCCCAAATTCGATCTTCACTTCGATCGAGTTGCAGGGGTCTCTTCGCCGCCTGCCGCTGCTCCCATCTTCTGCGCATCGCGAAGGCGGAACTTGCGCCGCGTGCCTTTCGGTGTACTCCCTTTCTCGCCCGACGCATCGTCGACACCCTTCACCTCCCCATCTCTCCGACGCTGGGCAGCACGGATGCGCCGTGCTCTCCGCGCTTCTTGTACAGTCACCTTGGTTGCTGGCTCGATCTGAGAAGAGGGGTCGGGCGTGGGATCCGAAGGATAGTTCTGTTCGGTAACGGCATCGTCGAATTCCAGCCTGCTTGTCATCAGTAAAGACGTCGTCTCGGACAGGGATCGCATGGGGAGGGCATGTGTACTCGGTCGAAGCGGATGTGGTGGACGTCAGCTTGGCCTGCTCTCGCACGGCGCGCCTCTTCTTGCGCAGTGTCGCGGGAGCATTGTAGACTTCTGCCTCCTCGAGCTGTCGCTTCCGCGCGCGAAGTCGCCGCATCTTGTCGCTGTCGCTGTCCTCCCAAGTACTCTCGAGCCTCACAGACGAGGCCATGGCGATGATGCGTGCCGTATCAATACAATGCGAACACGCAAGAAAGCACAGCAGCCCGCTGCCGAGCGAAGAAGGCGAGTGAAGTTGGACATTCGGCGGCTCTTCGGCATCTCCAACGCCGAAAGCCGATGCGGAGGCAAGTCCGGCCCGTGTTGTACTGCACTGCTGTACTGTATACTGTAGTCCGACCCTACATGTGCCTCCTTCCCTCACTTCTTCAATACAGACACGTGCTCTCACACTCCACCTCCTCAGATACCTTGTCGATCACGATGCAGCGATGCCAGCCGAAGAGACTAGCATCAAGCCGCTCATGCCTCATTTGGTGTAACAGATGACCAAGTCTGGGGAGTGCTTCCAACCTGGTCCCGGTGGTGATGGGGCCAAGTGCGGTGGAAGGATTCGAAATGATGCGTCTCTTTCCGGAGACTGCCTCGCAGAATAGGAAACGCCGGTCTCATCAGCCTTCTCCTGCGAAAGCTAGCTGCAGGATGTGGGCTGTCGAGGGGGGTGAGGCCGAAATACCACACTCGGGCTACTCCCTAGGACCATCTTGCATGCTCGCGTATCTATGAAGGCATGTACCAACGCCCGTCAGCCGCAACGCGACCATGAACCACAAGGCCCTCAGTCCGACCCGCCATCACCCTCCTCGTCCGCGTCACACGGCTCCAAACATGAAGAAAGCCACCGACAATCGCAGCAAAGAGCCTAAAGTCGGTGAAGATGACCAGATCGCGTACAATTCTAATTGACAGCAGAGAAGTACCGCTAAGAACAACGGCAAGCAAGCGGCCGGCAGATTCCTCATCTCTCGTCCTCCACAACCGGCCCAACCAACGAACAGCAATGTGGCCAATGCACCCAAGAAGAGGGTGGAAGGAAAGAAGAAATCCGCACCATCGTCTGGAAGTGTCATGAAACATGTCTCTCGAAAGTACGAAAATGCCAAAGGGCCGATCGGCAAAGGTGACTCTCCTTTCCTTTCCTTTCCTTTCCGTGCAATTAGTCTCTGTCGGGCTAACATGCCGATTACAGATGCCTCGCGGCCTATGATGGGGACACCGAACGATGGCGACACTGCACCTGTAAAGACACCAAGAGTCAAAACACGATGTAGACCAAAGGATCGCCCCGCTCATGCTCGAGTGGTGGCCTGCAAGGACTGGCGTCAACGCATGGCAGAGCACTGGGCATCGGCCAAGACCGCAGCGCACGAGGAGCAAGCCCTCCCAAGCAAGAAGGACTGGCAGCCATCTTCAGTCCCGCAACTTCCAACCCCGACCAGCTCTCCCTCTTCAGTGGTACAGTTGATCGCGACGCAAGACTCGACCATCCACCAAACCGACTCCCCGCAGCCAGAACATCTCTACATCGTCCTCGTCGCTTCCTGCCAATACCGGGCGTTGCTGAGGTACGAGGTCGACGGGATCTTCCGGAGCGTTTCCGATGCAAATCGAGCTGCCGCTTCTCGTCTGGAGACCGAATGTCACCCTCAAAAGCCGTTCGAGAACATGAGGAATCTTCATTTCCGAGCATCGAATGAAGTGCCCTGGTGTGATGGGGAGGAAGGGCAGAAATGGTTTTCCTCTGCGACGGGCGGGGTGCATTTTTGTTATAATAAGGGCAACGGTGGTCATGTGCGAGTGTACGTCGATAGGCAGATGCTGAGGCCCGCTGCAAGCCAGCATAATAATGCCATGGGGAGATGAATAGCACCTGATGGTGGCAAGCTTACAACTCGAAGTGGTGGTCTTGAAAACGCCAGCGAACGGACTGGACGGAAAGAAGACCTAGAAAATGATGAGACGTCGGAACATCAACAATTGGTCCGCGTGTTTGGCATTCAGCTCCTACTTCTCTATACAATATTTCTCGCCATATCTCGTTCCCACTGCATGTCCCACGAACCTCTACGTGAGCTATTTGCAGAGCCACAGTCGCCGCAGGGAGGAAGCCTCGACGTCCGGCTCTACTTTCCGCCGGGGGCAGTGTACTTGCTGTAGCCCGAGCCGCTGTTGTAATAGGTGGATCCATTGGGGTTCGAGTAATAGTAGCTGCCTGTATTATCACCGGTCAGTCTATTCATTTCAATCTGTGTAGAAAAAACGCGGCAGGCTCTGTCGGAGAAAGAAGGCTTACCGTTGCCGTTGGAGTAATGGTACGAGTTGGAGTTCGAGGCCGACGAGCCGTAGTCGCGACTGCAGTAGTGGTTTCCTGTGATTGCATTAAGGACGGGGGTTCCGCGGGAAAGCTTGCGAGGGCGAGGTACCTGGGAGTTGGTGCCCGAGCTCGTGTAGTTGAAGCTGGAGCCGCTGCCGTCGGAGCCAGAGCCAGAGCCGGAACCGAAGGTGCCCTTGGAAGACATGCTTGATGAGGAGAATGTCGAGTTTGGAATTGGCTTGATTGGGGTTGCCTGGGTCGTTGGCTGATTTGTAAATTGAGGTTCAGGGGAGAGGGCGTTCTGTTCGTGCCTGTGTTGGGGATGAAAGGAAGTTACAGGAGCGCGGGGGCCGGGGCTTTGTTTATTAAGGTAAGGTAGTGGTGGTGCACTGACACGGACCCGTCACATGACAGGCGGGGAAAGTCTGGCGCTAGCAGGGGCTGGGTGAATGCCAGGGACCAGGAAGGAACGGCCGGACACGAACCTGTGATAGCAGAACTAGGATTCACGACGCGTCGCGTAGATGCCATTTGATACAGTGCATGTTGTGCACCTCTCTGTCTCCAAGAATCCACGGTGTTGCGAGCTTTCTACAAATCACGGAGAATGGGGAAGCGGCAAGCGTTTGCTAAGGAAGAGAAGGCCCCCAAGCCTTCCAAGAAGTCGTGCAGACCGGTCGGGTCCAAGTCAGCAACCTCAGCAATCAAGATAGGAGCACCAGACGAGTTTCGCGCGATTGGCAAAAGGTCCGTAGTGCAACAGAAAGCAGTATGTCGATTCACCCCACCGTTCAAGATGTACCGGAAGGCTGATGGATTTCTGCACTAGAGCCAGACGAAAGCTTCTCGACGTATCACCACAAGCGACGATCATGGTCGTGCTTGGTCGCCGGAAGCCTCTGAGAGCGTGCGCGTCGTAGTTGGAAAGTTACCTGGAAGCAAGGAGCTGGATGTGGTCGACGATGGCAACAGCGTGGTGCCTCAAGTGCAGCTCTTGCCCACACCGCCGCCTTCTCAGGAGCTCAGCGACGGCGGAAGGGCCGATGTTGGCACGGAAAGGCAGGATTCGATGATCAGAGGGGGCGAATGCTCGGCGGAGGGCGGTGTTGAGCAAGACCGAAGGCACGTATTGTATGCTGTTCATCATGGAATGGAGGGTCCGTGGTATCCATGGAACGGAACACACATCAAGGGACTGTTTCCTACCATGCGCGAGGCCAACGCTGCCGCCATGCGCATCTACAAGGAGGTCTGTCCGCGATGGACGGAATTTGGCATGACATCGATGGGATTCCGACCCAGCGCCTCGCCTCTCCCAGAAGTCGGGCTGGGGAGGGCGCAGAAATGGCACAATCTGCAGGGAGAGGTGCAGTATGCGTTCCATGACAGCGATTTCGGCTTGCAATATCTCGCGGTGGTGAAGCATCGCGTCGTGCGGGCGGCGGCGAGCCAAGATTGCAGCAATGGGCTAGCTCCCGTCCAGGTGGAACGTGGGAGAGTCGGAGGTGTCAAAGTGTGAGAGGGGAAGCGGGACGGATGACTTATTGGTAGGGGGAGTGTCTTGATATACTGGAGGAAGGAAGGAACTTGGAAGTCTCCGAGACGAGGATCGGATCGCGGTCCACGTGCGGCAGAACGTCGGCGTTTTCTCGTCCATCTAGTCGATGGCGCAACACGATCCTGTACATTATCGATGGCGCAAGACGATAAGTTACGTACTGGGCAGTTCTGTACTGCACGTACCATTATCAGTCTGTATGGCACTTCTGTCTCGTTGATCGTGTTGCTCGGATCTGTCGGGTCAACCTTCACCACGTTTCTCATGTATCGCTGCTGAACATCCATCACCTCACGAGTAGTCGGCCTCTTCCCGTGACCATCGACAGGATAACAACAATCATGGGCTCCCTGCCGACCCAACGACGCCTCCGCGCGGAGAGCGTGTGCATCATCGGAGCCGGGCCCTCAGGACTCGCGGCGGCAAAGTGAATCCATCCAGTCCGACGTCGTGCTCTTGGCGAGCGATGGCTGACGGCGTGGAGCGTGTAGATATCTGCTTGCCGAACACGCCTTCTCCCGCATCGCCGTCTTCGAGCAGCGCTCCCACCCGGGCGGCCTGTGGAACTACTCCCCCCGCCCCGCCACAACTCCCCTCCCCGTGCCCCAGACCGATCCCCACCCCACCCCGGCCGCCTTCGTGAGCCCCGTCTACGACAGCCTGGAGACGAATCTGCCCAAGGACCTCATGCGCTTCTCCGATCTCGACTGGCCCAGCCACAATCAGCTCTTCCCCAAGCATTCGCAGGTCCTAGAATACCTGCAGCGCTACGCCGACGACGTCCACCATCTCATCTCCTTCAACACCCAGGTTCTCCATGTCCGGCAGCAGCAGGAGTCCGGCTGGCTCGTCGAGACGCAACACGTCTCCCCGCAGGGCGAGCTGGACACCGTCCGGCACGTCTTTGATGCCGTCATCGTCGCGAGTGGCCATTACGCCGTGCCATACGTCCCCGCGGTGGAGGGCATCGAGGCCTGGAACAGAGCCTACCCCGGAGCCATCACGCATTCCACGTTCTACCGCAATCCCGAGAGCTACGCGGGCAAAAAGGTCGTCGTGGTCGGGAACTCCGCCTCGGGGATCGATATTGGAACGCAGATTGCTGCGGTCTGCAGGAAACCACTGCTGCAGTCGCAGAAGTCGGAATCCTACCTGTCCCGGGCACTCGCACCCGGCAAGTCGGAGAGGCCGGAGATCACAGAGTACATCGTCTCCGACCGGAGCGTGCGCTTCAAGGACGGCACGATCGAAGCGGAGATCGATGCCGTCCTGTATTGCACCGGCTACTTCTTCGCCTACCCCTTCCTCCAGTCCTTGGATCCGCCGCTCGTGACCACGGGCCATCGGGTCGAGAAGACGTACCAGCACATCTTCTACCAGTCGAACCCCACCCTGGCCATCCTCGGTCTGACCCAGAAGGTCATCCCCTTCCCCGTGGCAGAAGCACAGTCTGCGGTCGTGGCACGGGTATACGCCGGCCGACTCTCGCTACCGAGCGAGGCCGAAATGCTCTCCTGGGAGCGAGAAGTCGTGGCGGAGATGGGCGACGGCAAAGGATTCCACGTGCTGCAATTCCCCAAGGATGCCGAGTACATCAACCTGCTGCATGACTGGGCGGGGAGCGCCGACGAGCGCGTGCTGCAGGATGGACTCGAGGTCGGGAAGACGCCCCCGTACTGGTCGGAGAGGGAGCATTGGATGCGCGAACGATTCGCTGCCATCAAGAAGGCCTTCCAGGAGTTCGGCGAGGAGAGGCATCACAAACGCACGCTGGACGATGTCGGATACAGCTTCGACAAGTGGCACGCGGAGAGAGCGCAGGAACAGAGTGAACTGTGATAGAATTTGAATAGAATTGAAATAAGTTCATTCCAACCAACACCCAAGAGCGCATTCAAAGAAGCGTCCTCTCCCCGAGAACTCGATACTTGAGACTAATCCGGCCAGTCCGTAGATCTCTGCAGAACCACCGTGACTGTCAACGAGCTCGAGAGTAGTACAGAAGCACCTTTCATCAATCTCTCTCCCACCCACCCAGTCACAACGGGCATGCATCGCATATCAACCCTGTCGGCAGATCAAAATCGCAATGCTCGAGGATGGCCACGCTGTTATCCATTCCACAATACTTTCCCGATCTGCTGGCTCGCGCGAGAACGGGCTCGAGCATCTCATCAGCGTGCCGATCCAATTGTGAAGAGTGGTCCCAAGTTCGGGATGCTGATCCAATCGTGAAGCGTGACCTTAAGTACAGGACCGCATCTGGCACCACCGTCACGTACCCGCATCGCGTGGCCGAGTCCAGTTCCACACGGCAGAGCTCACCACACTCAAGAAAAAGTCGAAGCCCAGCGTCGTCACAGCCGGATGGCCGAACAAAGCCCTGGCAAAGACGTCGTGGAGAGATGCGCCGCTCTGCCGAATCAGGTAGACTTGTCTCGCGACCAAAACCGCAGAGAGCGAGGCGACGATTCGTTGTGCTCTCGTTGGGGTGAATGTGTCCCCGGCGCTTCTCGCTTCATCGTCTACAAAGGGGAGGTGAAGAGGTAGGAGTAGGAGTAGTCTGGCGAAGAGGATGATGGGGATGAGGTATGGACTTCCTCGGGAGTACGGGGCGGCGACCAGGCAGATGCAGTAAGCCGCAATGAGCCCAGTGGTGGCCGTCCGGGGGATGCCAATCGCATGCGATGGAGGGCCAGATCTCAGAAGCGCGAGATAGAAGAGATTCTGGGCGAAGGAGATCGGGAGGATCTGCGAGAGCGCGAAGAAGGCCCAGAGGCGTGGGATGCGTTTCCTTAGGCCTTCCACGATCAGTTCACGATCAGTTGGTAAGACGACCTAATACGACGTACCTTGCGAGCCCATGTATAAGCACGAGGCGAGTGTGACCAAGAGCGCGGACTGGGTCCACAGGTATCGCGTCTCGTCCTCGGTGATGGCCTCGCCGAAGTCGCGAAACATGGTGGAAGTCACGGACCATTCGCGGACGGTGCGGATGGAAAGCGGAGCTGTCGCTCTCGGGGCGGCCCAGGTTCGATAGGACTGCACGAGTATGTGGAGCATGTTGAACGAGAGCGTGGCGAAGCTCACCGACGCGAGGATCGTGAAGGCCGCGACATGCCGCTTTCGAAACGCGGCATGTGATGGGGCTGGCAGTCGGACGATGGTGTCGATCACGATCGAGGTAAAGGCCAATGCGGCGACGATGTAGAGCCAGAAGACGGCAGCGCCGAAATGGTTTGTAGTGGTATCCATTGCCATCGGCGTCCACGAGACTGCATTGGCGCTTCCCCCGTCTTCAATACATCAAAAGCCCGCTCGAAGAAAACCTCCAAGCTGTGACGCAATGTTGAACCCTGCATGTGTGACACCTCGTAGCGGTATCATCGCTCAATACCCCATGTCTGATCATAAAGCTCTTCCGTTCTATGGTCTTCGTCGCCATGAGCAATAGGTGTGGATTCGAGACGTCGTCCAGGTCCGGACGGGATGCCAACAGGACGCATCTCTCAACGGTGCAGCTCCAGGCACGTCGCTGGCCTAGTCCTGAAAGAGCAAAAGAGGCAATCATCTCAGTGACCGCGGATCAACCAAGATGGTGGGCTCGTAACCCTCTCCTTCTGCACTGCACCATCTCAAGATAGCCCTCTTCGCCGCAGCGCCAATGCAACACAGCGACACCGCCCGTTGGTCTTCGGTGCTATTCCCCTCCACAACGACCGGCAGCATATCCATACCAGCGGCTCGTCGGACCTTTTCGACATCCTCAAGCGGACCCGCAAGCTCCAAGAGGTACGTGATGGAGGAGCAATCGCTCTCATCCTCGTCGGCGGAGGAGGGGTAGAGGCCTGGCAGATGGGCCTTCTTCCTCAGCAGCTCCAGCTCGTACTCGTAGGCTTCCCGATCGTAGCCAGCGACTTCCGCATGGCTGCGGACCTCGTCCCAGTGGGCGTCGGAAATGCGCGTGCGGGTCAGGTTGTTGCGGTGATGCATGATGCGTTCTACCGCCTCGCTTTGATCGAGACCGAAGAGCTTCTGCCATCGTTCCATGGCGGTGCCGATGGGCTCCGGGTTTGCGCGTGTATCCTCTCCCACCTGGAACGCATTGCCCGCCATTGCTTCGAGCTCTTGTTGAAGCCGATATTCGTCCATGATCTGCGTAGTTAGCGGATGTGTGCACCTAATGTGGGAATGCCCACCGGAAGAAGCAGAGAAGGAGAAGTATCGCTGGTGACGCTCAGACGACGGCGAGAGGCTTGTTCCCACGTACAGAACACAGCTGAGTGCCGCCGCATGCGTAAAGCTTCCTGTAACGTCACCTAATGTTGGATGATGAAAGCGCAAGGCAAGGATGGCTAGAAGGAGGAATTTCTGTCGATCAATGCTTCTCCACGACCCGAAGAACACCCATCGAACTAAGCGGAAGCTATCAAGGCAACAACGAGCAGAACTGTGTAGCCGGGCCATGCAGACGTCACAATCTTGCTTGATAGTGCTCGATACGCAAGTCCTCAACGTGAATTGCTTATCCGGACCATAGGCCGTCGATGCTGACACTGTACATTGCCACATGGTGCGAGACGCACATTTATAGCACACCCTACTCAACAATCTCAAGCTCACCTTCCCGATGCCTTGCAAAAGTGTCCTTCCATTCATCCCAAATCCTCTGCAGCTCATCGACATACTTGCCGTGGATCTCGTCCACGTACGCAGGCTCTGGATTCTTCGACTGCATGATGGGAATGGGCCGACCGACCACAATATTCACGGGACGACGGTAAGGCATCATGCCCACGTCGTAGTTGAACACACCACGCGCGTGGAAAAGTGGTACCTGCACCGGAATCAGCCTACGTCGCGGAGCTCGTGCCATGTGACTTACCGTAAAACCCATGACCTTCTTCACCAGCAGCTGCATCTTGTGTATGTAAGGGTGGCTGCTAGCGTCGAACTGGTCGTACAGACCGTTTTCGCCGAATGCTAGCACGGGCACCAGATCTGCACCGGTTCGGATCGCGAGCTTCACGAAACCCTTCCTTCGTCTCAGCACCAATTTCATCGTGAACGGTTTGGCATCCAGCGATTCGCGAGCACCGCCAACGACGATAGTGATGGCGCGGCCCATGCCTTCTCCATTCAGTCCTCCACGGCTGAGAATATTCTCACAACTTTCGCGGCTGACCGATGCCAACCCCATGCGCAGTGCGTAGTCGCGGTACAGCGGTATGCGAAAGTTGGAATCCAGGGTGAGGAGAGTGTTGGTAATGCCCGGGAAGAGTTGTCCGAATCCCAGAGCTTCCGTCGCAAACGCAGCGAATGCACCATGGCTAATGATGCCATGTGGGTGGTATCCGAAGACGTACTTGCGGGTAGGCTCAAGCTCTTGACTGCGATGCAGGCGAGCTGGGAAGTAAGAGCCGAAGAGGGACCAGATCTTGCTCGAGCGTAGCCATTCTGAGCGGTGCGCTAGCCTGCCGTCCACGGAAGCATGTGATAAGAGGGCGTAGAGGAGATACGGGAGTAGGATCGGCCACAGAAGTGGAATGGCGCAGAGACCGCAAAAGATGGCGAGAAATCCTACAATCGAGAGAGTATGGAGCAGCACCATTACTGTCTGCAGACGTCGCTGCAGAGGAACATTCAAGGGTGCCCAGCGAATGGCACTCGTCGACCAGCCTGCGCCCGCACGCCGTCCAGAGACGAGCTCGCTGCCCCGGCGCTGCATCGTCTGTAGGGGCTCCGGGGTCGATGGTTTGTCCTCGCGCTGCTGGAGTGCCAGTCTGTAGTCTTGGCCAGGTTTGATGGACGCCAAGTTCTCGCCGCTCTTATTGCGCAGGTTCTCGTACATGACTTGTCCCGGCTCCACGTTCTTCTCACTCATTCCGTCCAAGCCTTCCCCTTGGATCTCTTGAGGAATTTTTCCAGGGCTGCCATTCAGATGTCGAGAGGAGATGCGCTTATGTGCCTTGCGTGTGGGAGAGCGAGGGTCATCATCCTCTCCAACTCCATCGAAGGTTTCGAGTGCCTTGTCTCCGTTGGCGTGCTTGACATCGTTGCGCACATTCGCCACGGGCATGCCTCGACCGTCGCCATTGGGCAGGGCGTCCTTGGACTGCGCGTGGTCCTTCACGGCCTCTGCATAACTCTCGCCGCTCATCTTGTTCTCGAGTCTGCCCTTGGGATGCCTAAGTCGTGGGCTGCCGGGAGAGGGGCAACGCTCAACCTCGTCGATGATCTCTCCCAGCGGTCGCGGCTCGCTGCTGTTTCGCGCGTGTGCGGGTCGCGGAGGAGACTCCTTGATGGCGTCCTCGTCGATAGGGGTGTAGTCGGCCTCAAAGGCTTCGTCGAGCGTTTGGGCGTAGCCTCTGTGCGGAAGGTGGTGTGCTTGTTCCGATGGGTCCGCAAGTGCTGCATTCATCATCATGGGTCGGGGGAGGCTCCAGCTGTTTCCGGGGTGTGGAGATAGGGGATGCGAGGAATGGGACCAAATGGACGCTGAACGTCTGCCACCAGCTCTTGCCGCTCCTCAATCATGTGATGCAAGGGTCGATACGTCTCATCATCTGTGATGCAACAGATGGAGGATGGTTATACCGCGCAAGAGGCATTTCCTGCGGCCCTTCGCGTTTCACGGGCGAGAGAGCTGGTCGATGTTGTAGCTGTTCACTTTCTGCGAATGACGTCGCCGCCTCGACCAGGATCGCGAAATCCTGGCACAGTCTGTGCGCGGATCCACAATACATCATTGTACCTGGATGTCGGCCGGCGGCAGCCTTTAGGTTATATTGAGTCTCAGGAGAAAGGCGCGGTACAGCATCACCTGCCTGCATCTTCAACAATATCGAAGACTGCCCTGGGAGGCCACGCCTCGAGGCAACCCGCAATGTGTCTACAGCCGAGGGCATCTCCGAAAGCTATTGTCGCAGGCATCACAATCACCGGTCACGGTTGAAGACGAAATGCCCAGATCCGTCAACCCGCTCAAACGAAAGACCTCGTCGCCCTTCTCCACGGCACAGCGGAAGAAGCCAGCGTCGCGCAAGAGCAGTGTCGCCGACAAGGACGATGCCCAGGAGAGACTTGATGACATTGGTCGCGCGCCATCGCTGGCTCCCCGTGACTGCGGCCAAGACGTCGGTAGTCTCGTCAACTACATCAGGACCCACGCGTTCGAAGACATTCCAGAAAGAGCAGCGGGCATGAACAGCGAGCAGATCTCTGCGACGTTGCGCTACAGAGCGACCTTGCCTCCAGTGGTGAGCGTTGCACACCTGCATGCGTGTAGCATTTCCACGACAGAAACAGAAAGAGAGATGGCACGCCTGATAGCTAGTGGGAAGCTACGCAAAGTCACTGTGCTTGGAAGAGGTAAAGGTGGTTCTGCAGTTGGCGAGGGTGTCGTGATGGTAGAGGACTGGAAGGAACGACTGCGCCGAGAGGGTGACATCGACAAAGTGCTGAGCGAGAAATACATTGCCCTGATGGACACTCACCGGATCTCACCAACGACTTCTGTGTCATCGCTGTCGAGCACTGAGTATCGCGCGCTCCTCGATGCGGGCTTTCTAACCAATCCGGGAGGCCTTTCTTCCAACCTGGGAGATGCCTTCGCTCGCCAACACAGCACATCATCAGGCGCAATTTCCCGAGCAGGCTACTCAGCAGCCACGGGAACACTTGCCGCGGTAGGTGGCCACGGGGCGATTCATGATAGCGGCGCAAGCGGTAGCGCCCTGGCGACCAAGGACAGACGTCCGTCAACGCTCCAGTCGGGCGGTGAGATGACCTTCAGTCTCCCTTCCACCGGTTCGTACCTCAAGCTCCTCACAGAAGCACGCCTGCATCTTCTACACTTGCTGAGACAGCTCTCTCCTCGCTTCAAGGAGGCCACGAAAGAGATGCTGGAGGAAAAGTGGAACGGCAACGTGCCCAATGATCCCATCAGCACACAGAAGAGAATGCGCGGGGAATGGGCCGGCGTATTGCCCGGCAAAACGAAGCGGTGGCGCGATTTCTACGGAATGAAATTTGAATGGATCCTCGCAGAGTGCGTAGGGGCTGGTCTAGTCGAGCTTTTCGATACTGGAAGTGTGGGAACTGCTGTGAGAGCGACGTAGAAAGTGACGCACGCAAACCCAGCTTCAAAAGCAGAATGGAAGATTGTTAGGCATCGAACCATTTGTCGACTACTATCCTGAATCTTCAGTGAGCGGGAGTCTTGGTTCCATGTAGCGGCCTTCAATGATGTGAGGCCTGTAAGCGAAATACAATGTTCGCGTCGGTTGTCAGTGATAGAAGCGAAATGCAGTCACGAAGCTCAACTCGTTCTTCATTCACGTCCCACATCCATCCTCACCTTCAGCAAATCCTCCTTCTCAATCTTCTCTCGCTTGTCGAGAAGCTCTCTCATGTCCCAAGTTGCGCTGATGTATCTGCCCTTCAACCACTCCCTCCGCTCGGCAGTCAGCCAGACAATCGTATCAGCACTCAGTCCCGGCTGATCGACGAGGACGCTATGCATGGCCTCTGGCATTCCCTTGGCCAGCTCCGTCGGCACAGCGCCCGGGTGAATGCCGAATGATATGAGTCCCTGGTCCGCGTAATCGGCACTCAGGAATTCTCCCAACCTGAGAATCGCGAGTTTGCCCATCTGATAGCCTGATGCCCCAGGCATGAGAATGTGGGCTCCGATGCTGGAGACGTTGAGGATTGTCCTCAGGCTATCGTGCGTCTTGAGCGTGAGAGGTATCAAGGCGCGGGTGACCAGGTAGACGCCCTTGATGTTGACTTCCTGTCGGACCAATCAGTTATGTTACATGAAGAGGATGCGCAACTCATGCTCAGACTCACCCAGACCCTCCACCATTCGTCAACGTTGGACTCGGCAAGAGGGACAAACGGCTCCAGATATCCAGCATTGTTGACCAGGATATCCAGGCGCCCGAACTTCTGTTCGACTTCCTTTGCGGCCTGGGCCACACTCTGCTCGCTGGTGACGTCCAGATTGATGGTCACGACCTCCGGAGGAACCTTCTTGGCCTCTTTCGCGGCTGCCACAATCTCTCGCCCCAGGTCGCTCATGTCACTCCGCGCTGCGATGGCGATCTGAGACGCTCCCGCCCGGGCATAGCTGATGGCGGTGTCCCGGCCGACGCCCTTTGAGGCACCCGTGACGAAGACGGCGCGACCTTCGAGGTCGAACTGGGAGGGATCGATGTATGCGTAGGTATCGTTGTGGATTGTGGGAGTAAAGTCGATGCCGTTGCTGGCAAGTTTCGCTTTGGGGTCTTGAGACATCCTGGCAAGGGCAGACCGGGTCGAGACGTGGGTGGAAGGTTGGAAGGAAAGGGGAAAGATACCGCCTGAAGTACGGTCTTTTTTTCTGAAACGAGAGCCAGGGAAAAGCTGTTCGGGACTTACTTATTAATCCACACAGGGCGGACTTAGCAGGTGATGCTTAACTACGTCGATTTGTGGTTCGTGCTTGTGCCAGGCAATTGGTCGATCGGGCTCAATGCCTCAGCAGGTATCTCCGCCGCGTCCTGTCCTGTCCACCGCTGTCGGTGCCGTGACCAAGACGGTGTCTCTCGGCAAGGACCATATCAGATGCAGCAATGAGTTTACAACGATATACGATGTAAACGGCTGTTTGAGGTTCCAAGTTGTCGGGTTAGAAGACGAAAAAGTGGGTGAGGTGATGTCGCACACGACGGAGCTGATTCCGCTGTACCTCGGTGCCTTGTGCCTTCTTCCTCGCCTCGACCTCAGCTCCCCTTCCCCTCCGTAAACGCAACTCTTTACACGGTAGATGTTCTGCTGACTCGTACCCTCGTGTCTGCATCGACAAATGCGGAGAAGGTATTGCTATCAAGACTGTCATATGTGAGTCTCGTCTTCGCTATTTCTTCTCCTCTCACCTTTCATTGCGGCACGCAGTCCAAACTTGCTCCACACGACACATCGCAACGGCAGCCATGGGATCGTACGGTCTCTCTCCAACCGGCTCTCGCCCGACGCTCAAGACGCCACTATGTGAAGTGCTCAAGATCGAATACCCGATCGTTCTTGCCGGTATGGCGAGGACATCATCCGGTCCTCTCGCTGCTGCAGTGTCAAACGCTGGAGGTCTCGGCGTGATCGGTGGTCTTGGATACACACCCGATCAGCTGCGCGCCATCATTGCCGAGATCAAGGAGAATCTCAGGGACAAGAGCTTGCCCTTCGGCGTGGACTTGGCTCTCCCACAGGTCGGGGGATCCGCAAGGAAGACGAATCACGACTACACCCACGGTCAGCTGGACGAGCTCATCACCGTGACCATCGAAGAGAAGGCCAGCTTGTTCGTTTCGGCTGTGGGTATTCCCCCTCCGCATGTCATCAAGAGGTTGCACGAGGCTGGAATCTTGATCATGAACATGGTCGGACATCCCAAACATGCCCATAAAGCTCTGAAGGCCGGGGTGGATATGGTGTGCCCTCAGGGTGGAGAGGGAGGCGGACACACCGGGGACATCGCGACCAGCATTCTGATCCCTTCAGTGGTTGAGGTCGCCCGACAGTATACCAGTCCACTCACTGGTAAGCCGGCATTGGTTGTTGCGGCAGGCGGCGTGCACAATGGCAAGTCTCTGGCCGCCATGCTTTCCTATGGAGCAGTGGGAGCTTGGGTTGGCACCCGCTTCGTTGCATCCGAAGAAGCAGGATGCAGCAAGCTACACAAAGAAGCCGTCGTCAGTGCCGAGTTCGAAGACACGCTTCGGACTCTGGTTGTCTCTGGTCGGCCGCTGCGGGTGAGGATGAATGACTACATCAAGTCGTGGGAGGTGGATCGGCCGGAAGAGGTCAGGAGGCTTTGCGACCAGGGGATCGTGCCTCTGGCTCACGACATGGACAATGACAAAGATGTTGACATTCCATTCTTGATGGGTCAAGTAGCTGGCGCGATCAAAGAGATCAAGCCAGCAAAGGACATTGTGGAAGAGATGGTAAGAGAATGTGTCGATATCTTGAGGGCGCAGCAGAGTTACCTGGACGGTAGCATAAGCAGTAAACTGTAGTTTCATTGCGGCAGACTTCGTAGCAGTCAATGACCTTCGAGAGATACAGCAGATCACTTGATGAGACCGCCTGCACTCGCTTGAAAGCAAGGTTTTCTAGACGGCTTGGAGGTTGCCGAAGAGACATCCTATCCAAATCTGGCAATCTGATCGTCCGTACTAATGTAGAGGGGTCTCATGCCCTGCACGTGCTCACAGCTTTGCGTACAGCTCGTCAAATCGATCAGCCGCCACTTGCGCACAGTCTGTACCGTATATGATCTTCTGCACGTCCGCGTCGGCCCTAGACAGAGTCAGCACATGTAAGGCTGAAGATACGACAATTGACCTTTTCCTCACCATTTATCAGGCACAGGCCCCTTGCCCTCCTTCAAGGCAGCAAACATCTGATCCCGCTCCTTCTTCGCCTCTCCGTCTCCGAGATGCAACGCCCGACCGCTCTGAGCGGCCAAGTCCACGAGCGTGTACGCCCGATCTCGCCTCACGTCCTCATAGACCTTCAGAGCCTTGTGGATCGCCTCGGGTGACGTGTCCGGCAGCTTCGAGAGCACGACGCCCAGGACGTCGCCGTCTTCGATTGCCTGCGCCGCTCCTTGGGCGAGATGTGGAAGGGTCGGATGGCACGCATCGCCGAGCAGAGCAGTCTGCTCGCGCACCCAGGTTGGCAGAGGCTCGTGGACTCTCAGCTTCCATTCGCAGACTTCGCCATCCGGCACGAGGTCCAGCATTTTGCGGACCTTAGGACAGAAATCCCCAAAGACTTCCATCATCTGCGGCTTGCTCCCCTTGGTCGTGTATGATGCCGAAGGAGCCGCCGCGAAGTTCCTATCGGGCTGTACGGTGCTGAGGTTGTAGATCTGGTTGCCCGAGACCGGATAGGCGATGATGTGGCGTTTCTCTCCGATCCACCGGGTAACAGACTCTCCGTCGATGAGGGCCAGAAGTTCCGGGTCGTCTTTCATCTGCTCACGCGTAAGCATGATACGGTACGCAGCCTGGCCGGTGTCGATGATTTTGGCGTCGAGATTTGCCAGCCGGAGCATTTGGTCACGGATGGTCGATTTTACCCCATCCGCTGCTAACAAGACATCGCACTTGATCTCATAAGGCTCCCCGCTCCGAGGGATGGCGGTAAAGGATGGATATGGTCCGTAAGATCCGACTTCTCCGGCCACAATGGAGAAGTGGAAGTGGATGGCACTCTCCCTTTTGCATCCCTCGTACATGGAGCCGGCTAGCGAGGATCGGTGGCCGACCATGTGTGGGTAATGGTACGTCGAGCGAATATATCTCAAGTCGACGTGGCCGAGTTCTTGATCCGTTGATCCCTCTGCTGGCAATCAGCAACGGCACATCAACGTGGACAGATGCGGGTACTCGCGCCGAATGCTGGTCTCCTTCAAGTCGACGGCATCCTTCTCGATGTCTGCCCAGACGCCCATTCGGTCTAATATCCTGGCCATGTTGGGAGCGAGCTGGATGCCTGCTCCAACGAATCCCAGGTTCGAAGCGCTTTCGTAGACGTTGATGTCGCGGAAGCCTTTCTTCGCCAGGGAGAGCGCGGTGGCTAGGCCGCCCATGCCTTACGTCTCTATCAGTATCGACAAGTCGACGTTGGAGGGTAAGGCTGACTTACCAGCTCCCACGATGGCGATGTTCAGGTCCAGTACACCTTTGGGCGCCATTCTGTGCGATGTGAGGGGATTGTGGAGGCGAGAATGCGATGGGGAGATTGTGAGAAGAGTGTCAAGAGACAATTCACCTACAGTACTATGGCTTGGGTCGCGAGACATTATCCAAGAGTCTTTTGAAGTGATGTGGCCGGCAGTCTGACACGGAGCAGACCTCCGCCCTGAGTGCCGCTGAGTCCACCCAGACCCCGGGCTGGTTCGCGGCAAGCACCACACACCACCCCTACGACTCGGCATTTCTTAAGGTACTCCCCCACCCACCCACACATATAACAATTCGCATGTGACGGGGCCATGAGAGGAGACGTCGCGCGTCATCATCAGAGAGGCAGACGTGTTCGTGCACGTACTACTTAGTACATGTACAGTACAGGTATTCCTCGTCCCGTCTTGCCCCGCGTCAGCGACGAAGCCCACGCCCTCCTCTACGACAACAATGGTCATCTTGTGCCGCCATCAGACTGCTCTTCTCCTGCGCCTCACACGCTCATGGAAAATGGCAGCATACCTGATACGCCAGCATCGGGATGCCGCAGCGACCAACACCCTGATGCACCCGCAGATTGAGCACAGATCCGACGCCGGCGCTGAGAGGATAGGCCCAATTCCGTCGACTTCCGGTAACATCATCCCGACAACAGAAGAAACTGTCCCGGTGACGTAGCCTTAAGGAAATTTATGTATTGATGCAGCGCAGTGCACCGGACAGCTGAACATGAACCGCCTCGACTGCTTGTTGTATAGGTAATCCACACCTCGGAGAATCGCTACAGCAATGCAGTGCCTGAGGAGGACTGCACGACTCCCCGTACTCTCCCACTGCCTCCTCCCGACGGCCAAGACCAGCATCGCTGCCACTCAGACGCGACACGCCTCCATCTCCCACTTGGACAGCACTCGCAACGGCAGAGAACGAGTCGTCGTCCTGGGCTCCGGGTGGGGAGGTTTCACCGTCTCCAGAGACCTCGACCCGAACAAGTACCAGGTCGTCGTCGTCAGTCCTCGATCCTACTTCATCTTCACCCCTCTCCTCGCAGGGACATCAGTCGGAACACTCGAGTTTCGAACAATCCTTGAGCCAATTCGTCGGTTCCGCAAGCGTGGCTTGGAGACCGAGTTCTTTCAGGGATGGGCCGACAGGGTGGACTTGGAGAAGAGGACGTTGACCATTGAAGAGGCCACCGAGGATCCGGTCTCGTCGCGAGCGCTGACGTATGGGCCGAACGAGGACAAATCGTTGCAACAGAAGAAGGGCGAAGAGCGAGCGGGCGCCAAGAAGGGCGAACTGTTTGACATTGAGTGGGACAAGTTGATTGTTGCCGTGGGATGCTACGCACAGACTTTCAACACCCCCGGGGTAAGGCAGAACGCCTACTTTCTGAAAGACGCCGGAGATGCACGGAGAATACGCAATAGACTGCTCTCGTGCTTCGAGATTGCCGCATTGCCCACTACGGATGAGAATATGAAGCGCCACTTCCTCAACTTTGCCGTCGTGGGAGGAGGCCCGACGGGCATCGAGTGGTCTGCCGAGCTGTACGACTTGATCTATGAAGATATGAGACGATTGTACCCCGCTCTGATCAAATATGTCAACATCACGGTTTACGACGTCGCGCCCAACGTGCTCAGTATGTTCGACGAAAGCCTGGGAAAGTATGCGATGAAACATTTCTCTCGGCAAGGCATTGCCATCAAGACGAGCCATCACATTCAAGAGCTGAGGCCCGGTGTACCCCAGGGCATGCAACCTCCCCTTGGTGTGAAAGATGGCTCATCTCTGTACACTCTGAAGCTCCAGGAGGAGGGCGAGATCGCGGTGGGCATGTGCGTGTGGTCGACGGGATTAGCCATCAACCCCTTCGTTGAGCGTGCGTTGAAAGGCTGCGTGAAGCAGCACGAAAAGTCACACGCAATCATGACCGATGCCAGACTACAAGCGAAAGACACAAACGACAATCCAATACCGAGCGTGTACGCCATTGGTGACTGCGCCATCTTGGAGGGCACCGCGTACCCGGCGACCGCTCAAGTGGCGAATCAAAAGGCTCGCTGGTTGGCCAAGCACCTGAACAAGGGCGACATTGACCGTACCGAGTTCACGTATCGAGATCTGGGCGTCATGGCATATCTCGGGGGAAGGAAAGCGGTCTTGCAGAGTGGCAAGAGCGACATCTCCGGTTGGATCGCATGGGTCATCTGGCGAGGCGCCTACCTCACCAAGACTGTCAGTTGGAGGAACAGGATCTTGATCCCTATCTACTGGTCCATCAACTGGTTGTTCGGGAGGGATATCAGCCGATTTTGAGCTCCGTGACAAGCATCCATACGAATAAGCTCGCCGTGGAATAGGGTACGATTTGTTTTGTGGACGTACTGGGCTTTTCCATTGCGGAGACCAGTCTGCAAACGATACTCGATACTGTAAGGTATACTCCGGTTCCGAAGCTTCAGCGGCTAAGAGCATCCGCTTCCCGTAACGCCATGTTCACCGCTGGAAGAAAGATAGCTACAAGATGCCGTTACAGTCGTTGTCGTCGAGTTCTGCGCCGTCGTGAAGGTCCCGGCAGCATTGTAACAGTATCTTCTGACGTTCACAAACGCACAGAATGCAATGTTTGAATTCTCCATCATCAGGCTCGCGCCGGAGAAGCTTCCCGCTTCGATTCGAAGGCTTGCCGTCATCAATCATCCTCCTCCTCTGTGATGCCTCTGCCGCCCGGCATTCACACCTGCAATAATGTCCAAGGTTCCGAAGAGCACGTTGCTCACAGAACCCCACTCATCCTCCTCCTCCCCGAGAAAAAGGCCGGCCGAAATCGTACCTAGGAGCTCGTATCGTACCGTACATACATGTACTCCGATCCATGTCTTGACGTAACCTAAGCACTGTTGTTAATGCATATATATCCTCATTCACGCTGTGCAGTGGATCGGATGATCTCCACGCCGTCGATGACCACATTCCATTATTCTCCACGCTGCGAATCTTCCACTTAGGTACTGGAGGTACTGGAGGTACTGGCTGGCCCTCAGGTGCGAGCCGATGACCATGCCATGTCATGCCGTTTCATTCCCGCCACGGCAGGTCGCATTTCGGATGAAGATGTTATGTGTAGGAGCGAGGCCTGATCGCGACTGCGCCGCTTTTGACTTCTACTACGCCTCTTTCCACGTCGAACATGCGCACCATCCGCCAAAGTACATGTAGTAGTAGAGAAACAAAAACAAAACAAAGCAAGAGCCGTGGAAACCCAACGGCGTTGTGGACTGCTTTTGCATTGTAGATTCGCCCGATCCCAGTTTTAGTTGTATCTGTCAGACATCTCAGAGCTGTGAGCTCTGGCAAGACAACCTGGAACGGGGGTATGAAGATGCATTGCTTTTAGAAATCGTAGCAGTCTCGGTGGTGACGCGGTCCTATGTCGGCAGGTGATTGTTGGGGGCAACACACGAGACATTCAGCTTGCATTCGAGCGGCATTGCAAAAAAAAAAAATATTTGCCTCTTTCCTGAAATGTGATTGATCATGGTGGTGGTGCAGGATCCCAAATGTTACTCGGTGTGAATCACCCCGAGGAGCGAACTCGGACACATTCGGCGGAGTACAATGTCTAGATATCTTGAGACCTGGCAGACGTACCTAGTACTGTTCTCATATCATGATTCATGCGCCAAAGCTACATGTAGCCTGCCCGAGGTGAACGATCTATTGCTATTTCTGTTACTCAGTCAGTGATTGGCTACCACTGCTTCATGGAAGTGCAATTGCTTACCACTCCGCGGAGCTTCATGAGGTACCACGCAACGTAGTGGACGCTTGACCGTGCAACATTTGAGCGACCGTATGCAATGAAAAGGTAACGGTCGATTGGAGCCAGAATTTGTTTGAACCGCACTTGATATTACACTGCTGAAGTGCGCGCTACAAAACACGCTATCCATCTTTCCAACGCCTGACGCTGGAATCGACTATTATGCATCGCTGGTGCGTATCCTCATAACCCATTGCAGCTTCACACAGACGCCGAGAATGGTCGAGCGTCCGTGTTCAGTCATGCCATTATACTCTGCCGTCGCTAAAATCTTGCCAAAAGTGCCACCCGTTCACAATGCCAGGCCGAAGAGGGCGAGGAGAGCGGTCGCGACGATACCCGTACCGTAGTTTTGAGCAACGCTGAGCGCCACAGCAGCGCCAGTGGAGGTCGCAGACGTACCGGAAGCGCTTGCAGACTTAGTAGCACTACCAGTGGCACCGCTAGTTCCAGAAGACGTGCTGGAGGCGGTCGCAGACGCGGAGGCGGAGGAGGTGGTGCTAGCGATGCCGCTACTGGCATTGCGGTCGCCGCATACGACCGACAAGCAGCCAGTCTGGCCGTCCAGGTCGTTCGGGTGGTTGGCAACGCAGTTGGTCTTCCACTGGGCGCAGACGAAGGAGGGAATGGTCTGGTCGTAAGAGGAGATGTTGGGAGTGTTGCCGTTGGTGCAGGTGCACGTGTAGTTGAGGGTGGTCTAGGAGACGGGGATTAGACTGCGAGGCACATGACGCCTGACTAGAATATGAAGATGCGCTTACTGGGTCACACGTGTTTGGGGATGCCTGTCCGCCGCAGATCTGCGGGCACGAGTTGGTCTGGGCACGGCACCACGCCTGGCGCAGCGACTCGGACAGCTGACTGTCGTCGACGGAGAGGGCGCCCGAAGTGGAGTAGTTCTGGGCGCTGGTGACGGCGGCGAGGGCCGAGATGGCCACGAGGAGGGCGGAGCGGAACATGGTGGATGGCCGGCGGGTGGTGAGGGAGGCAATGGGTGCTTGGAGAAGAATCTGCCGATGCGAATCGCGCGTTAGCTTGAGGAGGATGAGATGGTCGGGCGAAAGGTTCGAGGTGGTGATGGTGATGATGATGAGGATGAGTGGACTCACCTTTGACTGGAGATGTAGCAATGGGAGCTGCTGGTGGCAAGGGGAGAATTGGGTGGTTGTTGATGGAGTCTGCAGCTGGAGCAACAAGGTGACAAGGAACTCAAGCTTCGATGCCGGTCGTGTGGCGGCGCGGGCAAGAGGTGGTCTTAAATGGAAGGCACGGACTCCAGTTCTTGCGGGCCAATGCGTCTCATGGCAACCGGAGCAAAGGTAGGCGCACCCCAGCGGCAATTTAACGTGAGTACCTAGGAGGTAGATAAGCAAGCACCTGTGATCTATCTCTCGTCTCGTTCAAATGATGTAAACGTCTATTGCAGCGCAGCAATCTCTCACGACCGGCAGTGAACAGGCCATCCGTACCAGTCACCTGCCATTCCACCAACCTCGTTCCCATCCAAAATGTCTGCTTCTGCTGTTCGGTCGAGAACCTGGGAAGTGCGTGTCTTCGGCGCTGCGAGAGCTCAGATCCTCGCCGTCCCGCACTAGCAGATCTGGCACTAGGCCGTTCACGACAAGCGCTCCAGCTGCCAGCCTCCCCAGTCGCTACATAGCAAGCATGGGTCTCGGCTCGCCGGGCGATCCTTTCGCTAATTGGCCCGTCGAGGTCCATCGTTTCCTGGCCACCACCTCACCTTCTTACGCGGCCGCCACTGGAGATGGATGTAGAGAGGCAGGCACTATCGATCCTTCTCGTTCCAGCCCCAGACGGAACTCTGCCGCGCACTCTACTACCTTATACTACTACATGTTCTGCGCGGTCGCAAAGTCAGGAACACAGAGTCGGGCCAGGGACCCTTGCGAGCGTCATTTGGAAAAGCTGTAGTGCAACCACCGGCTCCTCGGCGACTGCCGGATTGAGCCTCACCTTCGCGTTTGCCCGTCGCTGACGCTCATTGTACTGACTCAAACGGCTTCTCACATGTGATCGATCGTCCACGTGCTGTCTGAATCCACTTCACCTCGTTTTCAAGAGGCTCTTGAAATTCAGAATTCTAACTCTGCATTCGGAGTCACACAAGCTGTCCATGCCGCCTAGAAGCTCATTCGCCTGGACGGGAGTGATCATCTAAGCGAGTCGGCCCGAGCGCGGGTCTGGCAGTGAACTTGCGAATTGTTAGCGAGGCTCGAGATTCTTCGATTACGAGAGAATACATGGCTTCGTGGACACCACCGCAATACGCAGCATAGCATGACTCGCAAGTGTATCGTCGCAACTTCCCAACTCAACCAGTGGGTGCTCGACTGGGAGGGCAATCGCGATAGGATTATCGAAGCAATCCGCACAGCAAAATCCGCAGGTGCGACCCTCGTACTCACTCCGGAACTGTGCATCCCCGGCTATGGATTGCTCGACCATTTCCTCGAAGGAGATGTCTACCGTCTCTCCTGGGACATCCTCGCGGAGATCATTTCTCATCCCGATTGCCAAGATATCATCATCGACCTGGGCCTCCCCGTCAAGCATAGAGGCTCAAGCTACAACGCCCGTGTGATCGCACTGAATCAGAAGATTCTTGCTGTGCGCCCGAAGATCGATCTTTGCAATGATGGAAACTTTCGTGAGATGAGATACTTCTCTCCCTGGCCGAGACGCGTTGTCCATGACTTCCGACTCCCCTCTGTCATTCAAAATCTATCTCCAAATCAGCAGTGGACCCGGATTGGCGAAGTTGCCTTCGAGGCCAGGGACGCCACCTTTGCCTCAGAGACGTGCGAGGAACTCTGGACTCCCAATTCGCCACACGCGTCATATGCGCTCGCTGGCGTTGAGATCCTATTGAACTCGAGCGGCAGTCATCACGAGCTTCGAAAGCTGGACACACGGATCAATCTCATCAAAGAAGCAACCGCCAAGACTGGCGGAGTCTACATGTACTCGAACCAGCGTGGTTGCGATGGAGATCGACTTTATTACGACGGCTGCTGTCTGATCATGAATTCCGGCCATTTGGTGGCCCAGGGCTCGCAATTCTGTCTTCGCGAAGTAGAGGTGCAAACGGCGATCGTAGACCTCGATGAAATCGAACCGTACCAGACCTCGAAAAGTCGAGGCATGCAGGCACAGCGGGAAGTCGAGGCAGACTCACTCGAGCGCATTCGGATCGAGTTCAACCTCTGCTCGCCGCTCAACGAGTTGAATACAGCGGCTGTTTCGGAGGCCCTCGACCCGCAATACCATCTGCCAGAGGAAGAGATCGCTCTCGGACCCGCTTGCTGGGTGTGGGACTATCTTCGGCGTTCCAAGGCTGCTGGTTTCTTAATTCCTCTTAGCGGCGGCATCGACAGCTGCGCCACGGCGACAATCATCTACAGCATGTGTCGACTGGTGGTATCGGAGATCGCCCAAGGTAATCAGACCGTCATTGCTGATGCTAGACGTCTGGCCGGTGAAGACCCATTAAATCTCAGTGCCAAGCAATTCTGCAACAGGGTCTTCAGCACGGTCTTCATGGGCATGAAGGAGCAGTCTTCGAAGGAAACCAGAGGTCGTGCACAGGAACTCGCTGCTGCTATTGGTGCCCATCATATAGACACCAACATCGACGAGATGGTACGGTCTCTCCATACAGTAGTGACAGGAGTTCTGGGCTTCGAGCCTAAGTTCAAAGTTCACGGCGGGTCGCAAGCAGAGAATCTGGCTCTGCAAAACTTCCAGTCTCGCTCACGTATGGTACTGGCGTACGCCCTGGGACAACTAATTCCGACTTCTCGCGGCGGAACTGGTGGGCTTCTCATTCTTGGCTCAGCTAACGTAGATGAGTGTCTGCGCGGCTATCTGACCAAGTACGACTGTTCCTCAGCGGACCTCAACCCCATCGGAGGCATCTCGAAAACAGACCTCAAGCGCTTCATCAAATGGGCAGAGATCAATTTTCAACTCCCGATCCTGCAAGACTTCCTGGACGCCGTGCCTACCGCCGAGCTTGAACCCATCACGGAGACATACGTGCAGAGCGATGAGGCGGACATGGGCTTCACCTACGATGAGCTCTCCGTGCTCGGTCGTCTCCGCAAGACATTCAAGCTGGGCACCGTGGGGATGTTCGAGAGGCTTGTCGTGGAGTGGAAAGACCGCAAACCTCGTGATGTCGCGCAAAAGGTTCTGGATTTCATGTTCTACTATGCTGTGAATCGGCATAAGATGACCACAATGACACCTGGTCTGTACCTGGAGTCGTACACGCCAGACGATAATCGGTATGACCTGCGGCCCTTCCTCTACCCTGTGAGGTTTCCTTTCGAGCGTAAGAAGGTGTTGGATTTGGTAGATCGGATGGAAAGAGGACAAGCTGGCATTGATGGGGCATAGATCGACGCCAGAGACATATCTCCAAGCCATGGAGGAGTACTGCGCCACTTGGGAGGAGGCGAAAGACTCAACCGAGATGTCCACGAAGAGATGGGAATGCTGCAGGGCTAGATGCCATGTGAGTAATGTAAGACCAGAAGCTTCTCTCACATTTTCAGTCATTCCACTGCTGGAGTTCTCAGTGCCATGCCTTGGAGTTTCGTAAGCCTGTCTTAAAGGGTTTCGGAGGGTCAGTAAAGGTATGCCTATTTCTTCCGGTCTAACCTTTTCGTAAAGCATAAGTATCCGAGATAGCGGCGAAGCTTTCGTAACGCCTCCTGCCGGCTTCTCGAAGCTGGGTTGGGAGGACGACTCAAGAAATCCGCGTGCGGGTCGCGAGTCATCTCTGATCAACGCATGGTACTCCCCGATGCAAGGGCGCGATCAGCTCAGCGGTACTGTGGTACTGTACAATGGAGCGCGATAAGGCGCTTCTGCGACGGAGCGACGCGGATCGCGAGCCTATCATTCGGCCATGCAATGCATAGGTGAGGTGGTAGTCAACAGCTACACTTCCCACCACAAGTACCGGCAGGATGGCCTTGGCGCCTCGCGCGGACGTGTTGGAGCGCGGACGTGTTGGAGAGTTGGAAGCGGACATCCGTGGCGGCCGCTGGCTCCCATACGAGCTGCGGCGCGAAGCTGCAGCCAGACAGGTCGCAATCGACCAAGGCAGAAGATGAGTCCGGCGCGGTGAGATGATGAGTCTAGATGACGGGTAGGATTATTGTAGGGTTGAAAATGGTGTTTCGGATGGAGATGACGGCGGGATAACAGTACCTGATGCACATCGTCCCGGTGTGGCGTCGGGTAGCTCGGAAGGACGTCCCGCGGGAAGGGTGCGACCACGGACGGGATCGGCCGAGCGCACGGACCGATTTGGGCAGGACGTGTGGCTCGCCAACTCACTGCTCTCGCAGACGCAAACGCGATCCGCCAGCCGCCAGCGGCCAGCAGCCAGCAGCCTCACGAAACCTCACACTCCCTCTGTACCGCGCACCTCACTCTCTCCACCCTCACCATCCATCACATACTGCCTCCTCACCAGTCGCGACAACGATCGCACCGCCCAAGAACCTCCACCCTCCCGCCGCCGCTCATCGCCATCACCCTCACCCTCTCCACGATACACCGCACCGCTATCCGCCCGCTCGCGTCATCCCCGCTTATTGCAGTCAGTCTGGCTCTCACCCCAACACGCACTCCACCTCTGTCCAGGCCCGCGCTCAGCTACCTATCGCCCCTACCCAACTGTCCAGCCAACAAATCAAGCCAGATCGACACACTGCGAAATGATGCCCGACGCCGCGAGAATATTGTTATGTGATGGATAACCAGCTCTCTTCGCCGCACAGCGTCGGTCTGAGCTTGACCGCGGCAGGTCCCGTCGACGCATTCGAGCTGTACCAGAGCCCGGGGATGGATGATGCCGCCGTAGCACAAGCCGCCGCTGCCCAGGCAAGGATGTCTGCTGGGGACCCGGCTGAGTCTGTTGTTGATGCCTCCACAAGAACTCGCGCCTTGAACAGCGTCCGCTCCAACCCTGCTCTGCTTCCTTCCCGCCGGCCAGGCAAAGTGAGAGACATGGCCTCTCGCTGGGACCGGAGCGCGACCGCCGGTACGGCCGCACCGCAGACGTCACGAGATCGATACAAGCGCCCTACCACAGCCAGCAGGAACGCCCAGAAGTCTTCGCTGCCCACCATTGGCGCCGGAGACGGCAGGAAGCTCCAGAAGAAGCCGCCGGGCTCGCCGCGGAAATCTCCATCGACATCATTCGAGACCACCAACTCTTCCTTCTCCTCCGCTTCCACCGCCAGCACCATGCGGAGTGCCAGAAGCCAGCCACACGCCGCCTTTAGTCCCAAACGACCCAGATCGCCTGCGAAGCAGCAACCGTATGTCAGTTCCCGGCCTCTGTTCGGCGAGATCACCACCGATGGGAAGTGGAAGAAATTTGCTGTCGACCTGGGCAATTATGGTCCGCTGCCAACATTCGAGAAGGCGCCCCGGCGAGGCAGTGAAGGCAGCCTGGCCCTCTGGCATGGACGTAGCCAATCACACCAGGACATGTCAGCACCACTTTTGGCACCGCCGAAACAGAAGCTCAGTCACAAGCGCAGTCGCAGTGAGATGGACGCGTTCAGGCCGACTGCTGCACCCAGTATGCCAAACCTGAACTCACACAACGGGCCGCCGCTGTATCCAACGCCGCCCGACTCGGTGCAGCGGGCCCTCGGACAAAGTGGCTCACCGATAGCCTCCAGAATTCCCGTCCGCAGCCGACCTCAATCGACTGACTCTACAGCATCCTCGAACAGCTACTCACGCGCTCCGTCTGCGACTTCTAATCCTCCAGGTCGAAAACGGCTCGAGAGATCTCCCACCCGGACGCCTGTGGCTAAGGGGAAGGAAAATAGCACTCCGTCGCGCAGCACTCCGTCGCGCAGCCGATATCACCGACCGCCATCATCAGCCGCTCAGCCCGGCCAGACCTTATCAGCAAAGATAGTTGCACCACTCCCCAAAACGTCGCCCCCGCTGCGTTCATCACGGCCTAGGCAGCCAGTGAGCTCAGCAACTACTTCTGCGAGTCGCGCACGGGCTGCAGGATTCCAGGGCTTGAATTCGATTCCGAAAGATGGGAGAGCGCCGAGTGAACAGTGGCTGGGGAAGCCATACGATCCACAGAAGGAGAGATCGAGAAGGAAGATTCCTGAGCTGGACAAGATCAACTTTGAGGAGCGGAGAGCAAGGATTCAGAGAGCTATATCAGAGAGCCTGAGGGAAAGCGACTCGCAAGAGCGGATGAGAACTCAGTCCAGGAGTGAATCACGGAATGCATCCTCGCGACTGACCTCGCAAGAACACGAGCACAGCATCAACGCTGCAGCACATCTTCCGAGCGAAGATGATGCGATGCCTGGTGCTGCTGAGGCTTCAGATAGAGATGCAGCCATACAAAGCCACGCACCGGGCCTAAGTGTGGAAACCACTGCCTCGATGGAGAGTTCGAACACTGAGCCAGAGCCGATGACGTCTCAGACCGACCGGACGATATTCGAAGATGAGAGCCCAGTCCTCGGTCGGCCCGTTGCGGGACCATCTGCGATCGCTCCCGAGACGACACCGGAAGAACCTCCTGTCCTCTTAGCGCCCGCAACGTACCAGCCACATCTCAGGGCTGCAAAACGGTCTTCTCTTGAAGTTCAGCATGAGGTCGAGGCAGAAGACGTCCATGGTACCACTGTTCTCGACAATGTCATGCAAATGCGCAATCACAGTGAATCCTCGGCAAGTCGCACGGGGACCGAATTTGCTGACGAGAGCCAATCTGCTGAAGAAAGTCCGAACGAGTTTGGGGACTCTTGGGGACTTGGTACCAGTCCAGCCGGTGACCACGGTTCTATTCGAATTATGCTCGACGAGGAACCAAACATTGCTCATTTTGCAGACGCGTGGTCGAATGCTGCCAACACCCAATCCGATGCAGCGGATTATCAGCTGTCAGGAGACGACACTTCGCACGTTCAACAATACAATCAGCATGCATTCACCGCCAACGGTTACACAGAGTCGCCGGTGGAGGATAGCGATGGGTTCACAGAAGCAGCTACGCATTTGACCCCGCGCAAACATCAACCAAACGACGCCACGCTCAAACCGAGCGTGTTCCAACCCACGCTCGCCGTCGACGATACTGACACCACCACGACGGACGGAGACATTGTGCGCGTTCTGGACTACTATCAAAACACTGGGACTCTCACGTCTGACATGCAACAACTCGTCGAGCATCGCATGGTGGACTTGCATCGAATCTCAGCAAACGGTGGATCAGACGCAAACATGATTCAGAGCCTATTGGAGAGCATCGTGGTTGCCCATCCTTCGGCTCACCACGAGCATGGCAAGCAGATGCTCACCCCCAGTGCTTACGACATGCCTGCAGTCACGCCAGATACTCCACCAATAGAAGCAGGCTTCGAACCTGGCACCGTCATTGTGTATGGCAACGACAAACTGGATGAGGGTGCAGATGAGGACGAAGATTTTGAGGCTAAGATTAGAAAAGCCGATGAGGAGTGGGAACGTCAGCAGCGAGGTGAAGAATGTCTGGTGCAGGATGAGGAGGATGAGCAGAAGCCTCCACCACCTCCTAAAGATTTCGGCTACATGCCGCGCTCAAGTGTTGACCCTGGTAGCTCCAGTCTGGCACCGAGCCTCACAGAAAGCGGCTTGCGAATTTTCACTTCAGGCCAGCTCGATTTGGGCAACATACAAGAAATTGGTGAGCGAGTCGACTTTCCCCCCTCCGATGGCAATGCGACTTCACCCGCCTCGACACCTGCTCCTCCGCTTCCGTCCCACGCACCTCCGCCCCCTCCAGCAGCAGAGAAGCCCATTGCAAAGGCTCCATTTGCGCTCCCAGATCTGGCAGCCGCGAAGGCCAGCTCCGAGCGCGGATCCAGCGAGTTATCTCCACGCTTCCGAAAGAATTGGGGTGCTTCTGGCTCGTCACGCCCATCGATTGACAGCCAGCGTGTAGTGCCCGCGCTTCCCGGATCGCAGTCGATGACCTCCTTCTCCGAATCTGCACGACAGGCGTCATTTGATACTGGAGCCGACAGTCAGACAAGGCTAGTGAAGACCATTTCGCCAGGCCCTGAACAGAAGCGACTGCTGAAACGACGACACATCATCAAGGAGCTCTTGGACACCGAGTATTCCTACCATCAGGATCTCAAGATCATCGAGGACATCTACAAGGCCACTTGCACGCCCGAACTCGTCGCCCCCGAGGACAAGAAAGTGCTGTTTGGTAACTGTGATGAGGTAGAGCGCTTCGCGTTACACTTCTATGATGACATGCGAAAATCCGTCATTCAGGTCTACGTGCCGCCCAAGCAACAACGATTTTTGGCGAAGCGAAGTAGCTTTTCGACTACGCGGAGCGACGGCACAACGGCAACCAGCGTCGCGGATACTGTCGATGACGAGAAAGACCGCACCACTACCATTGGTCGGACTTTCCTCACGAATCTGGCCCAGATGGAGAGGGTGTACGGTGCGTATCTCCGGAATCACGACGCGGCGAACCAACGCCTTTCCTCTATTCAGAACGCTCCCACCACCAAGTGCTGGTTAGATGAGTGCCACGCCAATGCGAGCGACATCACGTCTGCATGGGATCTCGACTCTCTGCTGGTGAAGCCAACGCAACGGGTAGCCAAGTATCCCATGCTCCTGCAGCAATTGTTGGAGACCACCCCGATCGATCATGCAGACCACAAAGACCTTCAAGCCGCTGCCAAAGACTCGATCAGCATGCTCACGCGCATCAACGAGGCTAAGAAGCGCGCTGATCTGGTCGAGCAGATCATCACACGGAAAGGGCGCAAGGAGTCGGATGTTCGCAGTGGACTTGCCAAAGCGTTTGGTCGGCGGACGGAGAAGCTCAAAGAGAGGGTTGGCATCGCCGAGGCTTTTCAGGACCCCGAGTTTGACGAACTTGCTCACAAATTCGGAGGACACTTCATCCGCTTGCAGATTTGCATGCGAGATGTGCAGGACTACATGCAGCGGGCTGACAAAGCCATCGAGCTCATCAACAATTATGCAAATGCCCTGGAGCTGTTCATGGGCGTGGTGTCAAGCGATAAGACCGAAATCGTGAGCAAGTGGTACAGATATGGCCAAATAATCCGTGAGCTCACGCTTGTGGCTTTCGGAGAGCACAAGGCGGATGTGCAGAAGCGGGTGCTTGCGCCGATGATTCAGTGCATCAAGATGCACGAGCATCCTCAGAGTGCGATCAACAAGCGCAAGAAGAGGATCGTGGACTACGCGAAATGCAAATCGGAGGAGCGGCGTGGGCAAAAGCCGGACAAGAAGACAGTTGAGGCGTCGGAAGCATACGAGGCCTTGAATGACACGCTGAAGCTGGAGCTGCCCCAGCTGTACCGGTTGACTGCTCAACTAGTGCAGAGGTGTCTCCACTGTTTTCTTGACATCCAGCTCAAGTGGCAGAGTACCTGGGAAAGAAAGCTGCGACCGCTCCTCGAGGCAGCTGAAGTACCCCACAGCATCCAAGACATCGAGCCTGCCTTCCGTCCGGATTTCGCTGAGGTCGAGAAAGAGTTGCACCATCTGTCCATCTGCAACGGCACACTCAAGATCGAGGCTGCCAATTTCCTGTCCTCGCAACTGTTTGAAGGCTCCGAGCAATCCTCCCTGTACAAACGCCCAAATGCGCTGGATAGCTCCAATAGGACACTGTCAGTTGGTAGTGAGGCTTCCTACGTACCGAACACCAGACGCCACAGTGGCATCTATACTCCGAGCTCTGATGCCCAGCAAGGTGTGGATGGGCGGATGCGCTCGAATTCTTCCATGTCCGGCCGAGCTCCTCCAGCGCAGACTCCAGGATCCGCTGCCTCAATTGGCCGTCCGTGGTCCAACTCGAACACGCCCAACTCGTCATTGTCCACCAGCAGACCGACCACCGCCAATCAGCCAAATTTTTATGGATCGATCTACTATCCCCGACAAAGTGCAGAGCAACAGAGGAGCCCGAGACCGGCCTCAGACGCGACGTACTTCACTGCACGACCAGATCAAGATAACAACAGATTCTCCGGCATGTTCACCTCTGCTCTCCCACCTGAGATGGCCGGCACAGCATACACCCCACAGCAGCCGTCATCTCCAACACGGGCGCCCGAGAACATGCCAGTCATGTTCGTCTGCGCAAGCTTGTTCGAGTTCAGCATCGACAAGACACGCCAAGAAGCCGGCTATCCGTACTTGCAGTATGTACAAGGAGAAGTCTTCGATGTCGTCGCGCAGAAGGGCGAATTATGGTTGGCAAAGAACCAAGACGACGCTAACAACGGACTCGGTTGGATATGGGAGCAGCACTTCATCATTCTCTCAAGCGAGAACTAATTGCTCTTCTCTCTTCCCTGGCTTGCACGATTTACGGCTCGCGAAGGAGTACCTGGAACTTTTTGGGCATCTAAGCCAGTATCACGACGCTTCCCCTTTCACCTGTGTTTGCCACCAGGTCACGCACATGTTTTGATTTACGACTAGCGAAGGCGTTACTTTTCTACGGCTGTCAGGCCGTCACTTTTTCAGAGAATCGAAGCGGACGCAGACTGCTTCACGGCAGGGCAGGCACGGAGCTTGCCCCCTCGTGGAATAGATTCTATCTACGACGTGCTACAAAAGCAGAAGTTATGGTTATCTTGGGAGTCTGGGTCGGTTGTCAAATGTAATGCGCCATCCAGGGCGCAAAGGCGCAAAAAGCGGTGGTGTGCATACCAGAGAGGCGTCAGGGAGACGTAGTATATGTATAGTAAAGAGGGAGAAAGAAGACGCGTAAAGTAAATAAGAGATGACCTCGAGAGAACTTGTAATGACTGCAAGATGCCCTTTTTCTGCTCCTCACGCACGTCATTATTTTACTGTCCGATCTTGGTACGCGAGCGACACGAAGTAAGTTGCTGAACCATGACCACCTGCCGCCAGCATGTTCCTGAACCACTGCCAACTTGCTCCTGGACACTTACTCCAACGTCAAGTCAATTTCGATACCGACCGCCGGCCACTGAAGTTGACACGCGCGAGGCCCGAAGAAGAGAGCACCGCTGCACACACATTTATCGAAATCCTATCTTGACGTGCCCAGAACTTCAGGCCCCATGGTGCTCAAAATGCAGTAATGTAGTTCCACTTGACCTCCTGACGATCAAGAAAAAAGCCTGATGGGCAACCCTGCGCGTCGGTGGGCTAGTGTGGCATACTCCTACGAACTAAGTGCTCACAACCCTCCACAAAGTCATCCTATGCTATGCCACAGCGCAGCCACGCCTCGACGATTCTTCTTGCTTGGCAGCAACCTTTGATCTGGTTCTCGTCGCTGGGGGAGTGTCCGGCGGTTCGATGCTTCGCACGGCCTTCACTTCGCGTACGGGGGTCTTGCGCCTGCTGCTGGTATTCGAGACCGTGCTCATTCTTCTCTCGCGCTTGGGGATTCCCTCCTTCTCATCCTTCTCGCCATCATCTGACGCTTCCGCGCCGACAACGTTCTCCCGTCCAGCATTACGTTCAACGTGGTCAGCAGTGAAGTCGCCCGCTCCTTCCTTGTCTCCGCCACCCGCCTCTTGGCTGCGCGGCAAGGGATCTGCGGTAAGCTGCTTCTGAGGAGAGATTCCTACCCCGGCAGCTTGAGCGGAAAACTTCGCTTCCTGCGTGTCGTCAAATTCCATCGTACCCAGCTCCGCCCGCTTCATTTCCTCTTCGCCGGCAGGTCGCTTTTCGCCCGTAATCGGATTCCAGATATATCCTTCCCGCAACCACATCCACCTCAAGCAGGCCCTCAACTCTTTATCCTTGGGCACGACGCGTTTCCATTCAGGAACAAATCCTTCCTCAGTTGCACCCTTGCCGTTGTAATCCTCTGCAACGCCACGCAAAGCGTCGCGACAAAAGATTCTCCAGCTGTCGTAGGCGTAAGCACCGCATCCACGCAAATGTCCAATTTCGATTGCACCCTGACAGAGTGGCATGTCTTCTTCAACAACGTTTGCGACATCGGCAGCCATGCCATCGCCTTTTGTAGGGTAGTCCCTCTTCCTATAGAGCTTCCCAACAACGGGCGGGTTGTCTACCCAGGTTTTGGCAAGCTCGATCAAATTCCGCGTGCGACCTCTCTGCAAGCCAAGATGTCCAACCATCTCAAGCAAATGGTCGTATTCTGCCTTTGCAAGATCTTCGGGCGTCGGAAAGCGGGCTTTGATCTGCTTGTATACAGGAACGGCAGCTCGTCCGGTTGTCCTGTTGAGCAATGTAACGGCTACAAGAAGCCAGAAAGGTTCGCGCCAGGTCTCTTCCTGGATGAGTCCAAATGTCGCTGCGAATATCGGAGGCGACGGTGCAGTTGACGTACCTGCAGGAACCTTCCGACTACTGCTTGTCGTGTTGAAGACGTCGACTCGGTTGTCAATGAAGAATTTGCTGATGGCACCGGTGTGTGATCTTCTTGATTTTGGTGTTCTCCTCGAATACGAGCCCCCTTTCGGTGTAGCAATGGACAAATTGGATTGCGCAAGCTTCGGTGTTGAGGGGCCTGGTACTAGGTCACCCGGTTCGGGTGGCGGAATGAGGACCCGCGGCGGAGGAACTACTGCTGGGGCTGAAGTTGATTGCGTTGCTTCGTCTGCCTCTTGTGAATCCTTCGTTTCTGCTCGCTCTTCTGTCTCTCTGCGAACTGTCGATCCATCTCCTGCAGTCGGAGAGTACAGAGGGATGAGGACTCGTGGAGAGTAGTAAGGGCGCTCCTCATTTACATGCGCAAGTTCGTGCGTTGGCGGCGGAGTCGACAACCGGCTCAATGTGTACTCGTGTGCCAACTCAACACTGGAATTTAAGCCATTATTGACCCCGTTCTCGGCATCTTCAGCACTAAAGTCGTGTGTTAGAGCATCCCGGGGGCCAGAAACTGATTGCTCAGGCTCGGGCTTACAGTCTTCTACGCTCACGCCATGATCTCCCAGGACGCTCTCGGAAAGCTCGTGAATCATTTCGTACACAGCGTCGGAGTCATTGGGATCGGCTTCAACTTGCTTGGCAGATGCATCGACTAGGTCGGCATTGATCAAGTTGGCCCAACTCTCGTGCCAGGATCCGCTCGTAAACTTTGGCCTCTCTTCAGGTAAACTCTCGAGATCGCTATCACTCTCACTTTCAGAATCTTCATTGCTCCTATTCCAAGCTTCCATCTCCTCGCAGGAGCTTCTTCTCAAGTGATCAGGCGGGCACTCGAAACGTTGCATGAAGCCGACAGGCCTGGAGATGTTGAGCTTTTTGAGTGGGTGGCTTTGCGCAGTTGAAAGAGTCTTTGGAGTAGCTTGAGAGCGCATTGAACCTAGCGCGATCGGAGGACTCTCACCCATTTTAGGAGTTACTGATTTTTGAGCACGACGTCTCTTCCTTTTAGCCGGTTTCCTTGCTTTCTCGTAGGCCTCGTCAGTCACCCCTGGGGCGGTTGCATTCTCCGACCTTTCATCGAGCGCCACTGATTCTTCGGGTTGCTGTGTAATCTCGCAACTTTCCTGCCTTTCCACTTTACCAGCGTTGATGTCGACGACCGTGGCATTGCCTTTGTCTGTGACTTGATGGTCGTTCGTGATGGGTGCAGTGCTAGGTTCGCCATTGGACTTTCCACCTTCTAGCTGCTTCTCAAGGGTGTTCAAACGTTGCTTCTCTCGCTGCTTCTGCCGTTTCTTGTCTCTTTTAGCCTTGCGCTTCGCATGCAGGACTGCTGGGTCATTGGCCGCTGAGCCGGCAAGAGAAACGCTCCTCATGATGCCCAGTCGGTCGGCTTCTTCTTTAAGCTTCTTCTCACCAGCATCTACCGTATGCTTCTTTTTCTTCTGTCCAGACTTCTTGCGCTTGGCAGGCACGACTGCGGGTTCTCCAGATGGGGAAGCGGCGAGTAGATTCTTTTCAGTCTTCGACACGCTACCATCATGTTGAGTCGCGGCATTCTGATCAACGTTGTTGTCAGAGAGGTTCGTGATCTTCGCCCTCTTCGCTTTCTTTGAATTCTTTGATTTCTTCGGAGCTTGCTTCTTTGCATTGAGCGGCTCGCCAGGCACGTCCAGACTGGCTTTGATCTTCTTCCTTCGGCTCAGGTTGGGCTCCGAGCTCTCGGACAGGGAGTGCTGTTTCCGCTTCGTTCCACGCTTCTCCCCGTTCTCCATGACGACTTAACGAGATGTTGTCTAGAGGTGCAAGTTGAGAAGGTGTCGTTCAGGGAAAGTTATCAGGAGAGGTCGTCGCGGCAGCGGCAGCGGCAGTGACGGGCCAGGGACCGCTAGCGTGAAGCTTATTCCAGAAGAAGCGGCTAAATCGCTACCTCAGCATCCGACATGAGCATGAGCATGAGCAAGGACATTGGCATAGGAGGCACCCGTCAGCCTGTCATCGACTAGAGTTTTTACAGGTTGTATTTCGATTTCACGACAAGTTTGCTACTCAATGACAAACCGAGCGAGAGGCAGCATATCGTTCCCATCCGCAGATATGCCGTAGCCTTACACTCTATTCGACAATCGCCAAAAGATATTGATCAATTGTTTGCATCAGATCCGCCTTGTACGTAGCAAGAGTGGGAATCAAGGTGGCATTCACTCCCTTATCCTTCGCTGCAAATTCCGTTCGACATTTCGTCAGTATCACCACTTCGGGCCCATGGGCTCTCACCGAACACGGTGTAAACATAACCTCCTTTCCTCGTCAGTCTTGATCGCCCATTCGAAATACTCCATCTGTTTGTCCCAATCGGCGTCAATAAACACAAAATCGAATTTCTCACCCTTCAATTTGCTCTCTATCGACCGAAGTACTGCCAGCGCAGCTCCCAGCAATATCTCAACATTTCCACATTCCTTCGTGTTCTCCAGTGTCTCTCTGCTTGGGGTTGAATTCTATACTGCTAACTTCCACCCCAGGAACGCAATTGGCAAGTGTTCCGATTTCGAGAACCCTCTTCGCATTGACGAGCTGACAGAGGATGGAAAGTTCCATGCCCTGAGCTGAGCTGATGGGATGGAGACTTGTGGGATTTTGTTATATTTCCAGTTGCTCATGGCCGCGTCGAACTGAGCCGTAGATTTGACCAGTGTCATTTTGGGCGGCCAGGGCGACGGCATGACTTTTGTAAAGTGCCGTCTCGAGAGACATGGTGTTGGAGAATTGACTGCAAGTACTCCTTCAGGTGACTGTGGATATAAGCAAAGAGCCGTGGGGGACAAAGGTCACAGGTACTTTGGGTTGTCTGGTGAGCGAGAAGTGGAAGAATGTTTGAGAATCATTCGCGGACATCTCATCCGTCACTGGCTCCAATGTATATCTTCTCTTCACACACACGCACACACGCACGCGCCCTGGCAAGTTGGTCGCCCGCTCGTTACGGTCCCGGTGCTCTCTCGTCTCCGTCCGACTGATGAACCTAAAAGGACGCGCGCTATCGGAATGCCAGTTGCCTGTCTGGGCAGTGCATCGACGGCATTGGAGATTGGATTGTTGTGATTCATGAGCTCGGTTATGCCACCATCGTACGAGGCGGAAAGCTTCGTGAGCGAAGAAATGTACATCGTTTCTCCAAGAAGCTGGTCAGCCTCTCCTTGCATACAATCCCAAATATCTCTGGCCTTCTTGACATAGCCAGCTCAATCTCCGGTTGATCCCCGAATTTTGAGACCTCGTGCATCAATCACCGCCCTCAAGAACCAGCGCATCAAAATCTTTGCGCACAGTCAAATCTGTCCAATCGTCCACATTCTCGATTACGAGGCCCTTCTCGTTCGCCAAATGCAATAAGCAGATGAAGCCGTAGGAAGTGCTGATGTCGGACATTTGCTGCCTGGGGTAAACGTGTTGCAGGTTGTTCATGATGTCGGTGAACTTCAGCGTTTCCTTGTCGTCGACAGACAAGGATGGAATCTGTGGTCGTGCAGTGCATACTTCTGTGTCGGACCTGTAGAGGGTGTCAGTATGGTTGCAAGTTCTGCGTGGCACCAGGACAGAACTAACCTGCTCTCGAATCCGATACCTCGCCACATCTCCTCTTTCAATCTTCTGACATCGACTTTCTTAGCCACGCGAGCATACTGCACATACTCTGGTCTCATCCTGCGGGATTGGGCGACAAGATTTGCGCCAAATGCCTCGTTACCCGGCTCTTGAGGCCCAGCAACACTATCGATGCCGGCTCCAGTGGATCCCACGGCAGCGTCAACCTCGTCGATGCCTGGAGAAAGTGCTTCGCGGGCGTCCGCGAATTCGTCGTCATCTTCGTCCATGGCGCCTCCAGCCATGGGCAAGCCGTCGTCCTGGAAGAAATTTGCGTCGTAGTCACCTTGGACAGCGTCATCGTCCAAGGGATGTGGTTGGGAAGCAACGCCATTGTGTGAAGCCCAGTACGCCTCGTCTACTTCGCCGTTGGGCAGGAGGCCTTGTTGTCTGCCAGAAGCACCAGACTTTCGCGCTCCTAGTTTGGCTTTCGGCTTCAAGAACAACTTCAGCAAATCTTTTGAGTTGAAGTGCTTGTCGTCCGGAAGCAGATTGCGTGACCTGCTCTTCCACTCTTTCTTGGGCATGCAAATGCTGCTATTGCTTGGTGCATTGGTGTATAGCAGATTTGCCAACTCCTGCGTCATTGGCGCTGCGAAATCGATCTCGAATGGTTCCTTCTCTTTCCGCGTTCTTTTCGGGCCCTCTTTGTTCGCTTCTTTTATGCGCGCGATCTTCCAGTGTTCCGGTCCCGCCCAGTTTTTCTGCAGTGCGTTGTCAAAATAGTTGAGGATATTTTCCTGGTCGTGGTCCGGTCTGTGCTGTAGCGTGACTCCGTAAGAGTTGGAATTGGTGTCAAAGACGCCTACCTCACCTCCGGCATCGTCTATCGGGTCTGCACCAGCTGAAGCATCGTAAACGCGCATCTGAGGCTGCAGAGCGGCATCGCGAGCCCACGCTTCGCCTCCTTCACCAAAGCCAACTTCTGGCCCAAGATCGAAGCCGCCTGCGCCTCCATCGTCGTCGTCCATGCCGAAGGGCGCTGTCTGCTCGTTCTCGTCCCTCTCTTCGTCACGGTCAACTTCGGCGTGCTCATCGCGCCAGTTCTCCGGAGCTTTCAGGAACGGCAGATCTAACGAGGCATCTCCATTGCCAAGTTCAAACGTCTTCAGGGTGGGACAAATGTCTTCATCGTCCAATCTGCTGAGATCGGGAAAGAAGCGCGCGCCAAGTGCGGCAACGTCAACAGGACCATCCTCTGGAATGTTCTCCGGGTCTTTCCCTTTCTCTTCCAGCTCTTCAGGCTCCATACTGTCGCGTCTGGAATCGTCGTTCTCTTCGTCTTGAACGTCGTCACTGCTGTCGAACACGATTCGCCCGCTGCTGTCGATTGATAGGTGGTTGAGCAGTAGACCCTTGGCGCCACCTTCGTCGAAATCGGCAGATGCCTTCTTGAACAGCGGGTCAACTGAGAACTCCAGCTCCATCTTCTTCAAGCGCAGATGATCGAACGATGTCACGAGTGTCGCTTCAGCAGATCTTTGTGCCTTCTTTCTACCCTTCTTCTTTGCGCCATCTTCTCTGTCCTCATCCTCTTCACCGTCTTCACCCGCCTCGCCCTCAGCATCCCCGCCCTTTCGCTTCTTGTTTCCGCTGTCAGCCAGGCCACTCAGTAGCTTTCCCGTTTCAGTTGCAACGCTGTCGACTCTGCTGGTGTAGATCTTGACACATCCGTCTAATGTACAGCTGGCTTTCTGAAAGTTGACGCTGTCGCCTTCCTTGAGCAGACTCATGTCGTGGAAGTAATCAATCAGCGCGAAGTTCCAGCTATTGGTCGCATTGATCTTGTTATCTGTCGCCATCTTCATCCACTCCTCGAAGTTTGCGAGGATTGGGACACGCTTCATGGGCGTGACGTGGTCGCCTCTCACACCGAAGCCGTCATCGTCGTGAGCAGGCGTCGAAGGACCATCCTCGCCGGCGCCCATGGACCTTCGTTTTCGCTGCGGAGTGCCGGCAGCGGCGGCTTTGATCTGGCTCATCTGGCGCGAGTGGAGGGCCTGTCGGGACTGCAGTCGCTTGGCCTTCTCCTGCCTGTCATCGTTTAGCGGGATGGGAACACCTTTGGACGGTGAGCCGTGTGTGGAAGCCAGAGACGCAGCGGACTGGCCGGCGTTGGGACGCACACGAGGCATCCTGTGTGTACGTTTCGAAGTGCGCGCGCGATGAGGGAGAGTTGATCGGGTGAGAGTCGTCCTTCATGCAGACCGCGTTTCACCCGCCGACGCGGAGTAAACAGATAAACAACAAGAAGCTCTCGCTCTCGCATTCGGTCGAAGCCGGCGGGTTCGGGAACTTGGAATCGGGCACGTGAGCTCGTCCCAAGGTTCCAACATCCCTCGTGCGTCATGTGGGGCGGCCAGCGCAACCGAACCTTCGCATTGGAACTTGCCGGGAGAGGAAAACGAGAAGCATTTCCAGTTTCTAGGCACAGCGTCAAGACGCGCGGCTACATCATGTTATGAAATAAGCACGGGGTACCTTAGGCAGTCCACCGCACCGCAGTCACTCACAAGTCACTGACCGCCGCCCTTCTCCCTCCGCGCCATCGCCGCCACGACGCCACGCTGGAAGTGCGCCATACTAAGGGACCTCCTCGCGCTCGAACCCGCAATGCGCACCCACGCCAGCACATATCCTACAATCGCCTTGTTCTCTCCCTTTTACCCTCGACGACAGCATGTGTCGAGACAGTAGTGCTTGCTCACGACCTTCTCGATCGATATGTCTGCATCGCCAAAGCCATTGGCTCGACGGCCGCGATATCGAGCTGCGCGAGCCTTCTACCTAACTCTGTTTATCGGCACATGCCTTGCGACCTACTCGCTCCTGAGCCACACCCACTCTGAGCACTTGCTCCCTCCGACTTCTGCTCTTCATGCTCGGTCTCTCGGTCCGCCCTTGAGCGCCCTCGACGACGATGACCGCTGCCGCTTGGTTCACAGAGCCGAGGACCAATGCGCCTTTGTGCGCCAGAACTGCCCGGACGATGAGGGGGGCTTCACGGCCTACCTGGACCTGTATTACTGCAAGTTGCCCCATTTCAGGGTCGTCGCCTTCATCATCCTCTTCTCCTGGCTCGGCTTGCTCTTCTCAACCATTGGCATTGCAGCTAGCGACTTCTTCTGCATCAACCTGAGCACTATTGCTGGAATTCTGGGCATGAGCGAGAGCATGGCCGGTGTGACATTTCTAGCCTTCGGGAACGGAAGCCCGGACGTCTTCTCGACATTCGCCGCCATGAGCACCCACAGCGGGAGCCTGGCGGTAGGCGAGCTTTTTGGTGCAGCTGGCTTCATCACTGCCGTTGTGGCAGGATCCATGGCTCTGATCCGGCCCTTTGCAGTCGCGAAAAAGAGCTTTATTCGCGACGTTGGGTTCTTCACTGTAGCCGCCGCCTTCAGCATGGTGTTCTTATGGGACGGCAGGCTGCACTTCTGGGAGTGTGCTGCAATGGTCGCATATTATCTTTTCTACGTCGCCTTTGTCGTGGTCTGGCATTGGTGGCTTGGTAGAAGGAGAAGGAGACGGGAGAAGGAAGCTGCAGCGCGTGGACATTTCATCGCGCCTGGGGACGAGAACGAACTGGAAGAGGAACCATATCACGACGACCCAGATGAAGCCCCACGGGGGCCGAGTCTCACAAGAGCTGTATCACAAGAAGACTGGAATGCGTTGGAGAGGGGATCCGCGGAGCCGTATGAGAACGATCAGCACGAAGACTACGAAGAAGAGGCTCGGGATAGATGGATGAGTGAACTCGCAAGCAATATGCGCCTGACGAGACCGACTGCACGGGCTAGGCGGAATACCGTTACGCCTGTCCGGCCTTCGCTTGTTGGTGCTCTGGAGTTCCAAGCCGTGCTCAAGTCACTGCAGAAGTCTAGGAACATCCAAACCATACCGTTGGATTCGCGGCGCTATTCTGATGACCCAACTTATACCACTTTACAACAGCAACAGGAACACTTGTCCACGACGTCGGATCCGGCGGGAATGACCGCATATGAAGTGCATGTCACAGAGGAGGCTGACTCGTCTCACGAACGATCTCATGCTGATATGTTGACGCCATATTCCGCGCCAGCAGGGAGAGTCAGGGCAGTCTCTGCCAACGACGCTGCGGGATTGGGAGTCGATTCTTACTTTCAGAGACTGAGCCCGATACAATCCGAAGACAATTTGATGAATGTGAGAGAGGAAGATGGAGAGAACCAAAGGCGTCGGCCTTTGCTCGATCTCCCTGATTCACGCTCGCCCTCCCTAAGGATTGAACCAGCCACCCCGCGACGGGAAGCTCCAATCAGCGACGTACGCAGTGTGCGTAGTCGTGCTTCGACCGCAAATTCGGGAGATCTGTTAGTCCCTCCGAACGCAGTGCCTTTCAATCGGCCCACCAGCAGCTATCCTTCCTCCACGAGCCAACCACATAGTGAGACTGGCTCCCTCAAAGACACGCCTCGAGCCGTGCCTAGTGCACGCGGGCTACCTAAGATCGTCATACCTAGGCATGAAAGATCTCCCGGATCCTCACGAAGCACTTCGCCTATGCCAGCATATCGCGATTACCCTTCGCCGTCGCTCGCGAGCAGTACTAGATCGCCAGTCAATTCAGGGCCGCCGAGCCTTTCGCCACCTGGACCCTTGGCATCTCCGGAGTCACTTCCCCCGATGCACGCAGCTGAGCAGGAGACGCCTCGCAGACCCACGCGGCTGACGAAGCTCTGGCCGCACAGTATCTTGCCTCCGCCGGGTGTTATAATCGCGACATTACTCCCCACCATCTATCACTGGCATGAGAAGACTTGGTATGAGAAGATACTGGGCATCGTTGCGGCTCCGAGTGTGTTTCTACTCAGTATCACCTTGCCTGTGGTCGAGGGCGAGAAGGACAATCACGAGGACTCCCCCGTGTCCACTCCCGCTAAGAATCTGAGCATGGAGACTGGGCGTTCGAAGAGTAGCGGTGCTTTGCCCACCCTTTCCACCACCACTCCGAAGGCACATGTGTCCGAGCATTGGCTTGCTTCGGACGAGGCGCACCCGCATCATGGGATCGTCACCGATGGTGTGACCGGGAAGGGAAATACCGCGAGTGTCGCTACTCACGCAGAGCAGAATCGACACAATTTCGGCAACAGTGCCCCTCGCACTCCAGTGATCACCCCGGAGCCACAGGGAATGCAGGACTTCCCGGATGGAGCCGACGATAAACTGCCAGAGCTTTGGAATCGGTGGCTCACCATCATCCAACTGTTCTTGGCCCCGAATTTCATAGTCTTTTCGATCTACATCCAGTCTCCTACGGATCTTCCCCCCTCTTGGCTGATTACGCCCATTCTCATCTGCCTGCTGGTGTCGGCGGTGCTGCTGATCCCGTTGCTGTGGACGACGACTCCTACGCATCGGCCGAGTGGCTACCGAACCATCCTCAGCATGGCAGGGTTCGTTGTCTCTATTGCCTGGATTTCTGCAGTTGCCTCTCAGGTTGTGGGCGCCTTGAAGGCCTTGGCGGTCATTCTCAACATGTCGCACGCCATCATGGGACTGACCATCTTCGCGGTGGGGAACTCGTTGGGAGACCTGGTTGCAGACGTGACGGTGGCCAAGCTCGGCTACCCCGTCATGGCGCTCTCCGCATGCTTCGGGGGACCGATGCTGAACATACTGCTTGGGGTGGGCCTCTCCGGCTCGTACATCCTCGTTCGCGGGGCAGAACGGCGGCACGACAAGCACCCCGACAAGGGCATCCGATTCAAGACGTATCACATCGAAGTCAGCAAGACGCTGATTGTCAGCGGGCTCACGCTGCTGGTGACGTTGGTTGGCCTGCTCATCGCAGTGCCTCTGAATCGGTGGGTACTGGACCGCAAGATCGGGTGGTCATTGATTGCGCTGTGGACGATGAGTACCATATTCAACGTCGTGATTGAAGTCACGGGGATCTTGGGAGGTGTTGAATCTTCTTGACATGGCACGCCGCCGATGCCATTGGAGAGAGGCGTTGTGTTGTTCTTCCTGTCGTTTGCGAGAGACTGAGATACCACTTTAGCGAGGGGACGGCGTTCATGGGCAGGCACTATGTAGCACGCGACCTCGGAAGAGGCGCGGATGGAAGAAGGATTGTAATTGTATACAGCAAGCTCCAGCAACCTGTTTCGCTTGCTATTACCTATTGAGTATCTGTCGTTGCCAAACCGCGAGACGTGTGATAGCGTGGGCAGAGGACGAGACGCGCTACAAAAATAGGCTTCAGGGAGGGACCGCCCGAGCCAATCAAAGGTGCCCAGTCACGCCGACTGCTCCTCGGCTGAAACGATGAGCGGACGTCATGTCTTCACGCTTCGACGAGCACCTGCCACCGCACACCGCAGCCAAGCGCCCGATGAAGCGGAAGGCTCGACGGATCCCATGTGTGCACAATGCAGGACCAGATGCGAGGGAGAAAGTCGGGAGGAATCCGTTGGCTGCTCTCCCCGGCCCGGCCCATGCTACGCGCCGCCTGTCGTCGTGCTCTGCACTGAAACGGTTCCTGAGGTGAGGCACAAAGAACCGGACTCCTCCTACCTTTCTGTCTTTCTTTTGTCCGAACAGAACAGACAGCAGACAATCCCTTTCTCCTCGTCAATGCTCTGCTGGCCGAGCATCTCCTTTCTTCTCGCCTCCCTTTGTTAATACACCACCACTTAATACCGCACATTGTGATAAGACATCTGCGCTGGACGCCTGCTCCTCTCTTTCAACCCCCCGGTTTGCTAATACCTCTCTGGAGAGAGACACACACATTGCATAGAGCAGCAATTGCGGGCAATTGCATTCACGACCGAAACGGCCTCTCTCAAAACGCACGGCACACCTCCAGCCACACTCCAAATCCGACCGCTCCCTCCGGCAGAAGCACCCATCATGTCTTTCCAAAATGTCTTCGAGGAGAGAGTGAACGATCAGATGCACGACGACGCCCGGCCGGGCCGCGCGCCACCCGAAGCAGAAGATGTCGAGATGGACATGAAAAAAGGTCGGCCCTTTTCGCAGATGTCATCTCAGGATGTCCCAGGCCACGCCAAGAAAGACCATCCTCCTCCTCCTCGCTTCTCGACTCTATTCGGCTCGGCTCCTGCTCCTGCTCCTGTTCCTGCGTCACCGCCCACCCCTCGCCCATATGTACGAGAATACTATCCCGGCCCCGAGCGGCGCCGAGGAGTCACCATTCCCATGCCGCTCTTCGTCGTCTTTGCCGCTATCCTCTTCTTCGAGAGCACCCTTCTTTTCGCATACACCGTCCTTGGTCTCTACAACAACGCGCCGGCTCGCCTCTTTCCGTGGGCAGGGCAGGGGGGACACGACGTCGCCGCGGCGTGCAACTGCGGCAACAGAGAAGCCGGCGTCAACTTTGCCCCGAATTTCATCATGCCGCAGGGGGCTTCGGCTGCCACTGCCACTGCCATCGTCACGGTCACGGCCACGGCCACGGCCACGGCCACTGTTGAGCCATCCAAAATCTTCTCATCGAGCAGTTCCAGTAGTGCCTCGTCGACCTCTTCGAGCAGCACAAGCGTGACCACGAGCTCTGCCTCTACATCAACCTCGACGGACGCTGCCGCCGCCGCGTCGCAAGTCGCTGGAATCCTGGGTGGGATTGCTACTACATCGGAAACCGCTGGCACCGCGACAGCCACCACGGAGAGTGCCCAACGGAGCACCGCGACCAGTGTGAAGCTCATCACGGTCACTCCTCCCGCCCCTTCATCGAGTCCTCTCCCCACCGTCACCGCGACGACCTGGGTCGATCCTGGATCATCTTCTTCATCATATTCATCAGCATCTTCTCCATCATCTTCTCCATCATCTTCTCCATCATCTTCTTCAGCATCTTCTTCGTCATCTTCTTCGACATCGGACTCCAGCGACGCCGGTAAGGGTTCAACTTAATCGCTTCGACTCTCACTGACTTTTCAAAGCAGCTTGGGCAAGCGTCTCTTCTGCACTGGCAGAAGCCGAGGCGAAATTGACTCCTTCGCCAATTCCTGTGACGACATCGGTGTCTTCCTCCAGCGCTGCGTCGCCGACGACGACTACAGAAGCGCCTGCCGCGTCAAGTGTAAGTTGATCTGCTCCGAAAGGCCAGCCATCTACTATTCCGGAAGAAAACACGCCCTCCGTGCAGCTTCAACGTTTGGGAATCGAACACATGATAGTGTAATCTAGAACACGGTACATGACTCTCAACAAGCAAATGTAATATGTGAGGGAGAACTTCGTCCTGCTTGAATTCCTTTTTTTTTGTTTTTTGCTTCCTTCGCCTGCCAGTCCGCCTGCTTGCCACCCAGATGGAAAAAGAGCAAGTATGCGATGTGATGCGATGCGACGCGATGCGATGTGCTATGCTGACGAACCGTGCCCACCTGCAGGCCCCAGAAAGTACGACGACGACTCCCCCTCCGCCGTCGATCAAGACGCACACGAAATGTTCCTCTTTCAATTGGCTCGTCGGCAATGTCTGTCTGTGAAGATGAACGAAGGGCGCGCTCTGTCGTGGGGCCCCCTCGAGAGCCCTTCGAAAAGCGGCGGAGGGAATTGGATTCCTAGGGAATCCTAGGAGGGCGTGTGCATGTGCATGTGCATGTGCGTGGCCCGTCCGAAGCCCGAGTCCGGAGTTAGTTCCCCTGCGCATGGGATATGTTTCGCTTGCCTTGCTTGTCGGAAATATTCATCGATGACTGACGGGACGGACGGACGGACGGACGGACGGACTGCGAGGCATCTTGTGCACATTCTGCGGGAGTGTAGTCGTAGTCCGTCGTAGATATCGAGCTTTCTGAGAACCAATTTGATGGTCACAAGTAATCGTACATCTCAACTCGGACTGTCCGTCCTCTAGATGAAAGGATTCGTCAGAACGATCAAAAGCGCCTCAGGCCGTCCGTCTCAGCCCGGGCACTTCTGGAATTAATTCAACAAGTACATTCATTCATTCATTCACCTGTCCCACCTACCATCAGAGTGGTTTCTCATGGATCCCAACATGTCACATGCAAGGCATACTCAAAAAAAAAACCCCCCAGCAAGATTTTGGACTCGTCTGTCTGCTTCCATCCAGCCCATGCCATTTCGAAATACCAACATTCGGGATCACAAGTCAGATTTCTGCGTATTTCAATCCGAGGTGTGCCTTGGGAAGTGTCGGAAAGGTAGGGTCGCGTTCGTCGACAGTTTTGCAACCGGCTCACTTTTAGCACATGTCTCCGTCGCCCTGCGCGCTCACTCCCACATGCCGCTGCCAGCTTTGAGCTTCATCACCACGCAGCAACCTCAGAGCTCAGAGAGCACATGCTCATTATATGCCATGACTCCGTTCTAGTCAAGTCACGCCGCGTTTTCCTTCTCAACAACGCCTTCCACCACCGACACCTTGATCGAACCTCGATCAACACCAAGGTGACTCACCACCAAAGATCTTGAGTCTGTGGGTGGCTACCGGGGCCACCTCAAGCAACGAGACCACCACTACCGGCGATAACCCACCGGATCCCGAAGCCATGGACGAAGTGCGCAGCCTGCTCGTCCGCAATGCAGAGCTCCAGACCGAGCTCCGGCTGGTCAGAGAACAACTCTCTCAGGCCAACAACGCGAACACGTACATCCTCCAACGGCTCAGCAGCATCGGTGAGGACGGAGAGAACGATGAGCATCGGGAGGAATCTCAATTCCGAAACTTGCTTGCACTCACTCGTTCACGTCGATCTGTGGGTTTCAAGAAGATCCGCACCGGATCCGCTGCACGTGGGTTGGAGAGGAAGAGCAAGACCACGGGAGAGGTTGCTGGAAGCAGGAGCCGAGCATATGCTGAGAGCTCGGGCAGTGAGGACGAAGATCTACTTAGCTTCGATGAAGTCCACCGAGAGGACAGCTCCGTGGCGGATGTAGACGACGCGCCCATCTCGAAGCAGGCTTCCATCCTCGACGACTTCACGGCCGAAGATCTGTTGCATGGCGAGTCTAGTGGCGGCCATACCCAATCTGCTCAGCCTGTCGTAAGCCAGACTGTGTCCTCCGGAAAACTGACACAGCCTTTCGCGTCTATCCATCACGCCCCACAAGCTCCACGAAATCATGGAAACAGAAGGGAGGCTCAGAACATGTGGAGCTTTGGGAGACCGGTTGGCGAGGCGGAGCAAGATTCAGCCTGGATTGAGATACCGCCGTGGGTCCAACAGCGCCATCAGGGATTCAATTTCACCCATCCAGACGGCACCAGCATTCGCACCGCGGGCGCTCCACCATTGACTGATGCACCTCCCGCATACGTCCCCCCACAGCCTTCGCGCCCATTTGCTGTCCGAGAGCACAACCACCTCATGGGTCTCGCAACCTTCATCGAAGATATGGACGCAGAACAACAGGCGCAGAAGTGGGTGGAAATCGCACAGGAATTCTCCCAGCGTACTGCGGCGGAGTATGAAGCATACTACAAAGAGACAGTGCGCCCAAAGTATCTGGAAAACATGCAGCAGCGACAAGCCAAGGCGAGCCTTGAGAACCCTTTCACCTCCACTTCGGCGGTGCAGACATCTTCTACCGAGCATGTTCAGCAGCCTCGAATCGAAGATTCCAGAGATGCCGACGTGTCATTTGCTTCTACGATTGCGGTTGGTCCTGAATCAAGCTCCCAAGATTGTGTCGCTGGCAGCCAGTGCACAAGCCAAGAAGCATTGGCGTGTGAAAGTCCCCTTCTCGCCTCGCAGGGAACCATTGTGGGAGGCGGACTTGAGCGATGCTCTGGAACAATTGAAACACAGGTCGCGCCAGTCAATGATCTCGTCCAGCCATCGTTTGTTGGTGTCATTGGTAAACTGACCACTAAGGGTGGGCCAGTACAGCCGGGCCACAAGATCCAGAACGATGGAGACAATCGTCAAGCGGCGTCCGTGGAGACGGGCACAACAAGCTCCATATCAGCTTGGAAGTCTTTTGCGTCTGGCAAGAGCAATCTGGCCGACCGGCGGGACTCAGTCCATCCACAACGACTTCCATCGTCCCAAGTCGAGCCTGCGACATCCAAGAGCGGCCTTGCGGCATCCATTCACGCGGACCAGCAAATCGATATTCGAGGCGCGGCTGACATTGGAGAAGCGAGAACCTGCGCGGGCGAAAGCAGAGCATCTGCCACTGCACCACTGCAAGCGGACACGCATCACGAGGCTCATCTCGACATTGAGAGGTTGCAGCGGATCCCAGGGTATCGCGGTACGAGAGCCAACTTTCCACTTCGTGGGCCATATCCAGATGGTCCTCGGGGTGGATCTCACGAGCATCGTGAGTGGAGAAGGGGACCTCGCTTCGGGCCTCAGTCTTTCGAGCATATACAGGAACCTCGCACCTTTCCCGTCGACGAGACCGAGCTCTTTGCTCATTCGGACGATCCGCGCACCCGGCGAACAGTACTCATTACCAACATCCCGATCAACATTACCCTGTCCGATGTCCTGGACAAAGTCAAAGGTGGCAAGATTCTTTCCGCACACTACGCCGCAACTGCCGGAATGCGGACTCAACCATACATGGAGACTAATTCCGTCCTGGTGGTCTTCCTAGTCGGTCGCGATGCTGCCGATTTCGTGCGATACAGCAACGAGAAAAAGTTCTTGTTTTTCTACTCCAAGAAATGGGAAGCGCCGTTCAAGGCTACCGCCACGATTCTCGACTCGCCGTCTCGGCCAATTTCCCTTGCTGTGCAGCGAGATATCGGAGTGACGCGAGTCGTGTTCCTCCATGGAGTTCCGCCGCAGGTGAGTGACCAAGAACTAGTGGACGAATTGGCACTGCGACATCCGAATGTGAAGAAGCCTCTCAAGTCAGGGCTCGACGAGGACGGAATCATGTTCTTTGAGTTTGCAAGTATGAACGATGCAAGCGCGGCATGGAAAGCACTGGGAATCTATTTCAATGGCAGTGTTAACAGAGGTTTCCTGCGTGATCCCTGCGACATGCCGTTGGATTGTATCCCGAACGCCGTCTATGGTGAGGAGGACGAAACAGACCAGGAATCTGAGGCGGCAGATGACATGGAGGAACCGAAGAATGGCGAATCGGAGGGTCCAAGTGAGATGAAGTCGCCATTCCAGAGGTCGGAGGCTGAGGAGACGGCCATGATGCTCGAGGGCTGATTTCCAGCGCAGTCCCATTAAGGTCTTGCCTTGCTGATTTCCACAATATTTCAGAACAACCAATACATGTATTATTGTTAGAGAGTGTTCTAAATGCAGATTTAGGTGTATTCGGCAATGGGTAGCTATACACACGCCTTCGAAAGACCGAGAGGCACGTTGAGCTGCTGTACCTTTGAAATTTTTTGTCCCGTCTAGTGTAGTCTTTTCCGAGCATGGTCCTAGCAGTGCGAATGGACTCCCGGCTCCGTCGAATTCAGAACCATTGTATGCTATTCGCGAGGGTGTGTCGCTACTGAGTGTTCTCCGACTTGCATTCAGCCCACTCAATGCCTGTCTAAAGCTCAAGCCAGACTGCTCGCTTGCGCTGCAGTTGAATGCGTCTGAGAGGAGCACACTAGGATTCCCACATCAAATTGACCGAACTCTTTCGGGTGCTGTTTGGGGCTCCAGCATGTTCGCACAGTGATACTCTCTCCGGTTGTTGCGTGTTGGTGTCTGATGCTTTCCCGCTCGCTCTGGTAATCTCTACTAGGATTCTGACCGTCATCAGTGCTCGAGGTGGCCTAGTTTTCACCCTGCAAGCTGCCACGTTGAAAAGAGCCTCCAACAGTCTGTCGTTCGTATGCCGAGTCCAAGAAGCATGATTAATCATCGTTTGTCGAACTTGCTCTTTCGCGCATCATTGCTGCCGCTCGCAGACTTATCGGCAGTGCTTGAAATAGCGGGCTTAGACGCCGGGACAAAATCTAGCTCCCTCCTCTGGGCCAGCCTCTTCTTCTCGTTCCTCTCATTCTGCCGAAGCAAATTCTCCGCATAGCTTTGATCGGGCCATGCCGATGGCACTGCAATACCCTCAGGCAACGCGCTCTTGTAGCTGTCCAAAGTGCTGATTGCTGCAAAGTCCATGAGCTTGGGAAGCAGGCTTGGATTACGCAGAGATGACGAGGACTGCAACCGCTCGTTGAAATGAATTCCTTGCTTTTTGAGATCGAGAAAGTGCTCGAATTTCTTCGTGGTAGCTGCCAGAGCAGCGGCTTTTTCGCTATTTCTGGGCGGAGGAGGTGGGGAATCAGGAATGTCGAAGTTGGGGACGGTGGGCATGGTTAGCTCGCGTAGCCGCTGGCGCTCGAACGTGTAGGGCGAGAGGCGAGGCGCGTCAATATTAAGGTCCTCTTGGACGGCGACGTTGAACTCGGTTGTCGGTCTAGCTGGACCTGGAGCTGGGCCCAAGTCTTGATTCGATATCGAAGCCTCCGGCACGGATGGGCTTGGGGCTGGGTCAAGTCAGTTCGAGAGTAACCCTACAACAATGATTGTACGGATGAAGTACCAGACTCCTTGCTGGCCTCATTCGTCTTCTCAGTGGTCCCAGTCTTTGGTATCTGGCCGTCTCTACAATTAGTAGACATCCACACTTCCCAGTCTGGAGCATATAGCAGTCGCCTACCTTGGATGGCTTTTTTGGTCGCACATCGTCTTCCTCTTCACTGCTATCGTAACCTATGAGCGAGTTCATCTTGCAGTCGTCCGAATTGTTGGGAGTCGCTAATGTGGTGCAGTGTAGATTTGCATGTGAAGTCGAGGAGCGATGTTTCGGGCGTCGGCGTTTCTTTTCTCCGGTGACGCGCTGCAGCTTGTCGCCTTGCGAGCTGCATCGAACGCTCCAACATCCACCAACATCACAACTTCACTCACCATTCGACACCACATCGTCGCTGATACCCCCGAAGCTAGCATTTGCTGCAAGAGTCAAGCCGTCTTCGAATCTCAACAGCCACCTCGCATACACGTCCCGCCGCACGCGACCATGAACCACTTCCCAGTGGCCTGGGGCAGAGTAAGAGCTCCCTTGCAAACATCACATGCTAGTACACTACAAGACCTCTAACCACAATCATCACACAGCCCCGCGACGACGTCTACGGCCGCTACGATACCTCCTACCTTCCGCAGTCGCACGGCGGCACCCAACAACCCATCTCACACACCCAGTCGCCCATCGTCACCGGTACCTCCGTCATCGCCATCAAGTTCAAGTCTGGCGTCGTCATTGCTGCAGATAACCTGGCCTCGTATGGCTCTCTCGCACGCTTCACCGACGTCAAGCGCCTCAAGCCTTTCAATCGCAAGTCGCTCGTAGGATTCGGCGGCGATGTATCGGACATGCAGTACATCGACCGCCTGCTCAAATCGCTTGACGTGGAGGAGAACTACTCATCAGGCAGCCACACGGCGGAAGAGAGCGACAACGATCCGGCGATGCTGAGTGCGAAGAATCTTCACACATATCTCAGCAAGGTCATGTACAAGCGGCGGAGCGACTTCAACCCGCTGTGGAATGCCCTGTTGGTCGCCGGTCTGGACGAGAAGAACCGGCCATTCCTTGCCTCGGCCGATCTTCTCGGAACAACATTCAGTGCACCAACGTTGGCGACGGGCTTCGGTGCACATCTGGCGCAGCCGATCCTGCGCCGCAAGGTGCCAGACGAGGCCGCCTCGCAACAGCTTGACCGGGAGACTGCGGTACAGGCCGTCAAGGACTGTATGAAAGTCCTTTTCTACAGAGATGCACGAAGCATGAACGAGTACAGTATCGCCGTCATCGACGAGAAGGGCGTTGACCTTAAGGAGGACGAGAAGCTGGAGAACCAAAGCTGGGACTTCGCCGACAAGATCAAAGGCTATGGCACGCAGACAGTATAAGAGCAGGTTGGACTGTACGAAGTATGTTGTAGCGAAGAATCGAGATCGGCGACACGGATCGTCTGTATTATACCCCATCTCCTGGTTGATGTACATGATGTGACTTTGTCGATAGGCTTGATTTCATTCACTCCTGCGAAGCCGCAAAAAGCCCAGGAGTGCTATGAAACACTCTGTCTATCCACTGGCTTCTTCTGCGGACGCTTCAAGTCATATAGCCAAATCTGCCCAGTATCAGAGCATCCTGGACTTCGACTCCCGGATGCATATGTTGACATCTCTTATGGGCATTTCGAAGCAGCCGCGACGCTGGTCGCAGTTCAAGTGTCTGTTGAATTTCCCCGGCAACTTGCTTCGAATCGCAGTTTTTGCTTATCTACAGTTCTCGCTGCACTTTCGACCCACAAGGTGAAGACATGCCCAATGACCGGTATTGACCAAACCAAACGAAAAGCTCAGCTTCATCACAGCGCAATTGACTTCTCACTGGGACCGGTATACATGCTCTAGATGACAGCCACACATGTCATGTTCGTGTTTCATCGCTCGGTTGGAAATATATAGTATGGCCGGTATAAACAACGACGGTGCAAGAGCTGGTTGCATGAGCCGCAGATGGACCAAGAATGCCTCTGATGCGAATATTCCTGAGTACTGTATCTATGCACCTCTACCGAAAATGCCGTCCTAAGTCATGCCATCCACTACACTATGCTATGCCATGCCATGCTATGCTATCCTATGCTGTGCTGTGCTCCATCGCCATGCACAAAAGTAACATCAGGGATCCCCGACGTCTTGCAAAATCTTCGGATACCTCGCCCTTGCAACCTGGGGCAAGACCCTCAGCACCTCCTTCACCCTCTGCTTATCATAAGGCAAATTCTCCGCCTTGATGCTCTGCAGAATGTAGCTCGCAACGGTCGTCATGACCAATGGAGGATCCTTCAGCAGGGCAGCAACTTCGTCCATAGTATGTCCTTGATCGTGCCAAAGATGCCACGCGCGTAGTTCCCGCGGCCGACCAACGACATTGTAGTCGGGTGGTAGGGAACTTCGCCACCTTTCCACCCAAGCATCGGCGAGTCGAGTTTGTTCGGTGTCTGGTCGAGTGAACTTAGAAGGTGCTGTCGTTATCCCTTCAAGTTGGCAGGAGACTCGGGCGCCATCTGAACTCGATGCGTCGCGCTCGTTATTTGTCTGCGGTGCGGTCATGAGATTCACGTCAGGGGACGAATCTAACTTCGGAAGCTCTGGATAGGCGACCCGCCCCGAGACAGCTGGCTGAGCGTCACCAGCAGATGATCCTGCTAGGAAATTTGAAGGGCTGACAGCCGGTGTAGTAATCTCGTAAGGATCCGGCTCCTCCACAGCATCAAAGAACTCTTCGTCCTCCTCGACTTCCTCCTCTGCGGCTGCAGTGATTTCAGGCGTGGCAGTGTTTTCCCGGGCCAGCCACTCTGCTTTGCTTCTACCTTTATAAATCTTGTTGCCATTTCCCAGTACCATCGGCTGATTCAATTCAGAGAATGCAGGACGAGATGGCGGAGGTGACATGCCAATACGCTCATTGTCCAGCTTGTAGTACAACTGGAATCCAGCATACGCATCAGAGGCCGCGTAGTCTGTTTGCTGCGTGTTCAGTCGATGAGACCATGCGCTTGTGCGTGTCGAGTCTTTCTTCAGTGGCAGAAGAAGTACGCCCTCGACCTGCTTGGCCAGAGACACCAGCCCGAAGTTGACCTTTTGTGGTTCCGTGGCAGAAAGCTTGACTATCTTAAAAAGATGGCTGAGCTCAAACACACCCTGCATGTCCACATTCATGCAGGCTTTCAGACGTCTTGCGTCGCCTCCAACGTTGACGCCGCACTTGGCGATGCTCGGAGATTCCAGTATCTGTCGTAGAGTGGGAGGCAGGAGCTCATCCACGCTGGTGCCTTTGAACAGCGCGACCTGAAAGAGCCCGATCTTATCCTCGGATGCAAGTTGGATCAAAGAGATATTCTGCTTGATGTCGATTGGTGTTCTCTTCAAGCTAGCGCCCATCTCCCATTCAAGGTCGAACCCCAGGACCGGTTCGTCAAGGAACAGCTTGGCGCGCTCTTCTGCCTTGGCGAAGTCCGTGCAGTAGTACACAGACGGTTTCTTTCCTTCTTTGCCTTTGTATAGATTGTACGACCAGAAAGCTGCGTTGGAGTTCGTTGAGGCCATGACGGCAGAGCGATAGTCTCTGGCGGGGATTTGATACTCCAGTTCCTTGATTTGACCTCCCGCGGCGGCACCATTGGGCTCCGACGCTGCTTCAGACTCTTCAGCTTGAACGTTGCTGTCTGATGTAATCTTGTCCATTGTCTCAGTGTTGCGATCAGAAGCTCCATCACATGTTTGTTGGGAGGGTACGCTTCCTGTGGAGCAATGGTGCGCATCGGCCAGGCACAATGACTCCATCTCGCTGTGGAGCGCACTCGCATCGTGAGCGGCATCGCCATCTCGAGGCGTGGCTGTGGATCGCAACATGGCCGTCACGGAGCTCAAAGGCTTCTGGTGTGTAGCAGCCACGAGTGAAGGGCGAGGAATTCCGCTGCGCGTGTCGCGTTCCGCAAGACAGAGTCCGCCGAAGTCGGGCGATGAGTGAAAAGCTCTTCGAGCCTCTGTCGGGTGCAGATTCAAGCCCGGCTTACGTTCATCAATTGCGTGAGAGAGCGAACTTCGTAGGCCTTCCATGGTGGGTGATGCAGGTGTTTGTGATCGGGCCTGTCGGAGTCTCAGGCGCATACTGATTGGCCGAACGCGGCGGACGACCCTCGTTTCATCTGGCGGGCTGCTCTCCGTCATTGACGGCTGTGAAGCGGACTCTCCAGATGCAGTGCCAGACACACTGCTTTGACTGCTTTGACTGCTTTGACTGCTTTGACTGCCTGGAGTCGCGTGTTTCGTCGCTTTTTGAATCTTGGCTTGGCAGCTGTTGATCTGGTGTCGCACTACTCGCAATCGTTTCTCACGCACCGGCGACTCGGACAGCAGCATTGATTCGGCGGCCTTCAGGTCCTCCAACGTCTTGTGCCATTGCGCGAGCTTCCTTTGGTCGGAGGAAGATTCGTTAGCTGATTGCTTCGTCCGAATCATCCAGCCGGCGCGCTGTGCAGGAAGTTTGGCAAGTGAAGCCCGAGCCGCAGCCGCCGCCGCCTGGCGCGCGACTCTCCCTGCCCTGAGGGTAGATGAACCACCTACGCTGTCCAGCGCAGCCTCGAAGGCCTGCCTGTGGGAATCCATTTTTTTGCGAATGAACAGGTTATACTTCCCGGTTTCTCGCGGGCTCAGCTTCCCGAGGTCCTGCTGCACAAGAGCTCTCTTCCTGATCACGTCCGCATATTGCTTCAATGCTTCACGTGCCGCACTGTCGTTCTTCTGGTGCTCGAGACGGAACGCGTACCCTTTGTCTTTCATGTTGCCTTCTTCGATGATATTCAAGGCGCGACTAGCCGCTCTCGCCCTCTTGCGGTCCAAGTCCAACGTTTCCATGTGGACACGCTTCTCCACCGGTGAATCATGCAGCAGCGTCTCCCAAGCTCGGTAATCGCGCAAGTGTTCGAAAAGCTCAGCAAGCTGTCTGATTACGAACTTGGAATCGTTCAGCCTCGAGAGGGTCTTCTGCAACTGGAGCATCTCCGTGCCCGAAGCCTTGGCCAGCTTCGTGCGAATGTCGTGTGCGCGACGATCGACCTCTACCTGCCGTTCCCTGAGCGGATACACTTTCGCATATTGTTCTGTGAGGTATGTCGAGGTAAAAGAGGTGCCGATTTCACGCCAGTGGTGGTGTCTCGAAAGTTCTCGTGACTTGTGCGCAGATTCTGAAAGAATCTCGCCTTGTTCGTACGTCTGTCGTCTAAGACCTGTCACATGTTGCTCTGCATCCTTGTACTCATCAGCCTTCCCTTGCAAGTATTCTAAGACGGACGCCCTCAGGGCTGAGTATTCCCTGCTTTGGTGGAAGAAGAGTAGCGCCTTCGAATTTCGGAAGGCATCTTTAGACTCGCTCCAGAGATTACGGCCCCTGGCAAATTCGTTGCCCAAGTCCAGAACCAGGCCTGCGAGCTGATGCCGCTCGTCTTTCAAGGTCGCCCACAGCTCACGGTAAGCCGAGTAATTGGCGCGATGTTTGTCGCCACGCTCTCTTCTTCGATCGAGCTCCCCCTCCAGGACTCCGTTCTTCTCTTCAAGTGAGTCGGCACGCTTTGCTTCGGACAGAAGCTTTGTAGAGACTTCACTAAGCTCAACGCTCATGTCCGTAAGCTTGCGATCTCTCATATCGATCGTGGCCCTCGTGTTCCTCAGGCTCTCTTGGAGGTCCTCGATCTCCGGCCTCAAAGCGTTCCTTGTAGCTGTTTGACCCGCGATGTAGCCTTCGCGTCGCACCGAACTCAGCACTTCTTTGTTCTGCCTTCTTTCCGGATTAGATTCGAGCGCTATGCGTGCCACGTCCACCTCATATCTCCGTTTTGCTTCCAGTATTTCATCTTTGACTCTGCGTTGTCCCTCTTTCCGCTCTCGCTCCAATCCTTTCTCTTTCAGCTCCAATGCTGCCTCTCTGCTATCGAGATCAACTTTTAATCGCTGGATTTCCCGATCAGCCCTTCCTTGTTCATCCTCAACCCGACTCTGTAGCTTTGCCAGCGAATGTTCATAGTCTGCCCTTTCCTGGGCCCACTGATTTTCCTTCCCCTCTTGTGATGCTCTCAACTCCTTCTCCCCCTTCTTCAATTCCTCAATCTTCGCGTCGCTCAATCTCAGCTTATTCTCCAAGTCTGCCCTCTGAGACTTCAGCGTCTGAACTTCTCTCGTGTCTGATCCGCCGAATCCCACAGACGCGTGCGCGTTGTCCAGAAAGCTTGAGCCTCCACCCCCGATACCAGGCGGCGGTGCCACGGGCTTGCCGATCTTTCGGGTTGCATATGCTCTGGCCATGCCATGAGGGCACGCAAAGACTATGCCATTTCTGATATTACTGGTGTGGTCCCGTTTCGTCGTACGATTTGCGGTGTGGAAGGTGATGCCCCGTGATTGATCCCACCGGTGGTCTATTGCGCGTCTAGAAGGTCGGCGTATCTGCTCGGTTGCGATTACGATGGGGGAAGACTCCATCGCCGCCGCCAGCGCCAGACCTCCTCCGGCTCGAACTCTGCTCGCTGGGGACACGTGTGGATGTGGCATTCCCATTCAGCCATTGCCGCCTACCAGCGACCGTCGGTCTGATATATCCTTTCGGCGTAGAAGGTGAATCCGCTAAAGATGGTCTGGAGGGTCCCGTTTCGAGGTGTTATTCAAGGCGGCAAACGGGAGGACCCGCTTTAAGGTTGGTGTGCATGAACTCCAGCCTAGTTTGGCCGACTTCCACTCGCATGAGATGAACGTGCAACGACATTGACAGACTAAAATCAATTCGAATCGTTGCACTGTCGCCACCATGTCGAATCAACTGCTTCCCCTCGAGCTGATCGACAAATGTGTCGGCTCGCCAATACAGGTGATCATGAAGGGCGACAAAGGTTTGTCTAGCAAGGAACTCGTTGTGCCGTGCAAAACAGAGCGACTAATTCTGACGGCAGAATTCAGAGGCATCCTTCAAGGCTTCGATGACTTCGTCAGTATGTTGAGCTCCTCCGCATGAATTGTCTTTGAAACTCCCTCTGACCGGCTACTAGACATGGTCCTCGAGGATGTCACCGAGATGTATGTCCTAATCTGAAGCAATGGGCCAGAATGCTGTACTCACACACACTGCTCTAGCGACTATACATCCGGCAACACAAAGCTTCCGAAGATTCTCCTCAACGGCAACAACGTCTGCATGGTACTTAAGCGGCCGTTCATGAAAGTTTTCAGCGGCAGTAGCTAACGGAACGTAGCTCATTCCTGGAGGCCTACCAGACGACCAGTGAGGATACGTGGGAGACCTCAGCAAGCGTGAGCGAACGAGGCGGGAAAGAATTCCCTTAGTGCCTCCTATTTCCACATCAGAGCGACAGTGAGCTTCGCCTGGCAGCGAAATTGAAGGAGACGGGAGACGCTCCACAAACACAGACGGGAGCGAAACATCCACGAGTGCAGTACTCAAGATTTTGCAACAGCGCAAGCACGCCGCCGCGTTGAAATAGATATCGAGAGGCCATGGGGGCAATGTAGCATGCCATCAGCCGAGAAGAATGATCCGTGGGCGCTCCGCAATCCTCCAACCTCTTTGTACGATTCTACAGTTTCGTGTTCTGGCTTGGAATATCACCAGTCCTGTCTCTATTGCATGTATCTCCGCACAGGCGTGACAGGCTCATATTGAGACGCTGAAGCAAGACTTCTGTCACAGTCGGAGGAACTCGCTCCCTTGACAGAAGTCGAGGCCGCATTCGCATTGAGCACAGACTTTCCGCGCTCACTACCGGAGCGACTTCTCTCCCTTCTTGCCCGCCATCTCTCACTTGCACCTTTTCACTGACACGTTCGGCAGAAATGCTGGACCGCTTCGCATTGTCGCTTCATGCCTCGCTTCTGCCAAAGGCAATGGCCGTGGCCTCACTATTCGTCCGTCTCCCAGTGGCCGGTCTGTTGCGATCTTCAGCTGTCTATAAGTAAAGATCGATGCCGCATGATGTGTTAACCTATCCACCCTCACCCACATCGCAACCTTATCCGTCGATTGACTGTTGCTTCGATTTCAAGATCAGATTTCTTAAAGGAGAAGTTTAACCCATCAGCAACCTGGACACATCACCATGGCTTCTAGCAACACGCAAACCATCGCCTTCTTCGGCGCTACCGGCGACTGTGCAGGCTACTGCCTCGCCGCGGCCTTGAAAGCTGGCTACGACTGTATCGCGCTCGCCAGGACTCCGGCCAAGCTTATAGCATCGCAGAATGCTAAAGGCGTCTCCCCACAGGCATTGGACTCCCATCTCACCATCATAGAGGGCAACGTAAAGGATGTCGCAGCGGTCAAGCGTACTCTGGTGTGCAACGACAAAATGGTAGACCATATCGTCAGCGGAATCGGCGGCACACCAGCATTACAATGGAGTTATCGGCGACCTGTCACCTTGACCGACACCACAATCTGCCAGGATGCTGGGCGCGTGATCCTGCAAGGCGCAACAGAAGTCTCCCGCGAGACGAAGGCATTGAAAAAGCCCGGCTTCATCAATATCTCAACTACCGGGATCTCGCCACCGGAAGTACCGCGAGACATTCCCTTCTTGTACATCCCATTCTACCGCTGGGCACTCCACGTGCCACATGTGGACAAGGCCGTACTGGAGGAACAACTACGCGAATACGTGCAACTGCCGGAGAATGAGAAAGGGCTCAGCGGATTTGTCAACGTCAAGCCCTCGCTTCTTATGGATGGGCAGGGCAGAGGTCTTCAGGCGATCCGAGCCGGACCAGATGAGAAGCCTGCCGTAGGCTATACAATCCAGAGGAAGGATGTGGGAGATTTCATGTTCGAGAGATTGGTGAAGGGAGAAGTGCCGTCAGAGTGGCGGAATAAGAGCGTGAGCATCGCGTATTAGGCAGAGATTCCCGCGAAAGGATATGATAAAGACTTTTGTATGCTTCCGCTTTCGTCTTCAGCGCTCAAATTATCGGTTTGTTGGAACTAGTTTGCTATTGTTCTCTCACGCCCACTCCGTTCGTTCATCTGAAAGCCGCCCCACATCCCCCGCGAAACCAAACTCTCTTCCTTTCAACCTCAACCTCACTTCATCCGCCAACCACATCCCCCAAAACATCACATCACGAATCACCATGGGCAAATACTCCGAATCTCCAGAATGGGCCGACGTCACACCCGTGCCCACCGATGAGGGCGGTCCCAACCCGCTCGCGGCAATCGCCTACAGCGACGAATACGGCGAAACCATGTCCTACCTCCGCGCTCTCATGGCAGCCAACGAATACTCCGAACGAGCCCTCTCTCTGACCGAAGACCTCATCTCCATGAACCCAGCCCACTACACCGTCTGGCTGTACCGCGCCAAGACCCTCTTCGAGCTCAACGCCGATCTCGAGCAGGAGCTGGAGTGGTTGAACGAGAAGGCACTGGCGCACCAGAAGAACTACCAGATCTGGCATCACCGGAACCTGTTGATCGAAAGGATTGGGAAATGCGACGGAGAGGGGGAATTCGTGGAGAGGATGTTGGAACTGGACAGTAAGAATTATCACGTGTGGAGTTATCGACAGTGGCTGGTGAGGAGATTTGGCTTGTGGGAGGGAGAGAAAGGGGAAGAATTGGAATTCACGGAGAGGGTTCTGGTGCGAGACGTGAGGAACAATAGTGCGTGGAATCATCGGTGGTACATCATCAACGGTCGCGAAGGGTCGCCCGGAGTCCAAGACGAGAAGGTCCGGGATAGGGAGGTGGATTTCGCTACGAAGGCTATTGCCAAAGCACCGCAGAACCCGAGTCCATGGACCTATCTTCGCGGCATCTTCAAGAAGGTCGGTATTCCCATGACAAGTCTGAAGGTCCTCGCGGAGGAGTACGCGGATCTGAGCAAGGTGGATGATGGCGGGGTCCGGTCAAGCCACGCGCTGGATCTGTTGGCGGACATCTGGGCAGAAGAGAAGGAAGCGGAGAAGGCGAGCGAGGCATTGGATCTGTTGAGTAAGCGATACGATCCCATCCGAAGGAATTACTGGGAGTTTAGGAAAGGGCTGCTTGGCCTGGAGCGCGCGAGTGCTGCCGCTTGAGCGTTGGGCACATCATTGGACAGTTCACGGACGGCGTTATCGGCGTCTTGGGACAGGTACAGAGGAAAGATACCCCATGGTCGTTGACTCTAAAATAGATCGCAATCACTGCCTTGAGAGAGAGAGGCTAGCATTTGCAAACATTGGTGCAGTTTCACCAGCGGCTGCTCGATTTCCAAAACCCCGAACAGCACAGCAGTCTCTCTAGCCTGTGCTCGCTCGCTCAATTTCACTTCCACCCAGATCCACACCCACATCCCTCAAAAGTCAAAAGTCCAAACTCTCCGCTCGGTCCGACGACATGTCAATTCTCTTGGGCATGCACGCAGAGCCTGTCATCCGCGTAAGGGGCACCGACATTGAAACGGGGGCGGCTTTGGGCGGCAATCGATACAATAATAATAACAAGCGCACAGGAGGAAATCGAACAAGGCCCCAACCAACCAACCAACCAGAGAGGAACTTTTTTCCCTGTTTGGACTTGCTCTTGATCCAGATCGAGGAGGCTTTTTTCTTTTCTTCTGATTTTACGCGCGTAGTTATACCCGACGAATGAAGCCTGAACCCAGTCTGTATTGTCTCGATGGGGGCGCGTTCAAATTGTCATGTCCCTTCTCCATGTAGGTACCGCGTTGCTGGGCCCCACACACGTACCTCTCCGTCTGGGGTAGGGGAAGGCCCTGGCGAAGTTAATAATGAAGCACAGTCGAGTCGAGACGGGACAGACGAGAAAGGGCAAGCAAGCTCGGGGGGGGGCGTCGGGCTGCTGTCCGAGAAATCCATGCTGTCGAAAGAGAGCGAGAGAGAGAGAGAGAGAGGAGAGTACAGCCCAATTCTACAGATATCTCTGCTTTCCCCCGGGATACTTCTCCTCGCTAAAGTGGACCCAACAACACAAGGTGTCTAGGATCCTAGGTAAATCAACGATCCCAGGATGTAGGTATTTCTTTTAACATCTCATCTCCCGAAGAGAAGAGGAGGAGGAGGAGGACCAGGTATTATCTATGTTTTCGTCGTTCCCTGAAAAGAAACCCCTCCGTAGTCCAGGCGCGACGCGACTCGAACTCGACTCGAGTCTCATCTGGGAGGGGAGAGAGTCGTCGTTTCACGAGACGACAATCAGTCACAAAGGTAGTAATAGGCCAATGCGATGCGACACCTAGTAAGTAGAGAGTTTGAAGTGACAGGTACCTGCCACTTGCCACTTGCCACGTGCCAGTGCTTCCACTTCCATAACAGACAGCAGGCAGGCACTTCCGAAATCCATGTCCCTGCCCTTTCTTTGTCCACGCATCCGATCATCAGCTGTCATCAAAGTCTCGTCTCGTCTCAACCGATTGCCTTTCCGCCCTCTTATCACGGGAATCTTATCACGAGGGGAAGGGGGTGCCTGAGAAAGTATAGCTTAGCTGCGTTCGTTCGTTGATTGATTGTTTGTCTGTTGGCTGCCTGGCATCGTTCATTGGATGCGATGTCTGCTGGCCAATACCTTATTATGATGTCCGTTCATTTGGCTTTTTCTTCTCCCCCCAAGGTATTGCACTGCACTTTGTTGTTGCCCGTTGAGGGTTCTTTTGCAGATATCATCATCACCTGACGATGACAACCGCTCGTCCGTAGACGGAGCTGTGTGAGTGTGTATTGTTCCTTCTTCACACGGGGGTCCCTTGCCGTTTCAGACCAATTCTGTCTCTCTCCCACGTCGTCAATCCGACGTGCGCGATGTGTGTTCCCTGTGCGGGTACATGTAACCTTTAACGAAAACGCGTTCTTGGCGAGAAACAAAAGTGAGGCAAAGCAAAGCAAGACCAGCAGCCAACGAAGATCTCACGCTCTCTCTCTCTCTCTCTCTCTCTCTCTCCTCTCTCTCTCTCTCTCTCTCTCTCTCTCTCTCTCTCTCTCTCTCTCTCCCTCCCGTCTATTCCCCAGTGCAACGGTAAATAACGGGAAACCCAACGCGAGAGAGAGTGTGAGTGAGTGAGAGAAGACCAGCAGTATTCTAATTCCGTTGCAAATCAAGAATCAAAAAAATCTCATTCTAGAAAAAAGAAAATCTGGTTCTATTCTCTTCTGCTGCTGCACAAGTGCACAAATGCCTGTAGTATGATAATGTCCGATTCCGAGTTCCGTCGAATAGCGACCGTCTGTCTGTAATATTTCTTTTTGGCTCTCTCTCTCTCTCATGTTCTCTCTCTGCTGCAACGCGATGATCTATCTTCCACTCGAAAGACAATGGATAATAACGAGCGGAAACAGCTGTCTGCAAATACACACACAAAAACGCCACCCGCTGTGCTGCTTTCGTCGATACAAGAAGGTTCCAGGTGATATGGTGTGTGCGCGCGCGTGTGGGCAACAACACCCCCTTGTCCTGTCCAAAAACTCTGACTCTATGTCCCCTTTCCCTTTCCAGATCCTGCATTTGACACCCACGCCCCAAAGCTTCGAAACGAAAATGATGGAAAAAAGGAGACTTCTCGGGCTTGGCATCTTCCATCGGCTTCTCCAATCCATACCATCCCAAGTTCCTGTCATTCGAAATCTCCGACAAAGACACTGAAATCCCCGAGGAAAAATCTCCATCTGATGAGAACGATGAGAAGAATCGAACAGCCAACAACGCCCTGCTCGCTCTGCGCTCCGCTCTCCGCTGCTTGCTCGCTTTGCTTTGTCTTGCTTTGCCTTGCCTTACTTGCTGCATCTCGGCTCTCCAAAGCCAAAGCCAAGATTCCCGTGGATATTTTCCGTCATCAGCCACCCATCTGTCGAATAGATGGATCGAGGACGGAAAGACAATGAAACAGATTAGTTCCCGCTTTTGATGTTGTAGTGATGGTGGTGCTGAGTAAAATGTGGTGGATGTGTGTCGCTGCCGTAGTCTCACGTGTCACAGTGATGATCGACAAAGCGGCGTCTCGTATGGTGTAACTTTCTCTTTTGGCTCGAAGCTTGCGAATGAACCAGCTCCCGCGTCAGCCCCCTCGTCGTTGGAAGGCGCGATATCTGCAGAAGCAACTGGCGCACTGCTGTAATAAGCCGTCCTGCTTAGGCCGCGATTGCAGCAGGGATCGTCAAACGCGATGATCATGACGGCTGACGAGAAGTGTGCACGCCTCCTCCTTGTCGCGGACCTCGTTGCTTACATCGAGGAGTACGAGGGAGAGGGAGCTGGTGCTCGTCGGCTCTGGATCAACCTCTCGGTCTGAATGTACAGACTGTCGAGATACTGCATTGCCGGCGCGTCTTTCAGGATTTTGGCGACCTGTAGGCCGGACGAGATGAGCTGAAGGATATTCCTGTCGTCCTTCAGCGGCCGAGACTGGTGCTTGGCCGCGTGCCGCATTTCCAAGCTGTTTTCCAAAATGGTGATGAGCTGCTTAATCTGCCCGTTGTAGAGCACTCGTGCCGGAATTCGTCTCTTCGTTGCGAGTCGCTTGAGCAGGTACACCCACTCGGACCACTCGCGGTCGCCTGGGACACGGACGGGTCGCTTGTCGGGCTCGATGGGGATAGGAAATTGATATTTGGCGACGAAATCGAAAGCACACTGGGACAGTCTGTCGTTGACTTTGGACAGAATCTCGTCCTGCTCCTGGGCGTATAAGGTGATTGGTAGCTGGGGGAGGTCTTCTTCTTTGGGCTCGAATCCGCCGTCATCGGGCTTGTCGAGCAACTGGGAGGGGCCATCGAATTCGTCTCTGTTGGATGGGCGTCGCTGTGGGAACGCCTTTGTCTGTAGATTAGCGGCAGCCGCTCCATCACCCCCAAGGTAACCCCCGACGAGTCCACTGACCCTGGCTTCCTCCGAAGAGCTGCGACGGAGCGTCGGGCCTGACCAGGCGCCTTGGTAGGCGTAGCTGCCGGATCGTGGACTGCGGTCACTCCCCGGAGGCATGGGCGTCTGAGAGGTGGGGAATTGGGCGGAGAGGGGAGAGGTGGCCCAGCCGGAGAGCAGAGGGATCTCTGGGTAGGGCGCGGCGGGACGACTGGACCATTCCTCTCGCGCCCAGCGCTGGGCTTGGGTGGTGGAGAAGGGAGGAGGGTAGGTGGCGCCGGTGCGGTTGGTACCTGTCAGGCCTGGAGGAGGCGGAAAACTTTTGAATCGCTGAGCATCCGCCGCTGATGGCACAGATCCAGGATAGGTTTGCGCATACCTGAGAGTCGGGGGTGGGCGGGACGACGCCCACGGGTCTCTGCTGTCCTGTAGTCGCTGCCTGCGGGAGAGTGGTCAGCCGAGGTGGCCTCGCCGTCGCTGCCCTCGCCGTCGCTGCCCTCGCCGTCGCTGCCCGTTTGGGCGCTGCCCGCGTGTGGAGGGGGGGGGGGGGGGAGGACTTGGGATGGGGATGGGCACACGTACTGTCTCGCGAAGGGCTCCTCGACGCGGGTGGGCAGGGCGGCCGCCCGTCGTGACTCGTTGGGGGCGTAGCCGGTGGTGGTGGGCTCAGAGGGGGCGCCGGAGGTCATGATCCTGTGTTTCTGGCGGCGGCAGGAGGACCTGCAGCTGCAACGAGACGCAAAGGCTCAGTGGGATGGGCTAGTGTTCGCAGATCACTGTGGTACAGAGATTGATGAACAACGAGTGACGGCAGCGGCGATTCTTACGTGAGGCGTCAACCCGATGCGCCAACCAGCGCAGAGCCATGTGCCATTGCACCGTGAGGACGGCTTGGGTCGTGCTACGGTCGAACCATCTTGAGCCCGTCGCGTCGCTGCCACTGCCTGCGCCTGCGCCCGGTGCCCGTGCCCGCCAGTGGGCGTGAGCGGACATGGAGGAGGGACAGCGGGCATTTTCGCAGGCTCCGGCATGCTCGGACAGGGCTCTGGCACGGTGGGCATGGATCTCCGCTGTGGCCCTCGGTCAAGTCTGTGACGCGGTGTACATGTATCCGGTGCCTGCCTTGTTGCGCTGCCCTGCCCTGCCCTGCACACTGCGCCTGCACACTGCGCCTGCCCTGCCCGAGCTGCCAGGTGCCCGCCCCGCCCTGTCACCATCCACCGAGCATCGCGCCCCTCCCGCGGGTGCGCCAGCAGGGGTCATGCCCCGCCGTCGCATGCCTGCCGCATCGCCGTCGCATGCCTGCCTGCCTGTCATGCCTGCCTGCCTGCCTGCCTGCCTGCCTGCCTGCCTGCCTGCCTGCTGCCGCCCGCTCCTGCTTCTGCTCCCGCTCTTGCTTCTTTCTGCTCTTGCTCCTGCTGCAGCCTGCTCCTGCCGCATCGGCCGTGTTGGTGGGACGCACCTGCTCGACCGCGCGCACGCCCATCCGCCAGGCTCCATCTCACCCAACTACCTAAACAAACGCGTTATTACTGTAGTTCAATATTACCATCATCTCATTACCCACCCTGTGTCTAGCGCGCTCCACGGTCCGCGCTGGCTCTTCTCGCTGCACTGGGCTGTTGACTGTCCTCTCATGCCCTCCTGCGCACTCGAGTCTTGCAGAACCGGGTGCCAAACCTTCTATCGACCAGCATCCACCCGCCCGACTGACATCACCTGACGTCCACCCGTCCCCCAAGTGCCGAAAGCCTCACCACCGGCTCCCTTCTAGCGCAGCCGGCGCACCACTACAGCTGCGTCTGCGACGGGGCCACGCAGGGTTCCGCCAAGCTCTGCTCTTGCACATCCATTCCCCCCCCCCCCGACTGCGACACAGTCCTCCACCACACCTCACCGCCAACCACCATCATCTGCGACACTACTCGTCGCCATCGCATGAGCACGCCGCGTTTCATCAATTCTCTGACGCCGACAAAACTTCCCTCCCAGCCTTGGCGTGCCTCGTGTCGCTATTGTCACCATCTGCCGCAGCATCCAAAACGAGTCAATAATACTAAGATATCGCGCTCTGATCTCGGAGCATTTCGAGAGGTATCTTGGATGCGTTCGGGATCATGCATCTTGTCTTTCGCCCTGCCCACTGTCGGGCCCAGCGCGTGCGGTAATGATGGGCGCGAGTCTTGGGCATCATCGCTCCTTGCCTTGCGGGCGGTGCAGGGCTGCTGCCAAGACTATGAATCTACCGTGCCGCGCTGCCCAAGTGTTGCTGTCTCCATCATCGCGCTGCATCTCCATGTCTGCCTGCTGTCAGTGCTGTGCGGTGGAAGAAAGCGCGGGATGTTGACGGTGCGCTTGGCCGACGTGGGATTAGCGAGTCGATCACGAAACGACGTCGGCACTAGCCACGTGAGAGCGTGAGGCGGCTAGCTGCGCTTTCCCTGCATGCACACATGTGTCATTTAGATTGCGTTGCCAGCTACCGCCAACGGGACATGCATCCTGGCTCTCCTCGGCATCGACCGCGACCGCGACCGCGACCGCGACCGCGACCGCGACCTCCTCAGGCAGTGATGACTTGCCTGCTCTGCCCTGCCCCGCCCTGCCCTGCCTTCCGGCGGGCGGCGATCGACGGCAACTGCGCACATATTGCCTGCGTGAGCACGTGAGCGACATGCTAGTTCCATATTAAAATATTATTACTGAGCAGCAGTTCACCGGGAGCTACGACTCGATGAGTGCGAACGCCAAGCCGTCGCTCCCTACCTTAGCTGTGTTAGCCCGATTGGGATCGATGCCCGGATCTTCATTGGCCTCCGACTTGCAAGTAGCCGATATCGGTCAAGTATTTGATCCATGGCCCAGACCGATGAGCATCTTGCTCCATCGTTCTTCACTGGCTTCGACATGCTACTCCGGTATCTTCCGTCGCAGACAATCGCGCATCCGGGGAGCCATGAAGACAAATCTTTTCTTCTCTGGACCACCCGATGAGCCGTCGTATTCGACCGTCACCAACACACCACTCCTGGCCGTATCTTTCGCCGCTCTGCTGCCCCATCTCGTACTGCCCGCCGTGCGAACAATAACATTCAATGCGCTGCGTCGCCTGCAGGACGCATCGTCGGGGACGGATCTCTGCTGTCTCTGCCCTCGGTCAGTAACGGGACATGCACATTGGTTCTTACGCCCCGGATACGCACCGGAACGGATTGGACGGAGGTCCTGCTGGGTTCTGGTATGCAGATGGGTTGTATGCGGTATAGACGGTCGGATTGACCCCTGCCTCTGGATCTGCCGGTGTATACGCGCCCCTGGAGCTGCTACGGTTCTTTGCGAAAGCGGTGCATCTCATCACGGAGCTATATATCAGCTTGGCAAGACAGGCTGCCACAAGCCTATCAGGTGTCTGCGACATGTCCGGATCTGAACAGGCCTACAGCATCTTCGGATTCTTCGCACGTCGGAAACCACGATGGCCTTCCCGCGCGTCCCAGCCACAGCTGGGGTCGCAGTCGGACAACATGAATCCAGCGGTAGCACAGATTCTGGATGACCTTCCAATATTCCCCGATGCTGCATCTGGCCGTACCTCCCGCTCCACGGGGCTCGTTTCGATTCGACTCACATAATGGTCCAGATGAAGCCCAAGGCCGAGTTTGTCTTGGCAGCACCGACGATACTGAGACTGAAGAGCACGATCCAGACTACCGTGGTGATGGTGTTGAGGACGACCATGAGGACCGGGCCCAGCCTCTTGCGCGCATATGGAACCGTCTCCACGATCTGGAAGACGGCCGTGAGAGCGCAGATATCGAGGTAGGCCACCGAGACACGGCTGAGGAGAACCTTGTCGTCAGCCTTCTAGGCTCTCAGACTAATCTTGACGACTCCTACACTTACACGACCACGCTCCAGCCGTCTTGCGATTCTCGTCTTGGGTGTAGCCGTCGCTGGCGGAACATGTTTGCCAACACCGGGCCTGAGCATCCGTATCATGAACTTCTTGACGCCACGAAGGGCTATTCTCTGTCCAGGGACAGCATAGTGTAAGTCGCCTCTTCGCCCTTGGCCACATCCTCGAAGGCGAAAATCAAAGCAATCATGAAGATCTCTCTCTCCATCCCCACTCTCGTCTCTGCAGCGGCAGCACACTCCAACGGCAACCAATGCGACGCGGCTGGTCTTGCGCATTGTAAAGGCCCCGGGCTCTTGGGGATGCGCTCCAAACCTGGACATCCCTGAACTGGCAGGCCCGAACTGCGTGAAGCCGAGTGCGCGGTGACATGTTGAATGCGGGACGGGTTCCGCTTACGAGAAGGATTTGTAAGTTGCTACTGTATACATATCGTTCGCATGAACTAGATGTTGATTGGTCAATACATAGGCGTGCGGTGTCGAGGAGGAGGAGGATCACGAGGATCCGGAGCGATAGTGAGACCTGCCTCGTAGAAGTCATCGACACTACTGCCAAGTCGGGTCAGAGCAACTCGTGTTATAAAAATATTGACACGCCGCGCCGCCGCCCCGCGAAGAGGCTACCTTACCTATTCCCTGTCCAATGGGGAAAAGTATAAAAAATCGCCTCTCGCCTCTGGCGACGAGGTGAGGTTATTACTCGTCGAAGAATCATAACAATAACAACAAAATCAAGAGAGCAAGCAAAGCCAATCCATCAAATCAAATCAAATCAACCAAATCAAATCCAACCATGCAGCTCTCCCTCCTCTCCCTCCTCACGCTCGTCTGCGCCGCCGCGTCCGCCGCCAAGACCTACCGCCACTACCCGGGCGGCCAATGCCTCGCGACCGACCTCGCCGCGTGCAAAAAGGAGGGCGCCGCCGGCTGCGCGCAGAACGTCGACTACTCGAAACTGCGCGGCCCCAACTGCGTGAATCCCACGACGCACTGCGGTGCGCCGTGCCGGGGGCAGTATGCTTATCAGAAGTATAAGTAAGTCTATTCGTATATCATATCCCAAGACTCGATCGAGAGGTTGAATATTTGGTGTGATCTTGGTTTTTTTTTTTTTTTTTTGTTTTGGGAAGTTTTTCTAATTTGGTTTTTTTAAATTTTTAGGAGCAACGATAGGACTTGCATTTGTATGGGTAACGATGCTAGCAAGCCGCTTTGATTCCTCGGTGGTGGCGGCGGCGGCGGCGGAATTATATGACCTATTCTTCGAGTGTGTTACTATTATGGGAGTGAATGAGATGGCGGAAGAGGAGGAGGGAGGAGAGAGGAAGAAGGAGGATCACCAGGCAGCAATAGGAAAACAGAAAAACCTGTCCGTTCTCATCGACAATGTTATCTATTGCTATTTCGGGCCCGGAGGGGAGGAGCACTCATCAGTGTTATTATGACAATGACAAAAAAAATTCTTACAAGAAACCGGCTTATTCCCTGTGTGTGTGAAAGGGCAAGTACCCATCTGTGCATCGCCCTCTTCTGCCCTGTAATTAATAGCTGCTTGAAGAGCCGTTGTATTGATTGCCAAGATTAGTGCCTTGCCTTATGCCTTGCCTTGGGGGAGCAGGAAATGTATTTTGATTGATGAAACGTTCGTATCGCGAAACTCGAAACGTCGCGGGAGGGAAGAAGGAAAGGAACAAAGGGTCAAATTAAACTCTCTCTCTCGATCAAGTCGCTAGAGGGAGGAATATAAAAAAGTCGCCCTTTTTGCTTTCTCTGCCCTTATGATTATCGTGGTTTCTTCGGACAAAGATACGACACAATTCTCAGCAAAAAAAAAAAAAACCATCATCATGCAAATCTCCCTCCTAGCCCTCGTGACTTTCGTCTCCACGACGACGGCGACCGTCTATCAAGGCTACCAGTGCTTCCAATCCGATCTCACGAATTGTCGCAATCTCGGCGCGACGGCTTGCGTGATGGCCTATTCCGTGCCTGCCATCAGGAACCCGACCTGCGTGAGGCAGACCACGCGTTGCAATTCGCAATGCGATGGGGAATACGCTTACCAGATGACTATGTGAGTACTAATAAGTGTATTATAGTTAGGATTGGGAAAACGAGATACTGATGGGCTTGGTTTCTTCACAGGGGCACCGACGAAACTTGCATTTGCACGAATGACGATGCTTCCCAGCCTATTCCTCAGTAAACGATTGGCCTATGCGAGGATGTTGATGTTGAGGGGGGGGGGGTGGAGATGCGGTAGAGGAGGATCAGGAGGGATAGTTAAGTCCGGCAGCTCGATAGCCCGTGAGGAGAAAGGCGACACGTTTGACATGGGATTGATTTCGCGTGAGGCGAAAGGCTCCACCTCGTTCGCGCGAGTGCCATCTGCATCGCACTCATTATTTTTTTTCCCTGGCTTTGGTGAACAATCTCAGTCCATGGCTGGCACGATGGGTTTGCAGAGCAACGAAGACGCCGACCATCCTACCTCCCAAGTCAGGCGCTTCGTCTATGTCTCTCCTTCCTCTTTCTTCCACGTGATACGATGACGTTAAGATCTATACGTTACTAGTAGACCTCTAAGTTGGAGTAGGTAAATCGGTATTATTTGTAGTTAATACTAACTCTATTTATATAGCTGTCTTTATACGATTAGCGGGCTCTCGTAGCTTTATAGTATGTCTTACTAATAAGGATCTATATATTATATATATAAAATTAGTATTAATAGTCTCGGAATAGCTTATAGAGTAAGCTCTAAGTGTTTATAAGCGAATATCTAGTAGTTAATTTTAGTATGTCTATCGCTAGGTACTATACTAAAGCTAGTAGGCCTAAGTAGCTTTACGAAGGTAGATTTTTAGAAGGGTTCTATATATCGTATATATATAAAAATCGGTTCGTTAAACTCGTAAGAAGCTATTCTATAACCCTACCGCTTTAGATATACGAGTATCTACGTAGTTAGTAACTTTGATTTTAGATAGCTATGTTTTGACCGTCCGGCTACTTCTAGTATTAGACCCGTAGGGCTCCAAAAATAATTGCGTACGTTAATTAGCTTCTAATTGTAGTCCATTACGCCACGAGGATCGACATACTCACATTCGAAGAAAGAGCTAAGCGTGAGGTAGGTAGTCACGTGCGCAATTTTTGGAGCCCGACGGGTCTGACTAGGGAGATAGCGACCATCGCCCAGAGCGGGAATCAGAACGCGTTTTCAACCATAACTTGTCGAACATCTTGGCGGTGATCTGCTCGGGATATCATGTCGGGCAACTCCAAGAAGAGTTCCAGAAAACCTCAAAGTGGCCTCGGTGGTCGTGTGCTCGTTCAAGCATCGCGTGATGAAGAAAACTTCTTGCTTGCGGGAGCAGGGGCACAGTAACCTATTGATGAAGTGTAGTTTGGTACAGCAAACAGAGAGAGAACTCACGCCTACCATTCTCGTCAAGAAGCACTCGACGCACTGCAAAGGAGCTTGCTGGACCATTCGCGCAAAAGAATGAACAAAAGCCGCGGCGCGTAGAAGCTGAACGCTGCAGACATTGTGGCTGGACGCATGCACCGGCTCCTATGCCAAGACTTTCGGCTACCCGTGTTGCTGTATTGAGTATCTCTGAGCGGTCTACTGAAATTCTGCCTTTCTACGGCGCTTCTAGGCGCATTGGAGCAGCCTGATGACTTTTTGCTTTCGGGGATCTGACTGCCTGAATGTTAGCCGAATCCTACAGCCCTACGATCCTCCCGAGCGCCATAATTCCGTGCAGACCTGGCCAACGTCGAAGCCACGTCTAGATGGATGTGATTGCTGCCTGGGTCTTATGCCCCGATGTCTAGATGGATGCGATCGCTGGCTGGGTAATATCCCCCGAGATTTATGTTCCGTAAAGCCAATCTCGCAGTCATCAGGGACGGCGGACACGACAGAGGCCGCTCTGAGACATTCGGCCAAGTCGCAAGGCTGAACGTTAAAGCTGAGCCAAGACCGATAGCTGCGCGGCTGTATTTTACCTGTTGCTGTCACCGTGCGATCCTCAGAGCCTGTCTTGCTGCGCCTTCATCTCCTCGAGCCGCTTGCGCGCCAACTCGCGTCGCTCTTCGCGCAGGTTAGTGAATGTCTGGCAACACGTCAGCCATCCACCAGCATCATTATGAAGAACATCAAGAGCAAGGAGAGCATACCCAAAACCAGGCGGCGATCTCGAAGAAGCCAAAGGTGAAGACGAGACTGTTTTGGAGTGGCTCGCCGAGGGAGATCTTGCCAATCGAGCTGGAGCTGGAGCCGAAGATGCCGTCTTCCTTGCACAGGAAGACATATCCCGTCAGGGAGAAGAGGAACGCCAGTCGTACCGGCACATTCGACAACCAGTATTCAATCGCGGTGGCCTCTTCCATGGAAGCGGCGGTCAAATCTGCGAGGCCGATGAAGGCGAGGAGCACGCCGATGAATGCGGACGCTTCGCTTGGCTTCTCAAGAGATCCCGCATGGTTCTGTGCCCGAGTCAGAAGTGCTGTAGAAGTGCTGTAGAGGTGAGAGTGTCTCGACCCACGAGTCTCATGGATTCTCCCAACATGAAGACCACATTTTGGTCGGAGATGATCTTGGGTGCCGCCAGGAAGAAGTAGGCAGCTGTGAGATGGAAGAGCGAGATCGCCCGAATGATTGTGAATGCCGATATGATCGCCATCGTTTCTTTCCCGTCTCTCTCTCCTTGCGCAGTAAACAACCAGGACACGAATCTCACCAGCTTCTCCTGTTCGAAACGCAACACGTGGGGATCCGCGTAGAGATGCACCGCTGCCAAGCCTCTCGAGAGCCCCCGGCGCTAGCGGGAAAACTCCACCGAGCCGACGTAATCAGGATATCTACACTAAGCCTCTCCGGGAAGGAGATCTTGTGCTTTCGGCTTGTGCTTGCCGTGAAACACGCTTACCAAAGGTATGATTACGTCTCAGCACACGGGACGGAAAGCCGACTCAAATGTCTGATACCAATCATTACTGACCGGCGCCTCAATCCATCGGCGTCGGAGGTCTCTTATCTGCCCGCCATGGCAGACAACAAGCAGGACTCCAAGCCCAGGCAAACTGAGAAGACCACAGAGTCAGGGAAGAACAGGAAGAAGAAGTCCCCGAGGCCGCCTTCCCAGGATCCCATGCAGATCATCGCGGACACAGAAAACAGAAGCTGGCTGTACTTTGCGCAATTCTTGCTCATCATCACGGTGGTCATCCTGGCATATACCACTGGCGTGTTCGATCTGTACAAATACTACGAATACCTGACAGAGCCGCAGCTTTCTGGCGCACAGAAGATTTTGAAGGACAATCCTCTCGTTGACGGGCATAACGACTTGCTCATACTTCTCAGAGCTGTCTATGGAAACCGAATCTACGATACCAACTTTACCAAGCCATTTGAAGAAGGGGGTCTCGTCGGGCAGTTTGATCTGGAAAAGGCCGAAGAAGGCCTGTTGGGTGGGACATTCTGGTCTGCGTGGGTGCCATGTCCTGCCGATGGGTTTGATTTCTCGGATGAGAATTACGCGCCTTTTGTGAGAGCGACGCTGGAGCAGATTGACTTGTTCCATCGTCTGGCGGACAAGTATCCAAAGTACTTCACATTACCCAGGAATGCAGCTGAAGCCGAGAAAAACTTTGCGAGAGGTGGCAAATTGATTAGTCCGCTGGCGATTGAGGGGTTGCATCAGATTGGCAATTCGATTGCGACGTTGAGGCTCTATCATGAACTTGGTGTGAGGTACGCGACATTGAACTGGAACTGTCATAACCGATATTCGGACGCTGCGGTTGTCAGCATCGATGGAGAAAGTCAGAGATCGAAGCCGTACTGGGGCGGTGTGAGCGACGAAGGCCACAAGCTCATCCGAGAGATGAACCGTCTCGGTATGCTCGTAGATCTCAGCCATGTCAGTCCAGATACGATGCGCGATGTGCTCGGCGGCACCGCGTCCGAGAAGGGGTGGAAAGGCAGTCTGGCACCGCCTATCTTCAGCCATTCCAGCGTCTACGCGATCTGCCCCCACCCGAGAAATGTACCAGACGACGTCCTCGAGCTGGTCAAGAAGCGCAACTCGGTCGTCATGATCAACTTCTCTCCGGACTTTATCAGCTGCAAAGACACAGGCGCAAAGAACGGGCTGCCCGAGCTAGTCGAAGAGACCAATACCATCGAACAAGTTGCCAAGCACATCATGTACATCGGTGACAAGATTGGCTACGACCACGTTGGTCTCGGGAGCGATTTCGATGGCATCCCCAGTACACCGAGAGGATTGGAAGATGTCTCGAAGTATCCTCATTTGATCGACCTGCTGCTCGAGAAGGGTGTCAGCGAGAGAGATTGTGCCAAGATCGCCGGGAGAAACGTGCTCAGGGTATGGCACGAAGCCGATCGCGTAGCTGCGAGACTACGGAAGGAAATCGATCCGCTGGAGGACCAGATTGGTAAGGGGATAGGTCTGACGGAGGTGGTGTTTGATGGAAAGGGAGTAGAGGTGGAGCATTTACATTAGACTAGATATGAAGGAAGCCATCCGGTGGCTTGTCGTAGACTTTTAGAATACAAGAAAGCACCGATCTCGTTCTTCTGTATCGTACAGCACTCTCTCGTCATTCCATGCTATATTTCGCCTCGGAACGTTCTGCCGTGGATTGCTCGGCAAGGCCATCGGACGCCTCAGTCTGAGCCGTTGGGTCGGGGACATTTGCACGGGTCAGCGCTTCCTGCATCTGACGAATTCCTGCGCGGGAAGCACGCAGGTCTCTCTCCAGACCAGCGACTTTCTCGTTGTTGCGCTCGTTCTGCTGCCTCAACACGGCGACGGCGCGTGCACTATCGTTGGCGCGCTTGAGGCTCTGCTCGTTGTTGGAGTAGTACAGGTCAATCTTGACTTGTTGTTCCTTCAGCTCAGCAGCGTGGGCGTTCTTGAGGTCCTGCACTTGCTGCTGCTGCCTCAGGGCATCGATCTTGCTCTCGGTATTCGCGTGCTCGAGGCGAGCGTTTTCGTTCAAGCTCAATTTGAGCTGCTGTCTCTGCTCGTCGCGCTCAGCCCTGTATCGCTGCGCCTCTGCCAGTAAGCCCTCCCGGTCTTGCATGATGTGGTCCAATCGTGATTGCAGTGCCTCGTAGGCTTTCTTGCCCTCTTGGATCTCCTTGTCCTTTTGCTTGACGATGCTATTCGTCTCCGGCTTGGTCTCCTTCAGCTTGCGGTTGACGGCCTTTTCCTGTGCCTGAAGTGCCTTCTTCTCCTTGGAGACCTGATCTTTGGACTCCTTGATTTTCTCATCCATTTCTTCCAATTGATCATCGTGTCTTCTCTGCTTGGCGTCGAGGTCTCGCTTGTACTTATTCTTGATTGAAGCGAGCTCCTTGTTCATCTCCTCTCGCTTGGTCGTCTGCAACTCCTGGCGCAGCTCCTTGATGTGCTTCTTCTGAGCAGTCTTCCACATTTCAAGTTCACCCTCTGCGTCGCGGCAAGCAGCAAGCCAGGCGTCGCGGTCTTCTTCCATATTCTCGAGTTTCTCGGTGAGACGTTTGATTTCCATTCTTTCCTCCCTCAGGGTCTCCAATCTCTTCGTGAGCAGGCCGTTGGCCCTCTGCTTCAGTGCATCATACTCAGCCTGCCAATCCTTCTCATCTTTCTCGCCCGTGGCATCTTCCTCACCGCCACCTCCCGTGGAGGCTTGCTGAGATTTGTCGCCATTGCTTGGGTCCTGTGTTGGCGATTGGTTGATGGATGCGACATTCTTGCTGTCCGTGACGAATATGACATCGCTTGAGTCGTCAGAAGTCTGCTTCTGCTTCTTGGCATCTTGCTCCTCATGCTCCTCTGTGGACTTCCGCTTGCGAGACATTCCATTGGTATCCTGCTCCGGCTCCGGCGGTGGGTTGTTCGGCGACTCCATGCTCACTGCAGCTGGGACCCGCGCAATAATAGCCTCGCGTTCATCCTCCACCATCATGGCCACCTGGACGATCGCGCCAAAGGCAAAGCACATGGTGGGTCTGTGTTGTAGGAATGTGGCGAGATGTGTGTTGATGGTTGGGAGGGAAAGTGTTGATGTTTGGTGGAAGGTTTGAATGTCCGTGGAAACCTTTTCGGAAAGAGCTCGATCGAGGCAGCCGCCGGCATGTGAAGATGTAGTCTCATTGTTACATGTGGGTCTTTCAGCTTGTGATAAGGGCGAAATTGAACGTGAGCGTGCTTCATGCTCACTGCAGCTGGGATCCGCGCAATGGCGTCGCAATCATCCTCCACCATCATGGCCACTTGGGTTATCACACCAGAGGCTAAGCACACGGTGAGTCTGTGTCGTAGGGTTGTGGCTAGATGTGTGTTGACAGAGGTGAAAGCTTCTTAGGGCAACTTCTCACGTAGTGAGGGCCTCAGGAACAAATCTCAAATTCAAACTCTTGGCGGCTTTCACGTGCATCAAATGCACCATCGATGCACTGCTACTCGACTACTTGGATGCAGATGGGAGAATATCGTGAGGAGAAAGGCGACACTTTGACATGCACTCGCTATCGCTTTCAGGTTATCTGGCCTCAGGACTATCAAGCCGCCGGAATTCCCATCGCTCCTGATCCTCCTGACAACATCCTCTGATAGGTCAATCGTTCGATGGTGCCCGGTTTGCTGGCATCGTATCTATCCGCCGGTGCGTGGTTTGGCGGCATCGTACTTACCAGTACAAATGCAAGTGGGATCGTTGCCTCTTTGATTAAACCTGTTAATATCGAGTCCATGCTGACTATATAGTTATAGTAGTACATACACGGCCTTCTGGTAAGCGAAACCGAGATGGTTACAGGCAGCGTTGCAGACCGTGGTCGTCTTAACGCAGGTCGCGAATGATAGTTCAGGGACGGCGCTATTCTGAACGCAACCGTAATAGCCCGCCGTTTTGCATTCATCAAGGTCGATCGCGGGACATGGCAAGCCTTTGTAGTATGTGGCCGCTGCCGCTGCAGAGGCGAGAGTGATTAAAGGTAGGATGGAGATCTGCATGATCGCTATGGTTGTAGATATCCGCAGAGCCAAGGGCGAAGAGGTGACTTCTTATACTTTCCTTTCGATAGAATATAGTGCGGCTGCGGCGCATGTCTTTACAAAATAGCCCGTCACGTCGTCAAGAGCTTCGCGTCGTCAAGAATTTTGTAATTATGAAGTTCCTTTGTACTCGTACCCCGGCCTAATATTAGCAATTGTTATACACTTTTAGCAGCTCTCGTAACCTTGGTTATAACACCTCCCTCCGACAAGATCTGGTAAGTGAGGCTCCCTTGTCTTAAGTGGACGAATTAATCTGGAAAGGTGTTGATGTTCAATGCAGGGGTCAATTGTTAGTAAAAAGCTTTTTAGCTTGATCGAGAGAGCCGCCGGCATGTGAAGATACAGCCTCAATATTTTCACCATCGCTCCTAGTCCTCCTAATAACATCCGCTCATTGGTGAATCGTTCACTACGATCCACGGGCCTTGGCAGCATCAACCCACCCGTTGCAAATGCAAGTAAGATCGAGGCTTCTATAAACCAACAAACACATCAGTATCTGGTTCAAGGTAACCACACACTAGTACTTACACATCCTTCTGGTAAGCATAACCCGTCTTGCAGGTGGTATAGGCGCACAATTCGCTCTGCCTAACGCAGTTCGGGCCTTGTAGTTCAGGGATGTCTGCGTTTTGAGCGCAACCCCAAGAGCCCACGTCCTGACAACTTTTAAGATCCTCCGCGCTGCATTGCTGAGCAGTGTAGTACTTGGCCGCTACCCCTGTAAAGAAAAGAGTGAGAGTGGTAGTAATGGATAGGATAGGGATCTGCATGATTGCTATGACTACATTCGAGTAGCCAAGGGCGAAGAGCCGACTGTTTATACTTCCCCTTGTTAACAGAGAATAGCCCCTCGCGGCGTCAAGAATTTTATACGAGTGCTCCGGGCCGTGTCCGGGCCGATGTTGGCAAGTGTCGGGCTCAAGCAGAATGAGCGTGTTGAAGTGGGCCGCTGAATCATTTTTGGGGCTTACGCAGGTCAGACGACAAGACAATATCATGATTCTGTCGTGGGCATGGTCGTGCCCATGTTTTCTTCCATGACCGCTCACGCCTTTCTAATTCTTGCGCACCCCTTCGTCCTCATCTCCACTCAAGATCACCTTCTAACTTGGCGGCAATCAATCGGCGGGAAAGGTGCCGGCTCCGCAGGCGGTGGTGGCCGATCTGGATGGGGCACCATATATCGTGGCTTCGAGGCCTGCTGTTCTGGCTCCGAATTGGGAGATTGCGTCTCTCCTGTTCTTCGAGAGACTGCACGTCCGCTGCGTTGGCCGGACATAGTGAGGAGACACATGCTGCCAAGGGCCTGAGAGGACGAGCAGCGGACCTTCTGTAGCCGGAGAAGGTACCTGGTCGCCATCGTGAAATTGTTTGCGAGATTGATAGATTGGCGATGAGATGGTCGATCTATATCTATGCTCCGATAGCAGGTGATGTCTGTACAAATTATCGCCGCGCCTGACGAATCTGTGTTCGCGGCGTGGGTATCGGATGCTGCTGCTCCCGTAACTCACAAAATACGTCCATTCAGGCACCTCCATCTTGGTCATCTACGGCACTTTCTCCGTCTCCTCCAGCAGCTCCTCTACCTTGAAGTTCTCATCCCCACCGCTGAATTGCTCCATCAGCTTCCTCCTCGTCTGCGCGTTCTCTCTTGCCACATCACTGTGCGCCTCAAACCCGTAGAACTTCTGCAGGTTCATCAAGAGGAACTTGCCCTCATCGACGCTTACCCCTCGGTCTTCTTGTACTCGTCCCTCGAGCAGGACCAATCCATTCCTGTCTGCCAGGTCCAAGTGGTGCGTAATTGTGGTGTGTGGCTGAGCATATTCACCTCGCAGCTTGAACTCGGCAAGATGCGTGAAGAGCACAGTTGCCGTTGTTTCTGAAGGAAAGGTCCATTGCAGGAAGTGGATCTCTGCCCCTTGTCCCTCTCTTGGCAAAGGCAGAATGAACTGCGGATGCTTCTTCGCCGTTGCCGCTACCCGATTGTATGTGTCTGAATGCATTACAGCACACAGACTCTGGCCATCTCGTACATGTCGTAGCCGCCATATTGTTTCGATCTCCTTCTGGGACAACTCTGCTGTCTTCTCGACATCGATGAAGTTCGATAACGTCTTAATCGGTGTTTTATCCTTCCCACTCTTCGGAGCTGACGGTGCCTGCACTGGCTGAGGCTGGGGTGGAGGAGGCGGTTGGAAGGGAATGGCGGAAGAAACACTTTGTGGCGAGGGAGGCTGTTGCGCGCTCACAGGAGCATTGACACCCGGTACCACAGCCTGTTTCCTCAGTGCCTGGATCTTCTCGGCATATGCATCTTTCAATTCGTCTGCGTTCTTGAGGCCTCTCTCTCGTGCCTTCTCGTCGAGTTTCTGTCGATAGCGTTCCTGGATTAGATCGGGACGTTGATGGGCGGCATAGAACCTGATGTCGTGGACTTGGGCCCATCGTCTTTGATACGATTTTAGGGGAGCTTGCGCTTTGCCCACGCAGCGGCGGAAGAGAAGGACGGGAGAATTCATGGTGGTGATGGGGGAGAGGGAGACGGATGGGTTGAAGGGCTTGGGTTGAGGTATCTACCCATATCTAGTTTCGATTGATCCCGATGAAGCAGCTCAGTAAAATTTGATTGAGGCTTGCCAGACACCCCTCCGCAAGTACCTACCTAGATATCTCAGCCGAATATCCATCCACATGACACACGAGCTTTCTTCAATGCCACGGTCGGAACTATGTGCCGGGACACGGATACCTCACACACGAGCACGCGAGCAATCTGCTCCTCGTCATACCAACGGAGAACAGAGCAAAAGCCTTTCACATGTTCAGTGCAGGGGAAGGCCTAGAACGGAGCAGTCGAGGCACGTGGCGCTATACCGGATCTGGGGTACCTTGGCCGATGCCGCGGGGAAGAAGCACTGTGCACGGACGTCTCGCAAAAATTCTGATGTCAGGGCAGTCAGCACCTGCAGCTGGCGCGCTCCCGAGCACACACAGACCACACACGGCGCCTGACATTGTCTTTCTTTACTCATACTCACCACCACTGACTACTTTCTACTCTCTCCCCAGCCATTGACTCACGCCTCCTCGACATAAGACATCCCATTCAAAAGGAAGAATTGACCACTGTGCCACCACGTTTCCTCGCAGGTCTACTTCTCGATTGATTTGCTCGAGATCATCCGGCATCGGCCTGAGCAGTATTCCAACATGTGCCCGACACCCGACGCTGAGGTCAATGGCAGCAATGGTGTCAATGGCCATGCTAACGGCGAACACAACGGCTACAGGTGAGTGGCATCCACGAGATCAATACCGTATTGCGACAGCACTAATCCTGCTCACCGCTCCAGCGCATTCAACACCCGTCAAGCCTCACGACCCGCCTCTAGCAACCCATACGCACCCGTGCAGGACTACCTGAGCAATGTCGGCAATTTCAAGATCATCGAGTCTACCCTGCGAGAGGGCGAGCAGTTCGCCAACGCCTTCTTTGACACCGAGACCAAGATCAAGATCGCCAAGCTTCTAGACGATTTCGGCGTCGACTATATCGAGCTCACCTCGCCCGCTGCCTCGGAACAATCGAGACTGGACTGCGAGGCCATCTGCAAGCTCGGATTAAAGGCCAAAATCTTGACGCACGTGCGCTGTAATATGGAGGATGCCAAGCTGGCTGTTGCAACTGGTGTCGACGGTGTCGATGTGGTCATTGGCACCAGCAGCCACCTCATGCAACACAGCCATGGCAAGGACATGACATACATCAAGAACACCGCAATTGAAGTCATTCAATTCGTCAAGTCGCAAGGCAAGGAAATCAGATTCAGCTCCGAGGACTCCTTCCGAAGCGACCTGGTCGACCTTCTCACCCTCTACCAGGCCGTCGACAAGGTCGGCGTGCACAGGGTTGGAATTGCGGATACTGTCGGTTGTGCCACTCCCCGTCAAGTCTACGACCTGATCAGAACTCTCCGCGGCGTGGTGAGCTGTGATATTGAGACACACTTCCATAATGACACCGGGTGTGCCATTGCCAACGCCTACTGCGCGCTAGAAGCCGGTGCCACTCACATCGATACCTCTGTCATCGGTATTGGCGAGCGAAACGGCATCACCCCTCTTGGTGGCCTAATGGCTCGCATGATTGTCGCGGACCGTGATTACGTCAAGTCCAAGTACAGACTGGAGAAGATCAAGGAGATCGAAGACGTGGTTGCCGAAGCCGTCGAGATCAACGTGCCCTTCAATAACCCGATCACCGGATTCTGTGCCTTTACCCACAAGGCTGGTATTCACGCCAAGGTAAGCAAGATGACACTGCACTGTTTTGTCTTGTCCATTGACACGCCTAGGCAATCCTGAACAACCCTTCCACATACGAGATCATTACCCCTTCGGACTTCGGAATGAGCAGATATGTGCATTTCGCCTCAAGACTCACTGGCTGGAATGCCATCAAATCTCGCGCCGAGCAGCTCGGTCTGCAAATGACTGACGCTCAGATCAAGGCTGTCACTCTCAAGATCAAGGCTCTTGCAGACGTGAGGCCCCTCGCCATCGACGATGCCGACAGCATCATCCGCAACTTCCACTTCAACCTCAGTGCCGATAAGGAGAGGCCGCTTCTCCAGCTGAGCAACGAGGAAAAGAAGAAGTTCGTCCAAGCGGAGAAGGATCTCAGCAAGGAACAGGAGAAGAGAGCACTCGATGAGACTGCCGATGCTCAGGCCGAAGTTCCTGTCGCTAAGAAGACCAAGACCACAACCGTGTCATGATCATCTTGCGCGGAACAAGTCAGGCTGAGCCGACCGAGCGACCGATGAGACTAACCACCATCCTCGTGTCGATCAATGCCAGGCAGATGCCATTTATCGGTGCCATTTGGAGTTCTTGGAGTTTGTTTTGACAACATGTCCTTTGGAAAGGGAAAGAGGAAGAGAGGCTGTACCTACTAGTCAAAAGTCCGAGGCATCAGCCAGAGAGCGATCCACGCACGTATTAGTGCCCAGCAACGATGGCTGGACTTGTTCATACGCCAGCAAGCAACATGTATCCCAAATACCCAGCAACCCCGCGCGCGTGCATTCCGCTCTACTCGTCGATCTTTGCATTTCCCCGTGCTGATACCCCGCAGAAGACGCGCATAGCCGCGCCACATGCACGACGTCTAGCATGATCTGGGGACAACTTCTCGAATTCGGTACAATGATCTATTGGACAGAAGTGTCGGCTGATGCGGCAGATCTGTAGGCGAACGAAGTCACAATAGAGGGCCAGAGCGTCTTTCGCACCCGGCGGATACACCGTGTACGCTTTCCACATCAGCTACTGCCCTTCTGGGGCATTACTGGATGCTGATTCACGCCTCATAGCTTGAGACTCCCGTCTTTGGAGCAAAACATCGAGGCAACATGCTCTCTTCGGACTTCAGCTTTCGAAATCGGCGAATTATCACTCTCCGAACAGGTTTCGACGGTGGAATCGGAGAGGCTATTCCCATCACGGTGGTGGCTTTCGCTATTGTTGGGTTAGGCTAAACCCTGCATGTGACCACTAGGTACTGTCGGTCACAATTCCGCGCAAGAGCTTGGATCCGTGAGTATAAAGGTCCTAGAGGAAAGCTCCCAATGCCGATGGTCGTTGCGGACTGTTGCTGGGTCTCATACGGTATTCTAAACATTTCTCTGGAACTCAGAAGCTTTCGTCCTCCATCATGGCTACCAACGGCGTCAATGGTACCAACGGCATCAATGGGCATCATGATATGCCAGCGCTTTCGAAGTCTGCCGAGGACTTCCTTCAACACGACTACGATTTCATTGTTTGTGGAGGAGGTACCGCCGGCCTCGTCGTCGCTGCTCGTCTGACGGAGAACGAGGACGTGAAGGTTGGAGTAATCGAGGCTGGCAAATCCAAACTGGGCGACATGCTCGTCGACTCGCCTGTCATGTTTATGCAGACCTTCATGAACCCAGACTACGACTGGTGCCACATGACGGAACCTCAAAAGCACAACAAGAATCGTCGTCACCACATCCCGCGCGGCAAGGCACTTGGTGGCTCCTCTGCCATCAATTACATGATGTACGTTAGAGGAAGTTCACAAGACTACGATGACTGGGCCATCATCGCCGGAGATGAGGGCTGGAACTCAGAAAACATGATGAAGTACATGCGGAAGCACCAAACTCTCGAACCAATCGCCGATTCCGTTACGGATCGTTCGACGATGCCTTTCGTGGGCGAATATCATGGTACATCCGGCCCTGCTCGGACTTCTTTCAATGACTGGAGACTTCCCATTGAGGATGACTTCATCAAGGCTTGTGACGAGGCGACGGGTATGACGAAGAAGCCAAAAGATCCCTTCAGTGGAGATCACATTGGATTCTACAATACCTTGGGCTTGGTCGCCAGAAGTGGACCGAACAAAGGACTGAGGAGTTATGCTGCCAGGGGATATTTTGCTGCTAATGCCCAGAGACCGAACTTGCATGTGCTGACGGATGCCATGATTCATCGCATCGAGCTCAACGGGGACACTGCAACAGGCGTTACCTTCGAGAGGGACGGAAAGATGCATACTGTCAACGCGAAGAAGGAAGTCCTCGTTGCTGGAGGTGCCATTCAGAGTCCTCAAATCCTTGAAATGTCGGGCATTGGTGATCCAGAAGTCCTACGAGCCGCTGGAGTGGAACCTAAGATCGAGAACAAGTCGATCGGCAACAATTTCCAAGACCATGTCCTCACTACTGGTGTATGGGAGATGCAGCCTGGTATCATGACTTTGGAGGCTATCCACAACCCTGCTGTGATGGAACAGGCGCAGAAGCAGCTTGCTGAGACTGGAGGTGGGCCTTTGACAAGTATCTGTACCATGCAAGGCTTCTTCCCTTACAAGGTACGACTCGAGCTCACGTACGAGTGGTGCAAGAATGCTGACTGCTGTGCGTAGATGTTTGCCACCCAGGAAGAACAGGATGCCATCATCAAATCGATTGAAGCGGATTTGCCCCATTTGACGCCTTTCCAAAGAAAGCAATATGAGCGCACGATCGAGCACCTCAAACATGACAAGTCGGCCAATTTGCAATTGGTTCTTGTCCCGTCGCACTTTGGCATGGAAGAGGGCATTGGGAACCAGTCCAAGGTCTTTCCTGCTCCCGATGATCCAAACGCACCTTACGCCATCTCCGCTGCCATGTGCTTACAGTACCCACTGAGCAGAGGAAGTGTGCATATCAAGAGCTCTGGTAAGTCATCGTCCCGTGTCGCGACATATCAAGTACTCACGTGTGTACCTTATCAGATCCTCACGTCCATCCACGCGTCGATCCCGCCTACCTCAAACACGAAGCCGACGTCGGCGTGCTCGCCGCTGGCCTAAAAATGCTGGGCAAAGTGGAAGAATCTTCGCACATGAAGAAAAACATCACGAAGCGTCTTTTCCCTCCCGCCAATGCGGATATGACTTCCACGGAGCAGATGAAAGAGTGCGTGCGAGACATTTGCATGAGCGAGTATCACGTTTGCGGATCAGTTGCAATGGGTAAGCTTAGCCAGATGTGGAAGACACCGCTTCAAGTCCGAGACAATTGCTTACCTTCTATCGCTTTTAGGTGAGGCGGTTGATACCAAGCTGAGGGTATTGGGCACGAAGAACGTGAGATGTGTGGATGCGAGCATCTTCCCCAGTCATGTTTCTGGAAACATCGTAAGGAAACCCCCTCCGACTAGTAAGAAGAACTGCTAACGCGTAGTCGTAGGTTTCTAGCGTGTATTGCGCGGCGGAGAAGGCGGCGGATTTGATCAAGGAGGATCACTTGTACGGGGGTTTGAAGGTTTGATCGTGGCGGGAAACGAATGGCAATTCAGACTGCACCTCTTCGTATAGGAAATTGAAATGAGATGATGCTTTGTGCTGTGTCGTTCACATGTCTGATCATTTTCACATGCTATTGCCAAGCCCAAGACTTACGCTTGTTACGTTGATTGAAACTTGATGAATCCTCGTCAAAGCTTGACCGCCGGCTCGAAGTGGACTAGATCGCTGCAGTGAAGCTTCATCCCAGCTGCGGCAGAAACGCGAGACTTCTTGAGATTTTGGCGTCGCGGAGGAAACAAGCTGCATAACACTCCACACACGCCGCAGAGATGGTAAGAAACACGTAAGCGCTGTTGGAGTACATTACTGACAAATGGCAGTCGCAGCAAATTTTCGAAGAGGGTTCGACCGAAGAGAGAGGCGAGAACGCTCGTCTCAGGCAAGTTCCTCGAAATCAGGCGCCTCACACGACCTCTTTTGCTGACTATTTTACAGCGCCTTCGTGGGTGCTATTGCGATTGGAGACTTGGTGAAGTCGACTCTGGGTCCCAAGGGACAGGACAAGGTGCGTTGGAAGAGCCAAAGAGCCTCGACCTGGTCGCGGAACTGACTGTTTGGTATGCAGATCCTCCAGAGTGCTTCGACCGGCGAGATAATGGTAACAAACGACGGCGCGACGATTCTCAAGAGCGTGGCACTGGATAATGCGGCAGCAAAAGTATTGGTCAACATCTCGAAAGTGCAGGATGACGAAGTGGGAGACGGAACAACAAGTGTGGCAGTTCTCGCTGCAGAACTGCTGCGAGAAGCAGAACAACTGGTGAACCAGAAAATCCACCCACAGACCATCATTGAGGGCTACCGAATAGCAAGCGTAGCGGCACTCAAGGCGCTGGAGAACGAGGCGACAGATCACAGCTCAGATCCTGAGGCTTTCCGGAGAGACCTGATTGCCATTGCGAGGACGACTCTCTCCTCCAAAGTGCTGAGCCAGGACAGGGACTACTTTGCTGGGCTTGCTACGGATGCTGTGCTGCGTATGAAGGGTTCGACGGATCTCACGCATATCCAGGTCATCAAGAAAGCTGGTGGCAAGCTCTCGGATTCCTACCTCGACCCTGGCTTCGTTCTCGACAAGAAGTTCGGTGTGAACCAGCCGAAGCGAGTAGAGAACGCCAAGATCCTCGTCGCCAATACCTCCATGGATACAGACAAGGTCAAAATCTTCGGCGCGAGAGTCAAGGTCGAGGGCACAGGCAAGCTCGCAGAACTCGAAAAGGCAGAGCGGGAGAAGATGAAGGCGAAAGTGGACAAGATCAAAGCACACGGCATCAACTGTTTTGTGAACCGGCAACTAATCTACAACTGGCCTGAGCAGCTCTTCTCGGATGCAGGTATTGCTTCTATTGAGCACGCCGATTTCGATGGTGTGGAGAGACTCGCGTTGGTCACCGGCGCAGAAATTACCAGCACCTTCGACCATCCTGAGCATGTCAAGCTCGGTCATTGTGATTTGATTGAGGAGGTCATCATTGGAGAAGATACGCTTATTCGCTTTTCTGGTGTGGCTGCCGGTCGCGCTTGCACGATTGTGTTGCGGGGTTCTTCCGAGCAGTTGCTGGATGAGGCCGAACGCAGTCTTCACGATGCTCTCGCGGTTCTCTCGCAGACGGTCAAGTCGCCAAAGACGACCCTCGGCGGTGGATGTGCAGAGATGGTGATGGCGAAGGCGGTTGATCAGGCAGCTCAGAACGTCGCGGGCAAGAAGGCGTTGGCGGTGGACAGTTTTGCCAAGGCTCTGCGTCAGCTTCCCACCATTCTGGCAGACAATGCAGGATTGGACTCTGCTGACCTTGTGGCGCGGTTACGCAAGGCGGTGTACTCGGGAATGTCTTCTTCTGGACTCGATCTCATGCGGCCTGGTGGTGGGATTGCGGATATGAGGGAGTTGGGGGTGGTCGAGAGTTACAAGTTGAAGCGCGCGGTTGTGTCGAGTGCCAGTGAGGCAGCGGAGTTGCTCTTGCGGGTGGACAACATCATCCGCGCTGCTCCGAGGAAGAGAGAGCGGATGTAAGCAGGTCCCCTTCCTCGGGCATTGCGGATGGCGTCCTGAACATGTTGTCCTGTAGATAGCCGCATTAGCTCGCCGCCGTATGAGTGAATGAATTGCACAGCTCGTGTCTCTTACCAGCGGATCGTGCCCGCCGGTCGTCTCTCCCTCCTTCTCACGAGCCGTCTCCGGCCCCAGCTTCAATGCCAATGCACTGATTGATCTCATACCCTCTTCTTTCTTGACCTCCGGGGAAATGGACGGCCGCGGCCCGGTGTTGTGCCTTTACAGCGTGGTTCTTATTCACTCGCTTCGGCGACTTCTGGCGGTGGTGCGCATGAGTGAATGTGTTGATATGAGGAGAGAATGTGAAAAAGCGAGAAGTTAAAAACTTATTTCGCGGGGCCACAGGGGAGTATGCCAAGCCACGTTGTTTGTTAAAGTGCGGCAGCGCTGGAGTACCCATTGTCGACCTCCGCGAGGACTCTGCGGCGTGACACCGCTCCAGTAGAAGGAGCCAAAACTTGTAGGCTGTCATCTCGCTCGTCTCATATGATCGCATAATTGCCAGGCTGCTGGGGAGGATGTGAGTAACCTGGCCGAGAGGGGGAGGGCCCAGCCCTGAAGTCGAGCTACAGGTCTTAACTCAGCGTGAAGAGTTCCTCCCCCCCCCCAAGGAGCAATGCAAGCTTTGCCGAGATATGTACACGGTCCGAATGCCTGCCCTCTGGGTCTAGTCCTCAAGAAGACCGTCCGAATGTCTAGAGTGTGGCGGGACGCTGTAGTCTCGGAGTCGCGGGCTGTATATATTATTTCACAAACATCGCTATTGGAAATCGGGCTGTGTGGCGAAAACTGGTCTCCACCGATCAGAGTTGCTCGGGGCAGCGCTTGCTTGCAAGCGTGATACAGCAGGTTAGACTCAAGCCGAGAAGCCGTTTTCTTTTTTGCCATTTTCGTTGTTTGATCTTTGCTTTTTGCTTTTTGGATGTAGGCCCATCCACCAAATGATCACGGACTTTTCGTTCCTTGCGCTGCGACCCATCTCCAGTAGCACCGTAGTCCTTGCGTTGACAGCTTTCTTTAGCCTTTTCGTGCACATTCTAATATTGTCCACTGCTTTACATTCAACTTTGAGAGCCAGTCAGGCCAGCAGTAGGCCTGGCCATGCATGCATCAAGCGCGGGATCCCGCAAACTCGAATCAATCGCGTCTTCACCAATTTCGCTCCAAGAACCTTGCTCCAGTAAAACAACCTTCAGAGTTCTCTGCGTCTGCGTCTGCGTCTGCGTCTGCGTCTGCGTCTGCGTCTCAAGATAACCCCTCTTCCGCCTAAAATGAAGCATCCCAGGCTGTATATACTGCAGCGACCACATACTTCGTCAAAAAGCCACCGACAGCCAGGAAATATCCGATCGAGGAAGTCATTACGTGCCGTCATCACCGATTCCATTGTATCTCACAGCAGCAGAGAGCAAGAAACGAACGTTATGGAAGGAGTACAAAGGGCAGCATTCGGGAGGTGAAGTGAGAGCTGAGAGCTCTCCCGGCCTAGCTTGTTCGTGCACGGACGGTCCTCTCGACGGGTTTCACAGCTGCCAGACAAACCCAACAACTGAAGCCTGAAGCGAGCTCCCGTCCGACTTCTATCTACGCACGCACGCACCACACTGCCTCTCTCTACCACACCACGCAGTAAGAAAGTAAGAATGGCATCCATCGCTCGCCTCATCATGCGGTCGCCGGCTGCTCGCACGGCTCCCTATCGCCAACGACTGCGAAACTACTCCACCGAACCTCCCCAACTGCGGTACGAACAGCCAGCACCGCAACCTCCAGCGCGCCCCAACCTCCACCGTGAATTCTACCGCGGAGGTGCAGGACGCGCCGTCATGTTCAATTTCCTGGTGGCCATGGCGACGTTCCAGGTCATCTATTGGGGATGGCTGAAATTGGAGAGTCTGGAGGTGAAGCGGGAGAAGGAGAGTGAGATCAAGAGTTTGGAGGGCGAGTTGAAGGCCTTGAGTGAGAAGGCTGAGAAGAAGGTGGAGGACTTGACAGGGACTGTTGGTGGAGTGGAAGGTAAAGAGGCGAAGAAGAAGGGATGGTTTGGATGGTAGTGGTATGGTCATCGCAAAGCATACGCCACAGGAACCCTGATGTTCAAGATTTCTGGACATCAGTGATATGGCCATTACAAGCAGAACGAGGGAGACATCTTCAGGACGCGAGGAAAACCCACAGAAGCGAGCACTTTGGAGTCTGTCGTCTATCGGTCTATCTCAGGACGCTTACCTCTACCATCGTCTCTATGTGTAGAACAAGCTGACAAGAAGAGGATGATTAAGCGAGGCGTGGCAGCGCGAACAGGCTCGCAATGAAGCCTGCCGCAGCGATATATGTTGCGATGCGCATCTGCTGTGTAAACGCATGGGCAAAAGCCTCGGCTACGAGCTGTTGCTGGGGAGGCGTGAACGTTGCAATCGCCAGCGGCGATCGGAACAGACTGTTGAGCTGCGCGGGGGACAGCACTTCGTTAATGGCGGAGGACGCTCGAACCCCGGCATTGAAAACGATGACAGCAATTGCGAGGCCAATGCTCCCACCAAGAGTCCTCATTTGTGCAAGCGCGCCTTGCGTAACAGCTGGATATAGTCAGTATGGAGTCGATCTCCAGGCGCGCAGCACGTACCAATCCACTTGGGCTCCACAGCGGTTTCCATCAGCCTCGTCAGACATACTATGCTTGCACCGTTTCCGAGTCCAATAAAAATCTGGAATCCATACAGCTTAGCCGGAACCTCTCTGGCATTGCCCAACGTTGTTAACAATCCGTAGCCGAGCAATGCAATGGCTTGGGCAACCACTAGCGTTTGCGCGGTATATCTGTCCTTTCTAGACGCCACGCCGCCAGCCACAGAGCCGATTGCGGAGAACACCAAGAATGGCAGCATCTGAAGTCCAGCAATGATGGGACTGCTTCCAGAAACGATCTGAAGTCGTTCGGGGATGTTGACCACCGCCAAGTAGTATGTAAATCCGAGGAGGAGTGTCGTCCTGTTTGCTGCTGTTAGAAAGGCCTCTCTTTTGCAGTTTGCTTCACTCACACTGTTGCCGCCGCAATGACCCTCTTTATCACGAGATGTATTGGAAATACCACCTTGATCGACCATCTGGGTCGTTTGGTGAGCAGGTGCTGCCAAGCTGCGAAGACGAGGAAGCACACGCCGGATACGACAAGGCAGGCGACGATCGTCGCGCTACTCCATGCGTATTGGTATGAACCAGCCGCTTGGAGAGCGAAGACCATGAGCGCCGACGCAGCCAGAAGCAACAACGAGCCGAAGAAGTCGACACTTGCGAGCGCAGCCCACGTGAGTTTCGTTCTCGACCTATCGCTTGGCCACGCGACAGTCAGGGCTCCCAAAGTCAAGCATCCGACGGGAAGATTGATCCAGAAGATCCATGGCCAGGTTGAGCGCTCACGATTGAAGGTGATTGCGCCGCCGAGCACGGGTCCGAGAACTCCGGAGCAAACCATACACACTCCTACGTAGGCCGCCATGATGCTTCTACGTTGGGGTGGAAGCATGGTCATGCAGACGACCATGCACATCGAGTACATGCCGCAGCCACCCATGCCTTGAAAGGCCCGGAAGATGATGCTGAACGTGTCAGCTTTCGTATATTTGACCTTGCAAAGATGACCCACAGCTGCGTTATGGACTGGCTCAAGGCACATCCGACTGAGAATCCGATGAATATGACCAAGGATGCGAGTTGTATGATTTTGCGGCCGAAGATATCGCTGAGACGAGATACCAAGATCGCGAAAGCTGGCGAAGTCGTCAGTATAGCTCAGTGAATGTTGACAGCAACTCTCAGTTGCAGCATCTGCCTCGGACAAATGCCAGGCCTGGACTCGGGCCGTTGGACCTGCTCTATGTGATGCTCGTGTAGAAACAACTTTCGACGCGCTGCGCACTTACCCATGTATGTGATGAGGTATGCGTTGATGATCCATGTTGATCGATCGAACTCTTGGAAATGGTCCGAGATGGCTGGAAGCGCGATGGCGACAATCGTGGTGTCCAGCAGACTCAGGAAGAAAGCGATGAAGGAAGCGATGACGATGACATTCAAGCGCCAGCCCAGTGGTGGTTTGAGTGACTCCTTCGAGGGCTGCTTTTCGACCTGCGATGCTCGTACATCGACCGTCTTCCGCTCTTTCTTGGGATCTAGAGTTGGCGTTGGAGTCGGGGCTGGAGTGTCTGGGTGGCCAGCCATTTGCGGTGTATGTCTGCAGAGCATGTCGAACAGGCTTGGCAGATCGACAGGTCAAAGTCGAGCTCTGAAGCGATCACTGGTTACGGTCCTGGACAGTATGCCATCCGGCGCCCGTGTCCCGTACTCTAAAAGGTTCACGTACGGGCGACTTCACGGGACGCGCCTTCACGACCGTCTTTTCGAGGCAAAGGAGACGAGCAAGAATGTTCGAGGACTGTTCACCATGGGAGTGCTGAAGAGTGATGGGGCCGGGTCGAAGGAGTGCTATTCCGACGCAGTTCTAGAACTCGAATGCGGGATGCGGCTGAATCCTTGTCGAAGTCTCAAGGTGAAGACGGCGGAAATAAGGTAGGAAGAGGTGAATCAGGCGGTGAAGAGCAAACGAGGGTTGGGAGTAAGTTGCAAGAGAGCATTCGATGATTTTGCATCCGCTCCCGTCCTTTCGACGACCTGGAGACGACTTCCGCCCCTCACCAGAGGTCACTGCCTCGAATTAGGCGAAAGACGTCGTCGTCGCTTCCTCAATCATACAGCTTCGCTTACGAATCCCGAAGCAGCATGCACGCCGCCGGTACCTTAGTCACCATCCACGCGTCAGCTACTCGTACTTTGAGTAGGTACCTCACCTCGACGTGATTTGATCCCACGAAGTATCGCCTGCCATTACTGGCTGGATGGTACTGCTACAGGCGTCGCTTATGCACCGCCGCCAGCTTCACGCATCACAGCCATTCTCGGGAGCCGAATGTCCGCCTGCCCGGCTCCGGATGACGGACATTGGGCCTCCATCGGCTATACAGGACATTCCAACACCTCAGGCGTACTGTAAACTACCGGAATGGTCAGCATCGTCTATGGCTACAGATGAAAACGAAATGGTGCGCCACTATCAAAGTAGACACCTTCGCCGCAATTGTAGCAGTACAGCTGCTGCGCGACTGTGACCCTTACTGACTTAGGTCTTGACGTCAAAAAGGCCTATGAACAGGTGAGGTGGCATCTGCCTCTTCACCTTCGGGTTCAACAAGTCAAATCATGCTGAACGGTGGTGCGATTGCTGTCCAAGCGTGAAGCGATGTCGAAACACCACATATCTGTCGCTATGAACAAGACGCTCTCAGGGTGATGCATCGATCGTCCTGCATTTGCAACCTTCGGTCGAGAGCAAATCCACGGCAGATTAGATTCGAGCCAACAATGCAGAATGAGCAACTTCATCAAATCATCAAGACCGCGATCACCGCAAGCACTGCACTCACGAACTAGCACGTGGAGCAAGTACATTTGTACCAATGAACGAGGGCTGGACAGATTGCTAGCTGTAAGCCTGCGGAAATGGAGTTGAAGCCAGGCATCGGCAAGCATTAGTATCTCTGTGGACTGACCGATCCGCTGCCATCTCCAACTCCTGAAGCTTCACATACTCGACACCGTGCCGAGGGAGGGCGACGCACAGTTCTCTAGCAGATTCGCGAGGTGCATGTCGCGTGGCCTCCCTTTGATCTTACATGTTCTAGAAGAAGCCTCGAATGTAGTCAACATTGGTTTGTTAGCCACCGCCCTTCAGGCCCTCGCCCTCAGCAGGAGGGTCTTACGCTGTACATAGCCGGGCGAGTGAAGGGTGGGCGCAGCACTGCATTTTGTTTGTCTACTACATTACTTACCGCATGTGCCTTTGCCCCTGCAGACTTCGTGCCGTAGCTACAACCAAACTGGAATGCCGGGTTCTCGGGCCGTTCGGTGAAAAGTCCTTACTCCGGAATAAACTTCTACACGCGCAGATGGAGCGGGGGTAGCGCGTCGAAACTGCGGTCAAGGTCAATGCGTCCAACCTATAATCCATCCCTGTACAGCCTCTCCCTTCTGCTCCGTAATGCTGTGGAGGCATCATTAGGAACCTCATCTGACCTTTTATAGCCCTAGAGATTGGTCAGTCACCATGGCAGTGCCATTGGAAGCGCTGATCACAAACGATCCAAACGCCTCGGCAGTTTTCACAGCAAACGATCATACATCCAACGAGACCATTGGACTCTACCTGTTTACCCATCATGCCCTTCAGGTCATTTGTGATGACACCGACATGGACAAGCCGGACGAGCAAATTCGAGGAATGGCTACCGCAATCTGGACCGGTCTCATGCCTAGAAAGAAGCTGTTCTGGGAACACCGCGCTGCAACAGCAAGATTGCTCGGTTGCGATGCAGAACGGTTCCTTCTCGCGGATGGCTCCACACGGCTGTCTAAGGACAATCGAGAGAAAGCTATGGAAGCGTTTGCCGGCTACAGACGTCGCGCAATGGGAGAATTTCTCGATGGGGCTGAAATATCGCAGACTGAAGATTCTGAAACCGAAGCCCTTGCTGCGGACCAGGAGCAGCTTCCAGCGACAGCGGTGCCGTCATCTCCTTCTACCTCTGTAACCAATGCCGGCGCTGAAACTGGAAGCTCTCTCGCTAAAAGGCTCATGACTGCCCAACAGGCTGTTGGTAGCGGACGTGGAGAGTCTCCTGAACCAACACCAGAAGCATATCGAGGACATAAATCACTGGCTTCGCAGATCGATACGTCCGGCGATTTCAAAGTTCCAGATGCTGCTGAGCTCTCAGCTCCCAAAGCCGCTGCTTCGCCGAAATCGACCAATATGGAAGCAACTGCAGCCACGTTTGTGCCGCTCAAGGAAGTCCCTCAAGGCACAGGCGATGACAAAACGCCCGAGACCTGTTCCACTATGCTTGCTGCAAGGACGGCCGCAGAGATGCAATCAATTGCGTCGAACTTCCTGCCACAGAGCTCGGCGACGTGCGCCACGAGCGCAAATTTGCTACATCCAAGCGCAGTGGATTTCACATTGCAGCCGGCCGAGTCTATCGCTACTGCGGCGATAGCGGACGAGCTATTCGACGATGGCAGTGACGACGATGTCAGCGAATATAATGGTTCTACGTCCGCGTCTGGGACCGAGAAAGCTGATATGGAATCCTCCATGTCCTCTCTTCCACAGAGCGCAACGGCTTCAACGCCGTCTACCCCCCGATGCTCGAAACTTGACTGGGCTGAGGAAAGTCAGAAATACTGGGATACAGAGCTACAGAAGAATCATCGGGACCTCAATTCTTCCAAGCAATCAGACAAAGCTTCTTTGCCGACGACTGCGCCTCGATGGAAGCCGAAGCAATTGGAAGGGGCTGAAGCTAGGCAGTCAGGCTCTCGAAAACCCTCGCCCAGCGGCTCATCGAGCGCGGGCAAGAACAAGGCTATTCCTTCAGTGAAACATGAGGCCTCTGGCCATGATAGGAACAATAATCCCTCAGCAGCGAATCTCAAAAAAGGTTGGCAAGGATTTGGTGACCTCAATGCGGCCAAGCAGTTCAGCGCTCAGGTGACGAAGAACAAAAGCCATACAACACACAATCCGATGCCGCAAGTCAAGCCCAATCCATGGTCGAAGCCATCGAAGGACTTGGAGTTAGCAAAGAAGCCAGCCAAAAATGCCTGGGCGAACCCACTGACCCGGTCTGGACCGGCCAGAGCGCAAGCTGAGACATCGATTGAGACGGAGACCAAACCACTAGAGACTTCAGTCGTGCAGATGGCAGCTGAAGACGGCCAGCGTTTCTTCATCTACCAGGCCCTACCTATCATATGTGAAGACCTCGATTATCACAAAGCCGACCAGTACGTAGAGGACGTGGCTTTGGCTACGTGGAACGACCTTCCCCGGCCAGCAAAGAAAATCTGGGCTGAAGATGCCAAGTTACTTAGAGGCGGTTCAGCACTTGGAGCGTCGCAGCTGTTTTCCACTGAAAGATTCGCAGAGTCTCGCTTCACCAATGACTATCGGACCCAGATTATCAAAGCGCTTGCTGAGCGTAACGACGGCGAGCTAAAGTATCTGCAACCGGAATACGACAAGTTAATTTCTCAGGAGAGGAAGCAAGCGTTCCGCGAAGCCAAGAGAAATGCGCGCATGCAGAAAGTGTACGAAGAAGCTCGAAGTCGTCCTGGCTCGAGCTTATCCAAGACCGCTTCACGCAACCATTCAGTCTCGGCATCAGTCAGTTCAATCCCAGCCATGGCAGAGACAGATGCTCCCCTTGAGCAAGAAGAGGAGCCCTCGTTGCAACAGAGTGAATCCCAAGCAGAAGTTGAGTCAACTTGTACCGTGGATGCTGGAGCTCAGTGGAATGAACCAGAAGAACATGCCGTCGCTGATCTTGGAGGATGGGACACCAAACGGAAGATCCCTGGTGCGAAGAAGAAAAAAACCAAGGAGCCCTCGTCTGCGGAGGGAAAGCCTGCTCCGAAGAACACTACGTCTACACAGATCGAAAGGCCCACAGCGGACAGCCCGTGGAAGGCAGGTCGCATTGCCTCGAAACCCAAGAAGAAGCTATTGAGACTCTCAGAGACAGATCCGATCTCCGCCGACACGCCCCCTACGCCTGTCGATGACGATTCAAGTTCTCTGCCCGTCTCGCGGCACAATACCACTGGAGGCTGGGACGAGAAGCGATATGTACCAGGAATGAAAAAGAAGAAAGCCGGCAAGGGCAAATCCGAGGCAGATTCCTTCTTTGATTCGATCGAACACACGATTCCAGCAGCACAAGTCACCCACGTGCAGGAAGACGAAGGCTGGACTGCGGTGCCTCGAGGAGGGAAGAAGAGTAAAGGCGGATGAACGCGATCTAATCCGCATGAATCGAATCTGATGGATAGTACCGCTGCTTTACCACTGTACGACTCGGCGCCGCCTCTGAGTTGGCTGCCAAGGGGAAGACTCGAGGAGTTTACGACCTTCTGATGTGAAGTTCTACGTGATTTGGTAGACGTCGATCGCTTGTGACCGCGGGCCTGGTCTAGCCCTAGTCTTCGATTCTGCGGACTGGAGTGACCCATCCTCTGTATCAACCTCCGCCAGTAGTATTATTAGGCTGATTGGATGTGTATCGACGTAGTATCGTAAGGGTTATCTTGATTGATCGAATCAAGGAAAGGGGAAGGTCCGAAGACACTTCTCGGATCCTCAGATAAGGATTTGAATTTGACTTGTTGGGACGTTCGTCCTTCTGAATTGATTCAAATCCACTACGCTGACCAGCCCGGTGATGGAAGCGCAACACGAAATATTATATATGTATATAGCTTTGCTTCTCTAGAGATAAAAAAAAGGATGAGCGGCTTAGCGTGGAATTAGCAGGGCTGCTCAGCGGCGCGTCGACGCGTAAATTGACTTTCCCCGCGACGACACTAAGGTGCATCGCATCCCGTCGTCTCCGATCCTTCTACATCTGAGCTGCACGCAGATCTGAACACAGGCACATCTCAATGAAACAGATCCTCTGCTGAGATGAAGTCTTCACAGCCGCCAACATTGACGCAATCTTCTTCACAAAAGAAACAGCAGTCCATCTCCAACTTCTTTAAATCCAAACCAGCAGCCACACCCACGAATGACATACAGGAGAGCCATGGCAACGGCCTGTTCGTAAGCGACGATGGAGAGCTGCCCGACACGAATGGAACACGAAAGACATCGAAGCGACCAGTTGAAGATGAGGCTGAAGACATTACACAGCCGGTCCCAAAGCGGCGGAAGGAGAGCCCCGACATCGAGAAACATGAGCTGAGCACATCCAAAGATCATGGTGTGGAGAAGGCGCCCAAAGCAACTGGCAGGACGTCCAAATACGCGTTCTCCAGCTCGCCCGCCGCCGACGGCAATATTGAGGAAGAAGAGGAGCCAGACGACGAGGAGGCCCGCAGGACGAAGCAGCGCTTGCACCAGAAGTTTGTCAAGAAGCTTGGAAGGCCTGATAGCATTGCGGATATCAAGCGGCGAAATGGCTTCATTACCGAAGAGACACAGGGAGAAGACGACGCTGAAGAGGAAGAAGAAGGAGAGCGAGAGCCATCGCCGCCACAACGGAAGGGCAAGAAGGCGGCTCCAGCGCAGCGAGGCCGAGGGAAGCTCACCCCAGGGGAGCAGCAGATAGTAGATCTCAAACGGAAGCATCCGGACGCTTTGCTGCTTGTCGAGACTGGGTACAAATACAAACTATGGGGCGAAGATGCGAGAGTAGCAGCCAAAGTGCTCGCAATTGTGTGCATCCCCGGGAAGTACAGATTTGACGAGCATCCATCGGAGGCACACCTAAACAGATTTGCGTCCGCAAGTTTTCCGACCCATCGACTGCACGTTCACGTGAAGCGTCTGGTATCTGCGGGTCATAAAGTTGGTATCGTGCGGCAACTCGAGACTGCGGCTCTGAAGGCTGCTGGAAGCAACCGCAGCAAACTATTTGAACGCGGTTTGACGAATCTCTACACAAAAGGCACATATATCGATGACCAGGAAGGGTTGGATTTGGCCGGGGCGGACGGTGGGGCACCCGCTACTGGTCATCTACTGTGCTTGACGGAGAGCTACCCCAAGGGCTCCGGCTCCGACGAGAAGGTGCAAATTGGTATGGTAGCAGTCCAGCCGTCAACGGGGGACATCGTGTACGATGATTTCGAGGACGGTTGGATGCGAAGTGAGCTGGAAACCAGGCTTCTACATATCTCGCCGTGCGAGTTCCTGGTCGTTGGCGAGCTCTCCAAAGCGACCGAGAAGCTGGTGCAGCATCTTTCTGGAGGTGATGATGCGCGCCTAGAGCGAGTCGACAAGCCGAAGACGATGGCTGCTCAGGCATACAGTCACATCACCAAGTTCTACGCCGACAAGATGAAGGATGGCGGCTTTCCCTCTTCACAAGTCCAGTCGTCTCAGGAGACTGGAACATTGTTGGACAAGGCCCACAGGCTGTCGGAAAACGCCACTATCTGCCTGTCTGCCATGATTACCCATTTGACAGATTACGGCCTTCAACACGTTTTCGACCTCACCAAGTACTTCCAGTCTTTCAGTGCAAGATCTCACATGCTGTTGAACGGCAACACTCTCACAAGTTTGGAGCTCTATCGTAATCAGACTGACCAATCCGAGCACGGAAGCTTGTTCTGGACGCTTAATCGTACCCAGACGAAGTTTGGCCGGAGACTGCTACGGAAATGGGTTGGTAGACCGCTGCTCGATCGCGCCCGACTGGACGAGCGTATTGCCGCCGTTGAGGAGCTGAAAGACGGCCACGCAAACGCACGCGTTGACAGAGTGCGCCGTTTGCTGAGTCGGGTCAGAGCCGACCTTGAGAAGACTTTGATACGCATCTATTACAAAAAGTGCAGCAGGCCGGAGCTATTAGCTCTACTGCAGACATTACAGATGGTTGCCAATGAATATTCGGATGTCACATCTCCAGCTGAAGCTGGCTTCCAGTCTGCCATGATCAACGAAGCCATTGCGTCGCTACCGTGCATTGCCGACGACGTTCTCGAATACTTGAATCGGCTCAATGCCGAGGCTGCCAAGTCAGATGACAAGTATGACTTCTTCCGCGAACCGTTCGAGACGGAAGATATCACTGACCACAAGGTCGGAATCGTGGCAGTGGAGCACGACCTCAACGAGTTCAAGAATACGGCAGCCGAAATTCTGAAGCGAAAACAGGTCACCTACGTGACTTCGGCAGATGTTGACTACCTTATCGAGCTTGACAATGCCTTCCTAAAGAATGTCCCGGCGTCCTGGGTTAAGGTCAGTGGTACCAAGAAGGTCTCCCGATACCACGCGCCGGAAGTCGCAAAGCTGCTACGTGAACGTGACCAGCACAAGGAAGCCTTGACCATTGCGTGCGACGCGGCTTTTCGAGACCTCCTGACTGAGATCGGTTCCAAGTATCAGGCGTTCAGGGACTGTGTTCAATCTCTGGCGCTGTTGGATTGCCTACTCTCCCATGCTGAAATAGCACAACAACCCGGCTACTGCAAACCCACCTTCAGAGACGAACCTGGCATCTCAATTGCAGCCGGGCGGCATCCAATGGTCGAGCAGGTCTTGCCTGACCCGTTCGTGCCGAATGATGTCCGTCTCAGCTCAGAGGGAACGCGTGCTCTGCTCATCACGGGTCCGAACATGGGCGGTAAATCGAGCTACGTGCGATCAGTCGCTCTGATCGCCATCATGGCCCAGATTGGGTCCTATGTCCCTGCTGACTCCGCTGAGCTCGGGCTCTTAGATGCGGTATTCACGAGGATGGGCGCGTTTGACAACATGCTGAAGGGCGAGAGTACATTCATGGTCGAGCTGGGGGAGACGTCCGACATTCTCAAGCAAGCTACACCGCGAAGTCTCGTGATCCTCGATGAGCTCGGGCGAGGGACCTCTACTCACGATGGCGTCGCAATCGCACAGTCGGTCTTGAGCCACGTGGTCTCGGAGATCAAAAGTTTCACGCTATTCATCACTCACTACCAATCGCTTGCGAGGATGGCTGGCCATTGGTCTACTGGAGGGCTCAAGAATGTGCACATGCGATTCACAGAACGGGACAGTGAGACTGCAGACGGGGAGAAGGATATCACTTTCCTATATGAAGTCGGCAACGGCATAGCGCATCGCAGCTATGGTCTGAATGTTGCCAGGCTGGCTGGGCTGCCCAAGAGTCTGCTGGAGGAAGCTGGAAGGCAGAGCAAGAAGATGGAGGAGGAAGAAGGGCAGAGGAAGATGAATTACCTGGCCAGAGCGGTGGGCGATGTCGTAAGTGGTGGCGGAGATGGAGGCGGGCTGCAGAGATTGATTGCTGGCATCGAACAGCTGTGAACGGGAAGAATGAGTTGAAAGGTCCTCTTCGAGATGTATCTAAGTACTACCTTATGTGTATACCTTGAAGAAGAAAGCGCAGGTTGCTTTCGGTTCGGAACAGTACCTTACTGCCGAAAGTCAGTTGCCCCGCAGCCGAAGCTTGGCACGAAAATAATGCGGCTACAGATTCTCGTGCTGTCCGTGTGAAGAGAGAAATCTTTAAGACAGCCACATTCCCCCCGTCGCCCTCGTGCACCTTCCTCCGAAATGGGTGTGCAGAAGAAGACGCGCAAATTCGCGGCCGTCAAGCGAGTCATCGGGCAGCGCGATGCCCGTCTCAAGAAGAATATCCTCAAGAACGAGGGCGGCGACAAGAAGAAAGAAAAGGACAAGAGCGACGAAGTGATCCGGGAGGTGTACGTTCTTTCCACGCACACACACAAACACACAGACATAGACACTTCTACCACGACGAAGATGTGTAATCGCTGACGAGACACACGAATCAGTCCCCAAGCCCCGAGTAGCATGTTCTTCCAGCACAACACGGCGCTGCAACCACCATACCAGATCCTCGTCGACACGAATTTCCTCTCGCACACCGTGCACCACAAACTCCCACTCCTCCCGACGATGATGGACACGCTCTACGCGACGTGCACGCCCATCATCACGTCGTGCGTCATGGCTGAGCTGGAAAAGCTGGGCGCCAAGTACCGCATCGCGCTGCAGATTGCGCGGGACGAGAGGTTCGAGCGGCTGCAGTGCGATCACAAGGGGACGTACGCCGACGACTGTATCGTGGACCGGGTGATGAAGCAGCGGGTCTATCTGGTCGCGACGAACGATCGGGATCTGAAGAGGAGGGTGAGGAAGATTCCCGGCGTGCCGATTTTGAGCGTGGCGAGGGGGAAGTATGTGATTGAGAGGCTGCCCGATGCGCCTGAGAAGTGAGTGGTGGCAGAGTGGAGTGAGGTGAGAGAGGCGAGAAGACGAGGTGCGATGCGATGCGAAGCGCTGAGGGATTGGCGAGGCGTTTTGGTGGGGATAGACCCGACGTGGGACACAGGTGCTATCTGGCAGGAGTGACAGGACTGCGATACCTCCGAAAATGCAAAAAGGGCCTCGTACATGGAACCAAGCAGTGAAAGAAACAATATGCTTCCGCAATCGCGCCGACAGATTCGTTCGGAGAAGACTTATTTGGCGGATGACGAAACACCTGGTCGGACAGCCCCCCGAACGCACTGCGTCATTCCGGAATCGATGGATTCAGGACACATCCGGTGTAGGCCGACGATTCGAGTGGCATGGCATCGCAGTAGAGATGAGTGGACGACGGCGGCGGAACGTGGTCAGAAGCGTGACTGATGGGTGGAGAATGGATTTCTGGTCAGGAGGCATCAGCATTCCATCTGCGCCAGCGATCAGTGCTGAGACCATACCGGGCAGTTTCAATCTGGATATGACCACGCGGAAGGGCTGAGTCGCTGAGTCGCTGAGTCGCTGAGTCGCTGAGTCGCTGAGTCGCTGAGTCGCTGAGTCGCTGAGTCGGACTCTTGGCTCAGAATGCGACGCTCTTGGCGACGAGTCTGTTCGAAGCTACTGGATTCTGGAAAGTCGCGAAGAGCCCCGTGAAACACTCAGCAAGGCGGTGTGATCCCAAGGTGATTGATTCCTGCGGAAGCACACAAAGGCAAGTCTTTCCGACTGCCCATCAGTGTCGTGCTGTAGTCATCCCCAGCACTGGATGACTACCTCAAGCGATGCATGCGCAGGAGAAATGCGCAGGAGATGCATCGCAACGACAGCAAGTAGTGCCTGCCACGAATTGCGATGGTGCAACGCGGCGCACCGGACGGAGTGCAAGCTGTCCATTCTCTAGTGCGGTGGGGTCTTGCAGTCCTGTCGTGATGTACCCAGTACGGTATCAGGCGATACCGGCAGTCCAACGCAGCCAATGGCCGGACGCTCTCATCACACGACACGAAAGTGCTGGAGCATGTTGGTGTGCATGCTGTTGCGGTGGCAGTGGTGCACAACATTCATAGTGCTGCTGCGTCGATGCCAAGGAGTGGCCAAGCTTCCCCCGTCGCATCGCTCGAAAGCGCAACGCAGCGCAGCACCCCGGACGCCGCCAACTCGAGCTCTTCATCGCTTCTTGCCACCCCACGGGTCGTGGGGCGTTCGGGAGTGCGAAGACAGCAGTCTGCAGGAGAGCTCACACGTCGCGGACCGGGAGAAGCCGACCACAAGAAGTGCGATTTTCATCACTGTCCGCCTTGGCTGGCTGCGAGTCTTGGTCTGCAGCATCCATCAGGTTTGGCAACGCCTTCGCGCTGCTCGATTTCTTGGCTACGCGCTGACTTCGGTCTCCACCGCTCCCCTGTCGCGCCAACGGCTTTGCTCGGCACGAAAGTCTTCGCTCGCTGCTACTATCACATGCGACACTCGGCCTCATCAAACCACGTTTCAACGCTCTCTTCCCGCGTGCTTGGCGATCCGCATCCCACCTCCCGCCGGCTTCCCCATTCCCTACCTCCTCGCTGCATGCCGTCAACTATTAAAACCCGCCGCTCCCACTCCCTCGAGCTCTTCATCTTCGTCTACTCATCCCATCAACGCCAACGAACTTTCACATCTCACACTTGAATATTTGGCAGAAGCCCCGATCCACTCTCAATCAACACCCCGCAACCAAAAACCAATACCAAGACAAAATGCCTTCCTCGCAACTCTGGGCTCCTCAGCCAAAGCGTGAGCAGAGCAGCGTCAGGACGTGGCTTTCGCTCTCACCCGTGAGTCTGACGCGCAGCACGACCATGCTTATCTCCCACTCACACCTTCCAGATCTCCTCTGCTATCCCATCGCCAGCAGTCGAGCCAGCGACTGGCAGCCCATCCGAGCTAAAGGACGAGCTCGTGCTCCTTCCAGCCGAAAGCAAATTCCTCAGCAACCAGTCCCGCCACTCTTCCATGTCGTCCACCGCTTCCACCGGTTTCCGACACCCCAGTCTGGGCCAGCGCGTGGGAGCTCACTGCGACATCGAGAGGAGAGAGGTCTTCCTTGCTCGCACTGGTGGCGTCGCCACTGCCTTCGGAAGCAACAACTGAACAAACGCTCCGAACGAGCATACTCGGCATTTCCACTTCACGATACGATACGATACGAAAACGGAACGATTGTGACACCACGGCCCCATGGACCGAGCGACGATCGTTTCCCTTCGGCTGGTTTCTTTCGCGTCGAATCTCCGGCTGTTCACATCATCCATCCACGGGCGGCACCGATAGAGAGGCGGCCGTCACGATCTAGATTCTAGACGACTATTATTGCTAGCGCACCACGACAGTCATTTAAATACTGTATGCATTCCGAGTCCCGACGACCACTTTCGGCATCCGGTGGAAATTGAGGGTACCACCCCATGACAGGACAAAGGGGCTCCCGGGCAAAACGAGCTATCTTTGTACCATATAGCTTACGAACCTCAAGTACCAGACAATCAATCAGTTTGCGCAATTCTCCACCCCGGACAGCATCTTGTTTCTCCAACTCGAATTATCCTCGTCGTCAACATTCAACTCTTCGGGCTAATAATAAGATGTGAGGTGCTGTTTGGCCGAAAAGAAACTCGAAGCGGCGGCAGAGGAGAGATCAGTTAGAGTTAAGCTTAGAGATTGCGCTCTTGGCTTCCAACCTTCCAACGTCGTGTTGATCTTACCGACATCTTAGCGCCAAAGTTTGAATCGAGTCTGGATTCCTTCTCGCACTTCGCGCTTCTGTCCTCGTCCGACGACCGCGAGGAACAAGATATCTCAATTCGATGATGATGAGAGGGTATTGTCCATTTCAAACATCCCGTATGATACTGGTTCTATCTACCAATAAAAGCCGATCTGTTGGCCATGACTTCTTCATTCGCTTCCAACCACTTTTGCCGTCCGCATCGAACAGCTATCATAGCTCGTCATACCGCAGTCACCAATGCCATCATCATCATCTCTCATGTTTGCAGAACCCCGAACATCATTCATAACTCTCCAGTACACGTTCAATGCGCTCATGTTCCTTCTCGCGTGCTGCAGTCTGAGCCTCACGCTTCCGCACGGCCTCCTCGTGGCTGGCAACAGCCTTTCTGATGTTATCTTCGGCAGCCTTCAGTTCCCTCTTTCGCTGCTTTCTTGCCTGGTGCAGCTTCTGTCTCAGTGCGGTGTGCTTCTTCGCACGTGCAAGCTCCCTCTGCTCGAGCTTGATCAGACCTTGCTTGTGCTGGCTCTCCAATATACGCAGATTACTATTCTCAAGCTCGGCAGCGAAGTCCACGACGTGGTGAACCACTTTCACGAGCTCTTCGAAGAGATTGAGTTGATGAGGTTTGAGGGTCGTGCACCACGCCATCAGATCATCGGAGAGAGGCTCGGAGAAGGCTGGCGCGGTTTTCTTCGGGGAAGATTTGGACGTTTCTTCCAAGTATCGTGCAGGCGCCGCTGCAGCTTCTTCGTCATCGTCGTTGACAAGCGTTTTGTCCGGATCCTCGCCCCACTCCCCATCCTCTTCCTCTTCCTCTTCCTCTTCCTCACTTGTGCCTCGAGAGCCGTCGATTCTTCCAGCGAACTCCATGTCCCGTGTCTGACTTTGGGCCAATCTGGCACACTCTTGAACACTCTTGAGCTGTTCGTCCATTCCTGCTGTCAGGCGAGGCGAAGAGTCCTGGGTGAGCGTGAATCTTGATATGACCTTGCTTTCCTCTTCCGGGGAAGCCGGCTTCGGCTTCTTGTTGGCGTTGAATACGGGCTGCCATAAAGGCGGCGAGTGGTCCGAAGACAGCGGAGCTGACTGATCCTTTGAGAAGGTTTCAAGTACAGTGGACTGCTCGTCGACCTCCAACTCTGGCGGCACTGGACTGCCGTTGATGTCCACAGTCTGCGAGCCTTGAGACAGCTGCTGGCTGCGTCTTTTGAGACCGTTCTTGTGCTCTCCTATCTGCTCGGGCACAGCGAAAGTGGTCGAGAATTTGCGCTTCTGAGAGGGCCCTGAGGTCAAAGGAGTTCCTGCCATCTCGTGCGCAACGGACAGCTTTTCACACTTCGCCAAGGCAGGTGCAGCCTTTGTAGGGACGACATTCTTGCTTGAGGTAGCATCTTCGCCCCGCGATGATTGAAGCACTTGCTCAAAGGCTGTCGGAGCCTTGCCGATTGTGCGCTTGGCAGCCTGAGGAGCTGGATCAAACGCAGCTTTCAGATCTTGACTCGGCACGGGATCTTCGTCCATCGTTATTGCGCAGTCATGGTCTGGCTCAAGTGCTGCGCCCTGTTCGGTCGAGTGTGACTTCGGGTTGATGACATTGGGCGACTTCTGAAGGGTTCGCTTCTGACGCTTGGGAGCTGGCTCGAGAGATGGTTCCGGCTCAGATCCTTCGTTGATGTTAACGAAGTCGTCCTCGTCATGTTTGGGTCCTGCGGACTCTGAAGCAGGATGTGAAGCTGGCTTGATATCTTCTCGTGGCGCCGTGGTCGCCGGCTTCAGTACTGCTGGCTTCGGCGGTGAAGGCTGTGGAGGTTCAAGTCTCGACACCGCGGGATGCGAAGCTGACTTGGCCTCCCCTCGTGCGGCCGTAGGCGCCGTGTTGTAAACTTCTTGTCCCGCCGCTGCAGACTGTGTGGCTTCAAATCTCGACACCGCAGGTTTCGAAGCTTCTTGCTTGAATGCTGTTTGCCCTGGAACAGCAGGCTTGCTTGTGGAAGCGAAATCGTTGAGTGCTTGGCCGACGCTTTCAGCAACGTTACTCGACGGTGCTCGTGGTCGTGAGTAAGTAGTGCACATGCTTTTAGCGGCAGACGACGGACCCTTGCGGCGAGTGGAATCGCGGACCTTCCGACTGCTTGGTGCTGCAGACCCGGGCATCCGCTTCATGCCCTGGTTGCGAGGCCCCGACTTATCGAATGCAATGAGTGTCGTCTTGGTCGGAATTCTCGTTTCGGGCGCCGGGGGGCTCGATCTTATGGCAGCTGGTGTTTGAGGCGGTGGCCCCTGGACCCTCTCCGGAGAACCGTCCCAAGAGCTGGACTTGTCATTTTCAGAGAGTTCTATGACTTGGCTTTGGTTTTTAGTAAGAGCTGCTTCTTTCGCGACAGGCTCTGCGGATGATTTTGGTGGAGCGGGCTGAGTTTTGGCCTTCGGAGCGGCTGTCTGCACTCGAGTTTTCTTTTTCGCGCGAGCTGGATGGTACTCATCGCTGTCGTCAGGCGCGGCTTTACTGCCTCGCTTGCGCTTGGCAACAGCCTTAGTAGTCTCCTGCTTCTCGGCCTTGATGGATCTCGCGACTGACTTTGAAGCTTCTGCCGACTTCGCAGTTGCCGTCGTCTTTTCCGTCTTCGGCGCTGGCCTCGAAGCCGGTTTAGGGGATGGAGTCTGCTCAAGTGCAGGTGCAGTCGCAGTCTCTTGGTCCACTTCGGGCTCAGGCGCTGACTTCCCTTGGACTGCTGGAGTCGGCGTCTGTTGGACTTGCTTTGCTTTCAGAAGGGCAAGCGCGCGTTCCGGCTTCTTGAGCTTGCCGGTGCTCTGCTTGGCTTCGGGCATGATGCTCGTTTGGGACGCAGTTGATGCAGTCTCGTTGCTGGTGTTTCGCACCGATGACTTCAACGCGGATTGGCGCGTCTTGCTCTCCGGGGTCAGGTGGTCAAGGTCTTCCTCAGTTTCGTAGCCCTGGCTGATGTTAATAAGCGCTTGGCTCTGCACGGTGCGATACCTCTTCGTCATTGCGTACGTCGCATGGGTGCGTGTCTTGATGAGCGTGGCGTGTCGCGGGGTGGAGTCGAGGTTGATGTCGAAGTAGGATCGGAAGCTCAGAAGTGTCAAAGCTTTGTCCTCGCGCGGCTGCCTGAGCGACTGTTGTTGATGGGGAAGGAACATGTCGGCGTTGCAGCCGACACGGAAGGAGCGGCCCAACCACGACCCCGAGTCACAATCGACAAGGAGGATATCGGCACCTACAGAATATCATTCATTCACAATATAACAAACCCGCAGCGAAAGACCAGACTACATCATCAAACAGAGCGAACGTACGTGACATTTGGCTATCGCAGCCTCCAGCATGCATCCAAGTGCAAGAAATTTGGTCCGCTCAATTAAAACATTGGATATTATGCCTGCATGTATGCGGAATGATATATCACCAAAGGCTTTCACCACAAGCAGGCCGGGGCCAACTCGCCTTGGATTGACTGTCCAGAACCCTGATCGGGGAACAACAACACCGCGTGGCGAGCTGTGTCGTGAAAGTCCAGAAGGAGCCGAAGACGATCGAAGAATTGTAGCCTTTCCGGCAGGTCAATCTCGTGCGGTGCCATTCATTCACTTGGAAGGGACGCTAGTGGGAGTACCCCTTTTCCTGCGGCCCCGCGGAGAAGCAAGCTCTGGGACGAGCATTACGTCACCGATAAGTGAGGCCGCCAGCGATGATGAAGGCCCGCCTGTGGGTAGAGGTGCCGTTCAGGTCCATCCACGGTCGTGGCTACCAAGATGCCGCTCTTGGCGAGGGGGATCGTACGCGACAGTGTCCGACATTGAAAGCAAGGTCCAGGTCCTTCTGCGGCCAGGATGAAACTGGGATAGGCAGACTGCTGGAACTTGGCTTAAGTCTCATTCAATGGCATTCGACACCATAACCTCAAGGGAGCCTTTCGGAAAGATAGCGCTCGTGGACGCGGGCACTCTCTGGCATTGCGTTCTCCACCCCAGTACGTTCTCCCACCAAGAGACATGGTGCTTCTTTTATGATTTTGCTGAATTTATTCCTGGATCCACATATATTTTTCCGGACTGGCAGTGGTCATGTTCTTGCTTCGAGGAAAAGAAAGGATCGTTGAGAGGTATAATCTCTTCCGCCCGCACAGCTTGCTATATTATATGACATCAAGAGAAATTTAACATGTGAAACAGGACATACTCATCGCTGGAAGATCGAGGCTACGAGTCCGGAAGAGTAGAAAGGTGATCGAGGAAGATGAAAGGACGAAGGAGTTAGAGAATGAGGCACCTTAGATCCGCGCTAATGAACCCTGTCTGTACGTACGTCACTTCAACCGAGCCATCCTCACGCGTATCACACGCGTTTCAAACAGTCAATACATCTTGACCATTGCATGCCACAAGCCTGAAAAGACCCGATGGTCGCCTGTCCAATCTGCGAGAAGCCCGTGAAGGAACCTGACATCAACAACCACATCGACAGCCAATGCAAGTCATTCATCGATGACCCGGGTGCGCCACCAAGCACTCAGGCAGACGGACCAAAGGCAAAGAACGCAAAAGCAGCTGGCTTCTTCACGCCAGCCACAAAGAAGAATGCGAGCTTCAAGGCAGAGGACACCTCGTCTCCTCTAGCACCGGCATCGAGCACGCAGGCAACGAGACCGAAGCCATCATTCGCAACCTTCCCGAGTACCGCACCAGCGAAACGGACAAGAGAAGACGAAGATGAGGCAAGGGAAGAGAAGAGCCAGCCTAAGTCAGCTGTTCCAATACCGAATAAGAAGCAGAAGAATGCACACGCTCCATTGGCAGAACGCATGCGTCCGCAGAGCCTCGATGAGGTCGCTGGACAAGAGCTCGTAGGGCCGAATGGAGTCTTGCGCAACCTGATTGTGACAGATCGCGTGCCTTCGATGATACTTTGGGGAGGTCCTGGAACAGGCAAGACTACCATCGCACGATTGATAGCTCAGACGGCTGGCACCCGTTTTGTGGAGATCAACAGCACTTCAAGCGGAGTAGCAGAGTGCAAGAAACTGTTTGCGGAAGCAAAGAACGAGCTGGGACTGACAGGGAGAAAGACAATCATCTTCTGCGATGAAATCCATCGCTTTAGTAAGAGTCAGCAGGACGTTTTTCTAGGACCTGTAGAGGCAGGTCAAGTCACTTTGATTGGAGCGACAACGGAGAATCCGAGCTTTAAAGTCGTAAATGCTCTGCTGAGCAGGTGCAGAACTATGACTCTGGCCAAACTGACCAATGAGGACATATTCGGCATACTGAAGCGAGCATTGTCGCGAGAGGTGCTGTGCTTGCCGACTCCGTCTCCCAGTCCGTCCTCAGACGGCCGATCCGAAGATGCTGTCAACACCCAGGGATCAAGCCTGCATCTACTCACAGAGGACGACTACGCTTTGGTCCGCTATTTGGCAGCATTCGCGGATGGCGATGCTCGAACAGGACTCAATCTGTTGGAGCTAGCTCTTGACCTGTGCCAAAAGCCATCCGTCACTGCCGAAGACATCAAGAAGAGCTTGACACAAACGCTGGTGTACGACCGCGCAGGAGACCAGCACTACGATACGATCTCCGCTTTCCACAAGTCCGTACGCGGAAGCAACGCCGACGCAACCTTATACTACCTGGCGCGCATGCTCCAAAGTGGCGAGGATCCGCTCTACATTGCTCGGCGTATGGTGGTTATCGCCAGTGAAGATGTCGGACTTGCGGACAATAGCATGCTGTCGCTCGCCACTGCGACTTACACTGCGGCGGAGAAGATTGGCATGCCCGAGTGCCGAATTAACCTCGCTCATTGTGCCGTCGCACTTGCTATGGCTCCAAAGTCCGTAAGAGCATATAGAGGATTGAACGAGGCTTATTTGGCGTTGAACGAACCAGGTGTCGCAGGCCTGCCAGTCCCGGTCCATCTTCGGAATGCGCCCACTAGATTGATGAAGGAGATGGGCTACGGCAAGGAGTACAAGTACAATCCGGACTATGTTGAAGGCCGAGTTATGCAAGACTACTTGCCGGAGAAGCTGGAAGGCCGCGCATTCCTCGGAACGAAAGACCTGGGCTCCAAGGTCGACCCCGAAGTTGCGGAGCTGGACGAGCAGCTCCGCCATGCCGAAGAGTACGAAGGCGGAGATGAAGTTCTCTTGAACCCAGACGGAGATTGATCAAGTCTTCAAGCCTTGCCGAAGTCCTTCCATTGTGGACGGTCGTCCTTGGACGGACGGAGGGCTCATACCTTTGGTGAACACCGAATCTCGAACTGCACCAAGCCACTTCAGCATGGTCCAGTGTCCGTGTTTCATGAAATGCCAGGCAGCGGTGCGCAAGGGGAGAAACAACCCAATCTGGCCTGTGGAGGAGCTCACAGGTTCGCAGAGGTACGGGAAGCATCGACACATGTCCATCACATACGTAGTAAGCTCCTCGTCCGTGACGACCTCACCTGGATCTGGGAACCAACCTGAGGAAGCTTTGTACCGGGACGTATGCAGACTTTGGATAGCAGAGCGCAGGAAGTGTTGGACATCCCAGCACACAATGACGAGATACGCGACCGGAAAGCTCGGGAACATGTACGCCTCATCAATCGTGCGGTCTGAGACAAGACTCGTGAATGTTGGAAAGTCCTCAATCTTGGTCAGCCAGAATATTTCCGGTTCAGCGGGATCCAGCAATTTTGACCGAACTTTGAAATCTTCCATCCACTCTCGGAGTTCGGTGCCGAGTCTTTTCCCCTCCTTGAGTGCGGCATCGATGTCCTCAATGTATGTAGGCGACTCCGGGTCCAGCTTATCATGCCTTTCCAGAAATGCTGGCACCTGCAGTGCTGTGTCGTAGAACAGCGTGGCCATGTCCACATAAGAGACTCTCCACGCCACAGCCCGCCATTCCGGAGTTCCCAGGAAGCACGCCTTCCTCGCAATCAAAGCATGGCTCAAGGCGCCATGTCTCATGTTCGAGAACAGAAGTAGCGCCAAGTCACTCTGAATCGAACTCGGCCCTCTCGCCGCAAGTACCCGTTGACTTCCTTCAATATGCTTCATCCATCCATCTCCCACCTGCGCAATCTCATCGTAGAATTCACATATCCCCAGGATCGACACAGTCGCGAGGACGTAGTCGTCCCGTACCACGCCTCCCCGACCGGTCGACATGGTCCTCAACAAGCCACCCAAGGATTTCGAATACGCCTTCACCGCCGACTTGAGCAGATTCGGATCCTTATATATCGACCCAACCTGCACCATCGATAGAGCATCCAGGGAATCCGAAACTTCAGAGCGCAGGCCCGGCGTGCTAATGAGATGTTGCAGGAAAGAAAACTGAGAATCCCCGGGTCCTGTGCGTTGGGGCACATAAGTTTCCATGAAGGCGCTATAGATCAGAGACTTTTCCACTGCGGGCGAGGGAAGGTAGGTTGGGTTGGAGAAGAGAGCCATGGAGTCCGCGAAGTCCATGAGGGATTCGTTACGATGGAGAATGACGACTTGTCCGTATTTGGTGGTGGTGGTGGTGGTGGGATCATCATCGCTAGTGGTTGTGAGTGTGGACGAGTTTTTAGGTGAGGTGGTCGAGAATGGTCTCGTGGGTAGTACGATGGGCGGTGCTTTTGTTTTATACTGTTCGTGGGCTCTGCGCACCGTCGATTCCGTCTGATCGTGGAATTCGACCTGACCTGGTGCCGGGAGACGGTAGCCTGGACAGGGGACGCCGTGGGTTTCGCAGCGCTTACAGCCCTGTTTTTTTTCGCGTTCACGGATTATTATTCACTCTGTCGCTTCTGCTGGTTTGGTGGGTATTATTGATTATTACTCACTGGTCTTGTCTCATCGCATCTTATCTTCCGCTTGCGACAGGTCAGGCAGCCGGTCGAGCGGGCGGGCATTTTTGTTTCGTAATCAAAGGGAAATGGTGCGTCCCGTTCGAGGAGGTCGCGGAGCCGCAGAGCCGCAGGGCGAGGTAGCAGGTGTTGTGAGATGATGATGATGATAAGGTGAGGTGAGGTGAGGTGAGGTCTTGGAAGGATTCAGGATCAATAATGACGATCGTGGTTGTGCCGGAACCCGGACTACTCAATTGATGATGATGATTGTTCCATCTCATGCGTATGAGCAGACGGTATATTGATGAAGTAACCAGAGTAAAACCGTTAGTCGGATACCTGAAATCTTGGCTAGAAACTGGAAGTGCTCCACAATCGACCTCGCCTCCAACGTCGTCTGCCCAATATAGCCATCACGACATCGCCGACGGTCCTCAGCCGCATCCATATGAAGCATTCCTGTCGAGTTGGTACTGCGTAGCCCGACGTTGGATCTCTATTAGGTCTAGCGTATATATCACACGTTCCATGGACGTCCAGGTATATCGAGGAGTCGCGATAGAATACGATTAACGTAAGGTAGGCGTGGTTATCGACGTTTCGTAATGTGTGTTCCTTACCTTATACGAAGTATATACGCATAGCGTAGGCTTTGTTTTAGAGATTTGCGTGCGCGATAGAGGCCACGTAGCGTCAACTTTACTTTTTGGCACTAACGAGCGGTCGGCTTTCTGCTCCGGTGAGACTCATCAATCAATTATCTTGAAGAAGACGCGCTGAGACCTTCTCCGCCGCCTCTGCTCCCAGGGCAGTCTTCGCTGGTACAGACTTCCGTGGGAGAAAGCGGGACATAAAATATCACTTATATTCAGGAAGACGAAAGGATGGACAACAATGCAACTATTCTATGTCGGTAAGATGTACAGCATGAAGTTTGCTAACTTGATCCACAACCCCCTCCTGAATAATGAAGCATCGAAAGCCCAGCACCACCCTATGGTCTTATCACTGGGATATCGCCTTTCTGCGAGGATATAGTCTGTCTTCTCTTCTTTTCTCTTCGCAGCAAAATTCTGCTACTAAGAAGCTTCATATCTTATGCCGTTCATGCCAAGTTGTCTCCATCATCGCCTACACCTTCTCCCTCGCTACTCTCTTTCCTCTACACACATCTGCTCGTCTTCCGATTCCATACCCGCAATGCTTCCTATTTCAATAGTTCATTCATGATCACACCTGTCTTCGATGTCTTATGCTTCTTCAAAATCGTTTCTTGCCTTGTCGGGTCCATCAGAGCTGGACGATTCATCGCCTCCGTTGGACTGTAACCTCGCAGTCGAGATGAACTGCTGGAAGATCCTGCAATCGTCCATGCGCTCACCGGGAGTGCCGGTCGAATCTACCTCCACCACCTCTGCGTTTGCAGCAAGTGCGACTATAGAGTCCATTCCACCAACCCTCGCGTAGTTATCGTATTCAGGGTTGTATCCAAAGCTGAACCAGTCCTTATCCTTTATGGTAAGTCGAAGCTCGTCAAGCTTGAAATCCAAACGAGGAAAGTGGACGATGGGGAGACCAGCAGGCTCGCGACAGCCCAACAGTAGATGAAGACGCTTGATATGGGGCTTTGCGGCGGCTGGAAACCCTCGCAAAGTCCCATCGAGAATCGACCGAGAATCGATGGAGAAAGAATTGAGTCCGTAGTAGATGGGCATTGCTTCTCGGTATATCTGCCGACAGGTAACCGGAACTTCCAGGTCGAGATGACACAGTTCAACTACTGGCCACATGAGGCGGTTGGGCCATTTGAAGCAAGGTCCGGTGCGGTCGAGATCCCTGCCCCAATCAATGGAGGTACGGATGGAGGTATCGATGTCGGTGTACCAGCCCACACTTCCTCCGACTTCGTCGCCAACGCGATGGGAAACTGTCCCCTCAAGACGGCCTCTGATCCGCAGCCCTGGGCTCGGATAGACCAATAGCTCCTCATAGATGGAATTGCGGATCTCTGCAGGCAAGTCCAAGAAGCGGAAGATGCCCTTGCGCTCTTTGCACAGCCGTTTCTCAAGAAATCTGCGCGCCTGAGAGGCCCGAATCGAATAGTGGCAAGACCTGACCTCAACAAAGCCATTTGCGCCTTTTTCTCCTCTCACCATGAGCGGAACTTTGTAAACGATCGAATGCGGAATTGGATCTACGCACTGACTCCACCTCGTCTTTGGGATCCATGATGCAATCGGTGTCGTCGTACCTGCGCAGCCTGTGGACGCTATGATCGACTGCACGAGCGATGAAATACGGATAAGTCGTGATGATCGCCCTGAAAATCTCTTCTTTGGACATCCATACAAAGTCGCTGGAGATGATAGTCATGACGACCAATTCGTCTGATGTGAAGGGGGGCTCTTCTGTCGAGTTACGGTATGGGTCGATGAGGACTTCGATCTCCTCGCGAAGAGGCTTGCGAGAGCGGAGAACTTCTCGATCGGCGTCAGATGCCTCGTCCATGACAGGCTCTGCCGGATGCACAGCCTCAAGGTCGGTGCTGTCCATCGTGGTTGTAGAGGTCGCTGGGAGATGGTCGATGTACTGTCGTGAGGAACGCCTTGAAAGATCTGACGGTGGATGTCGCGGAAGTGACTCGGTTGTAGTAGGCGATGATGTTTCCATCAGAAATGGAAAGTACGACGCGAGAAGCCGAGTTAGGTCAAGCGCGGGTCCTGCCTAGAACAGCACGTGAACAAGAGCTTCCACGCGTGTGCAATACGATGCTTTCGGGTAACCCAAGCGAATTTGATACCCTAACCAACTCTCGTTGACGTTCAATTCAGTCCATTCTACTCTCACACAACTTTCACTGACGGGACCTCTACAGTGAAAAGTAAAGCCATTGTCATAGACCAGACGAACAAAGCGAGCAAAGGTGAATCATCGGTAGGCCGCACAATGCGCATGATCTACCAACTTCTGGCTCTTTGTGAGCTTGGTGAAAGACATCGTTATCGATTGCGAGCATGATAGAAGCGTGCGCGGTGATGCGAGTGGGGTGCTGACGAAGAGAAGAAGAAGCCGCTGAAGAGGTGATGTTGTGTCGGCGACACCAGTCGATATAGCCTGCCGTACAGAGTGATCAGCCGCGACGGTGCGGCCCCTTCAAAAGTGGATCTCTCGCGGGACATTGCTCTGCCACTGACGACGACGATAATGTATCCTGAAACGCGGCTGTTTTCCATCAAAATGCTGCTCTTGACATCGAAGCGCCATTGCGACGAGCGACCCTCGCCGTCGACATGGGGCGCAGTAGGTCGATGATGTTGCTTCTGGCAGTAGTAGTTAGTTGTGCAGGGCTGTACTACTACGAAGCATTTCATGATGTATACAGAGCGCTGGGAAGTGCCACGGCGTATGTCAAAGGCTCGTTGGAAGGAGAGAGTCCGGATACGGCGCCCGACGAGCCACCCTACGGAGCTGTAGTAGCTGCAAGGCAGAATCGTGTGGACCTGTCCTGGATGACGACCAGTATTCTCATGGAAAGGTATGTGCTCGCCGGCCGCGCAAATTGCAATCACCTGCTGATAGCCAAAGCTGGGAGACGTATCCATACAACGTAGACAACCCTCAGAACTCGGATCCGCGGCTTCGGATTCCAAAGAACAAGGGCCACGAGGCAATGGTATACTTGTCGTTCATCATCGACAATTACGATTCTCTGCCGTGGTGTACCTTCTTCATACACGGCCACTTCCTCTCCTGGCATCAAGAGACTCCAATATCGAGACGCATCAGCAGCCTGAACAGGACTGCTCTCGCTCGAGAAGGGTACATCTCGTTGAGATGCGACTGGTATCCAAGCTGTCCGGCAGAGATCCGTCCGCATGCACACGATGCCATAGCTTGGGGACCGGGCATCAAGCACCGGGAGACTGAGGAAGCCATTGCCGGGAACTGGAGACAGCTATTCCCCGGAGAGAGATTGCCGGAGACGTTAGCCTCGCCTTGCTGTGCGCAGTTCGCGGTGACCAGGAAAGCGATGCGCAGGAGGCCCAGGGCAGACTATGAGAGGATGCGCGAGTGGCTTCTGGGCTCATTGCTTGAGGACGAAGTCAGCGGTCGGGTGTTTGAGAAGCTGTGGGCGTATATCTTCGTGGGCGATGCGGTGCAGTGAGTGAGATGCTGAGGGAGATGCGATGGGTTGGACTGGGATCGTAGAGCTGACTAGCATTCACAGTTGTCCGCCGCCTCAACAATGCGCTTGTGAGTTCTTCGGCCAGTGCGAAGAACACGAATGGCAGGAGCCTCCCGAAGGTCTCCAGTCGATCCCGAATTGGCCATGATCCCGGCCTTGGCCGTAAAGCGCGTTCGGGCGGGAAGGTGCGTTGGTGGGAACGCGTGCCTTCCCCCGACCGCAGCACCAGGCTTCCACATTCTTCTGAGGATGGGTCTATCTCCTCCTGATCAGATTCAATCCATACGGCATCATGGAGGCCACTCACACGCCCCTGCTAAGACCTACCCTGCACATCGAAGTCCTGCTCAAGAGCAAACAGCCTCCGCTCATCGCGCAAGAAGTCTGCGCCAGCATCAAAGAATGCATCCTAGACCGCCATGTCGACGCCAAAGTCGGGCAACAGATCTCTGCTGGTATTGTTACGCTTGACAACATTCATGACGAAACGGGCCCCGAGCTTACTTCATTAGAAACGAGCGACCACGCATTAATCATTCAGTCGGCTATGGTGGTCGACTATACAGGACCCAAGGGCCTCAGTGACTTTCATAGGATCGACGAGGTGTCGCTGGACATCCAGTCGTACTCGCTACATTCCGACCAGAGACCAGGCCAGGAAACCAGCAAACGTCGCCGTATCAGCCAGCCGGGAGACGATGAAGAAGTCCAAAAAGCCCGCATGTTACCATTGCCCAATGTCGCTCTGAAGGATGAATGGGACTCTCTCATCTACGACAATGCTCTGCCGGCTCAGCTCCTACGCTACCTCACACGAATGCTCGGTGTTATGAGGCAACCGGGCCTGAACCTCAGCACCTTCAATTGGAACCGCCTGTGCCTCCTGCATGGACCACCGGGCAGTGGCAAGAGCACACTGTGCCGTGCTCTTGCACAAAAGCTCAGCATTCGCCTGTCGAAGACATTCCCCCAAGCTGTGTTCGTAGAAGTCAACACGAACTCCATGTTATCCAAATATTTCGGCGAGAGCGGCAAACTCATCAGTGCGCTGTTTGAAGACATTCACGCCATGGCACAGTCATCTGGCACGCTTGTATGCGTTGTCATGGATGAAGTTGAGACAATTGCAGGCTCTCGTGAAAAGGTGTCCAGTGGCGGTGAATGCAATGATGGCTTGAGAGTGAGCATGTTCTCTTGCCGCTGACTTTACTCCTGCTGACATCAATCGCAGGCCACGAACCAGCTGCTCACTGCTCTCGATCGCATTCGTTCCGCGCCGAACATCATCGTCCTTTGCACCAGCAATCTCATCGATGCCATCGATCCAGCGTTCTTAGACAGGGTCGACATCAAGCAGCTCATACCAAGCCCGTCTGCTGCCGCCATCTACAACATCTTCAGATCCTGTCTCAACGAATTGGTCCGCGCAAGCCTGATAGATGTGATGGCTGCAGAGGTATACTCCGAGTCCGCAGTTGGTTCTTCCAGCCTAGCACCATCTGCCCCGTCCACGAACAAAAAGCGAGCGGTCACTCGGTCCAAGAAGAAGCAGTCCCCATCGCCTCAAAAGCCAGCGTCCTCTTGGCCAGAGCAGTGGACCCACCTCAGCGCACCAACAATTCCAAGTTACTCGGAGATGCAAATCTTGCTACATAATCAACCAGACTCTCCAGGGCGGCGAGTTGAGGCGTTGGCCCAGAAGTGTGAAGGCTTCAGCGGCCGTACACTTCGCCGTCTGCCTATATTGGGCCTGGCGATGTATACGTGGGGAGGCGACTGCTCTCTTCAGGATGCTGTCTCGGCATTGGAGGCGGCGGTCGATCAGGAGCTTAAGGCGAAGCAAAGCACGCGGGAGGGATAGATGCGAAATGGTTGTCTTGTGGAAGTGTAGCAGTAGGCTTTTTCGCGTCCGTGGTGGACGCTGCATCGAGGGGTAGATACCATAGACCTTATTTTGCCATCATTTAATGTACGACTCGGCAAAGTTTCGCTCATGCCCCTTGCATTACAGATCCCAGCCCCGCGGTGATCGACTGTGGAGTTCTGCCCTTGCACAGCTTGCACAGTGCTTGCTCTTCCAATGACCAACTCGGCCCCTCCCTGACATTTGGACACGCGACATCTTCATAAACCACAGCAAACAGCTCTACTACTTTCGATCACCTCACGTCACAGCTCTACCCAACATGGCATCAACCCTCAAAGGCCCCGGCGAAGCCCGCACATACGACGGTAATATGCTCCCCTGCCATGAGATCCCACATCCCACATCCCACATCCCACCTTTGGCTCTAACACCGTCACCCTCTGTCCGGCAGGCTCATCCCTCCGAATCGGCATCCTGCACGCCCGCTGGAACACGAAAATCATCGCCGCGCTGCTCGAAGGCACGAAGAAGAAACTGCACGCGGCAGGCGTCCGGGAAGAAAACATCATCACGCAGAGCGTGCCCGGGAGCTACGAATTGCCGTACGCGTGTCAGCAGATGATCCAGGCCGGGCAGACGCAGCAGCAATCTGGCCTGCTGCAGTCGGCCACGGATCTGCTTTCGTCTTCCACGACGGATCTCACTGCTGTTGCGGAGAAGGGGAAGGGTGGTGGTGGGGCGGCGGGGCCTTTTGATGCGGTGATTGCGATCGGGGCGCTGATCAAGGGGAGCACGATGCATTTCGAGTACATCAGTGATGCGGTCTCGCATGGTCTGATGCGGGTGCAGTTGGATACTGGGGTTCCGGTGGTGTTTGGGCTTTTGACGCTTCTGACGGAAGAGCAAGGACTGGAGAGGGCGGGGATCGATGCGGCAGGGAAGGGACACAACCATGGGGAGGATTGGGGGAGTGCAGCGGTGGAGTTGGGGATGAAGAGGAAGGGATGGGCGGAAGGGAAGTGGGTTGATTAGGAGGGGGTAAAGCAGATGGTCGGGACGGACACGAGGATCATTTCAGGGAAGCTCAAAAAGGGACAAGAATTTAGACGAATTGCACGAGATATGCGGCAGGAAGTGCTTTGAATGGCAATGGACTGGCTATTCATCGCTATCGGGATCTTCTTCTGATTCTGCCTCTTCTGCACCGGCCTCTCCCTCGCGTTCGGGCTCAGGCGCATCGCTGACTTTGCCGTCTAGGACGAACGCCCCAAGACAGGTGATCCGGTTGCCGGTCTCGTGTGTCGCGACCAAGCGCCCACACTGTTGCCCTTCAGACGCACTGCTAAGTTCTGTTTGGGAGACAGACCAGATCCGCACTGCGCCATCGCTACTTGCCGTCACAAATGCGAGAACGCCAGACACTTCGAGAATCTCGAAATCCTTCACACGACCCTCGATCCCGGCAGCTCTTCCTCCCAACTGTGCAATGATAGGATATTGCGTCAACCCCTCCTCATCCGCCTCGGCATGAAAGAAGATGATCCGCCCATCCTCCGTCGACATTGCGAGCACGCTCTTCTCCTCTCCCAGTGGCACGAACCGCATCTGATGGATCTTGCTGGCTGGAGCGGGCTTGAATACTCCCTTCGCCTTCGCGTCGAGATGGTAAAGCGCAGCGCCCCTCTCGAATCCCACGACGTAGTTGTCGCCTTTGCCATCAAACAACACTCGTCTTCCCTCTCCCCTGCCCAACTTTCCCTCCCCGACCGCGGCAAGCAGATCCCTCTCGAAATTAAGAACAGCAGCTTTCTTCCCCGTCATGAGATTCCAGAGTCTCATGCACCTCTCTCCACGTCCGACGCTAAGCATCAGCTTCTGCGAAGGATGGATTGCGAAATCGTTCACTCCAGCCGGAATTTCTCCAGGTCCGGCTGTGTCTCCTGACGGACGACCTTGGGGTTTGGGGATGGGGGCTTTGATGGAGGAGAGAATGGTCCAGTCCCTTGTTCTAGCAATGGCAATGGTGGCATCCTCTGCTGCGGAGAAGAGTTTGGACTTGGTAGGGAAGGAAAGCTTAGCGATTGCGCGATCATGATGAGTCAGAGAGCCGAGAGATTTGTTGCGAGGGTTTTCTGCTATCGTAGATCCAGATAAAGAAGGAAGATTCGGTCGCTTGGGAGCGGTGGTGGGTAGGGATGGAGCCGTCGATAGACTGTAGACATTTATCCTCTCGTCCGAACTGCCCGTGGCGAGGAATCGTTTATCCGCTTCCTGAGGTGGGGAGATTGCCAGACACCTTATCGCTGCAGTGTGGGCTGCGAAGAGGAAGATGTCTGAGAAGGTGACGTTTTCGTTGCCTGAGGTGCCATTTTGGGTATTCGAGGGTGCCTGGTCGAGGAGACGTTGAGGTGGTATGCTGGCAGATAGGCCGTGAAGGACGCGCTCATAAGAGCCTGTGATGATCTGGATGTGGATGGGTCCTGATAATGCGCCAATTGCGGTTGAGGTCGTGTGTTTGAGTGCGGCATCTCCGTCCTGCTGGGTGGAATTTTTCGTGCCATTTCGAGCAGCTTTCTTCGCGGGATGTGGTTTGGCAGGCGCGGCTTCCCTTTTGCGTTTGCCCGTGAACGTGGCCATGTCTGCGCCAGAAATACACACCGTGAAAACGCGTGTGGTGAGGTTGACGACGTGAGGTGATTTTTGGGCGGTTGAAGCTGCGTCTGGAGAGATGGAGATGGAAGTGAGTTTGCAGTCACGTGAGTGTCCCTGCTTGTCTCGTCCCAGCAGGACAAAGGCAGGCGCGACGCATCTTGTCACCTCACTCTCTGCTCCCCGCAAAGCACAGCCCGTCGCATCGTCGCATCGCCGCAGAAGATCCAACGACGCCCAAAGTGTTGCACTCGCCCATCGGCTGCCATCCACCACCCCCCGAATCATCATTTTTCATCTCTGCGCACACTCATCACCGGCTCTGTTCTTCATTCTCGAAAAGCAGATGCCGTGCTGTACCGCCTCCAAGGTCCATGTCGACACTGGCCGAACTACGCGTGACTGAGGTCCAATCGCGGAAAAATGAGTTGAAGTGCGTCCATCCACACCCCAAAATTCTCCATACACGTCTTCACACGCGATTTTATTCATGAGCATCGTTTGCGCGTTTGTCTGGCAAAAATGCCGTCAAAATTGAGCGAGTTGTGCTGACAGCGTCCACAGGACTCTGGGTGGGCAACATTGCGCCCGCCTAAGAACACTTTATCACATCCATGCTGCGATTCAAAACAACACCTCTCTCTCTGCCCTTGTTCATACTCCATTCGACTCGGAGAATCCGGACTCCGATGAGACTTTATTTCTCGAAGGAAATGACTTATCGCGGTACGTGGCAGTGCTTACCCGTTGATGGGGATCTTACTAACAATCTCGTGATAGCGGCTTCAATACCAAAGCATTGACTCTCCTTCCGGGGCCAGCAACACTACAACAACAACGCGATAACGACCCCATATCCACATCAAAACTCCCTTCCGACCCTGCTCTATCATCTGCATTGCCTCGAGAAGATGCGACGCCAAAGACGCGCGCTCAAGATGGCGCTGTCGCTCCCCTCCCACTCCAGACAGAGCCGTCGCAGCCCAAGGCCGGGTTGCTAGACTCTGGAACCCCTGCAGGCCCTCCAGTAATCATAGCAGAAGGGACTCCAGGAGTCGCGAACATTTCCGACGATTCGGTCAAGCCACTCGACTCCAACATCGCTCCAGCGAAGGTTGCGCCGCCTCTGCCAGAGGAGGGCGCTGGTCTCGCCGGTACTGGTGAGCAATACTTGTTGGACCAACAAGCTCCTCAGAAACCCGCCGATACAGTACATCTTCCGCCCGAGGAAGTTCAGGAAGAGAAGCTGCGCGAGCGAGAAGCAGAGGAGCAACGTCGGAAACAGTCGGATGCAGACTCCAAGGCCTCGCAACGACTGGCAGCACCTCAAACCGAATCTGCGTCATCTCCTTCTTCGACTGTTGCCTACTCTGCGGCAACTCCACAGCCTCATCACGAAACGTCAGACACGTCGCCAGACTCGGAGCATGCGCCCGAAGAATTGACTCCTCCCAAGGACCTACGGCCATCTCTAGAGGAGCAACGGCGGAAAGATGAACATGATCGTCAACTTGAGGCACAGAAGGAGCTGGCAAGGCAAAAAGGGATGGGCGACGTTGCTGTCACTCCAGATGATCAGCTCAGATTAGAAGAGCAAGAGGCTGCCGCTCGCGATGCGGAGGAACGTGCGGCACGAGAAGCCGTAGGAGGGCCAGAACATGACAGCAAAGGCGATCGATATTCGACGGAGGCCGCTCAGGTTGCCGGAGAGATGGAGGTCGACAAGCGGCAAGCTGAAGAGCATACTGTGGATGCTAAGCCGTCTGTGCAATCGGTGGAAGAAAAGGCAGCACAGGCAGACCAACTGATTACCGAAGAAAATTCTGCTGCAATCTCCAGCGAGCAGTCCTCTCTATCAGCACCTGTTCCGACACCACCATCAGCGCAGCGAAGCCAACGTGGGACACCAGCGGAGTCGGCGGGGAAACATTCCACACCAGCTCCCAGCAAACGCGAAGGAATGACGACGAGGGTATCTTCTGGCGCTATTCGACCCAGATCTGTCTCCGAAATCATTGATAATTTTCAGTCACCTGCTGCGGAGTCTTCGCCCGCTCAAAAGGAGATTGTGTCGCCCGTGTCTTTCTCGCCAATAACACAGCGACATGCCCAAGAAACACCGAAAAATGTTGCGTCTCCTCAAATGGTTTTGTCGCATCGACAGTCAGCTCGTACTCCACCATCGACACGCACGCTCAGCATGTCCACCTCTGCACTCGAACAACTAGAAGTCTTGAAAGGCGCCGCTGAAGACCCCGGAAAAGATTATCTCGAGCCTCTCTTCAGGATCCAGGCCCATGACCTCCCCGGCTCAGGGACCAAGCCACTTCCAGACCTACTGAAAATGGACCGAAAGACCTTGTCTACCGAGGATCACTTCACAGCCATGCACGAGCGGCTGGACTTTCGGATGCTTCGACGGATATATCAGCTGCAAAATGCTAATAAGTGGTCGCTGCGTCAGATGGAAAAGTGCAAGGAGCCGGAGCAGCCGGTGACTCATCACGATCACATGATGGCTGAGATGAAGTGGATGCGAAAAGACTTCAAAGCTGAGCGAAAGATGAAAAAGAGCATCTGTGCGGTGCTCGCTCGGAGCTGTGCTGAGTGGGTTGCAGCCGATGCGGAAGGAAGAAAACAGCTGCAAGTGAATGTGAAATCCCGCGAATCGAAGCAGTCTATTGGTGGTGCTGAGAGCGTGCCAGAGCTGGAGCAGGCGGGAGACTCGGCAGCGGAAGATGATTTATCGCCACCAACTCCTCGCGAGGGCACTCCCTTGCCAATTACCCTCGTTGTGGCCCCTGAACTGGAGGAGCGCGTGAGAGAGCTTGAGCAGGCTGGCAAGCTATCGAGAACGCTCAAGTCATTGCCGCAAACTGGATTGCTGGATCCCCAGCTGAAGCTTAAGAGAGAGTCAATCACGAAGGTTTCAAAGTTCATTGGAGCAAGGGTATTGCCAAAGAGCTCCAACCCTACACTCAAGCGGTCGCGATACGATTACGAAGATGAGGATGAATTCGTCGAAGCACAACCAAGTACTAAACGGCTGCGAGAAGAACTGCCACCTGAGCAGCCGGATTACGCACTGTTTCATTCAGACAACAAACCGATTCGCGATCGCTTGCACTCGAACAATGCTTTCAGGCCCCCGTCCGAGTTCATCATGCCTTCCGTTTCCTTCTACGAGTTCCGTGCCGGCTCGCAGTGGCTTTGGGAAGACGAGCAGAAGCTCAAAAAGTTGGCAAAGGAGTACTCTTTCAACTGGTCACTCATTTCTGACGAGATGTCGTTACCGAGCCGCTACAAGAGCTCCTCTGAGCGTCGAACGCCCTGGGAATGCTTCGAACGATGGGTTGAGCTGGAATCGTTACCGAACGACATGCGCAAGACGGTCTATTTCAAGACATGGTACCAGAGGCTTGAACAAAGCCAACAGGCCGCCGAACAGAGGTACAACAGGCAGGTACAACACATACAGCAGGCGCAGCAGAACGGTGTGCAAACGCAATTGCCGCTCAGGAGGCGCACATTGCCGAGCCGTGTGGAGAGAAGGAGATCTGCAAGATACCTTTGGATGGTCGATGGGTTCCGCAAGCTGGCTAAGAAACGCGAGCAGGCTGCTTGGAAACAGGCTGAGAGTGAGTTCATCCAATGCTTTCCCATTTCGGGGTGGGATCCCTGTGCTAACGTCACCTTTGCAGCTGCTCGCGCCGCAGCACAACGAAAATCCCAGGCTGAAGCGAACCCGGCTCAGAAGATGGTTAAGATGACCCCACAGGAATTCAGCAAGAAGCGACAAGAACGTGACCTGCAAGCCCTGGAGTACATGAAGCAGCAGCGTCTTAAGCAGATCGAGGCTCAGCGTCAGCAACTGGCGGCTCGTCAAAATCAATTGCAGCAGCAACAGGGCATGCCGAACGGAATGCCTAATCAGCAGCGTCACCAGGTGCCAGGCAACCCCGGTCAGCAAGCGCAAATGCAGGCCAATGGCCAACAAGTGCCGAACATGAACGGACAGGCGGCCGGCCAGCAGCAATTGCGTCCGGTTGTCCCTATGGCGCCTCAACGGAATGGTCATTTGGCACCTCCACAGGTCAATGCGCAAGGGATTCCGCAGGCTCAGATGCAAGCTCGAGCTGCGATGGCTCAGCACCCAAATATGCAGCCACAGATCGCTCAGGCAAATGCTCAAGGCCGGAGCCCTCAATACGCGAACCAACAATTCCAGATGCCGAACGGTAATATGCCAAGCCCAGGTGGCAGTAACCTGACGAATCAACAGCAGTTGCAGGCGAACCATGCTCTGCTACAGGCGCTTCAGCACAATAATGCCCACCAAAACGCGAATGGAAACCAGTCGTCTACACAGCAGCAGATGTCCGTGTCGCCCAGCATGCCACCTCCACCAACACCGCAGTCTACCTCTCAGCAGCTGTCTTCCGGTCACGTTCCACAGATTGTCGCAATCAAGGAGCGACTACGCGCTGCAAATCCCGGCATGTCCGAGACGGAGCTAAGTGCGAATGCGACCGCACAGATGAAGCAAATGTCTCAGTCCCAAATCCAATCGCAGTCAACGAGCCAGATGAGACAAAGCGCCATGTCTGCTGCTGCCGGGATCCCGAACCAACAGCAAAATGGTATGCAGCAGGCGCAGCAATTTGCGCAGAATCAGAGTTCGTACCAGCGCAACGGTCAGATGGTGAATGGCATGAATGGAAATGGCGTTTACATGAACGGTGATGGCAGCACCCAGCAAGCCAACATCAGTCCTGCCCCCAACACGAGCAGCCCATCCGAGCAGCAGCGCCAACTCTATCAACAAAACATGTACCGACAGCAGTTGCAGCACAAGCAGCAGATGCAGATGCAGAGCCCACATACCAACCACGCTCAGCTCAACGGGAGCCCGAATGTGGCGCAGGCGAGCCCGAACATGACGCCAGCGAGTCCATCGGTGCAACTCGCCAACACTCCAGGCCAAATGAGCGGCGGAATGGGTACACCTACTATGAATGGACAGCGCCCACCGAGTCGAAGCAACACGCCTCAGATGCAGCGCCTTGGTAGCGCTGGCAGCGGCGCTGGAGGGATGGGCAATGGAATGCAGAGTCCCGGCGCGATGCAGCAGGGCAGTCCGCGCAACATACAAGCAAGCCTAGCACGCTAGGATTTCCTCTTCAATCAAGGCTGTCACGCCTTAGTGTAGATAGTAACGGGTTGGACGATTGACACGATTATAGCATGGCGTTGGAGGTGTTGTCGCAGCATTCAGTAACAGTCACTGCCCCTGAGCAGGCACGCAAGAAGGCGACACTTGGCAACATTACAACATTACAAAACATCAATGAGACTGCTGTTTGCACGTCAGAATCGGAATATGGAGATCTCGACCTCATCTGAGGTAAGCAAATGCTTGCAGGTATCACGTTCGATTCTTGGTCTCTGCTACTAGAATACAGGTTTTCGAAAACTGTCAGGACAACACGCTATGCTATTTCCCAGTTCTGCCCTTCAAGACGTTCATGACAAGCAGGGTGCTGGTCATGAACGTCTTGATATTCGGCAAAAACGCGGAGCAAATACAGCTGATGACACCAACTCAAATGGTCATATCAGACGCACTTCAATGAGTCTGCGTATGCCCATTGGCTGGCATATTGGGTCGCAGCTACCATTGCCTGCCTGGCTCGTTCCGGGAACTCTTGCCGCGGCACCAGGAACTTGGGAAGCATATGTCTTCACGAGATTCGTGGCGGTTTCCATGTTTGCTCCTGCTCCGGCTGCTGCCTGGCCGACGTAGGGTGAGAGGTGTTCTTTGAAGCGGTTGAGGAAGACGTTGAAGTCGATCGCTGTTCCAATGAAGCCACCGAGGAATCGTACCGACAGAGATAGAGCGCCTACTGTGCCGACGAATTCATCGGCAGCGGCGTAGCAAGCTAGCGTTAAAAGGCTGGGGCAATGATACCGCCGTTGCCGAAAGCGGAAAAAGGTCGCCAGGGCGAAAGGATGGCACGTGAGAGAAGATCTCAAGCTATGCGCGCCACGGTGGCGTAATCGATCTACCTTCTAGTAGGATGCCTCGGATCTCTTCAGTAGGTGGGATGTGTTCGGAAGAATGTTTCTGCTCAAGATCTCTGCTTTTTTCTTTGTCCTTCGGGTATCAGCTAGAAGCAAGCCCAAGGAAGTCACGGCGACTGCATCTGCGGTGATGTTTCGCACTTGCCAGAATATGACTTGCAATGCAATGCAATGCAACACTCGAGATGGAGTACAAGATCAGCATGCGCTTCTCTCGTCATCGAAAGGGTGGCTCAGCCCGTCCATGAAGTGGAAATGGTGTACCGCCTGAGGAGATGTACGCGACCTCTTGAAGACACGCGATGGCGTCTTGTACCTCAGACATCGACGGCCACAGGCCACAATTCTGTGGTTGATGGTTTGTCGATCATCCGAGCCGGAGACATGCACAGCACCACGTGCACAGCGTGCACAGCGCAGAACTAATCCTTGCCGCCAAGACCATCACAGGACACCCGACAGGCATTCTCCTGCCTCATCAACGACGACACCTTCTTGCTTCTTCGCCTTCCTCCACCTTCATTGCACGCCAACACTAACACTCCTCCGACATGTACCTCCCCTTCTCCACATCCCGTGCTCGCCGACATGTCCACAGCAAGCCAAAGCCGGCGTGCACTCTCATTACCTCTCAGCTTCACGGCTGCAACCTTCAACGCGCCTCTCCCCAGTACTCTCCACTCACACGCCAGCTACGAACAGCTTGAGAGGAGCCCGAGATGGAGAATCCAGACGAGATCTGCTGCCACTGCTGCATTTCCTCTGATCCTCTTCCTTCTGCTCTCCGCCATTGACGTAGCAGAGTAAGCTTCTTGGCAAGCTTTCACGCCCTGACACGCGCAGCTTGATCAGCCGTCTTGCCTGCCTGTATGGGACGGTGCAGTCGTATAAGCCATCGACTTTACACGGCGGTCTGTCGGATGGCCATGTTGCTGCTGTCTGATATAGGGCCACATTCCACTCCGTTTCTGAGCAGGTTTGTACATTTCGCTACCCAAATTCCTTCGATTCTAGTTCTGCTGCCATCATGTTTAAAAGTGTGCAAGGCACCTTGGCCTTTGCTGGCCTTGTGGCGCTTTCTACTTCTTCTTCACTCTCTGCTAGGGACGTCACCACAGCTAATGCCGAGTCTGCCTACAATGCACTCATGCAATGGTACAACCAGCAGAATGGCCTCTGGATCCCGAGCACTGGATGGTGGAATAGCGCGAATTGTTCGTCATACTCTATCGAGTTACACTAGCACTTTTAACATTCATAGGCCTGACTGTAATTGCGGATCTGGCGGCAGTGGATGGAAGTCTCAAAAACGCCGTCACCAGCGTGTTCAAGACGACGTACACCAAAGCTCAGCAATACAACTCCGGGACATTGACAGTTGCCAAAGCGTATGGGGTTCAGGGCGCTCCATCTGGCCCGTCCTTTCAGAGTGCCCTGGCGCATACCCAGGACGATTGGCAGGCTTGGTTGCCCGTCTCTCATTACAACTTCGAACTTTCGAGTGTCCTGGGTGACCTTTCAGGTGTCTTGGCCCGCGATCTGACTGAGCGCGCGAATACTGGATTCTTGGACGGGTGAGTTCCGGAGTATTGGGAAACATGACGGATTCTAACAAAAAGTAGCTATTATGATGATGAAGGATGGTGGGCATTGGGCTGGATCGCAGCATACGACTTGACTGGCAACACCACCTACCTCTCCCAGGCACAAACCATCTTCAACGACATGAACGCCGTCTTTGGCAAGACGAATTGCTCTACGATCAACGGCGTGACGGGTGGCATCTGGTGGGACAAGTCGCACAGCTACGTCAACGCCATCGCCAACGAACTCTTCCTCGACGTGGCTGCTCACCTCGCAAACCGCGTCAAGAACAGTAATGTGAACTACCTCTCCATCGCCAAGCAACAATGGGCCTGGTTCCAGGCCAGCGGCTTGAAGAACTCTGGCAACACCATCAACGATGGCCTCGATCAATCCAGCTGCACGAACAACAACGGAACCGTCTGGTCCTACAACCAAGGCGTGATCCTCGGAGGGCTGGCCGAACTCACACGCGCCACAGGCGATACATCCTACGTGACCGCCGCGCAACAAATCGCCGACGCAGGCATCGCAAAACTCGCGACCCCGAACGGCGGCATCCTCCAAGACCCCTGCGAGCCGTCGACATCCTGCGGTGCGGACGGAAGCCAATTCAAGGGCGTCTTCACGCGCAATCTCCAGATTCTGCAGAAGCAAAGCCCGCAGAGCAGGTACGCGACGTTCTTGGACAACAATGCGAATGCGATCTGGGCGAATGATAGGAATTCGAATTCGCAGTTGAGTCTGAAGTGGAATGGGCCTTTTGTGAGCCCGGCGAATGCTTCGACGCAGAGCTCGGCGATGGATGCTCTGGTGGCGAGTCTGGCGACTTGATGTGTTTTATCTATCATGATGGATGGAGGAGGGACACGGCGAATAAATGTTTATGAATCTCTGCCAGTAGGGCTGACACGTTGATTGGATGTTTCTGGACGGACGCTAACGGATGGCTGTAGAGTAGAAGCAGCAGAAAGAAGCAAGGCAAAGACGCCAACCTCTTGGAATGCGACAGTTTTATTGGACCAAATGTGACTCGCTTTCGTCTACTTCCAGAAGCACGGCATGGCATTTAATAATAACTGCATTGTTCACTTCCAGGTTGTTACACGATGCACAGCATGTGCTTCTTGGCATGCGATGGCACGGATGGCCCAATGACATGAAGAGGTCTGTGTCTTCGGCTCCTCGTTCTCGGGTGGACCACAGACTGCGGAGTCGCACATCCGGAGCTTCTTACAAACAGACGGAAATCAACTCATCCGAGGCACCAGACACGCGCCAGGAATCGCCACGGAGAGTGAGAGGCAAAGAGGGTCAAGAGCGTGTCCGTGGAGTGTGTGCTCCTCTCTTGCACATCGTCCCCTCATTTGGCAATCTCGCCGCCGCCGACTTCCAATAGATCTGATTGGTTCCTGGCCGGTACCGAGGCAGATCGATCTATTTTCTCCTACTTCATCATTACCACCTCCAGGCACTCATCTTCCACACCTTTTCCTCACATACACCGTCTTCTGTTGTTGTTCTTTCGAGCACAAGACACGAGCAGCGCACTTTGCATCTCCCGACATTCCACCAATCTGACCATTACAAGCAAGCCGAGCTTCCGTACCGAGAAGCGCGCCGCAACCCATGGCCTGGTTTCCCGAAAAGGGCGACGACAGCTACGACGTGATTGTCATTGGCGCGGGTATCTCGGGCGTCAACTTCGGCTACCGTCTGCAGGAGAGATGTCCCAATCTGACCTACACCATCTTGGAAGGCCGACATGAACTGGGCGGCACCTGGAGTCTGTTCAAGTACCCCGGCATCCGCTCCGATTCGGATCTCTACACCTTCGGGTTCCCGTGGCGACCATGGCGAGAGAACACGGCGATCGCGCAGGGCGATCTGATCAAGAAGTATCTGAATGACAGTGCGGAGATGTACGGCATCGATAAGAAGATTCAATACAATACCAAGGTCAGCGATGCTGCGTACGATACCACGCAGAAGAGCTGGACGTTGCAGGCCAAGGTCAATGGAACGCAGGACAAGACTTTCCGCGCTCGGTTCATCTTGATGTGCACGGGATACTACGATTATGAGACGCCTCTCGAGACCAACATCCCGGGTATCGACAATTTCCAGGGCCAAGTCATCCACCCGCAATTCTGGCCTGAGGATCTGGACTACTCGGACAAAGACGTCGTCGTTATTGGATCCGGTGCAACGGCCATCACCGTCCTCCCCGTCATGGCGGAAAAGGCAAGGCGAGTGACCATGCTCCAGCGCTCTCCCAGCTACGTCATGGCCGTTCCCGGGCAAGACGCCGTCGAGCGCTTCATCAAGACATGGCTCCGATGGGCACCGGGGCTGCAGGACTTCCTGATGCGGTTGAAATGGATCATGTCCCCCCTCCTCCTCACCTCCCTGTCCGCAAGATATCCCGAAAAGATGAAGCAATTCATGTACAAGGTCACCCAGAAACAACTCCCCGCCTCCATCCCCCGCGACCCGCATTTCACACCGAGCTACTTCCCCTGGGAGCAGAGGATGTGCATGTGTCCCGACGGAGACTTCTTCCGATCCCTCCGCTCCGGCAAATCGAATGTGGAAACGGGCGTGATTGAGAACATCACGCAGGACACCATCAAGCTCACCGACGGCAAGGAACTCCACCCGGACATCATCATCACCGCCACGGGCCTCAAACTGCGCTTCGCCGGAGGGATGAACGTCTCCGTCGACGGGCAAGCCTACGCGCCCTCGGAGAAATTCGTCTGGAAGGGCGTCATGCTCGAGGATCTCCCCAACGCCGCTTTCGTCGTGGGCTACGTCGACGCCTCGTGGACGCTCGGCGCGGACGCGACGGCCCAGACGATGACGCGCATGTTCAACCAGATGCGCAAGGAGGGCGTCGTCGAGGTGACGCCGCACCGCAACGAGCGGGAAAAGCGCGAAATGAAAGAGACGAATCTCTTGCGCTTGAACAGCACGTACGTCACCAAGGGCAAGAGCGTGCTGCCCAAGGGCGGCGATCGCGGGCAGTGGGTGCCGCGGAGTAATTATCTCAGGGATATTTTCATGGCGTGGTATGGGGATATCAAGACGGGGACGGAGTGGGTGAGGGGGGTTTGAGATGGATGTGCATGTCCTGCTTGATTTCTTTGACGGGACGACGTTGGATTGGAAAGAGATGGGCGTGATTCACAGTTTTGGGGGGGGGGGGGGGTGGTTTAACATTGATATAGCGGAAGGACGGAAGGACGGATGGATGTATGGATGGGTGGATGGCTGGGATAGCAGCATGGAACAGCGAATCTTTGGCCTTTTGTAAATATGTTCTCATCGTCGTCGTCGTCATCATCATCATCATCATCATCATCATCATCATCATCATTATTATAGAAATCCATACCTGCAGAAGAAGAAGAAGAAGAAGAAGAAGTATCTATCTTGAGCCAAGCAAGCAAAATTCCAACGATACCAACCCAAAAGCCAAGAGTCTCATTGCATTATCCATGTTTTACTACCTATTCATTCCATATCGTACTATCATTACCTACCTCCCTCCCTCACCTCAAATCCTTCAATAGAGCCTCTCACCCTCTCATCCCCATCCTTCCCATCATTATCTCCTCCACCAAACCCGAAAATCTCCTTCGAATAATAGAAATCCTTAACCGACAACTTCGTTACACGCCACGGAGAGATTTCGAGTGTGAGTTCTTTCGTCATGGCGCATTGAAGGAGCACAATATAATTTAAGCTATATATATATATATTACAAAAGCTTTACGGGGAAAAAGGGAAAGAAAGGGGGAAGAGGGGGAAAGGAAGAGAAAGATGTACGGGGGGGGGGGAATTTACTTGCCCATTCCCAATCCTATCCCCATCCCTATCCCTATCCCAACCGAGTTGCCTTACGTTACATTTGCTCCGCTACGTCAATTTTCCATAATCAGGCGAAGAAAAGACAAGATCCGCCTTAGCCCGAGCCATGTGGGTTATGGGTTATGGGTTGACGGTTGACGATGGTTGGTAGGAGATAGGATGCTTTTGCATACTTACCGTATTTCGGTCAGGTTGGATGGCTGTGGCTTTGGCTTGGCTTGGCTTGGTTGGTTTCGTTGGAAGAGTTCGCTTGTTGTGAGTGTGAGGCTCTTGCTATCAGCTATCCGTAGGAGTCGATGCTGTTGTGGGAGGCTCTGCCAGTACAGCGCCGCATAGGTGTAAAACTTTTGGGTATCTGGTTGGAATTAGAGGGGGGAGTGCGATTCGAAGAGTTGTCGTCGTCGTCGTCGTTGTCGTCGTGCACATTGTAATCTTCGCCGTCTTCGAGAATGGAAGCCCCTTCCCCCTCTTCCGACAGTGTCGTGCCCGTCGGGATCCATCATCTCACTGTCACATGCTCTTCGCCAAGAACAAAAAGCGGCGTCACGTCTTCTCTTTCTTCTCTCTCCTCTCCACCTCATCATCATCATCATCATCATCATCATCATTTCCTCCTCAAAACCCACCCGAAATACTCAAACGAACTGCCCCCCTCGCCCAGGACTTCCATCTCCACCTCCCATTCGACCCCTCTGCCCAGAAGCAAGGGTCGGATGAAGTGTGGTTGTCGATATGTTACGTAGAGAAACACACCGCCACCACCACTACCGCCACCGCCACCGCCTTCTTCTTCCTTCTTTTTAAGAATCCGATGGACCTAGAACGCAGCAAAGAAGAAGAAAAAAGTAAGAATTCAAGATTCCATCCATCGAAGAAAAAAAAAACTTCCCAACTCGCTAGGACTGGGGAAAAGGAAAAAGGAAAAAAGGACTCACTCACCTCGCGAACATAAGCCCCCGTATTGTCCCACACATCCTCAGGCGGATCCCACGGACTCCCATGGATCATCGCATCCATGGTGCCCTTGTCAAAGGCCACGTCGATACTCCCATCTGCCACGGTATCCCGCAGATTCCGCACGTCGGCCCATTTCCAGACAGTACCATCACCACCACCGACAACATTATTATCGTCATTCGAGGATTTGTTCTTCCGTTGCATGAAGTCCACGACTACCTGGGAGAAATCCACGCATACTTGGTCGCGATAGCCCCGATTGCGGGCTAGGTCGTAGGGGATTGTCTGTTGGGAGGGAAGAAGAAGGGATGGTTAGCTCGGAGTTTCTTTTTTTTTTTTCTTTTGAATTTACCCCCTAAATTGATCTGTAAAAGGAGAGAAGGTGTGGGGGGGGGGGGGGGGGGTTTTTTAATTTTTTCTTTTCAAAAAGAACAGGAGGGCGGGGTTAGAGGGGAAAAAATTATGATACACACGCTATCCCCACTCCCGAGATGTAGAATCTTGGGATTCGACGCGGCGGATGGGAGGTGGGTTTGGAAGAAAGAGGAGAGGGACTCATAGGAGCGAAACCATTCGTGGGTGGGATTGTCGTCGGTGCGGGTGTCGTATCTCTCGTTCCAGAATTCCGGGGTGGAGAGGGATTTGCCCTGTTCGTCGGCTGAAGAGGTCATGGTTGAGATGATTGGTGAGTGAAGACGTGGAAATGGCATGGAATGTTCTATTCGATGGGAAGAAGGAAATGGAAGCTTTTCTTTGCTGTCTTGGGGGTTCCGTGATGTGTTGAACGCTTGCGGGATAGGAGGTACTCCAAACGACACTTCTTTTCTTGACGCTCTGTATGTGGTTTCTTTTCGGCGAGTCTCTAGAGATTGGCCCTAAGGCTTGCCGTTGGCACAAGATTCCCGCATTCGCGAGCTACGCAACTCACTTCTTCAAAGCGTACGCATCGCCAACACCCCTCTGTGCAGCCGGTCTCTCCGCAATACGATCGATCCATTTCAAGAGATGAGGGAATTGGTCTACTTCCTCCTTGGTGAAGCCACTGCGTTCCCAGTTCTTCACCCACGGCCAGGTCTTGATGTCGGCAATACTGTACTTGCCCTTGCCATTGCCGGCAAGATAGTCCCGGGGCTCGCCGGTGTACTTGCCGCTGAGATGGATTTCAAGGACTCCGAAGACGCGCAACGTCTCGTTGCGGAATCGCGTGATGGCGTAGGGGATCTTCTCCGGCGCGGCGCGGGTGAAGTGGTTGACTGAAGTAAGGGGTGAGTGGGTTGGATGGATATGGTTCGAGCATGGCTGTGGGGGTCTCACCTTGACCTTGGTAGGGAGCACCGCTACCGTGCCAGAAGAAGGTCCACTGTAGGGCTTGGTTTCGTTCGAGATCGTTCGTGAAACCGAATTTGTCCTGTTTGTCGGCGAATTTGAGGAGGTAGAAGAGCTCGGCGCTGGTTTCGTGTATGGTGAATGGGGGATTCTGGGTGTTGTCGACGAGCACGGGGATGCGGCCTATATCGTGCGACTCAGATCAGCGTGACAGGGGGACGGATGGGATATGATGTGGTTACCGTTCGGGTCGAGACGCAGGAACCAATCTTTCTTCTGCTCGTTGGTCATGATGTCGACGAGGGTGGTGGTCCACTCCAGGCCATAGGCATCCTTGAGCTCTTCGAGAAAGATCTGGACGGCTTGGCCGTTTGGGGTGTTCATGGTGAGGAGGTGGAGGCCTTTCGCATTCTTTCATCCCATTTAGCGTCTGCATTTCCAAGTTGGGGTCCCTGGTGTTGTACCTTGACCTCGGCGGGTGTCTCGTCGGTATACACGTTGTGAGACATGTTGACTGCTCTTGCAATTGCACTTCCAATGGGTCCAGCGATTGGATGGGGTTGATGTGAGAGAGGCTTGTTGCTCGGATGAGGAATTGAATGTCCAATTTGTAGCGGATGGCGAGTTTGTCAGCAGTGTACTCTCTCCAGGCCGAGCCGAAGGTCACTCAATGGAGGTCCATGATGAGGCAATACACAGAGCCCCGCCATGCCCCACCATGCCCCCATCCCGAGTCATAAGGTACAGTATGCATGCGCCATCACGATCACATGATCTTGCTTATCACATGATCATTATCACATGATCTCAATATCACATGATTATAGCCGTCACATGATCGTGACCATCACATGATCGTGACCATCACATGATCGTGACCATCACATGATCGTGACCATCACATGATCGTGACCATCACAGCCATCACAACCTCTGCGGTTGACTAGGTAAGGATGCAACCTGAGGTGTCGGCGGTCGTGTACTGTACAAGCAGGATTCTTCTTGGAGGCGACAGGGCTGACCAGGCTTGTGCCAAAAGCTTCTGCTGCTTATCACGCTCCTGCCATGCTCTGCCATGCATTGCCATGTTGATTCGTCGTGCTATCCGCCGTCGATCGTGGCAGCAGCAGTGGCAGCACATCCGGTAAATGGTGACTGCGAATCGCCCAGCCGCGTGTGCGCAAAGCTTAACCTGCAGCAGCGTGTCGTCTACGTGTATGTGAGCTCCGCACGCAATGCAATTGAATCCTTCTGTGCTTGAGCCCGTCCGTGCTTCTTCATCCGCTCCACTCCGCTCCCTCCCCCAACCACTACCTTACCTACTGTACCTACCTAAAATATCACGTCAATCTCCTTGGCTCCTTGGCGCCAAACCCATCGCAGTCCATCGTCTTCCATCGCAATCATCGTCTCAAGAGGTGAGCCTCCCCCAATCTCTTCTCACCACCTACCCGGCTGCAGCGCCGGCGCATTGTTCGACGCGCCTCCAGGCTTACCTACCGCCGCTACACGCCCAATTGTGCAATGGTGTCATTCACCCGCGCTCCTGCCCGGAAGCTGCCCGTCCGGCTACTCCGCCATCCTTACCACGGCTTACTGTGCCCTTCTCAACAACTCGACAACCTGACAACAACCACCCGCTCGCCTGCTCTCGTCCGCTCTGCTCGCGGCCACCCTCTCGGCGACTGCGGGTTGTTCGCTTCGCCCCGTGAGCTGACAATAATGTTCCACAGCTGCTTCTCCCCTCCCGAGCCACCCTGTAGACCATCCCTCCGCCGACCATCTATCCCTTGACACCACCTTCGCTCGCCAACTCCCTCCCATCCCCCTCAATCGCGCCCGACTCCTCCGAGAACGCGTGCGCATGTCGCGGAGCCTCAGATCTTGGCCTGCTAGGGCACTGCATCCATAATCCACGGCTCCTCGACGTGGGAGCATGCTCACTCCGCAATCGTCCCGCCGTCTACTCTCGCGCCTTTCCACTCCCTTCACTCCCAAATCCCGACACGTTACCGATTTCAACGTCCAGATCGACGACCCACACAAGCAGTATACCCCTGGGGAGCAGCTGACCGGCTGCGTCCACCTCAAGGTCGTCAAGCCCATCCGCATCACCCACCTCGTCGTGTGCCTGCACGGCTTCGTGCAGGTCTACAAGAATCCGGGCAACCCGCCTACCGACGGCTACCGGACAATCACTGCGCATATTGGCACGGGAAGAGGCAGCAAGTCGGGAGAATACTTTGGCAATGGCTTTGCTTCGCTGTTTGAGGACGAGGTGGTACTCTGTGGGGATGGCAGGCTTGGAGAGGGTGTATACCAATTCAACTTCGACCTCGAGTTCCCTGACCGGGACTTGCCGAGTAGCATATCTGTGCGCCAGGCCCTGCCATCGATGCGCCTTCTCAATGACCTTTACTGACCTCTGCGACAGTTTGAGCGCGGAACGATTTCATACTTGGTCACGGCCACTTTGACGAGACCCACGACCATCTCGCCAACCATCCAATGCGATCACAAGGTCTACTTTGTGGAGCGAATCGACATCTCACACCTCTACCCGCCCAAAGCCCGGACCATCACCCTGGAGCCTCTTACGCGCCGAACCGCCAGAGCTCGAACCCAGGCCCGGCGTCTGGTTGATTCTGATCGCAGGAGTCGAAAGGGAGATTCTAACCAGCGGAGCAGCGAGCGGCGCGAGAGTCAGACGTCCTCGAGTCCCAGCCATGACGGCATGCAGAGCCCCGTGCCCAGCGAGGTCAGTTTTGACAGCTTTCACAGCAGTCAAGAACAGGCATCACAGCAGGAGTCCAATTTGACTTCACCGCGACAGAGCGATGGAAGTCGTTGGAGCAACGGCGGGCCGTCGACATCTATCCACGCCAAGACCATCACGGCAACCATCGAGTCTTCTGCGGGCGGATGTCTGCGCGGGGACACTCTCCAGATCAAGGTGCTGGTCAATCACACAAAGCACGTAAAGAGCCTCCACGGCGCCATCTTCACACTCTATCGCCACGCCCGTGTCGATCTGCACCCGGCAATCCCAATCGGTCCAGTGGAGAAAGGCAAGGAGGCCAAGTACGAGGACTACTACCCCAAGTCGATGACCGGTCTGGGCGGCCTTTCGTTATCTGGAGCGGGCTCGAGTCACGTCTTCCGCAAAGACATCTCGCAGTCTGTAGTGCCTCTGATTGTGGACCCGCAAACACTCTCGGCAGAACTCGTGGGCAAAGTTTCTGTTCCCGAAGAGGCGTTTCCCACCATTTCGACCGTCCCCGGTGGGATGATCAGCTTCAGATATTACATTGAAGTCGTTCTTGACATACAGGGCAAGCTTTCCTCCCAAGACCGCAACTTGGGAAACCTTGGCGGCTTGGCCAGCACCATGAACCAGGGTCAGAGATCTACCGGGGCCGACCGGGACCGGAGCGCGTTTGGTGGAGTCGGTGCACCGGTGATTGACACAGCTGCCGTCCGACGCGATAAAGGCGTCGTTTCTTGTACATTCGAGGTTGTCGTCGGTACCAAGGACAGCGCCCGGAAGAAGGGCAAGCGGAAAGTCGGTGTGGTCGTCGACTCGGACTCCGGGCCGATTGCTCAGCAAGAACAGCAGCCACAGCAGGGCAGTGCATCGGACGCTGATAATGGAGCTTCTCATGGCGACCAGTGGTATGGACATGGCCCAGGCTACGACGCGCGGTACTTTGATCATGGCCAACACGATCAATATGGCGATGGGTGGAGGAACGGTTACTCTGGCGCGTACGACCATTACGGATACATGGCGCAGCACGGCCACTACGATCAGCCTCCGCCGATTCCAATGCCGCCTCCCGAGGACAGGTCCCAATTGTCGGAAAAGGAACGCATGCGGCTGGCCGAGGCCAGGCTGCTACCCAGTCAACCCCCAGGTGGAGAGGAAGAATCTACTGAAGGCGCACACGCCCCAACAGCGCCTTATCTGCCCGAAGAACAGCCTGACGGGTACCCAGAAGGAAGCGGTGGCACTGCGTCCAGGTCCATACCGATCGTGTTGACTCCACCTGCCCAGGCCGGGCCTTCGAATGGCGACGGCACCGCACCGGTATCGATCGACTTTGCACGAAGCGTTCCCCTGCCCAGGACTCCGGAATACGAGCGGGTGGATTCGAGGAGTCTACCGCGTACTCCGGACTATGAGTCTCTGGAGCCGATAACGCTACAGACGAGCAACTCGGGCTTGCCGCCGACGGAGGACAAGAGAGAACTGGAACGGCGCAGTCTGCAGGTGGAAGCTTCTGCGCCTCCAGCTGCGGATGAGAGGCAGGCGAGCGCGGCGCATGTACCGAGTGCTCCTGAGGAGGAAGACTTGTACGCGAATGTCAACGATAGCCATGCGGACGCCGGGCCTTCGAACTGCGAGCTGCCGCGATACGAGCCGAGGCGGTAGGATTGTTTTGGCGTTGGAGGGGGTTTTTTGGTGGAGTTGGCAGGACTGTTCTGTTCTCTTCGATTCCCGATGACAGGAATGGAGCTTCATGGAAGGTTCTGGGGGAAGTCGATGTATCTTGGGTGTGGGAAGAAGGGGAAGCAGGGGATCCATGTGTGGATGCTTGCCGATGAGGTTGCTGCCGTATTCGACTTGTTCTGCCCCAATCATCTCGCGGTGTCGTGCGTGTGTTGATCGTGTATGGCGTGAGAGTGACCGACTCGCTCGCTGTTGATGGCTGGCAACGAGTCTAAAGAGAGTGTAGAAGACTGGAGGCTAGACTATGATACCTTAGCTCGCACGTGATGGAGATGATGAATTCACGTGACGGATGTAGGCTCATGGAGATCGACGGAAGGAATTCGGCAGAAGCCGGCCGGTGCGCCAGACGCACTCCTTAGCACTCGCACTAAACTCTGTGTCCCCCGCGAAAAGCTGCTCAATGACGGACCTGTCTCCGAGAGAGAGAGAGAGAGAGAGAGAGAGAGAGGGAGAGAGAGAGAGGGAGAGCTCGGAGGCTTGCAGGGATAGGTCCGTTTTTTCAGTGCCCTAATCTGGACGTCACCAGCCACGTTTTGCAGCGTCTTCTTTTGGATGATAAGAGAGATTGATCATAGTAAATGCCGAGTGTTGGGGCAGAGAGAGATGTCCAGTGCACCAGCCACCAGCCACAGAATGAAGAAGAAGCTGCTTACCAACCTACTAGGAGAGAGAGAGAGAGAGAGAGGTGAGAGGTGTGAGAGGAAGAGTCCGGCCGGGTCTTGGTGCCGATCTCACATTCTGGCGTGCTCGAGTCCGGCGTATGTAAAGTACCTACTACTAGCCTAGCCTAGCCTAGCCTAGCCTACCTGGTCCTCTCTCATCCATCATACAGTACCTTTTTTTCCAACGCGGATGGAAACGCTTTGAAACGTTACTCTCCTGTTCCATGTTATCTTGTATACCTATAATAAGAATAATCATCATGATCCTCCGGAACGGTGTCCCGCGTTTCAGCATGTTTGGTTGGATAAGTCAGCGGCAGAGAGCGGTCTCGGCATGGTGGGATGGGATGGCACAATGGGATGCATCGGAACTGGGAATTGGGGGGGGATGCATACGGAAGCAGAGGCCTCCATCGCATCCGCAGAGAGAGGGCGGACCCCTGTCTGGTGCCGCGAGAGGGGACGCAGGATGACGACGATCCTTTCCCCGGAGCGCGGCTTGGCGGGATCTAGAACGCGTCTTTTGCGCCCCCCGATGGGCGATGGGACAGTGCAGTGGGACAGTCCAGTCTTGTCTTGTCACTGTCAGTCCAGACCACTCCGCGCACCAGTCAAGCTTGTCCTGTGCTGTGCTGTGCTGTGCTGCTTCGCGCTTGCCGTGCCTTGCTCTTTGGTCTTGCCTTTGTCTTGTCTTGCCCACCTGCACCTGCCCTTGCACCTGCCACCTGCACCTGCACCTGCCCTTGCACCTGCCACCTGCACCTGCACCTGCACCTGCACCTGCACCACCTGCACCTGGCAGGCTCCAGCTGCCCGACCGTCCGTCTCCTCCGCTCCTGCCCTCTCTTGCTCTCGCTGCGCTGCGCTGCGAATGTGAATGATGTGAGTGGTGATGATACGTTACATCGCCGCCGAGAGCAACTTCCATCGCCGCGTTAACTAGTACCGCCCTCCGAGACACTACACCCACCCATATGGATCTCGCCTCGCCAATGCAGATGCCGTGACCGCCCTGCTGGACTCCTCCCCCCAATCTTGCATCCTCGCGAGGACCTGGATGATTGTCCCCATTCATCCATCCCACCCTTGCATGGTCACTGTCCCGGCATTCCCCAATGAGCGCGACCCATTCCTCTCCCTTCTGAGCCTCGGACTGCACCTGGGAGATCGAGAATGGCGGCAGAGGAGGGCGACAAGGAAACTCCGGGGATGATGGAGCGCCAGACCATCTGCTTTCCCAACTACGAGACGGCAGATGTGTTGAAGCGTGGAGATGCCGCTTTCACGCACGAGATCCGGCGTCTCTACGACGTCGCCGAGAGCAACGCGCTGGAGCAGCTCATTGAATTAAAACGATCCTTGCGCCAACTACCCACCGAGGACTTCTGGGGCGCGGTGACGGAGGGTATGTCGCGGATTCTGGGCGCAGAGATATGTTTTGTCATGAAGCGGGTGCTGGTGGACGACCAGGAGTCTGCCGTGGAGATGCCGCCGATTGGAGAGCCGGGATCCTGCCTCATGGCCGCCGCTCTGCACTACTGTGCCAGCGATGGGAATCGAGAAACGAGCAAGTCGACCAAGTTCCACGCCTACGGCTGTCCGTGTGCGTACATGCGCCACGACAAAGTCTTCCTGGTCCCCGAACGACTGGGCGACTTCTTCAACAACAACCCCAACAAGCTCCCCACGCCGTGCGAGGCCTACATCGCAGTACCGCTCTTCGAGGAGGGGAAGTGCTTTGCGCATTTCGGCGCCATGTGGTCGACAGAGGGCGCCGCGCGTAGGAGGCTCTCGTGGGCTTTCATCGAGATGGTACTGCACTCGCTGGAAGACATGATATCCAACAGGTTCTTGCAGGGCGCCGACTTTATCAAGCCTTCGACGGTGCCCGCCGAGAAGAATCGTGTGATTCCCCATGATGCGGTGACCGTTGCTCAGTCCCTCCGACCCTACGCTGGCAGCTTATCACACGAGCTCCGCACTCCCATGCAGGGCGTCGTGGGAATGCTGGATGTCATGTACGCGACGGTACTGGAGGCGATCGACACGCAGGCAGACCCGCGGGTACGACAACTTTTCGAGAATTTGAAGGAAAACATCGAAACGGTGCAGGACAGCTCGAGGCGGGCCGTCGAGGCTGCTGATAACGTGGTGCATGCCTACGATATGGACATGAGCGTACCTGACGCGCCGCCCGCCCTCTTGGACGAGCCGAGCGACTCGCTCTCGCCCTTGACCGCCAGCGCGGATCGTCGACCGGAGATTCTGGTCGCGGGCAGCAATCTCCCCATGTCGCGGCCCAACAAGCGGCGGCGAGATGAGGCCTTCTCCCGAGACAGCAGCGACATGGGCGCCGCAAAGGCCCCCCGGCTGAGCCGAACGACCAAGCCCTGCATTTGTTCCGAACAGGAAATCAAACAAGGCGTACAGCAGGCCGAAAAGCTGCAGGCACAGTCCCAGGTTGGTGCAACCCTGGCGAATGTGCCTTCGAGCGAGGATGCCGAGCTGGCTGCGAGCGCTGTGCATGGATCCGGCAGGATCATCGCGCCCGGACTACGACACACTAGTCTTCGCGAGTTGCTTCAACTCGTGATCAACGAAGGCTTGAAAGTCGGTGGACGACCAGACTCCGCCATTGCGCAGGAAACGGATGCAGGGGAGATCATCGAGGTCCGGACGCGAGGCTCGGACGGTACCGTGGGCCAGAAGATGATCGAATGGAGTATCGACTCGAGTGTGCCGACGACGATGTTCATCGACGAGAAGGATCTCAGCAAGTTGATCTCCTGCGTCTTCCTCAACGCCATCAAGTTCACCGACAAGACGGAAGGACATGTCAGGGTGTATGCGCGGATGAGCAACCGGGGGCGCTACATCTCGATCAAGATTTCAGACAATGGTCCGGGCATACCAGCAGCCTTTCTGCCGAAGCTGTTCAAGCCTTTCTCGCAAGAGAACAACACGACTACGCGCTCCAGCGAAGGTCTTGGTCTAGGCCTGATGGTCGCCAAGGGCATCGCGAGGAAACTCGGCGGAGATTTGATGTGCACGAGAGCGGAGACCCATGGGGCACAGCACGGGACTGAATTCGACATCAAAGTGCCTCTGCACGCTGGCGAGGCCATCAGCAGGCCCATCTCTCCCTTTGCTTCGCCTGCTCCACGACGAGCACATCTCAACACCGAAGCTGTGCACATCCAACCCTTGGCGGCGGCGCCAGGTAGTCCACGGAAACTGACGCGGGCTCTTCATGAAGCCGTCAACCAAGGCCCCTTCTTCGTCACACCTGCTACGATCTTGCCGGCGACGCCACTCTCACCCAAGAGTGCTGGTTCCGACGTACAAAGCCCGCCTTCGTCGTCGCTCCCATCGCCACCAAATGAGATCCTCAAGCCAAAGCCGAGAATGAGGAAGTCTGTGGCCAACCCGGAGATCGATCGCGACCTTGCACGGAAATGTCCCCTGAACTTCCTGGTCGTCGAGGACAACAAGATCAACCGCAGATTGCTGGTCAACATGCTCGGCAAGTTTGGCTACAAACAGATTCACGAGGCACACGATGGTACGGAGGCGGTCCGACAGATGGCCATCCCTCGCCCGCCCCACGAGCAAATTGACGTCGTCCTGATGGATCTCTGGATGCCACTGATGGATGGTTACGAGGCTACTGAGCGCATCCTCCAGATGGACGGCAAAGAGAACAAGAGCCCGACCGTGCTCGCGGTGACTGCCGACGTGACCGATGGTGCGCTGGAACGGGCGGCCGAGGTCGGGATGCGAGGCTTCATGACGAAGCCGTACATGCTTCTGGACCTGCAACGTCTGATTACGGAATATTGTGCGAGCCACAGTGCAATGGAGTGTCGGTGAGCGAAGACCACTGCCACGAGGGGAACCTGAAACTTGGAGAAATGCACATGGCTTCGGCGAGGCCGATAATGATTCTGAAACCTATTTGCATGCAATGTAATGCGACGAATGCGCGGAAAAATAAAACACGTGGATTGATTAATGTGGGCATGTGCAACGTGGACGACTTTTATAAAAAAAAAAGAGAGTTGCACAGAATTTTTTGGGGATTTGGATTTGGAGTTTTAGACAACAGATACCCGTCCCGTGAGGATATAGCATGAGATTTCGAGAGTTATATATCCAGATCAAGACATAATAATTGCTGATGATGGTATGTGCCTTTTGCTGGAGTGGAATCATAATGAGCGACATTGTATCTTTTTTCTCAAACTTGGGATTTGCCCTTGCATGCACACATGTTCCTTCTTGATTGCCCCGTTCCCTGTCGCAGATCATGACGGCCCGTTCCGTTCCGTCCCGCTCCCTTGCCGAGAACGATCAGCGGATGGAGCTTGGGAGAGTGAGTCTCAACTCTGGATGCTCTGTGAGGACCGTATCAGACAACACTCATATCCACATCCCACAACTCTACCACGTCTCCTCACCACCCACCAACATGACCACCATCACCGACCCCACCCTCCTCTCCGTCCTCCAAGCCGCAACCGCCGCACGCGACCAATGCCTCTCCCTGATTTCCCTCCTGGAGACCAACACCCCCACCGAGACCACCACCACCACCAGCACGGAAGAGACGGAACGCGCCCTCTCCGCGCGCCTCGCGATCCTGCGCGCCCTGAACCGCAAAGCCATCTATTCCGTGCGCGAGACGAAGCAGCAGACGGCGGCGAAGCGGCACGAAGTCGACGAGCTGCACTTACAGTTGCAGAACATTACGTATGAGCGGAATCACCTGCAGGGGGAGATTTGGGGGTGTTGGGGGTTTGAGTTCGTATAAAAACATATAAAACACAGAAAAACATTGGGTAGGCAAGGCTGACTTTTTATTATTGTGTATACAGGCATAAATACACCACCCTCCCCATGCTCCCCGCGGAAGACTTCCTGGCTCGGAATCCGGCTTTTTTGGGCAGGCCGGAGCACGACGTGACGCTGGCGCGGATTCGCGATGAGCATGAAGCAAGGCAGGCGCTGGAGGCGGAGAGGGTGGCGCTGGTTAGGAAGAAGGAAGGGCTGGTACGGGAGACGAACGCGAAGAAGGAAGAATTGGGCAGGTTGGATGTGGAGGTTGAGAGGTGGATTGCAGGGCAGGAGGGGGTGAGAAGGGTTTTTGAGGCGAGGGGGAGCAAGGGGGAGGGGAAGGAGGTGGAGGGGTGAGAGGGGGGGAGGGTGAGAGGGTCGTGCGTTGATCGGGGTTTGTTCAGTTGAGATGGATTCGCGGCGAGGCGGGCAGGAGGGTTGACGAAGGGTCGCGTTCTTTGAATCTGCCGTCTGCCCTCTGCGAGCGAGTACGTTGGCGGCAAGCGTCGGCGGGTATGCCGAACCGAGCAGAGTTGTCATGTTCACCACCCGAGCAGAATCGTCATGGTCTACGACCCGAGCGAAGGCCCTTTCAGGACATACAACGGACCCGATGATTTCGAGACGCCAAGTATCTGCTTGTTGCCATTGAGCTCTTTTCTGGCCAATCCACACACGGACCGCACAGCGTGGCCACAGCTTGGCCTCTGGTACTTCAGGAGATAGCGCCATACGAGTCTTGGAGAGACTGTCCTGTACCCCGCGCGTGCATTTCCAAATACCACTTGTATGGATATGGCTAAGCGGCTTTGGCGGCCGGAGCTGGAGCGCTGGTCCGTTCGACCTTCACGGAATGACCTCACTCGGTTTGGATCCAACCAAGCGGATGCGGGGAGCAGGTCCGGTATATAACAGCCATGCTAGTATCAATCGACATATCCTTGAAAACTTTCACCACATCAACGAATCGAACATGGCTATCAGCGGCGTCGGAATGTCCGCGTGCTGCCTGTCCGGCAAGCTCGCACAAGGCACGCCCACAGGCCGAGAAGAAAAGGTCGGCGGTGTGGACACGTACATCGCCGAGCCGCAAGGCGGAAGCAAGTCCAAGACTGTAGTATTCCTCGTCGACAGTACGAACCCTCCCACCCGATGCCTCATCCGACAGGAAGTTTTTCACTAACACGTTCCACAGTCTTCGGCTGGAAACTCCCCAACGTCCGCCTCCTCGCCGACAACTACGCCAAAGCCGGCTTCTACGCGTACATCCCCGACGCGCACACCGGCGACTCCCTCCCCAGCGCCTTCCTCGACACCGTCGAACCCCCCTTGCCCAAGCGCGAAACTCTCACCGTCGTCGACAAAGCCGCCGCCACCGCCCAAGTCGGCGCCACCCTCGGCCCCTGGCTCCTCAAGCACCGCGAGGGCGTCGCGCGCCCTCTGATTGAGAATTTCATCTCGCATGTCCGCTCCCTTCCCGGGACGCAGAAGGTCGGCGCGCTGGGGTTCTGCTGGGGCGGTAGGTATGCTATTTTGGCGGCCCAGGCGCCTTTTTCTGGCGTTGCCGGGAGGGGTGTCGATGCGGCGTTTGCGTGTCATCCGAGTCTTGTTGCTATTCCGGGGGATTTTGAGCCGGTGTGTATTCATTCATCGATCTATCTATGCTAGAGCGAGTCAGGGAAATGCTGAAATTGATGTCTCTAGGTCGTCGCCCCGCTCGGTCTCGCGGTAGGCGACCAGGACAGCCTCCTCAGCAAAGAACAAGACGAACAGATCGCGGAAGTCTTCGAGAAGAAGGCTAAAGGGGAACAAGGGGATCGCATGGTCGGGGGCATTGGAGGCTTCGAGATGAAGATCTACGAGGGCCAGGTGCATGGATTTGCGCTGAGGGGGGATTGGAGTAGTGCGCGGGATCAGAGGGCTATGGGTGAGTTTTTTTTTTTCCTTCTCTGTTTTTTTTTCTGGGAGTGGGTAGGGGTGGTGTGTGTGTGGGTGTGGGAATATGAGGATACTGAACTGATTGTTTGTTGTAGATGACGCGGAGCAGCAGGGTATCGCGTGGTTCAATAGGTTTCTGTCGTGAGATGGTGGATTTGAGGACAGAAAAAGCAATTAAGGGAGGTAGTTAGTAGTAGTAGATTGCTTTCTTTCTCACAAGAAGCGGAGGGAGGAGGGGGTTAGACTACTACGAGACGCACGGACACTCGGAGCATATGATATGCAAGTATGAATAAACAAAGCCAGTCACTCGATCGATCGATCTTTTACTTTTTTCTTCTTCTTGACAACTAGGATACGTAATATACGTACGTACGGAGTTCAATTATCTATATCTCACTCACTCACCCGTCCGTTTGTCTGTCTGTCTGGACGAGAGCTTAGTAGACGTAATAATGATAATAAGTATAAATAGCTCCTTCCACATACTCTACGGTGTTGATCTTGAGGGAGGGAGTGAAGAGGGAGGAGGTAAGAAGAAGATTCTCATTTTCGTTCGAGATATCGACGTTTTTCGTTCTCGAAACAATTAAATCAATGTATGTATATCATATCTGGTCCGCCGTCGAGATGATGTTGACGTCGATGGATGCATGATGTTTCTTCTTGTTATTATTATTGTTGTTGTGGGAAAAATTTGTCGATTGGTCGTTGTTATTGTCCGTCCGTATTAGGTGTTGACCCAATCCAGAACTCGATTCGGTTAGGAATGGCCATCTGCAGCGAGTTCATGATGAAGATGAAGAAAATTTACCGGAACGGCTACGATGGTATAGTATAGCGGAGATAATAAGGAAGAGAAGAAAAGGTAGTACAGGATGGAGATGAGCTAGCTGCATTGCTGATGATGAGATCAGAGCTCTTTAATTTTTTTAATTCTTTCTTGGATATAGATTGACTGTGTGAGGTCTGTTCTCTGAAGGTGTTCAAGACGGAGATAGAGGTGGGTAGTTGTAGTGAGAGGACCGACTAGACTCATGTCATAGTCCATGCTCCGGTCAGTGCGTCTAGCGCATTGGGACGCTTTCATGTGATTCTCGGAGACTGCGAGCGAGTATGGTGAAATCGACCTTCCTTCGGCTCACATGCTCACTTGCTCACTTGCTCACCTGCTCTCTCTATAAGTTACTCCTCACACCACCACCACCACCACCTCACTCGTCTCATCCCTCAGCATCATCCCTTTAGAATCAATCGGCTTGGACGTGAAACTCCAATCAATACCCGCCGTCCTTCGCTCGCTTATGCATCCCCAGCGTCGCACTTCTTCTCAATCGGCACACATTCATTCATATCGTAGACGCACGTGTCATAATCCAAGTCTATCACATTTGGGATCGTCGGAATTCCTTAATCGACAGCGGTCACCACCATCATCTAGATTTATGCTCCTTCGCCCGGTCGAGGGACGTTGATTGTAACTATAGCATGTGTCGATGCTGAAATCATAGTTCTGGGCTAATAATCTCGTGCTGTGGAGAAAAGTTCCGCTTCAGCGTTCGCGGAGCTTTTGAAAAGGAGGTGATTTGCGGTATTGTTAGATCGTGGAGTTTTGACGCCGAAGCAGATGGGATTTAGTCGTCCTGTGGATGTCAGCAGGGATTTGATTTCTATTGACGGAGAAACTTTCAAGTATCGCGCAGTCAGTCCTGTGATGGCATTGAGAAGGAGGTCGCCGAGGAGGTAAGATGAAAGAGGGCCGGCATTTTGATGGTCGCTTGTTGCTCGGCGTCCTTGTTCGTGTAACGCTGATTTTCTGGTGGTAGCTGCTGGAAGAGTCTCGCAGAGAGTGTCGTGGGCTCGCTGTGTCGTGAAGTGTGATGTTCATCTTCGCGGAGCGGCTTTTGTGCTTTTAAGCTTTGCGCACGGACTTTTCTTCACATGTCACGCGCATCGACTTTGCACTCTTTTTTTTTTTAAAATTTGCTGTTGGGGAGGAGCGCCTAGCCCAGATTTATCGAGAATCAATTATGGAGAGGAGTTTCAGGACTCGACATGTCCCTTTCTGACATACAGGCGAATCCGATGAAGAGCTCCTCTGCGGCCATCTTAGATCAGTCGTCGGTCTACAGTGGCATCGCCTACCATAGTGACTCCAGAAAGAGTAATTGGAGCGCTTGAGGGATCATTGCGGACGAGTGAAGAGCACTCGAGCCTTCACATCCGGCACCCTAAAACAGACAGGTGAATGTGCCAGGATGACTGATCTCGGGAAAGACGTGATGGCCGGCGAGTCACCTCCGGTCTGTGTTGGCTCCCTAATTTAAGATCTTTTTCCTTCTCCCACTTTCTCCTCTACCTACCCCAAGCCCTCCCACTCCTCGACCGTCGCATTGGACTTTTCTCGTTCAACTGCAACAGCAGACTCAGCGCACGAGAAGCAGCACCAGCAACACACAGCGCATTGCGAGAGGAGATCGAGCCCCCAGTCCCCCTTCTCAAAATGACGCCTCGACAGGAGACGTGGCGGCAGGTTCGCGCCGCGGGCCGCCAGGCCCAACAGGAGCGTCTCAACATCATGGCCCGCGGCTTGCCCCACTCAGCCTTCCTGGGGATTGCTCGCAAGAACGAGGCGCTTGACAATGCCGCTTTGCAGATCGAGCTCGAGAACGGAGCGCGGGAAGACGCAGCCAACACGGACGGGGAGAAGGAGGAGCGGAACCGTAAGGCTCGCGGGCGTCGTGCTGGGAAGAAGGAAGGGGAAGCCGAAGACCAGGTCGCAGCCAAGAAGGAGAGGAGGATGAAGATGACTGACAAGGAGAATATCGAGGAGACAGTTGACCGCATCCCCGCTGACGGCGCTGTTGGCGGAGCTGTCCAACAGAAGTCCGTCACCACGTCGCAGCACGATCCCATGGCGGAGTTCAGCAAGGCTCAGCCCAAGCAGAAGGCCGTTGCTGTCGCTCCATTAGCAAAGAAGAGCATCTTGGGAGCCGAGAAGTCAGGAAACCGGATCGAGCAGGCCAATCTAGCTGGTAACGCGAATGACGGGGCGGCTCAGAAGAAGCCCGTCAACACTGCCAGGCGCACAGCTGTGGGAAAGCGTACCATCGACGAGGTTGCCTCCTTATCTTCCTCCGAAGACGAGCAGGGGAACCGAACTCGCAAGAAGACGTCCGCCGCGGCGGGTAGGGGCATCGCCAAGCCACCCGCAAAGAAAGCTAAGAAGCCTGTTGCAGCGGGAGAGGAGGAGGAAAAGGAGGAATCCACGCCCAAGAAGAAGCCCGCCGCCGCGAAGAAGAACGTCTCCAAGCCAGTCGCAAAGAAGACCAAGAAGCTCGTTGCAGTCGATTACGAAGACCCTTTACTTCAGAACTGCGGCGGCGAGAAGCAGTGGCCGCTCTTCCCAGGACGCGCCCAGCGCAAGCCATCTAACACGATTGGCATCGCTCAGATCCCACTCACGGAAAAGGACGACTTCAGCGCGGCCCTGAAGCAAGTCGTCGGCTTCTACTTCGATCGCGGCGGCGAGATCATTGTCGACGAAGAAGGTGCCGTGGTTTTGCGGTTTCCGCTGGCTTCGACTGCACAGATGGTCAAGGACGAGATCGATGGAAAGGAGGTGGCGGGTAAGAAGGTACAGGTGACTTATGTTGTCGGAGCTTGGTGAGGGAACGTCGTGCGGGATAAGAGGGCGATGAGTTGTCATGAGGTTTGACGATTGAGATAGTTGTTCAGCACTACAGCTCGAGCTGGATGGATTGGACGCTGGGAGTAGATGGCTCCGAGGAACCTTGGTTGAGCTTCTGCGAGCGTTATGTTTTGTTTTGATTCATTGCAGATGTTGGTACAATGGTGTATTGTGTCAGAGACGGTGATTATATTCCTGCTGGCGTTGATACTGCTGTGCTCATTATTTGACTGGTACTTGCCCTTACTTTTCCTTCTCATCGCTGTCGTTCCAAAATAATATCCCCATGTCAATCAACGTTAACATACTCACGACCGCTTCTCGTTGTCAACGGCTACCACCAACGCGCCTTTCGAACCTTCGTCCTTCGCATCGAGCTGGCTGATATCACCCTTGTCGAGCGCAAAGTCGTACACACTCGCGTTTTGCTTGATTCTGTCCGGGTTGTCGCTCTTCGGCAGTGGGATCCAGCCTTTGTCCAGACAGTATCGGACGAGCACCTGAGCGGTTGACTTGCCGTACTTCTCAGCGATAGATTTCAGAGTGGCATCGTCGGCCTTCTGATTCCGAACCAGCGGGCAGTAAGCTTCGACCGCAATACCCTGCTTGTCGCAATAGTCGACAATCTCGCGCTGTTGACACCATGGGTGGAGCTAGAAAGGTCAGCATAGATCTTCGTCCTAGAGATTCGTGTACTCACTTCAATCTGCTCAACGTGCGGCGGCCAGATCTTCGCATACTTCTTCATGTCTTCCATGTATCCAATACCCATGTTGCTCACGCCAATGGATTTGCATTTGCCTTCTTCGTACAGCTTCTCCATTGCTTGCCACATCATCTGGATACCTGCCGCTCCAGGCGTGACATTGTGAATGAGGAGTAGATCCAGGTAGCCATTCTCGCCATCAATCGTCTTCACACTTTGCAAGCACTTCTGGTAGGTGGCAGCAGCGTCGGACTCCGGGCTCACAATCTTGCTTGTGATGAAGACATCCTTTCGGGGAATCCCAGATTTGCGGACTGCCTCGCCAACCTCGGCCTCATTGCCATAAACCTGTGCGGTGTCGATATGGCGATATCCCGACTGAAGTGCTGAGAGACATGATTGGACTGTCAGGTTTTGAGGGCTGTCCTGTGCGATATCAGCACCATCTGCGCAAGGCGAGGCTTGTTAGATACAAGTTGGGACGATGCTCCGTGCAATGGGGAGTAGCTTGACATGTGAAACCCCTAGCGTTCAAGGTACATACCCAGACTCCGAATCCAAGCCGAGGGAGCTTATGACCAGTCTTGAGGGCGAAAGTGGAATTGATCGTAAGAGAGGCCATCTTCGCGCTGGTATATCTTCAGCTCTTCTTTGAATAAAGTCACAAAAGAAGAAGATGGAAGTCTGTGCATGTTGTTCGTTGGGCTCACTCCATGTATGTACTGGTCATGTACCCCCTCCTCAATGGACCAATCGGAACTTCAGGACCTGACTCCGAAGGCTCCGAAACCGAAAACCTTTTGCTGTCCAACAATGCCCCGAAACAACTCCACTCACGTAAGGAAACAACTTCACATAAGGACACTTTGTATACAAACACACAGCTCCACCTTACTATTATTCGGAGACATATGAGCAGCCATGGTCCTCGAAGCCATCCGCTACCAGCCCGGTAGCTTACAAATCCTCAACCAACTCAAGCTTCCCCATCAGGAAGAATACGACGATATCCGCTCCGCAGAAGATGGATGGCATGCGATCAAGGAAATGCGAACCCGCGGAGCACCTGCTATTGCCATTGTAGCAGCGCTCTCACTGGCCGTGGAGCTCACGCACGCGAAATTGTCCGACAACGGGGAAGAAGTCGCGGCTTTCATCCTCGAGAAACTGGATTACCTCGTCACGAGCAGACCAACGGCAGTAAACCTGGCCGATGCCGCGACGAAGTTGAAGAAGATTGTTGCGGCTGCCGCGTCACAGGGACAGGCCGTGGCGAAGACGTACTGCGATGCGGCCGCGCAGATGCTAATTGCGGATGTCTCTGATAATCAAGGCATCGGAAAGTACGGAGCAGAGTGGATCGAGAGGAAAGCAGGCGGTGGAAAGGTCAGCGTGCTCACGCACTGCAACACTGGCTCGTTGGCTACAGCAGGCTATGGAACGGCATTGGGAGTCGTTCGATCCCTGCATGCCAATGGCACTCTACAGCACGCTTTCTGCACAGAGACTCGGCCTTACAATCAAGGATCCCGGCTCACTGCGTTTGAGCTCGTGCACGACAAGATCCCAGCTACACTCATCACAGACTCCATGGCCTCTGCACTTCTGAGACTCAAGGGCCCTTCCGAACGGATAGCCGCAATCGTTGTCGGCGCAGATCGTGTAGCAGCAAATGGCGACACTGCTAACAAGATTGGCACTTATCAGCTCGCCATCACTGCCAAGTATCACGGGGTCAAATTCTTGGTCGCGGCCCCCAGAACGACCATCGACCTGAATACCAAGTCTGGTGCCCAGATCGTCATCGAGGAGAGACCTGGCCAAGAGATGACCATGCTGAAGGGCCCGAGATTTGATGGCGTCGACCTGGATCTCACACAGATCGAGACCGTGAGCATCGCCGCAAAGGGAATTGATGTGTGGAATCCTTCGTTCGATGTCACGCCTGCGGAGCTCATTGACGGCATCATTACTGAGATTGGCGTTTTCGAGAAGGGCGCGAGCGGCGCGTTCGATCTAACAGCTGCCATGGAAGCGCACAATGAGGGTGTCAAGCCGACCACCGTGGGCGGACTTTAATCCATGAAGCCAATCGGAACGATGGTGCTACTCTCTCGCGCATGGTGGCCGAGATCATGGCACAAGCGATCTGGACAGGGATATAGATGCAGCCACACCCGTTGTGATACCTGTGCAATGGGCGAGTTCGATGTTGGCAGTTCCAACGACTTCCCCGGATATGGAATGCAAAAGTTCTCGAGCTCTTCAAGCGCCCAACAACCGCTGCCCTCTCATACTTGTCACATGCTTGCACAGCCATCGCGAGCTGTACAACTGCCACTTATACTCAATAATCTGTTCTGCCCACACATTCCCATCATCCGTCACCAAACTCTGGACGAAGATAGTCGCGGTCTTGTCCTTCAACGACACAAAGGGGGCTGCACCTAAGACTTTGATGTTCCAGTTCGGATTCAGAGCTGACATTTGGTTGTATGCCACGATCATATGCGTATGATTGAAAGCCGTCGGAATCTTATGGTGGCTGAACTTCAGATCCGGAGCGAGCGTCGGCACGATGGATGTGTATTTTTCGCTCTTGAAAGCGAAATCCCGATCATTGAAAGCGCTGACAGAGAACACAGAAAATTCTTTCATCCAGTTCTCCAGCCAAAGTCTTGTTTCCGGGTTGAGACTTATTGCTTCTTGATCTTTTGAGAACCTCGTGTTTTGCGCGAGGAGGTCCCGTGCCAGATCTAGGTGGCTGGCCTTCCGAGCGGGTCGGTTTGATTGTCTTAGAAGCGTCAGGCTGTCCATGTGGTCCGTTTTCGGAACGACGAAATAGGTCTGCTGACGAACGGCTCCGTCTTGTCCGATTCCAACAACCATCGGTTCGTCCGTCGTTCCCTGGCCACCAAAAGGTATCGCGCCAGGAGGTGGCACCATCATGTTGGCATTCGCATCTTCGGATCCTTCCTCGGGTGTGGTACTGTCATCACCACCAGGCCCCCTCTTCCTCCGCTTCGCCCTGTGAACTTCATCGACATGCCTCCTCAAATCGTGCGCTCTTTTATAGGACTTTCCACATTCTGTGCAACGATTCAACCTCGGCGCGGTGTCTGACGCATTGTGTTTTTCTGATTCCCGTTCGTGGCGCAAAAGGGCGCGTTTTTCTGTGAAGGAGAGGTTGCACTTGGTGCAGTGGAACTGCTGTTGACCGGCCTTGATATTGGTGTTGGAGTTGGAGAAGGAATCGTGACGTGCTGCTCCTGCTTGCGGTGGCGTACCAGAGGTGCCTTCGCTTGTGGAATCTGCTAATGCCCCTGCATAGCTTGAACTTGAAGAATAGGCTTTGATGTTGAAGGTTTGTTGTGGATCCAGTGTTTCTTCCATCCTTTGTCAAGACAACCTGAGAAAGTGAATCTGTCGATGAAAAGCCGAATGTTTAGAGAAGCAACAAGGTAGGCGGCGAATCAACCGCCTCTTATTCCACCACAGACGAAGCACACAGCCGTCCAAGGGACCGGGATTTGAGCTCGTTCTCTTCCAAGCCTCCAATCGGATCACAGGAAATCCAGTAGCATGTTTATTCTGTTCCTTGTATCCTGCAGCTGATCCCAATAGTGCATGCTCGGGTATCTCTCCGTTCTTGAGTCAAGTGTGGTCGTTCGTTCTCGGCCCATACGATCCAATGGGGGGTGAAGTGGTCGAAGACCAACCTTAGCCAGCCGAAGCGTGGAAGTAGATTTGCCGACGGGCCGCGAACATCAAACTAACCCCGTGTTGGTATCGCGGAATTGCCATTTACGCTCATCCGCCGATAGCTTTGATCCAGCGAGGCACTTGAGATGCAAAGCTGGATCAGAAGAATAGAAAGATCTTCAACACTTCAAACACCTTCGAGGACCGAGCATACAGTACTCTCGCTCTTCGTGATTGAACACGCATCTTGTTCAGCTCGGTGCTAGATGTGGAGCTAGGCTTGGCCTGGCCCATGATCGACGCATGGTGTGGTTGCACAGCTTTTCGTTCAAGCTTGGCCGATATCTCTACGCGAGATGGCTCCAGGGCTGACTCTTCGGTGACGAAAGCATCGTCGAAAGACAACACGTCATGAAGCTATTATGTGTGCAGCACAATCGAGATCAAAGGAAATGATTTCGAGGCTCACAAAATGAAGCAGTCCCATCCATTATGTGTTGACGAGCGTTGGCGGATAGGCGACTTCCATGGCAAAGGAATGAGTCATTGTTGATTGAAAGCGTTGGCTTCAGGAGGACAGAACAGCCGCACCGGAGTCGTTCTTAACATTCTTATATAGAGCGCCATGTGGTCGCGAGTCTCTGTCAGCCTCGCTCGATTTTGTGGGAGTTTAATTGGTCTTTCCACAAATGTTCTCCTGGATAAGGGCTTGAGCGCATCGCACCGGCAGCGAACTTCGCAAGCGGCTCGGCCCTCCCACATTCCTCGATACTGCGAACTGACTTGCATAAAAGATTGGAGGTACAAGGATACTTTGCAACTTCAAGTCACAAAGCTTGTTGCTGTGATGAAGCGCTTGTAAAGATTCGATATGGAGTCACTCGTCGCCGGAAATATTGGCCTATCCCCAGGCGCTGTCAACGAGGCTGCACTGCAGAGCGTCGTTGTGGTAGGTGCAGTGCATGCTGCCGTATTTTCGTGAGAATCGGCCATGAATATCCTTGGGAACTTCCGCAAAGGCTGGCGCGTCGGGCTGCTGCGATACACACGAAAGAGTAGACCCGTGTGTTTTCGCAACTTTGGCTTCGGTGGTTCCGCTAACGAGTCCTGCGAGGTATCGTTTACCATACTGCAACCTGGTGTAGGTTTTCTTGCGTATAGCGTAGTCCAAAATTGTAATACGTGCACAGCACTGGCACCGCAAATGCATAAGCTCCGTGAGCTGAGCGTGAGGCGTTTGGAGTATTGGCCAGCATCGACGAGGGATTCAGGCGGCACCAGAAGCTTTCCAGACCACCTCCTATATTCTCTGCTGTCAAAGCGGTACGAATCTGGCATTGTGGCAACACCATCTGCATGTTCTTGTAGTCGCTTTCCAGCAGGCCTGAACGAGAGATCGTAATGTCATGTCCGAATTCGCATGCCTGCCTGCATGACTTCTGCAGGTATGACAGCATGTCTTGATCTCCTCGCGGTCAAATTTGCCCAGTATTGCCTTACGTGCTCCCGCTGCGGTTTTCCCTTGAGTCTTCCATAGGTTTACTCGCCCCAGAAGACGCCTTCTGCTGCTTCACCTCGTGAACTTCTTGTTGTTCCTTTTCCGCTTGAGCTAAAAGAGCTTCTATTCTAGCCTCCATCTGGCTGAGCTGATTTTCAAGTGCTGCAGCCGCCCTCTCGCCTTTCGCAACTTCCTGGAATGCCTGTCGTATCTCAGGTCAATTTTGGAAAGATTCCCAGTGCACTTCGACGTACCTTTGCTAGGTCAGTCTCATCGCCAGCATCAGAAGATGCTACGGGCTTCTCCGGTGCCATGTCTGGGTTCTATCAGAGATGCTGTGAAGCCCCGTTCACCAATGCAGTATGTGTGAAGGTGAAGTCGGTCGTCTTTAGCATACGGCGTACTCGTCATGCCTAAGGCTTATTCTGCCACCGCCTTGCGGAAACATTCCGCTGTAGCAGCCAATCAGAGTAACGACCAGCACGTGACTGTCAAGCTGCAATCCGACCAAATCTCAAGACACCACTCTACTTATTTGCCAAGACGGACATCAGCTAGCGGCGGCGCTGCCCGAGCCAATCACAACGCCAGACAGCTGAAATCAGGCCCATCCTCACCAAAAGATGGGCATTTTGGAGCATCAAGACACGCGGCGGCGGCCATCAGGGCGGCGAAACCGACCGGCGGGGCCATCTCTTCTATGCTCAAGGTATCAGACTAGCCTAGCGACCATCATCCGCCGGGTTCTCGTAATGTCGCAGTGCCGCCGCAAAGATTGCGACTCTGGAAGCAGCACCCCGTGAGTGCGCCTACATGCGACCGGTTGAATGCACATCGAGAGAGTGACGGCTCAAGTCGCCCAGTACTACTCTTCTGCCTATTCCGAGGCGTCCGCTATACGCATTATGTCTCTACAACGCGACTGCAGGTGCAGCAAAGAGATGGAGACATGTTGGTGTACACACTGAAGATGACGACGATGCCGCTGATGCAGATGAGCGACGCGCTGTGGCAATACCTTCGTGCTCAATTGGAAGAGAGGATAACTGCCGCCGTTGCTAGGTGAGTCTCAGGTACGTGTTGAGCTCTGCACCTCATTGAATTCAAGATGGCGTTGACTGCAACTCATTCCTTCTCGTGGGTTTGAATATGGTATCTCAATCTACGCTCCGGGACCACACTTCGGACTTCTTGCATTCTCTGGAGGTGCTATATAACGCCAAATCGCGACCGCTACTGTTCTCGATCCACGTAGGGGGGTTTACACGACCAAGTGGTGGCCCAAACAGCGGCCTGGCAACTTGGCTTCTCGTGAAGACATTCTGGGCGTAGAGAACAACTATCGTCTGTCGACCCTGCGCTTTCTCGCAACTCGCACTTCACAACGAGCGCTTTCTGCTTTGATATCCGACCCAAGATCTTCGTGCATGACAGTGTAGGTCATGCAAGCTGCTCAAACTTGGATACCTCGTCACCTGGTAAAGAGAAGTCGACGGAGTCGGAGGCGTGGCGGTTCCGTTGCATGCAGGAGAAACCGAATAGCTTGCTCAGCACGCTTGCCTCGTGCCCGTTGATCGGCGAGCGGAAGACTTTGTAGCCGTCGTAAGTGACGGCCTCGTCCGCAACGGTCTCGTCTCGCCGGACGAGGCCAGCAAGCGCTGCCGAAAGCACTGCTGGAAACAGAAGGAGCTCCATGTTAATTTCGTAAGATGGCACAGTCGCGATGTGTGCGGTGTGAAGTAGACGTCGAGGGACTCGTGGAAGAGCGTAGGAGAACTGAAAGAGAAGAGAGGAAGAAGAGAGGAGTGTGATACAAGGCGTGTGAGAGACAGTAATGTCGTCCTCCTCGCTTCTCGGCTGCACTTCTTGTCATCCGTGCAGGTGCACTTGATGATAGAGAATTCTGAATCCCCTACCTCATTATGATCCTATAGACTGACTGGAAAGTACCTGAGCTGCGGCTCCTGGACAGACCAAACCTGGCCTGCCGAAAATGGGGACTCTCCCGTTTCTTGTTCTTCAGCCGCTTTGTGGTTGGAGAGCTTCACATAGCCACGAAAAGTCTTGTCTCCTCCTCCAAACAAAGCTGATCGCCGAGTGCAAAGACTGTGGCATCGGACGGCTGCAGATGCCAAGAGATCACTTGCGCAGCCTAAGTTTCTGGGACGGCTCTTAATCTACTGCTTGTCCACACGTCCTGCAACCGTCGCATGCGAGCTCCTAGATACTCGTGAGCTGGAGCGCACCTCGTGTCGAGTGCAGAGCAGGTATTTGCAGCAATTTGATGATCGTCATCCAGTGCCCAGACGAACTTCGCCCAACTGGGAAGGAGCGAAGACTGTCGAGAGGCCAAGACACGTGAAGCTCTCCAGTAGTCGCGAATGCAACGCACGCATCCAAGTATGGTCGGTGAGGGCGCTACTCAACTTCTCCCTCGTCCTAATAGGCCTCGTGTGGTTTGTGGAAACCTCCAAATTACAACCGCCATGAGCTAGCAATGGCGCAGCCTCGGATAGACTCTCGAGGTCAGGCTGTACTAGCACTTCATTCGCAGTCGCAGTGCTTTCTCGATGTTCGGGAATCGCATCTTGAGAGATCAAGTATCGCGGGCGCACCTGAGCTCCAGCAGAATTATCAACTCTCCTCATCCCTTGCGCCGAGCGTCAGCAGCCTTTCGGTTTTTCGTCTTCTGCTTTTGTCTCGTGACAGCACGCTCCGCCTTGCTCTCATATCGGAATTTCTTCTTCTTGGTCTTCTTTGCTTCGCCATCCTTAGCCCATGGTCGCTTCTTTTTCACAGCTGTCGCATCGCCGTTCGGCGTTAAGGCTGATGCAGCCTTCTTCTCGACTGCTCCGCCATCTTCATCATTGTCGTCTTGTTCTGACTCGCCCATGGCTTCTACCGTGACCGTTGTATACTTATCCTCGTCCACGTATTCCTCGTCATCTGGTAGCACCTCTACTTTCTCCTTCTCTTGCTCCCCAGACTCATCATCGAATCCTTCGAAAGCGTCCTCCTCATCTTCATCGCCCTCGGTCGATTCTCCATTAATCATAGCTTCCTGCTTCCTCAATTCATCGTTCACGGCCGCGACATGTTGCTCGAGGTCTTCCTTGCGTTGATCACGAATCTGAAAGTCCAGTTCTTAGCATTCTGCCAAGGTCTTTGATATTGTTGTATTTATCGTTACCTGCTTGCGTTCTCTGATTCGCTCCTCTTTCTCCCGCTTGATGGCAGCGTCCCTAGCAGCCTCTTTTCTGGCTTCCTTGCGCTTGTGAAAGCCTGTGAGGTATTCATTTCGCGCTGAAGGGTCGAATGTGAGCTCTTCTGGTTGATCTGCGCGACCCAGCTTTCTGCGCTTGAATGCGGGCGCCATATTCGGCGAGGGGTAAAAGAAGAGAAAGTAGTCTCGAAATTTTGAATTTTGGTGAAGTCTGGTCGCTTTGTAGATCTCAGGGCTCGGAACTTGCCGAGCGCAGCGGCGTCACCTGTGAGAGCTCCACCATCAATCCAGGCGGCGGAGATACATTTCATCCAGTAACAGACACCGACAACATGTTGATAAGATTAATACCAGCGCTGCTAGCTGCGGCTACGACAGCATATGCCCTCAAGGATGCTTCGCCCTTCTTTCTGCTGTCCACAGAAGCGTAAGACCTGTCCCCCCATCGCGAAGCCACCGTACACTGAACTCGAATGATACAGCCTCCCATCGGATTCCCTTCAGTCAGCGCAGATCTCTACTTCCTCCACAATCGAACACGATCTCATATCCGCCTTCTCCAAATGCGATTCATCCCTCTACGTCTTCATCGAGCAAGCCGGCGTGCGCGCATCGGATCTACAAGATGCCACTGCGATGCCGCAGATGGCGAAGCGAGTGAACGATAAGCAGTACAAGGGGGTCGTACAGATCCCTGAAGTCATTGGAGAGCTGGATGCGGATAGATTAAAGGCGGAATTGGGGGAGAAGTGTGATGAACAGAAGGAGGGAAATCGGACTGTGGTTTTGAGAATGCGGTTCCCTACACTCGTGGACACAGAGAGTGCCGAGGGAAGGAGCAGCGTGTTGAAGGAGACTGGTGAGTGTTCCTAAATATCAACACTAGAGTGCGGAGAGAGGTGGGCTGAGACTGACGATGTGAGCAGATGCCTACCTGGACCAACAGTTCCCCGCCCTCCTTGCGAACTATACATCGCACGTCCTAATTTGGACTTCCTCCTCCTCTGCTTCGTCGAAGCTGGATGCCGATGAAGAGCGACACTACGAAATGGATGAGCCGCCTTTCCAAGAGAGCCTGCACACTGACCTCAAGCGAGGACTGGAACATGACTTGAAGAGAAGGCAAAGCGGAAAGGGACAGAGCGACTTGCCTTTGTTCGAGAAGTACCAATTCTTGTCGCCCGGTAAGCACCCGCTCTCATCCTTCTCAAGAACTATGAACAGTATGCTAATAGAGTTGTGTGCGCGTTGTAGGTATTTTCATGGGCCTTTCCGTATCTCTGCTCCTCTTCATAATCCTCTACGTCGGCGTCTCCGCCATTGCGAACCTCGAAGTCTCGTATATGGCTTTCAGTAAGGAGATGGGTCCGCAGGCGCAGAAGAAGCAGCAGTGAGGAAAGCAGAAGACATGCACTATGTATATGAATAGGATCAGGGATGGAGTGATACGGCATACCAGTAGCGTTTTTGAAGATTGTACGAGAGCGATATGGAAAACCTTTTCTGCGTATTCGCAAATTCGTCTTGCTATACTATCGTATTATTTTTGATGCTGATGCTCTGGGTATCTTGTGCCAACAATATTAAATCAAGATGAATGCACGCCAAGCTACCTCCCCATGTAGTTTGTGCTCGATCCGACTTCTATCCCCCGAAGCAAGGAACCTCAAAAACTCGAGCAGCAGTCGATGGCAGTCTTCTCCAGAACACATGTACTTGGAGTCCCCTTTCATGCACTGCTAGGCGGCGTGTGGGCCAACGGCCACTTCTGGCCGTTGGCCTCTCCCTGCGCCTTCTGCTCCTCCCTCTGCCTATACCTGTCGGCGCGGCTCTCACGCGCAACCGAGTATGGCCTGGTATAGAGCTCAGGAGCTACCTCCCTCTGGACGGTCCGCGAGCGCTTGCTGGAAGGCGTTGTGGTGCCTTCGCCGCTCCCGCCCTCGTGGGGACGCTTGTTCCGAGGAGCCCGGGGAGTCGCCGCCTTCTTGGGGGCCGCTCTGGTGGTCTGGCGTGCCGGGGCATCACGAGGAGGGGCAAGCGAGATCTTCCTAGGGGCTCTATGTCCCTTTGCGGCTCTCCTCTGCTGCGCTTGTTGGAGCCAGACGGAAGGAGGGGGGTAGTGAGGGTCCGGATCACCCTCGCACTTCCAGCAATCCCAGTCCATGTCCCCGAGATCGTCGGTCGTGACCTCGTCCGCGTCTTGCCTGCAGCGGAGAGGGGTGCACGTGATGTGGAACCACTTTCCACAGGTCGTGCATGGTATCAGGAGCCACGTGCCGTTGGGCTCGTCGCAATGGGAGCAGGAGTACATCTCTCCACCCGCGGTGTCCTCGTCTACGGAGGGCGATTGCTCCTGTTCGATGGACGGGATGACGGGCTCCTTATCCATAGACGGAGGTGGCACATAGCTTTTCGGTGGCCAGTTGTCATATGACAATGTCTTTCTACACTGCCACCAGTGCTCTTGACTCGCAAACCCATAGTTCCGAGCCAAGGCATTGCCGTAGGCATAGAAGGCCTGCAAGTCTGCCTCCCTCGCAGTCGGGGTCTGCCCGTCGTCCAGCTCACGGTATCTGCCTTCTGTGACATTGATTCTATGGTTAAGATCGGCCATAGTGGAGCGGGTCGTCTCCTTTAGCTGTTTCAGAAGGCCGTCGACGCGGTCAATGCCATTTTTCCAGGACTCCTTCGCATGTTGGAGACGCTCCCAATTGTGAAGCGTTTCCTCATCGAGCTGGTCCGTTGTGATGCCAGGCCACGTTTGCTTGATCTCGGAGCAGCGACGGCGAAATCGACGGTTCTTCTCCATCTCTGCGATCAATGTCGGAATCTCAGGGAGAGCTGCCATGGCGTGGTATCCTTTGTGTTCTTGGAGATATGTTGCTGAAACCAAGTCAGTATTGTGCGAAACCTCTCAGACTGTGACGGCAACAGCGAGGTCAAAATACTCACATTTCGAAGACTAGAAAGCGATGAAGTCTGAATACAAATATTGTAAGTCGGTTTTGTCGATCCCCTGGAAATCCAAGCTGTCTGTGGAACTGGGTAGATTCTTGTGAGTACAACAAGATGTTGATACTCGGAGAGGTAGGATTTATAGAAAACCATGTGAGGACTCGTGGAAATCGCGTGCTTGCGTGTGCCGCGGCAGCGCGGGCCGTAAGCTCGCGTGCACTAGCTTCTCAGTGGGTGAATGTTTCGTCGCGGCCTGAGGACACCCAAATCCGGTCAAGCGGTTCCGGGGACCATAGTGCTTGATTACCATTTGGAAAAGATAGAAGGAGTCATATCCCCAAGTATTCCCAATTCGGAACAGAATGCTGGGCCACCGGAGGGTCTTTAGGTCGGCTCAGTTGTATGCCAATTTGAGATAGGCCGCGACTCGGAGAAGCGGTCACCAAGCAAATGGAAAAATCCCCATTGGCTTGCAGCACATTTTTGGGCAATTGATGTTGCCACATCGAAGATTTCTTGGTCAAGTCACAGCTCATCATGGCTTTCATGACCACTCTTCCGCGAAGGAAGCTCTGCTAAGGCCAGAAGCGGACCTTGGAAACCCCAAAAGCCTTCTCATTTCATGCTCTGGTGGGAGCGTCTTGTCCAGAGATATGCAAATAGCTTGGCACTCCAGCAGCCCACGGCGAGAAACCCACCAGGAGTTGTACGGAATCATCTTTGCATGCCACCATGCCAGAAGAAGCAAAGCAGATGGGTCTTTCGCTTCAAGCAGTCGTCTGTATTCTGGATCCATGTGTCCAAGGAAAGAGAGAAACCACATGACTGTCGAGTGGTTACAGTCTAACGGGATGAGTTTCTCGAGGATGGAAGCGGCTTTGTGATAAGGATCATTTTCATAATCTGCAAATGGCTGGTCGAGATTGTATAGCTTGGTGAAGAATGGGAAGAGCTTGTCCAGCTGGGGGTCCATTGGACGGCTTGGGATACCTTCTTGTCTCTTACCGTGTTCGACTTGGACGGCTGGTCTGAACGCACTGGTTTCTCGTAAAGGATCGACGAGCCTCCATACTTCTTTCTTTCCGTCGCTCATCTTGAGCCAGTCTAGATCTGTAATCTCTGGAGATTTCAGCGGCCAGGTTTCCTGAGGTGATGTAGCTTCGATTGAAGCGAACGACATTGCTCCCATGAGGGCCGCACAACCCCACAAAGAGTCTTTGACTTCCTCTTCGATTGGTCCGGCGAGCCGTTTGCTAAAGAGAGCGGCGGCGTGGTATGCATGAAACGATTCAGCTGCGGATGCTTTAGTTTCAATGGGGTCGTAGAGGTAGCGGTCGTGCATAAGAGCGAAGCGTAATACAGCGTGCAGGACGAAAGAGTGTCGGCAAGCCGTTCTAGTCAAGACATCTCGATAGACGGGTGATGTGTCAGCGCTTCCCAGAGTCAAGATGGAGCGGTCGTGGAACTTTCTCAGAAGATCCAAGTGTGGTATGTCAATGTAGACTACATTGGGGCCTTCGAGTCCATCGTCGACATGGAGATACAAAGGGGCATTTACCATGCCATCAATGAGTGTATCTATGGAATCTGGAGATTCTGGTGGAGGGCGCTGTGCCAGTGGCTCTGGCTTTTCTAATTGAAAGGAGCTTACGCATGAGACCTGGAGGGCGGAGGATTCACAGTCGTAGTCGCATGAGACGCCGAAAGACATGCCTGCGAACAGTAATCAGTGAGAACTAAGTTGAGGCGCTCTGGGGGACGTACATTTCTGACATTCCGGCTTTGTTTCATCGCACTTTCACATGCTAGTCAGCATCTCACGGGACACTTGGACTGTTGAGCAAACACCTTGACTCGCCGGAGCTTGCAGTTTCCACAGCCTTGTCGAGACTTGGTATGCGGTCTGCGCTTCCTGTGTGCGTCTTCCGAAAGAGCCATGGCTTCCGCTATCGCCCAAAGTAGCTAGCAGGGATAGGTGAAGTGAATGTTGAATGCGATGTCTTGGCATCGTCAGGGCTGAAGTCGAGATCCCGGTAGTTTCTGTCGGCTGCCTCGGCCGGGCCAGAGAGGATCTTTCCGATTACCCAATTGCCGGTGGTAACCGTATCTACACCGCGGGCACATGACAGGCCGTCGAGCAACATCCAGCAAGCCCGGTGCCGTTCATGTGCATCTGACATCCGCTAAGCGCAGGTTCAGCCTCGACCTTCACTTAGCGATACACCAGTGGGTCACGGTACTTGTCTTTGCTGGAATGGACGCACTTCGCGGGGCAAAGGACGGGCAGAGGCTGCGGCAAACCAAACAGGCGATGCTTGCCAGACGACCAGTTACCCTTGAAATACGCCCGGAATGTGAAAAGTCTAAGTCACGGCTTCCTCTCTTCATTCTCCTACCTTCTCCTACCTTCCACTCACCTACTGCGAGCTTTCTCAACGACTCCTGACCTTCCGCCTCCTCCTACCAACAGCTTCCACCAACAAGCACCCCGAGAGAAGAGGCCTCAAGACCACTACAGGAGAGACAGACGATCGACAAGATGGCTCCATCTGCTGTGCGGGAAGAGACGAACGGCCATGCCAATGGCACCCTGAACCCCAAAGCGACCTCCTTCACGTCGTCGAGCCAGACCTCCGCATACCATGCCTCATCCTCTATGCAAGCCATGTCCGCCGAGGAAGCATACGCCGCACACAACTACCACCCACTACCCGTCGTTTTCGCAAAGGCATCCGGATGCTCGGTGTGGGACCCAGAGGGAAAGCACTACCTCGACTTCCTCTCCGCATACTCAGCCGTCAATCAGGGACACTGCCATCCCAAGCTCATCCAGGCGTTGATCGAGCAGGCTGGACGACTCACCCTGTCGAGCCGAGCGTTCTACAACGATGTTTTCCCCAAATTCGCCGAGAAGATTACTACAATGATGGGCTTTGACATGGTACTGCCCATGAACACTGGTGCTGAGGCAGTCGAGACGGCTGTCAAGATTGCGAGAAAGTGGGGATACAAGGTCAAGAAGATTCCACAAGATAAGGCGTGGGTATTCAGCGTACAGGAGAACTTCCACGGCAGGACGTTTGCGGCGATTACCATGTCAACGGACCCTGAGAGCAGAGAGAACTACGGCCCATACTTGCCGAATGTTGGATCCTTCAATCCTTCCACTGGCAAGCCGATCCCATTCAACGACGCTAGTGCTGTCGAAGAGCTGCTGGAGAAGCACGGCCACGAGACTGCAGCACTCCTGGTCGAGCCGATCCAAGGAGAGGCGGGTATCGTGGTCCCTGACGACGACTATCTCGGACGAGTACGAGAGCTCTGCACTAAACACAACGTCCTCCTGATCTGTGACGAGATCCAGACTGGTATTGCCCGAACAGGGCGCATGTTGTGCCACGAGTGGAGCGGTATCAAGCCCGATCTTGTGCTGCTGGGAAAGGCCATCAGCGGCGGCATGTACCCCGTCTCCTGCGTCCTGGGCTCCAAAGAGGTCATGCTCGTTGTGGAGCCTGGCACTCACGGCAGCACATACGGAGGCAACCCACTTGGCAGTGCAGTCGCAATCAAAGCGCTGGAGATTGTCGAGGAAGAGCAACTGACGCAGCGAGCGGACCGTCTTGGCGAAGTCTTCCGCCAGGGACTCCGTGAGATCCAGCAGAAGGACGCCATGATCTCTCTCATCCGTGGAAAGGGCCTGCTGAACGCCATCGTGATTGACGAGTCCCGGACTGGTGGTCACAGTGCCTGGGATCTGTGCATGCTCATGAAAGAGAAGGGACTCCTGGCCAAGCCGACGCACGAGAACATCATCCGCCTGGCGCCCCCGCTTGTCATCAGCGAGGACGAAATCAAGTCCGCTCTCAGCATCATCGCCGAGGCGGTGGCGGAGCTCCCGAGTTTGAAGGGTCAAAAGGAGGACAAGGTCATCCCGCCAGCCGAGAAGAATGTGCACATCCACGTGGACAACTAAATTGAAGAAGAATGATATGGGATCATGGCCGGCAAGTAACGTTTCACGATGATGGAAAATGGCGCAGGCTCACACTTTCAACAAACGAGATGAAAAAGTTTTTCTTCACGGAATCGCATAGAGGGATTGAGGATTTTAGAACACTTGTTGATACCAATACTGTTGTCTTCGAGGGCATAGATAGGGCGAGTAGTCATTGTTGTTGCAGGATACGAATTTGAAATGGGATTTGATGCCTTTTATCGGGCCTGCAGTGGCTAATGTTTGCAATATCTGTCTGACCTTCTCACGGTAGTGAGTATTTGTTTCTTTGGGTCTGCGCCAGGCCGCTCAAGGAAACTTCTTGAGATACCTATGCCCAACATACCTTACCATGTGCTGTCCTGGCGCTGAAGATGTTCGTCGCGACTACGAACGAGTGAGGAAGGCGCGTCTTCTCGACGTGGGGACTGCCCTCGTCTAGATAGGTAAGCTTCCATTCATTCTTGGCGGCAACAACATGTGAGGGCGGCCCTGAATTCACGAACGCGACTTGCGCCCTCACCTCAGTTTTCCGTCTCAACTTGAGCGCACAATCCACACGACCACGGCGACATCGAGGACGAAGACCAATTCTCTGCGACTCTCTGAAGCCACAGCAGGCGATGGACCTTGCAGGGCGATTCCTAGTGGTGGTCATATCCCTGTCCACATTAGGCAAACGCGCCGGCATCGTACTCCCGGCGTGACAACCCTTTTCTTGAGCATGTTAGATATACATGTGCTTGAGCGACGTGGCGCCAGAGCTTCATGGCACAGCCGCTCTACGCCCAGGAAAGCATCGTGGCGTAGGCTTCTTCTGTGCCAGCCATCGGTTACGCAGGCGCAGGTATCCAAGGGCACTGGAGCTTTCAGCAGACTTCGGTACATACGTAATACGTGCGGTATCCGCTGAGGCGATCTAGTCCTGAGGGATAATGTCGCCGGGAGCGAAGTCGTATTGGCGTGCGTTGGGAACGCGTCGAAGTGGCCTTGGGCATGGTCGTCCGATGATTTGGAGGCGGCGAAGGAGCGGTGTCGGAAGGACAGGGGGGATTTTCATCCAACAGATCGAGTCGGCTGAAGAGGCTGTCGGGAAGAAGACGCACGAGATGCTGTTCGCTCCCGTCAAGGCGATCTCCCGACGTGGGTACTGCGGTTGGGTCGCTTATGTTGCTCACATATGTACTTCCACAGCCTGTTGCAGAGTGCGATTTGGCCACTGCAGAGCTCGCTCACAGAACACATTATTCATTATGTGTTGAGGCACATGGAATGGTATCTGCAGAAGACTATTACTGGAGTGGAGTACTCGTGGCAGCCCTGTGTGTAGCTTCACGTTCCAACATGTCGTCGAAAGAGCGCTACTAGAAGGCTCTTCGTGCTTTCAGGCATTGTGTCTGCGTATGTGAGGTCGCTTGGCTCTAACTTCCGCGGTAGTATGTTGGCCGATGCGATTTGACAGACTGGATGCGAACTTCAAAGCTGACTGACACCGCGAATGGTGCAGAGTATGAGACTCATCGGCGAGATGATATACCGTGGCACAGAAATCGTCGTATTGCACACGGCGAACATGGCTGTTCCTTCTCCTTTCGAGGGGATCCAGGGGATCCAGAGAGGGCGAAAGCGCAGAGAAGTGCTGTACCGCCTCAGCACGACCGATAGCAAGTTTTAGTAGTAAAGAGGGCGTTCCAGGTACGAAAAGGAATGGAACATGATTTTCAGGATAGTTCCCAGCTTGACGTAAATGTATCGCGGAGGAGAGCACCATACGAAGGTAGTGCCCGACATGATCATTGGACCTTCTTCACCTCGAGCTTTCCTTCTTTCTCATCCGACAATTTGATGAAGTCTCCACTCTCGACTTTCTTGGTCCATTTGGTGCTCTCATACGGCGCGGTGAAAATGGACATCCTCAAGACTGGTACCGCCGTGCTGTCGTTCTCTGTGGACGACCGAGACCACGTCCAACGGCCAAAGGACCAGTTCAAGATATACCGCTCTCTGCCTCCAGATGCATTTCCATCGACCGCAGATCCATCGGGTTGGGTAGGCGTACCTGTGCTGTGCATCACAGCTTTAATACGGTAAACCTCATCCTTCGGCGCGGAACGAAGTAACCGCTCCAACTTCTTCAGATCCATACTCGCATCCGGATCCTCAGACTGCAAAGTAACGGAAAGACACTCCACCTCGGAAGTATGCTTGTCCCCGTCCTTGCTATGATCATGATCATGCTCGTGCCCTCCATCTTCCAGCCAAGCCCGCGCCATCTTCTGATCGAACCCAAAGAGCAATTCCTTACTAATCCACCCCTGATCGCTCTTCGTCTGCGGCGTATCAACATCCAAATCCCCCAGGCGGTCCAGGAAGATATCAAACTCCCTCTCCCCTAAGCCCTCCCACTTATTGATAACAATGAGATCCGTCTGCTTCGCCTGCAGCTTCGCCGTGAAACTCGTATTCGCGTATCCGCCCCAATTCTCGGCATCGATGACACTGACGATGCCGTCGAGTTCATACCGTGCAGTCTCCTTGGCCAGCCGGTTAATCTCCAGAACGAGTTTCAGAGGCTCCGCGGATCCGGAAGTCTCGATGATGATTCGATCCGGATGGCTTTCGCGGTCGAGTTGAGCGAGCGCATCTTCGACTTGCCCGACATTGGTGCAGCAGATACAATCCCCCAGCAGTTCTTGGGTTGCGGTCATTTCCGCCGCGGCGGCGAGTTGGGAGTCCACATTGAGGTCTCCGATTTCGTTCTTGATCAGGGCGAGTTTGTAGCCTGGGTTTTCTTTTCGGAGTTGAGGGAGCAGATTGAGGATTAGTGTTGTTTTGCCGGAGCCTGCGAAGCCTGTAATGACCGTGATGGGTATGCGGCCTGGAGCGGCCGCCATCGTCTCTCCCGTCGTAACGACTTGAATCTCGACGGATCTAATGATTGCAGCTGTTGTTCGTTTATCCAGATCTCAGTATTGTGTAATTACTCCTCGGCACTTGATGATGCATTCGGGACGAAGTTGAAAAGGAAATACCAGCGCTGCGTGCCTCAGGCAACCACGACCGGGTCTAGCCGAAACCCAATCACTTCGCGTACAACTGCCAGCTCCAACTTCCACCAAGGCATCTTCTGCGCCCAGGCTTGGCCATGTGAACCATTGGGCGGCACTCTTGCAGCTGTGCCCAGCATGTGAAACCAGAACGGGTTTCGCCATCGCGTTTGCAGGTTCTGGCAGCAAGCCCGTTGCGTCATGTGCGTGGGCGTTACTGCTGCTGGAGGCACGCGAGCACTGGATGCCTGTTCTTAAGCATGCTTGATTGCTCTCCTTCTTGCTGATTGCTGACTTCTAGCCTCCTCCAAACAACCTCACCTCCCTGATAGGAATACCGGAGCGAACTGCACTGCACGTCTAGTTGATAATCCGCAACTAACGCGCTCAAAGACCAATCCACTCACCACCTCACCAACTTCACGATCGAACGCCATGGATCAATTCAAGAGCTTCGCCAGCAGCTTCTCCGGAGGCAACAGCAACGAGAACAACAACGAGAACCCGCAAGCCGGCAAGAGCGGGGCCGAGGGCGGCGAGCAGAATTCCTCAGGCGGCTTGCTCGGAGGCCTCGGGGGCAAGCTCAACACCGCCGCTGGAGGCGGGAGAGAAAGCGAGAAGAACGAAGACGGCCTCGACAAAGGTAAGCCTTGATCGACGCAAGAGCCGTGAGACAGTAGTCACCTCTGAGTGAGCTATGCAGCAAAAGCGGTGAAAGACTCCACGGGAGGGGGGAAAGCTAAGCTACGGACACGGGCTGACACTAGCTCTCTTCACTTATTTATCAGGCGTCGACTTCGTCCAAGAGAAATTCCTCGGTCAGGGACCCCAAGACAACGAATCCGCGGTCGAGCAAGCCAAAGACGAGCAGATTTCGGATTTCATTCGGAAGCAGTACAAGTCTACCACGGGCAGTGACGTCCCGATCAAGGACAAGCCGACTACCTTTGACAAGTCGACCGATTAAGAGGATTCGGTTATGGATGGAGAATCATAAGTTGGCGGGTTACAAACCGCATTGAAGCTCGTGTTCCCCAGGGAGCACGTATGAAATGGTCCTTGAGCGGACCGGCTCTACCGTAGCAGCTGGAAGCCTGACATGCAAGCCCTAATACCGACTTCAGTCAAATATGAAGATGCCTTTGGAAAGGCTCTCATGAGACCACAATCGAAGCTTCCCCCTGAACTCTTCCATGGTGACCATCAAGCCTTGCGTAGTTTGTTGCACATCTCATCATCTGTTGTTGTACATTTGTTATACAGTACAGTACACTCAACGATACAGCGACAAAGAGGTGTTGTTAGTCCTCAGAACTCGCTCGTCAAGGACATAAAAAGGCCACCCTCGTCGAGGCTAACCAAAGGTACTCCATACGAATCGTCTTTGCCCAGAACAGCCCACTCGAACGACCTCCGTTCAGGATCAACACCCATCATGTCCAGCTGTCGCTTCGCAGCGGAAGGCATGAAGGGTTGTAACATGATCCCAACAAGCCGCAGTTGTTCCGCAGCGAGATAGATGATTCGATCGATCTGAGCTTCCAGCAGTTCTACGGCCTCTCCGCCTTGGGTATTCTCTTCCTCATCCAGCTGCCGCAGTTCTTGGCCCGTGGTATCCGCCATTGCAGACCGGAGCTTCTGTACTAGGGTCCACGGCGACCAGTGTTGCAACTGGCCGTTCGTTTCACGAACCGAATTCATAATCGCTTGCAGCGCTCGGTTTGGATGCAGCTCTTGCATGTGCCGTTCGATCTTGCCCGGACATGCCCGAATTTGTCCATACCAGCCGCCCATACCATTGTCTTTGAAGGCTGCCGAAAGAGAGGTCTTGGATTTGTCTGCCTCGTTGGGATGAGCGTAGCGCCGAACGGCTCGCTTTACGTCCCAGCCTTTGCCCTTCATGATTCTGCCAATGGCGTTTCCAAGACCGCCTTGCAGACCCTTCTTGTACCTCTCGACGATGAAATTGTTGTCATAATCGGCATCGTCTCGAATTCCGCCATCGTGGATCAGATACCATCTCATCACATCGATGCCGAATCTTTCCAGTGCCCAGAAAGGATTGACGACATTGCCAGTGCTCTTGGCCATTTTCTCCCTCCCGAGAGTCCAGTGTGCATGTGTCAAGACTTGCTTGTGGAGTGGCAGGTCGAGAGCCATGAGGAATGCTGGCCAATAAATACAGTGGAAGCGGATGATGTCTTTGCCAATGACCTGTACATCTGCCGGCCATCCACCCGCGCTCTCTTTACCGGGAGGCCAAGGATATCCACTGGCCGTCGCGTAGTTGAGCAAGGCATCCAGCCAGACGTATATCGTCTGCGAAGAATCCGTCGGAACTCGCACACCCCAGTCCAGACGCTCAGCCGGCCTCGAGATCGACAAATCTTCCAACCCAGCTTCCACCTCCTTGACCAGCGCCCTCATCCTCTCCTGCGGCACGACGTACTCCGGGTTCTGCGCATAAAACTCCAGCAACCGATCCTTGAAAGCACTCAACCGAAAATGATAATTCTTCTCGCTCGTCCATTCCACCTCCTTGTCCGTCTCAATACTAGCCATAATCTTCCTGCCCGTACGCGGATCCAGCTTCAGGTGCACCTGCGAATTCGGATAGAAAGTCTCATCCGAAACGCTATACCAGCCTTCGTGCTTGCGCTCGTAGATGTATCCCCTCTCTTCCAGCATCTGCCACGCATATTCCACTCCCTCCCTGTGTTTCTGATCCGTCGTCCGGATGAAGACCTCATTGCTCAGATCCACCTGTGCGCCTAGCGATTTGAACACTTCCGCGCCTTTATCGCAGAACTCTTTGGGTTCCACGCCGGCTTTGGCTGCGGCGCGTTGGATCTTCATGCCATGTTCGTCCGTCCCGGTGAGCAGGACTGCTTTTCTGCCTTTGAGGACTTGCCATCTCTTGAGCACGTCGGCGAGGATCATGGTATACATGTGGCCCACATGCGGAGCGGCATTGACGTAGAAAATCGGCGTGGTGACATAGTATGGTTTCTCAATCTCCGTCGTGGTCGTGGTCGTGGTGGTAGAACTCGCTCGTGTCCAGTTTGGAGCTGGTCGTGTTTGCCTGCAACTCTGGCAAATCCATTCCGGGCGCCATCGTCGTGCTATGAGGGACTGGAGAGGCGTCAACACGTGTTGCACGCGCCGCATGTTCGATGTTGTTTCTCCTCTTGCGTCTCGGGAGACTTTCACACGAAGCTGGAGCTCTGGAAGTGAAAGTACCGAAATAGATGGTCCGAGCTTGCCTCGGTTGGACTTATCCATTGGAGCGAGAGGACATGGACCGCGGTGGAGAAAGTCCACCAGAGATGACCACAAACAACCTTGAGGAGTAGATTCCAAAAACTGTAAGGACAGACGTCTTCACAACACATCTCCCACAACATCAAGATGCCCTGCCCACAACTCCCTTCAGAACTCTGGCTCGAAATCTTCCACTATTGCTCCGCTCGAGATCTCTGGCTCTCTTTGAGAAAGACGAATGGACTATTGGAAGCATGCGCCGAGGACATCATCTGCAAAGACATCCTGCACGAATTCACAATCAGCTACACCTTTTCCCTGGGAGCTGGGACACGACCGAGATGGTACGATGTCAAACCGAGCATCATTCTTTGCTTTTCGGGTCTATCAAAGTACAATTCCCAATACGCTCTCTTTGACAAGATTGCTTTCCGCCCGGAGCCCTACCATCAACGCGCCTGGGAGAAGTGGAATCAGATTTGCTGTGGCGAGAGCGTGGGCGAAGACTGGGAATGGAAAGTTGCATGGAACGGGGAGGACGTGCGACGGATGAAGATGCCAAGGCTTATGATTTCGAGAGACCATGGCGCGTGGTGTGATTGGAGGGAGATGTTGGACGGGTATTTCAGTCCCTAGGGAGTATTTGTGGTTGTGAGAGTCGGCACATGGGTAGCAGTGGCCAAGCCATGGAGTTCGATTTCGAAGACTGGTTGGTTGGCTGGGTGGTGCGACTAGCGGAAGTGCATCGGATATCTGCAGTCGGCAGTTGAAAAGGGATGGATACGTGCAGCATGTGCGCGGAGTAACAATGGCCTGGTGTCGCATGCTTTTGCGGGACTGCTTGTGGTCTATCTATAGGGTACAGTGCTGAACGAGGCTGAATCACGACTGATTCGCGAGCAGCTCTGCCTTGGTGTCGACAGCGCCATCTGGAAGAGTTGCACATTTCTCTTTGAACAGCTTCTCAGCCTGTTGCCAGACCCGAGCGGTCTTCCAGTCTTTCAGCTGGAGGAGGCTGGGTAGCAAAGCCGCGCTGAAGGCTTCGGAAGCCTCTCTGGGCAAGAGAGACGGGAGGTGATCGATGCTGATCACGCTCAGGGGAAGGTCGTTAGCTTCTGCGCCCAGCTCGACTGGCACAGTGGGCTTGTCGAAGGTGGTGTTGATGTCGTATATTGGGATGGGGTTGTTCGGGTTCGTGGTGTCACAAGACACATCGCACACCACGCTCAATTTGCGGTTAGGCGAGGCCAGTGACTTCGCGTCGATGAACGGTGGGATCTTCGCAGACAGGTAGATGCAATTGACGAAGACGTCCGACTCGATGATCTCTTGGTACGGTCCCGACTTGGCACTAGTCTCCGGAAGATCCCATTTCTAAGTCAAGATCAGCAGCTGCTCGTAAGATGGTCGAATACTTACGTACCAAGATATCTTCGACACCAGCCTTGACACTAAGGTCAACAGCACCGCGACCACATCGGCCAAGCGCACCAATAACAAGGACTCGTGGCAGTCTGCCAGCCTTTGCCTTGCCTTCCTCCACGGCCTTCTTGACGTCGATAATGAGCAAGTCTTCGTTCTCATAAGGGGTCACTCCAGGAAAGGGTTCGGTCTTGCCATGGGTGAGCTGCCACGCCCAAGTCATCAAGGCTAGAGCGGCTCCAGCGAATCCAGCGTGCTATGGAGAGTGAGTACGGGCGCTCCAAAAAGCAGAGTGCGATTCGCCTACGTATCCAAACGCCGCGACTCGCCTGCCGCTCTCATCCTCGAGGAATTCTAGATCAAGGAGAGTTCCGTTGCCGCGGGGAAAGCGTCCAAGCACTTTGTCCCAGCCGCCCTGCCCCTTGTAGCCTTCACGGTGTTAGCTTGAGAACTGAATCGGAAGATCTGGTAGTGTCAAAGATGGCATACAGTGTGCGAATTGTACATGCTGTTCAACCGTCAGCGTTGTCTCAAATCGAGCGAGTGAACTGAAAAGAACTTACGGTGTGCTTCAACGGAAAGTCCTCTTCCGGCAGCTCCTTCAAGCCAATGACAATATGCTCTTTCGGTGCGTCGGTCCAAGAACCAGTCGGCACGAGCGTGGCACCCGTTCCCTCATATTCGGAATCCGGGAAGATGCTCAAGGGCGACTTCTCGACATGGACTGTGTAGCCCGCCTCGACCAACTTCTTTGCGATTGTGGGCGTGACCGCGGAGCGGTGCTCCAACGGCTTCGTCTCCGCCCGGAAATGGAGGACGACGGGAGACATTGCGCTTGACTTCTGGGAATGTCTGAGATCGGCTGAAGGATTGCGTTTGAGAGCCCCAACAATAAATATGAGCTTTCTGGAGGGGAGTCATGTTTTCGTGGGCATCCTAATTGGGTATAGTGGTCTCGGAGTTCGGCATACATGTAGACAGGACGTTCCTGCATCGCCCTGAATTCATTTCCATCGACATCACATGTACATGTACCTTACATTCGACTGTGTCATCGTCGTCTCTGACGCTGTCATGAAAGCCATCAAGGTCGCGCCTACTGCCGCGCTGGCCTATGCTCTTCCGTCCGAGCAAATGGAATCGATCCAGATCTGTACGGGTCAGAGCAAGACTCCGCAAGCGGCATGTAAAGCGTTCAGTCATCACACAACTGGAGAAGTGATAGACAGACAAAAGTCATCATTAAATCGTTCTGTATGGTATGCATCTTCATTCGCAAAGTCCAGAGGAAAAAGAATTGCTCGGCGGAAATCAATCATCCTTCGAGCAAGCGAACCTCCGCGGTTGAAGGTTTTTCCGTGCCGAACTCAACGCCTGGGCGGCCTCGATTTGACATCACCTCCTACGTTCCCCATCCCGCCAATTGGTCTTTTGAAGCCGCAAGCCGCGCGCCGCCTACTCATGGACGAGTCACTCTATCTGCTCAAGGTAATTCACGGACCGTGATTGGACATGCAGTCCACGAGGTGCGATTCGAGGCCGCCACTTGGCATTGTGAGAGGAAGAGTGACTCAGGCCACACAGCCGCTGCTGTGAGTGAATGAAAAAAGAATGAGTCAACGAGACGCGCAGTACAGAGTAAACGCAGAAGAGTAGCTGTAGATTTTCCCTCTTTGTCGTGAGACGTAGAAAGCGAACCAGCGCTTTCCACCTTTCATTCTAATCTATCTGGCTGGTCGGCAGAAAAAGAGGGTGAAGACAACTAGGCAATGCAAAGCAACATGGTCGAAGCAGATAACAATGTTTCGCATAGCAATGCTGCTGTAATCATCATTCTTGACAAGTCGTCACTCTCAACAAGTGCCCAGCATTGAAGTTCCAGAATTTCAGTGTCATGTCCCAATGCCCAAACGCCATAGTATGCCAATTACCATCGCCGTCGCCATGCAATGCTGAAATCACGCCGTCGCTCGCTATGCAGCCAAATCCAAGCCGAACGATCGTTGAGGAGAAAGGTGCCGATTGCTCGTATCCCGGTCCCGTCTAGATTCTAGATGGAACTCCGTGCGCCGTTGGAAAGCATCGTCCAGTGAAAGCCCACAAGAAGAAAGAAGAAATGCCTTCGTGAGTCGTTGACTGAGAGAAGACGGAGATGTGGTTCTGCGCCATTTTAAATTTGTCATGAAAGGTTGGAGATTCTCAGAAAGATTCGCCGATAGGGTATCGAAGAGAGAGTCCGAATGCTCGAGGCCTTGTCTTTGGGTATGTTGTTTGTCGAGGTACTTAAGCACCAGGAGTGTCACGGGGTTGAGGGTCCCTTGGAGGCCGTTGAGGATTGGAGCGTTGGCAGGGTCGACGGGAGCCTGGAGGATCCCTCGGTTGAGGGTCGCGGATGGCGAGGTATTGGGCCATGATGTCTGAGGTAGTGTGGATGATTGAGTGTTTCGGTGGTAGGTAGTGGCGCTGTTAAGGTTTGGTCTTGCTGCTGGTGGTGGGTTGGAAGTCTTGATTGCTGTATTGTTGTTGTAGGATGGTTATGATGAAGGAAGAGAATGGCACAGCAGAGGCAAGGTTAATATACACTCCACTCTGTTGGTTAGAGGAGAGGGCGTGCAAGCCGCCAACAGAGTCCTGCCTGGCTCAGACATCATGGCTGAGCACTCTTGTGAGTCGGAACCGGCCTCTAATGGCGAAGCAAAATAGCTACATCCACGTTCAGGACACCTTCGAGGGCAGCGGATGTCACACTGTCAGATGCCTTGTGTAGCCCTTCAATGGATCTAGGCTTTCGGACTGTCATTGCAATGTTGTTGGTGCTTCGCGAATGTCCAGGTGGCGAAGGCACCGCGCTACGACCATTTGGGATGGAGGTGAAGGAGCCGCTCAGGCTGCAGGGTAGGTCAGTCATAACACCGCCCAGTGACAGAAGGCACCTGAGGGGTAGCGAGGGCGGCCGCCAGGGCTCCGAGGGCAGGCATGGTTGGAGATGGGGGCCAGAGGACGCATCCAACGCCGCCGACTGTTGGTCCGATGAGGGCCAAGAGGCCCGAGAGGCAGCAGCGGGATTTCCGGCGAGGAGAGAAGAGCAGAAGAGAGCACCTAGTGTAGAGCAGAGCTGAGAAGTGAGTGAAGCCTCAGGCGGATGACTACTGCCTGGGATGCGAGAGGCAGCTGGCGGCGGCCGAACCCGCAGGATTCATTCACTCACAGGCAGCGGGCTGTCCGTGCACACCAGGGCTTGGCAGTGCAAATGCGATTCGTAGCTTAGAGGACAGGAAGACGAGAAAAGCGCGGGCGGTAAGTTAGTGCGAAGTATGGGAGCAAAGGATGGAGTGAGGTGCAGTGTGCAGGGAAGAGCAGTGCAGAGCTGAAGCCGGGCCGGAGGGCTGGGACTGCCGAGGCCGAGCCGAGCAGCCGGGCAGCCGGGCAGCCTACACCAATTCTCGGTACATGTACACGCTCACCTGTGCTCACGCTGACGCTCACGCTCTCATCGCATGCGCACTCTGTCTCCAAGATCTATTTCGCAATTCACCAACAATGGAGCCCGCTGTCGCAGCCCCCACACCCGCATCATCGGTCCTCTTCTGAAACGGCTCAGCTTCGGACAATTTTGGCATCCTGCAGCCCGCTCGCCCGTGTTGGACACCGGCATTGGGGGCTGAAATAGGACTCCGCCTCCATTCCTACCTCCCAAATCATTCGCTGTCGGTGACGGCGCGACCTACCCTGCTTGGAGATCAGTTAGACGGATCGCTCAGCCGGCGGCACTGTGGGCATACTGTAGCAAGTGCTCGCGTGTTGCTAAATCCAATGTCGCACAGGCTCTCTGGCTTGTTTTCAACGGCAATGCATGTCTGTTCCAGTGTGACAGGCGCCACGATACCCTACGTTGCTGATATGTTGCGGAGAGTCGCGCTGCGGAAGGAATTGCGTAGGTCATCATATCCCGAGAAGGAGCTGGAGGAGCTGCCGGCCGCTGCGTGAAAGAAGGCAGATGATCCCGCGCGCAATCCTCTCCAATCCTCCGCTCCTCTACGCTCCTCGGACATGGCCTTTGATGCTCCTCAATCGCCCGACGTGCAGCGGCAGGTCAAGTGGAAGCTCCGACGTTGCATTGGAAGTACACAGGTCACCTTCTGAGAGACCACCAGTAACGACTTCAAAACGTGGCCATCTCCCCGGCAGTGCGGTTCGCGGCACCGACTGCGCGATATAGTGCGACTAATTGCAGCATGGCTCGTAGCACTCACCAGCAATGGACGAATAGCGATCGGGGCAGTTCATGTGCCAAAATGCATTGCAAAGCCGCCTTCGAGAAATGTCGCACGCCGCGGCATCGCCCTTGATCGGCGACTCTTCTCATCGACGAACCGCACGTCAGAACGACTGTCTACTAGAGATGCAGCCTCTTCCATCGCGCCGAGCAGTCAAAGGGCGCACAGGGTCATGCCCGCCCTTCGAGCCCCCAAGCCTCCTGGCTTCCGCCCCTATAGGGGAGATGGGACGAAGACTGTGCGGCCTCCTCAGAGTGACTCACAAAGTCGCCGCGGAGTCATCCGTACTGAACAGTAGCTTCCCCTTTAACTTTGCGATTGCGTGCGGCGAGAAGTGCGGAAGGAAGTTGTACGATCATGCACATGGCATCATCGTGCACCTGTGCCTTGCATGCGGCCTTACAGGGCTGACGAGGTCGCACTCGGAGGCTCCTTCACTTTGCCTCAGGCAATCCGGCTGTGCCGACAACTTCGAAAAGAGCTAATAGGCAATGCGGGATAAACATCGACTCATACCGCCCTGCCAAGAGGGTACGCGAAAAGGTACCTACGACTGAACAGCCGACGTTCCGGTATCCCCACCTTTCAGACTGCTGCCAAGCAGGCAGACTCGGCCTGGTCACGTATGTCTTGCGTAAAGTAGGCCAAGCCAGTTCTGAGAGATGGCGATGAGATATTGTGAGTACGTCTCAGGCAGCGACATGCGTTTCGGCTCTGTGATACCACGAGCAGGCGGCATCGAGAAGCCACTTCTCGTCACGCTCTTCGTTGCGTTAGCGCCGCCTTGGCTCACACCAACACGCTTGTTCATTGCTGCCTTCTTGGCTCACACCAACCCGTTTGTTCATTGCTGCCTTCTCGGCTCCTCTCTACATCTCCCTTGTATTAGTCGTGTACAAACTACCACCACGTCTGGGTCGAAATGTAGCCGCCTTGCTCTTTCAGTCGGGGGAAGACGATGCCTACGGAGCAACGAAAACGCCATGGAAAGTGAAATCAAGATGCTTCTTCTGTTCACGCCTATCGACACGATGTTTTCCTTACTGTCCCAGGCCTTTTGCTCTCCCTTTGGCTACATCGTTCCAGCACCGCTCGGCGCTGGCTTTCTCCAAAGCGGGCCCAATTTGCACCAGTATAAAAAGAGCGAGGCATTCCATGCGAGAGCAACAACCGCGATCGTGATGGAAGTAGCCCAGAGCATTGAGTCAGAGTGTACTACCGCAAGTCCGAATCAGCTCTCATTGCCTCAAAGAGTCGACTGTCTCGAGAGTATACCTAGAATTCACCGCGAGACTTAAGGTATTGCGAATCAGGATCAACGTGGTCACCATCTCTCCGCTTAATGCGAGGTCACTGCTAATGGCGTGTTCCAGTGCTCTGGCGCCACACAGACGAGGGCGTTGGCGCCGTACATGAGACCGGCGTAGACGATGACGGGGGAAGTGAAGCCTTTGAAAGCAGCGATGAGAATATCCAGCATACGATTCGGACGCTTCTGAGGCATGACGAGAGATTCTCGTCAGGATGGATGGGCTCCAGTTTCGCTGCTGAAGAAGTTTGGGAAGTTATCTCAGAGTCGATGACAGTCGCTGTTGCATGTGCTGGGCCCGTCGATCGATCGTAGTCCGTCTCTTCCATGAGAAAAGTAACAATAAGACGAAAGCAATGCCGATCCGGATTGCTGTCTACCAGAGCACCCATCGCCAGTCGTGTCCGTCGTTGATGAGGCGTGCAAGCATAGGCGCCAATTCACCGGTGAAGGAAAGAGGCAGACCATATCATGCAAGGTATCACGTCCAGTAGGAGCAGCCAAAGGAGCATGAACTCGAACAGGGAAAGGAAAGTATATTTTTTGAGCACCACTGCAACTTCCCTTGCCTATCAGAAGCCAAGCCAGCTCGATCGCCGTCTGTGTTGAGGTCAATTGGTGCTTACCTTCCCAAACAACCGCGCGATGTTCAAGTGAGACTTGGCATGATGATATCGTCTCTCGCATTGCTAAGATCCAGCTAGGTCGCTCGTTCATCCGATTTCAGGTCCTCGCCGGAGCCTCTACGCACGTGTAATCGATGCATGCCAACGTGATGTATTGGTGAGTGTATCTCGAGAGTGTAGGCGAGGCAGTGAGTTGTTGTCAGTCGGAATATAGTTGCCAAGGAAGATGGCCATTCTTCCAGCACACTGCTAGCTCCTATCGCAGTAATGGCACTTCATCCTTGCCGCACCTTCCTAGGCGGGGTAGCTCATCGGATGCCTCCCATAGAGTTCCGACTTGATGTCAGCCAGCGAGCTTCGGAGACACCCGCAACGAACCTCAGCTTATATGCCTCCCAAAATCTCTTGCCTAGCATGAGAGGCATCGACACAAACCCCAATCTCCGCAAGGAACGCCACCAAGAAAACCTCCAAGCAGCAGCAGCAGCAGCAGCAGCCGCAGTCATGGCTTCCTCTCCTAACAATGAACTCTTCCTCTACGACCATCCCGTCTCCAGCTACGCCCAGAAAGTCCGCATGGCCCTGCGCTTCAAATCCCTCCCCTTCCAAAAGGAAACCCCTCAAAATCTAGGCGCCGGCCATCCCGATCCATCCTTCTCGTCCGCAAACCCCCGCCTGGAAGTCCCAGCCCTCCTAGACGGAGATTTCAGAATTTTCGATTCCACCACCATCGTCATGTACCTCGAGGAGAAGTTTCCAGAACCGGCATTGTTTCCCAGAGATCCGAGGGAGAGGGCCGAAGCGAGGATGATGGACGACGTGTGTGGGACGCACTATGAGGCTGTGAATTGGGCGATTGGGGAGATCACTTGGTTTGAACGGGCGAAAGGTGATGAGGCGAAGATGTTGATTGGGAAGGCTGTGGAACAGACGCATCAGCTTCAGGCATGGCTGGAGCAGAAATTGGGTTCGAAGGATTTTTTCAATGGCTCTTCGCCGGGCTATGCTGATATCGCTGTGGCGCCCATCTTGAATCGGAGTGTGCATTATGGGTATGGACCGAAAGAAGGGTCGCCGTTGCAGAAGTGGCATGCGAGGATCAGTCAGATTCCCTACATCAAAGAGACTTTTGACGAGATGGCGGCTGCTGCGAAGATGATGGCTTCGATGGGACCTGGTACTTGGGCAAAGGGCGCTGGTCGCCGACGAGAGTATCGAGACCATAGACTTGAGTGGATGATTAAGAATGGTGCGATCGGGATCGTGCAGCAAGGACTTGATGATGACAATATCAGGTTTTCGTGGCCACATCCGAAGTAGCACGCAATCTTGACAGCTAAGTAGATATCGACAGTATGAGGTGCAGCCGTTCAGTCGAAGCCTGCAAATTCGTCGTCATTAGTATGTCCCTCTTCTCCATTGACGGTATCGCTCGTCGTGCTTGCATCGAGGGTCTTGCGAGGGATCTCGAATAGGACCGCACAATTTGTGGCTTCGTAGATCTCTTTCCATCTGGCCAAGCGAGGCTCCTTGCCCACTGCAGCTACCACCACGACACCCTCCTTGCCGCGATCGCCTTTGTCAACTATCGCAAGGTCATTGATGATACCAGTAACGACGCCCTGCTTTTCGGTGCCTTCTCTCATGGCTTCGAGAGCTCCGTTGGCCATTGCATGCGAGCTCAGACCTTCCTGTTCTAAAAGCTGATCCACAGACTGGTCAATCCGGCCAAGACATCCAAGTGGTTCGATCCGTCTTTTGTCGGCGCTTATTTTCCATACCCGCACGTACCCATCCCAACTGCCAGTGACAAATGCATCAGAGAAGGGTATTGCTCGGAGCGCTGTTATCCACCTCGGCTGAGGCTTGGTGCGCGCGTCCTCAGGCGGCTCTTCTTCAGCGCTGACTTGTTCTAGAGGCAAAGGAGGATCCATGCCATGCGCTAAAGGATAGGTATACACTGCCTTCTTCTTGTGAATATTCCATAGCGAGATGGAGCCGTTGTCAGAACCTGTAATGAAGGTCTCATCGTCGACGCATGCGACTCTGTCTGTAGAGCCTTCGTGATGAGGATCTTCCGGCAGCTCTATTCCGCTGTCGTTGCCGTATCTGGACAATTTGCTTTTGCTTGGCGCGCCACCACCACGAAACACCAACTGGCTTTCTTCGACGACCTTCCAGTAACGTGCCGTGCGATCTCGAGCTCCCACAGTAACGCAAGTTTCCTGCGCCAGAGCACTTACGTCGGCGACTTCGTCCTGGTGGCCAAAGAGGGTCTCGACGTATGCGAGCTCGTCAAGAGACCAGATCTTCACAGTTCTGTCTTTGCTCGCAGTGAATAATTGATTCGTGCCTCTGCGAAATGCCAAGCTTTCCACAGTGTCACGGTGTTGATAGAAGACTTTCAGCGGCTTCAGTGTCGCCGCATCCCAGACAATGAGTTTCTTATCCGCCCCGCCAGTAGCAACAAATTTGCCATCTTGTGATGCTGCGACGCAAAGGATCGCTTTTGTATGTTGGTCTGAGTTGTTGCTGTTGGTGTTCTTCCCGAATTTTCTCGAGACGAGCAGTTTTGCAGGCTTTCGAGTACGGTTCTGCCATCCGCGCATCGGGGGACGTTCGCCAGGTAACCGCCATTTCACCAATATCGCGTCCTTGCCCACAGTGTATGCATGTTCGCCAGCTATCGCAACACTCGTAACAGATTGCTGGTGGTGTCTGAACTGTGCCCTCTCTGCTTTGCTCCAGTCGAAGTCTTGCGCGATCCATCTGTAAAGCTTTCCTTTTGTCTCTGCCGTATCTTCTTTCAATCTTTCTCCCATGCGATGTCTCAAATTCTCTTGATCCACCTCTGCGGCATCGAAGCCGACATCGTCCAGGACCTCTTTCTGCGTGTTTGCTAGATATTGCTCTGCCAATCGAATACGTTTCGCAGCGGAGTCCTCGTTCGCAAACTCCTCATCTTCGGAATCTGAGCCTTCATACTCCTCTCCAGTCCGCGCTTCTCGGTCATCGTCGGAATCCTCGCTGCCAGATATCGAGCCGTCTCGTTCGGTCCTGGTTTTAAGCTCCTTCCTCTGCGGAGGCCGTGATACACCGTCTCCTTGCGTCCGTTTTCGCTTCTTCTGCGAAGCGGGTAGAGTGAAAAAGGACGACATGGCGGTGATCGTGTGTCGCTCAACTTTTTCTTCGCGAAGTCCAAAAGTTCAGATCTCGAAGCTTCACTAGCGCCGGGAGGAAGCCGCCGGCCGCCGCCAATACAGCCGCATCATCGGGATTCGTGCCTGAGGTTGCTCGAGCTTGACATCAGCCAGCACAGCAGGCCGGCGTAGGTCAGGGGATACACTCAATTCGCTACATGAAGCTACACCAGCTGCCTGGGACGCTGACCGCTGTCTCGTGATATAGCAATGCGCTCACTGTGAGTATCTCTTCCTGTTCGCACGTTGCAACAATGGCCAACAGTACCCCAAACGGCCCGGCACAGTGAAGATGCTAAGTGAGATATACAGCACGACGCGCGCGACACGGCGCAATGCGCTCAATAAGCTCGCCGAGCTCTCCGCAGAGAGTACGACGGCTAATACCGCCGACGACAATGACCGGGATATGAAGAGGCTATGTGCTCTGGGAAGATTTCAAAGGAGTCTGGATGGAAACGGCACACTCGATGGCACGAAGAAGCAGTCGCGAATCTCGTCCATACCAATGAGTGTTAAGGAGTTGGAAGTTCTACTGGCATTATGCAAAGCAGCTCCTTTGGTACAGACAACCAAGGATGCGGAGGCGCTTTTGCGACAGCTAGGACCATATGTGCGCGAAGCTCACAGGCAAGCCTTCGAACCGACCCCGTTGTATCAGCAAATGCCCCCGTGTGAGACTCTGGCTTTCGATTTAACAACCGCGGTGTTGGCTCTAGGCATCAATCATCCTTCTCTGAGGCCGGAGGCGTGGTCAATCATCGATGACACGATCGAGGAGCTTGTGAACAGTGCCGAGAATACAGCGTGGTTGAGGCCTCTCGAGACTGGCGAAACGAAGTTCGATATCAACGATCAGACATTGCGCGCAATTCAACTGAATGTATCACTTCTCGGCTTCTTCCGTGGTGTTGCGAAATACGTACGAGTCTGGTCGCCGGAACAGCGCATGAACCTCATTCCACATCTCCGGCGCATTTTGTCCGAAAAGTACATGGTCTCTCTCGAAGGCGCGTTGTCTGCGATTAGAAACTCCAGCACCTCCTCGCGACCTGTCAAAGAATGGAGGCGATGGTCTCGTCACTACGCTGCTCAGGGACAACCCCTTGGTGCCATGCTGCTACAGCAAGCGTTCATGGAAGTTGTAGAGGAAAGTTGCTTAGCGCTACTGCCACTCTCAGAACCACTTAGGGGCACCGCGTTCTTGGACCATCTCATGCAACGCAAGCCATCTGCATATCGCGCTAGCAACCAGGTCTCGAGCGAGGTCATCCACAGTCTGACGGACGTGATTGCCAATGAGATGAAGTATCTGGACGCAGATGCGGACTACCTGAAGTTGGGGTCGCCTTGGCAGCAAAGGCTGGCTCGAGAGGTCAAAGCAAGCGCACTCCGGAGTTTTCTGTGTTGCTGCATTCTCAATGGCGACAATGCGAATGCCGAAGTTCTGCACACCGATATTCTCAAAGGCTGGCTTGATGCCGTTACCGCGGACACTTCACAGATGATTGACGAGGACCTGGCGCAAAATGTTCTTAAATGCATGACGATCCTTGCGAGTCTCTCATCACCCATCGCCTCTGACCTTACGCGATCGATGCCACGATTGCTTGTGCAAGGCAAGATGAGCCCTCCAACTGCCACAGTTGCAAGCGAATGCATGGCGCGGATCCTCAAGTACCTACCGCAGGATGTGGTGATCAGCACTCTTTATAACTTGGGGAATGTGCTCAGCACCAATTCTGACAATCAAACCAACAGCAAGTCACCCCTCTTCGATAGCACATTGAGCTCGAGGAACGGAAATAACTTTGGACCTCAACCTGTGGGAAGCGCTATCTCTTTGGTGCTTAGCAGCAGTGATGATGGCGATGTGGCCATGACATACGGCACGATCGTTCAAGCTATAGTCGCCATTGCTGTTGCCCGTAGCGAAACACAGCTGACCGCTTTGGTCATATCGATGCTGGTGCAGAAGATCGGGAGGATCAATGTTGCTGTGGATGCTCGGATCATTGTCGAGATCTCCGCCCTGGGCTTGTGTGGTGGACCTAGTGAACTGAAGTCCTTACTGAGATTGTATGTGCGAATTGGAGCGGACGCACTTATGAACAACAACGGGCTCCTTTCCACCGCTGTCAACGAAGCACGAAGCCGCATGGCCAGCTGGATCAAGAAGGATACGCCATTCTTCGAGATATACCTGACGCACCTTCTCTCACTCTGTGTTAGCAGTGGTGATACTGCCGGCGATCGCACCGTCGACAGGGCGTTTGCGTCAAAGACGATTGCACAGCTTTTCCGCCCGATGGCTATTTTAGCGTCTAGCGACAGCGAAGCCACACCACAGATCGAGGACGAGGACGAGCTGCGCGCCCTCGGTAGAGATGCATGGTTCAATATCGTCGTTCTGGGCTTTACTTGGCAGTCGGCTGCTACAAAAGAGCATATGAAGGATCTTCAAACCCTTGCCCTGTACAGTCTTCCTTTGATCGACGAGGCCAGAGTTGACATGCCTGAGAGCAGCATTGACCTCAATGCCGTCCTGCGACGTGGCGCGAGCCCCCAGAATCTTGTACAGCAGAAGCAGTCACTCATTACCGCACTGCCGAATTGCGAGTCCGACATCAAAAGCCTCAGCTACCAGGAATGCAACTTCCTCAACGCGGCCCTACTGGTCTCGACGCTGCGTGCGCAAGGCGGTGACTCGACTGCTGTTCTCCCATACTTTCTAGAGAACAAGGTCAAGACGACCGCACTTGGTACGTGCATGCTCGCCGTCGCTGAGAAATCTGTGGCAACGTATCTTCAGAAGGCGCTGTCGGGGCGCAGCCAGGACTTTGCAGCTCCACAAGTTGCATTGCAGCTAGCTACGCTATTTGAGGGATGCTGCCATCGCATTGCCAAGGTGCAAGTCGCTGCTTTCACTATGTGCGATCGTATCATAAACGACATTCCATCGGCGCTGTGTCAGAAGGCCTCTCTATTTGCGCTGCTCGAGCTTCTCACACTCATGTGGAAGGCTTGTCTCGACAGCGAGACCGACGAGTACACGTGGAAATCGCACTACAGTTCCTTGAAAGGCAATGTCTCTGTTCAATTGTCCGACGATGTTGCGTATCGCAAGGGCACGCTTAGCAGCTTTCATCAACGCGGCCGCGTTTGGGTAGCCAAAGCGATTGATGTCGCTCCCCTGGATGTCAAGGGTCTGCTGCAAGCGTACCTGGAAGACTACGAAGATGATGGCGCTTACGGACACATCGCTCTTGGAAGATCTCTTGCGGTAGAAATGGGGGCTTTGATACCTAGCACTGATCAGAGGCTCACGAGCCTGGAACGCCAGCGAGACGTGAGCATCAACACTGCATCTGATTTCGTGGCGCAATATACGACCCGGCAGCAGTATCGCCATTTGGACGTCAAACAAGGTACGGACGATGAGTGGGCACTCGTCGATTACGGCGGGCAGTCTCGTGACGCTCTAATGGATGTAGAAGAGTCTGTCCAAGACGAAGCTGCGGAGCTCAGAAATCTCTCTCGTCGTCTAAGGAACCATGCCGTGGTGCCCTTCGCTGAGGTCCGTGACACATTACGGAACGCTGCCGGCATCCTCAGCAGAAGTGCTTCAGACCGCGTGGCACTAATCCAGGATCTAGTTGCAATTCCCTTCTTGATATTCTCGAAACAGTCTATCAACCTGGGAATATCTCTCTGGCTTGGCATCGTCAAGGAAAATCCAAGCATAGAATCTCGAATTTTGGTGGAAGTCGCCGCCGGCTGGGAAGCATCAGTCAGACGGAAGAAGGGCTTCTTCGATATTCACTTCCAGCACCTCGACCCATTCTACGTGAAAGAAGAATTCGCTCCTTCCAACTGGGAAGCCATCAAGAGACGAGAGCAGATTACTCACAATCTGATAGCTCCGCATCTGCGCCTGACGCACTTCCTCTCCAGCCACTTCAGTGCCACCAGACTGACTTCGCCGTCAGTGGAGCGTCTCTACTCTCGCCTCATGCGGATCACGCTTCTGGCCATGCGGAAGGTCGTCAGCCAGCCATTGGCCAGGGAGGTACACTTTCACATCGTCTTGCTCGCTCAGAAGATCCTTCGCTACAGTGTCAATCTGGACGCTGCTGCTCAATGGCGACTCAAAGATGCAATCATCTCGGCTGGCTTGTCTTGGTTTCGCACCTCTCCAAGGTGGTCTTTTGGGAGCAACAGATTACAGCTCAAGGCGGAGACCAAATTGCTAAATGATGTGTCCAATATGTTCCGTGACCTTAGTGGCATTGGCTCTAGGGTCGGTCGGAGCTTGCCTGGTCTACAGCACAAGCAAGAGCTGCTGTTGCATCTGATCAGCCACGAGATTGGCCGACTCACCGTATGGATAGCACCTCTTGAACAATCCAAGGGCCTGCTATCGGGATCCCACGAAGACGCCACGCAAGAGGCAGCGATTACTCCACTCGTGAAGACGGCGTGGGACGAAGATCCTAGCATTGCAATTCAGCTGTGCACACGATTCGTGAAATCGCAGTCGATACACAGCCAAGTCCGACAGCTCTTGCTGCAGCAGCCTGAGGATGCCATTGGGGAGGCAGATGCTCTAAACATTCTGCTCGGACCGGAGCTGGCTTCCGACGTCAAGACACAGCTGAAGTATCTTCTGTACTGGGCACCAGTCAACCCGATGGCGGCCGTCACCTACTTCCTGCCAGCATACGCCAATCATCCTTTCATCGTCCAATATGCGGTCCGCGCTCTCGAGGCCCATTCTGTCGACATAACTTTCTTCTATGTTCCGCAGATTGTGCAGGCCTTGCGCTACGATACTCTTGGATATGTAGAGCGATACATCATTGAGACAGCCGCTTTCTCCCAGCTGTTCGCACACCAGATCATCTGGAACATGAAGGCGAACGCATACAAGGACGAGGACTCCCAAGAGCCAGACCCCGTGAAACCCGTGCTGGACCGTGTCATGGGCGCCTTAATCTCGAGTTTCTTACCGGTGGATAAGGACTTTTATGAGCGCGAATTCGACTTCTTCGGCAAAGTGACGGGTATTTCTGGAACGCTGAAGCCTTTCATAAAGCGACCAAAGCCGGAGAAGAAGCAGAAAATTGAGGAGGAGCTGCGCAAGATCCAGGTCGAGGTTGGGGTCTACTTGCCAAGTAACCCCGACGGCGTAGTCATCGGTATTGACCGCAAATCCGGCAAGCCCTTGCAGAGTCACGCCAAGGCTCCCTTTATGGCAACTTTCCGAATCCGCAAGGAGGAAAGCGAACAGGAAGCAGAGGAAGAGGCTCAACGGACCGGACAACTGGCGAAGCGTAAGACCTGGGAAGCGTGGCAGTCAGCCATTTTCAAGGTCGGAGATGACTGTCGTCAAGATGTGCTCGCTTTGCAGATGATCGCAGCCTTCCGGGGGATCTTCAACAATGTCGGCCTGGACGTGTATGTGTTTCCCTACCGCGTCACAGCCACGGCACCGGGATGTGGCGTCATCGACGTCCTGCCGAATTCGATCTCCCGAGACATGCTCGGGCGTGAAGCCGTCAACGGGCTATACGAGTACTTTGTTTCCAAATACGGATACGAGGACTCGATCCGGTTCCAGGAAGCGCGCGGCAATTTCGTCAAGAGCATGGCCGCGTACTCGATCATCTCCTACCTGCTCCAATTCAAAGACCGGCACAACGGCAACATCATGGTCGACGACGCGGGCCACATCCTCCACATCGACTTTGGCTTCTGCTTCGACATTGCTCCCGGCGGCGTGCGCTTCGAACGCGCCCCGTTCAAGCTCACGCCCGAAATGGTCGCCGTCATGGGCGGATCCGTCGACTCGCAACCTTTCAAGGCCTTTGAGAAACTCTGCGTCAAGGCCTTCCTGGCTTCCCGCCAGTACGTCGAACAGTTGGCGCACATCATCATGACCATGCTGGATTCCGGCCTGCCGTGTTTCAAACCGCAGACGATCCAGCACTTCAAGGAGCGGTTTGTCCTGGACAAGAGTGATCGGGAAGCGGCCAAGTTTGTGCGGCATTTGATCCATGTGAGCGAGAGGAGTTGGTCGACGGCTGGGTATGATTATTTCCAGCTCTTGACGAATGGGATTCCGTATTAGTTAGATGTTAGATACGGATATGCGAGAGATTCGTGCGATTTATGTTTGTTCATTGTTGGTTTTGTTATTGTGGTGGTGATGGGTGATGGGTGAGGGGATGGGGATGTGCTGCCTAGTTAGCCAGTAATCAGTAATCAGTAATAGGTGATGACCCGTTCTTTATGTATCGACAGTAGTACTTGGGTTGCTACAAAGCATTTGATCTCAAAAATTGTACAGAAGAAGAGAATCGCGCGCGCGGGCGGGCGCCCGTCGAATGCGGCCAACGTGTAGTACACGATTGTAGGTATTGTGTGGATCCCATTTCTGCACTGTCTGGGTGGATCTAGATGTTCCAGTTCCTTTCCGGTGCACAGGGTGGGCATATGGATGCGTTTCTCCATTCTGCAGGTTAATGTAAGGTAAGGTAAGGTACCTGCAGCTTTTCCATTTTCTCCGTGGGCGAACGAAGAGTGGGTCGTGGCTCAAGTGCTTTAAGGTTTTGGTTTGGGGGCAAAGCAAAGCAAAGCAAAGCAAAGTCGACATCATTATTGCAGGCGCCATTATTCTTCACAGCTAGCCGACGGACGGGCTTGGATCACTGGATTGGATGAGGAGCGCTGAGAATAGCGGTTGCTGCTGCAGTGAGTTGAGTGAGTGAGTGCGGTGGACGGATATGAGGGAGCGAGCGTGTCTCTTCAGCTAGACCACTCTCACGTTCTCTCGTTCTCTGCATTCTTCACCCTTGGCCCTTCGCATTTGGATTCTTATTCAGCCGCTCGCAAGAGTCGATGAAATAGTTTTTTCCCCACGGGTATGTATTGACGCCGGTGTTACGTGGTGGTGATGCCAGTATCTGGGGCGGTGCGGCGGAAATAAATGCCATCGTCATAGCCGACGACTCGCTTGGATTTTCATAGCGCTCTCTCTCTCTCTCTCTCTCTCTCCCTCTCACGTCGGGCTGCCATTATTGCTCCTTTCCAGCAGGGCTAAGAAAAAGGACGATCGCGACGGTCCTATTGCGGAGGTGACTGTGGGCCTCGGGGCATGCAGATGGTCGGTCTTCATAGCAGTACCTAGTGCATGCATCTCCGCGACTTATTAAAGCGTTGACGAGGTCTCGCGGAGGTCTCGCGGAAGCGAGTCGTCATAGGACTGCAGCGGTCCCGCGGTACGAGAGCCAGGTATGTAATTTTGTCGTTTGACTGGTCCGTAATAAAACGACGCGGTTCGATCAAAAAGCAGGTCGCACAGGTCGTCCGGACAATCCATAGCCGGATGGAGTCATATCTCCGAAGGGGTAACCAGAGGGAAAAGTCGGAAGATTTTCCTGGGAGCGTGCTCTCTCATGCTTTTTTCTGGGACCGGATTGGGCTCGAAACGTGCAGCCGGAGATCGCCGGGCCGGGCCCGTGAGATAGGGGATCGGGATCGCCTCTTGGTTGATCCTCGAGCTTGTGGCTGTGACTCTTTGCACTCGCGGTGTGTAGTGTGTTAGTGCACGCGGTGCGAATGCGTCCCTCGTACAGTAGCGAAGCTCGCACGTGGTCGTGAAGAATGTTGCGGCATTTGAGAAGGGCGGTCTCGGCAATGGCATTTAAGCTTTGTCGATGCCGTCCGTCCCGTCGGGCACGAGGCGGACGGCCTTGAGGATGAAACATCCGAGCCGGAGGGTGACAGGACAGCAGCCTATGGGCATGGAGCAGGATGAAGTGATGTTCGATGCAACTGCCATCTAGGCTCTGGGACAGTCGGCCCGGCAAAGCTTATGGGCGAGATGCTACAAAAGGTGTGGCAGCCCTATAACGGTCGACAGATTGGGCAGGAGCCGCACAGCCACAAGGGTCCATGGGGCAACGGGCAGAGACGCATGAAGATCTTCTGCGCGCGCGCGGGTCGGTCTACTGCTGGCCCCAGCCCAGTACAGTACGTGAATTTAGCCCAAAGCTCTTCTTCGTTGACACTGCCATTCCTCAGGACTCGTGATGAAGCTGTCAGTGGCTGCTATTCGTGGCCTCGCTCCGGTGTCTGCGTCTGCGTCTGCGTCTGCGTCTGCGTCTGCGTCCGCGGAGCTGCTGTGTTCGCTGCGACAGGGAGTCAGAGGCCATCGCGGGCGGCGTCCAGCATGATGCGATGCACGGTGCGAGACACCCATGTGCCGACCGATCGAGGCTCTTCGCAACCCGGCAAAGTGGTAAGTACATGCACTCTCCCACCTGTGCTGTGACCCGCATAGCCACGAAGCCACGTTGTCCTGCAAGCACCTCCGCTGTCGTCCTAGCGAGCAGCGAAGAGATTGTGTAATCGCGTAGCTGTCTTCTCATGCACGCACGCAGGGAGGAGTGGTGCTGGAGTTGCTCGCGGACTCCGACGTGCCCTGCTGCTGTGCTATTGCGTACCTAGTGCTGCTTAGCGCGTCTCCATAACGGCACAACGCTCAGCGACCTCTCTCAACCTCGCCATGACCCGCCGAACTGTCATCATCACCCGCGCTGCTGCTTGTTGCTGGCGCCGGGAGTCTCGAGCATTGTCCCTGGTCGCCGGAAGCGACTCGCCCCTCGCACAGATTGCAAGGTCCGCCCCTGCGCCGGCGGCTCTGGGCACGTCGTGTGGTGGTGCATTCGGGAAAGAAGGTAAGAATGCTGCGTTGCTGGACGGGGACTACTCGCACTGCACAGCTGCGCACCACTGCGCACTGCGCACTGCGCACTGCGCACTGCACACTGCGTGGGAGAGTAAGGTAGCCCCCGTCGGCGGTTTCGCCACAGTGCTGCACGGGCGTCAGACAAGCATCCTGCCGTGTGCCTGTGGCCCTGTGTGCTGTGGCATGGCACGTCGGCTGACGAGCGAGCGAGCGCCGTGCAGCGACCACAGCAAAAGGTGCGTGGCGTCTCTGCCCAAAGCTATTTTCTCGTCGATGACGGCCACTCGCGCACCACTCGCGCCTCCCGGCTGCTTCTCCGGCACCTTCTATCTGCAGGTCTAGATGCGGCTACTTGTATAGCCCAGAAGTCTAGCACCTGCCGCGCGCTGCGCAAGATGGGCGGCCACCGCGACCGCGACCGCGACCGCGACCGCGACTACTACTGCTGCTGCTGCTGCACCTGCACCTGCACCTGCTTGTGCTTGCCCTGCGCTGCTAGAGCAGGTTCCTTCCCGCTGTCTTCACTGCGCCTGCGCCTGCGCCTGCCCTGCCCTTTCTTCGCCGCTTCTGGCCCTCTTATTGGACCGTCACACGACATCCCCTCGACTCGCTCCTTCCTATGAACTCTTTACACTCTGTAGCTTTCGTCTTCTCAGTCGTCCAGGCAGCTCCTGCCACATCCAGCATTTACATTCTCTGGTCGCGGTTGCTTTCGGCCCACCCACAGCGCACCTGCCTTGACCACCTGTTACCTTACCTTACCTTACCTTACCACCTGCCTGACCCTCCCGCTGCACTCTGCCCTGGTCCGTCGACTGGAGTCTCCAAGCGGCCACACCTCACCTCAGCCTGACGACACTCCGGCTTCATCACCTCATGTACCATTCGCACCTTGTACCTCACCATGAGCGGCTCTGACTCCACAGCCTCCCGCCAGCCCCCGGAGGCTTCGCCTGCGTCTGCCGACCAACGGCAACCGCAACAACCACAACAACAACACCCTCACGCACAGAGGTATGTCGGTGCCGATCCACTTTCCATTGGCTCGCCCAAGACAACGCGAGCTGACACGCCCGGTAGCGCACCGTTTCAATCTCAACTCGAATATCTCGCCCAGAGTCAACAGCATCAATCTCCCCAGAACATGATCCAGTATGGCCAGCAGGCTTTCGATATGGGAGCCCTGGCTGGTGCTCTCCCAGGGGCTGGCCAGCCTCCCATGACCGGGCGTTCATATGTCAGCCCAGATCCATCGACTCTCGCTTCTCCCCATCTATACCAACCCGGCCAGGCCATGTACCCACCTCAGCGCGGTCCCCAGTTCGCCGACCCAGCAGCTTTGGCTAGAGCACAGCAGCAACACATGATGGGAGGACAGTATATGGGACCCGGTCCTCTTCAGGTGCGGCCACAGGGCTTTCCTATGCAACCCCAACTTCCTTACTCTCCCGTCGACCCCTATGGCTACGGCATGAGCCATGGAAACTTCTCCCCCATGGACCCCCGATTCGCGCAGCAGCCCTTCATGATGCCGCCGGGAATGGCTACCGATCTCTGTAATGCTCAGGTCTGTTCATGTTCGTGATCAATTGCTGACTACTTCTCCAGCCCAGTTCACCCGTCGATGCTCGGCAGCAGAGGCTGGACCCATTCCCAACTTTCCGCGAGGGCCTCCACGCAAACCTAAGCAATCGGGGCATGCTCTGTGGGTCGGAAACCTGCCTCCCCAGGCTGTGGTCACGGATCTGAAGGATCACTTCTCGAGAGATGCGACGCAGGACATTGAGAGCGTGTTCCTGATTGCTAAGAGCAACTGCGCGTTTGTCAACTACAAGAGTGAGGCGGCATGCGTGGCTGCGATGAATCGCTTCCACGACTCCAGGTTTCACGGTGTTCGACTTGTTTGCCGGCTTCGACGAGGCACTACGCCAAGCTCCACCGCGACACCGACTGAACCGCTATCCGATTCTCCTCCTGCAAGCGCCGGACAATCTCGCTCACCGGCGCCGGTCGTCGATAGCACCCCCGAAGACTCTCATGGACCAACAATCGCACGTAGTCAGTCGGACCAGAGCGGGACGTCACCCAGTGCGACCGGTCCGTCTGAGCCGGCGCCCGGGGAGAAGGTGCCCGAGAAGTACTTCATTGTCAAGAGTCTGACCGCGCAGGATCTGGAAGCAAGTGTACGGAACGGCATATGGGCCACGCAGTCCCACAATGAGAACGCGCTCAACAAGGCTTACGACCAGGCTGAGAGTGTCTATCTAATCTTCTCTGCCAATAAGTCTGGCGAGTACTTCGGGTACGCGCGCATGGCTTCTATGATCTCTGGCGAACCTGTCAATCTGTCCTCCGCCCAAGCCCCTGACGAATCTCCCACTCCAGACTCCGCGGGCTCACCGCAGTCGATTCCTACCCCAGCAACTGCCACGGCACCAAAAGGACGAATTATCGACGACTCAGCACGCGGCACCATTTTCTGGGAGGCAGATCACACCGACAGCGGCGAAGGCTCGCCAGCGAAGGAGGGGAGTTCTCCCGGCCAGAATTGGGGCAAGCAATTCCAGATCGAATGGATGTCAACGACCCGCCTACCGTTCTACCGCACGCGAGGATTGCGCAATCCATGGAACGCTAACCGAGAAGTGAAGATCGCCCGCGACGGCACTGAATTGGAGCCCAGCATTGGCCGACGTCTGGTGCAGATGTTTCACCGCCCTTCCCCATCTTCCTCTACCGGACCCGCAGGCGGTGCTCCGGGTGGCATGCCTTATGCGCGATGACACGATGTGTATTGTTGGGGCGGACGGTGATTGTTTTAAGAGAGCATCTGTTTTCCTACTACTTGGCTGGCGAAAGCAAATGTGGTCATATCTGAGCGCATTCTGCATAGCGGTGGTGTTGGATTCATGCAAAGAAGAAAGAGCTAGGAAGAGGAACGAAATCATGTGGGCTGACCCTTATAATCTCGGCACCCATGTGCAACTATTTGAATGCCCTCTTCCGACGGATACGTGTACGCTGGAACTAGCATTGTGTGCTGTCTGGTCCTCTTTTTCCATATGCCTACACCTATCTTAATTTCGACAGATAGTCAGTCAGTCAGAGTAGCGATAGCCAGTTCGCGAGCAGGACGCATCATCGGAATGGATGTTGCAGTCCGGTAATTCAACATTTGAAATACCACATCTCTTGCGGAGTCACCATATACGGGAAATTCTTTTCCACTCAACGACAACAACAACACACAAAGTAATTTGTGGAAGGAATCGATCTGCACTTGTGCAGATTGACACGCGTTGTGCGTGACGTGCGTTGACGACTCGACCACACGACTGTTGCAGTCTTGCAGATCGCCCAACGGGTGCGATCATCCAGTGCATATATAATACATCAATCGAATCAATCGAATGAATTAATCAAAGTGAGTGATGATGATGATGATGATGATGATGATGATGATGATCCTTTTCGACTTTTTTGTTTTTTTTTTTTTTTCTAAATCAAATCTACTTTTTTTAATTTATCATTATTATCCGTCGGTGCTACTATACTATCTATCTAACTTTTTCGCGGCACACCGGGGCAGTAAGGTATTATTAACTGTGATTTATTTAAGATTTGATTGATTGATTGTTGAGATTTGGCTTTCTTTCGGAGTACACTCCTTTACATATGTACTGCAAAAGGAGGGACAAAGGTCCCCCGCGGAGCGGATGGCGCGTTTCTGGAATGATGATGGGTTCTAATCGGCAAGGATTTCTTAAAGCGAGATCGGATACTTTTCTGGTGCTTGCAGCGTGCGTTATTATTGTTGTGAGATGAGATCCCGGGCAAGGAAGGGGAGTTCTTTCTACCTACAACCACACCGGGTTCAGCCACGATTCTTCTAAAAAAAGCCACAAGCACATCATCATCATCATCATCATCATCATCATCATCATCATCATCATCATCATCATCATCATCACAAGGGTCGCGGCAGTCTCAAAGGAGGGTTTTGAGCTTGTGAAAAAATCACTTTGGAACTTGTGAAAAAGAGACTTTGCGACTGTCCTTCGCTCTCGTAATAATAAAGAAGGGTCGCTCACAACGACACTACCTACAATCGGAGTTTGGTCTGGAGAAGTCGGATGCTAGTGAGGCTCGTGGTTGGCAAAGCGACTAGACTGACGTACTATCGGGGTGATTGGCCGGTAACATCTTCCCTGTGCAGTAGTTGCTCCCTTCCTCCCCTTCGTGGTACACTTGCTGCAAGACTTTTTCGCCACGTGGATGCGAAGGCTTGCATTCGTCACACCGGTGATCTCTGGCGCCGCGCGCGCAGTAGGTTGGACGGGAAGAATATGAGGTGTCAATTTTGGGTTCTGCACCACGGTGGTTAGCTCATGTCCGTAAAAGGGTAGGAAGGACCGAAAGACTCGTACCCAATTTGGAGGTATATGAGCGAATGAAGCTGGATGCGATGAGCGTGACCTGTCGGTCGGAGTCTGATGGGAGGTGGGAGGTCACGCTGTCTCCAGGTGTCATTGTCATCGGAGTCGGTCGTACAGTTGCGTAGCGTGCAGTGAAGACTTGTGAACTCATGCGAGACTCGTGCGTTTCTTGACGATGCGTGCCCGAGGTATCTCAGTCGGAGGCGTTTCGGGCGGCTCTCTGGACACCAGCTTGCAATTGACCCATTGTCGAGTTGAAGGCCTGGTCGGCCTCGCCATGCTGAGCCTTCCACTTAGCTTGTGCCTGGCGCAACTTCTCCTGCAGCTCCCGCACCCGCTTGGTTAATGCTCTCCTCTCCTTGCGACTACAGCAGGACGAACGTCAGCAAAACAGCCCCGCGAAAGTTCAGAGGACGACTCACATCTTCTTCTCGTGCTTGCTGCGATGGTCCTGGAGCTGCTTTTCGATGCTGTCGACGCGCTCATTGCGAGTGCCTTCAATCTCCTTCTCGCGCTTCTGGCGCTTCGATTTCATCTGGATGAGGGATCGGTGAGCCGGGAATGTCTAACGGACAGAGAGAGAGAGAGCAAGGATGAAAAGGACGTGAACGTCGGACGCAGCATTGCCTACCTGTTGCTTCTGCTGCGACACGGCCTTCTCGATCGCCTTGTGGTCGATCAGCTCTTGCGACTGAGTGTTGTCGTCGTCCTGGCTGGCGAGATCATCGATGCGGCCGTTGACGGCCTCTATGTGCCGGGAGTGCGGACGTGGCATTGTGCTGCGATGATGCTGTCCAAGCGTGCTGGATCACAGAATTACAATTGCGTGTTGTCTGGTGGTTCAGGTTAAGCAGTGATTCTTGCACAATGCACGATAGAGGATTGATGTTGCAGTGAGGAAGATTGCGAGAGAAGGTTGTCACTTTGAGAACCATCGTGACCTGCCTGAAACCTGCCCTATGATTGGATGCCAAGCTGTAGGTGCGACGCGTCCTCACGTGTCTCGTGCCAAGAGATGACCCCAGCAGTCTCATCGCATGTGTTCGGCGCAAGATCAACCAATGGTCCAGTGACACTGTCATTCGGCTTTACGAGATCACGTGTTCTTTCACTCTGCGCGAAACGGCTTGCGGACTGTTTTGTGGCGCCGCAGCAAGTCAAGACCGAGCCACGGCTCCTGGACCAAGAAGCGACCAAACCCTTGCTCAACACGAGCGCTTGCGTTGTCATTTCCATACACCCCGTGAGCCACACTCCCCCCTCCTAGACATCTCAACTCCGCCTCCGGTCGATCCTGCGCGCCAACTTGGACCACCAGCCAACTTTTCCGGAAGCATGAGCAGTTCCTGATTTCTTGAAAAGCTCCGGCGCATTTCAAGGGTCCGTACCCTCGCTCAGCCTCACCCTCCAGCAATCCGGACAACAGTTTCACTTTCGGGAGCAATACATACAGGCGTGTCTGGAGGTCGAACTGGGAACACCCGACCGTTCCCTTGGCCATGGCTTCCTTTGCGAGTTCCTTCTGGTCTCCTGACTATGCAGCAGGTCAGGAAACAAGGCGTGATGTCTGTAGGGATCACCACTAATGCCACGTAGGGTTAGGAGTACTATTCGCGAAGCTACAGCAAGGCGTGCAGGAGAATGAGCAGATTCTTACGATTGCGCGAATGCGCGCCGAGGCGGAAGACACATATGGACAAAAGCTTGGAGATATAGAAGCTGCCACGGGCAGGATAGACGGCGGCTTTCAGAGAGATGACGGCGCCAGTCTGAAGAAGGTGAGGCAGTCGGACACAAATTTGCAGAGAGGATGCTGACCTGTGCAGGCGTACGAAGGAGTCCGCGCAGAGATGACCGAGGCCTCGCGGAATCATCGCAAGATCGCATCCAACATACGCGAACTCGTCGTGAATCCGTTCAGTCGCTGGTGCGACCAACATGCAGCACGTGTTCAGAACAGTCAGGACGATCTACAAGGTCGGATCAAGACCCACGACAGGCAGGCGGAAACGGTACGCCAATATCGTAGCGCTTATTACAACAAGTGCCGAAGGGTGGAGGACATGGATGAGGAAGAGAAGCTGGCTTTCAAGGACCCCGAATCCGCGACGACCGCATCTCCAAAGACAGCTCCGCAGAGCGTACCCAGCATTAAAGTCGAAGAGGAGCAGGAAGAGCCGGAACCTATCGAGATTGGAGATGAGACCTACCAACCAGAGCAGGTCAAGAAGATTCTGACACACTTGTTGAACAACATTCGATTAGCGGAAACAAAAGTGCCCATCTTGGGAACTTACCAGAATACGACCTCTGGCGCAGAGATTGTCGAATTTATCCAAAAGCACATGGGCGCTACGAATGTCGGCTACGCTGAGCGCATCGGACAAGATTTGATCACGCACGGCTTTCTGCGTCTGGTTGGTCAAGTTGGCAGCACCTTCGCGAACAGCAGCAGATTGAACTACCAATGGCGGCCAAAATGCTTTCAGATCACAGGTGTCCCAGAGAAGCGTGCTAGCCTTCTGAACCGAACATCTACAATCATGTCCCAAGGATCCGAGGGCTCCATGCCAGGTAGTCCGGTGATTGGAGACCGCGTGAGCGAATACCTCGGTGGGTGGAACCCGCTCAACAATGCACATCCGAACGAGACACCCGCCGAAAAGTTGCGTAGAGAAGCGCGAGATGCAGACGAGCGCTACAAAGCAGCGGTGAAGAAGCTGGATGGCCTGAGGTGCAGTCTGGAGGAAGCAATGATCGATCACATGAAGTTCATGGAGCGTTGCGAGCTTGACCGCCTCAAGGCCATCAAGAGTGTTATTCTTGATTTCAGCGGTGCTGTTAGCAACGTCATCCCGTCATTGCAATCCACCGTGGACAACATGATGCTTTTCCAGGAGACCGTCCAGCCCGTCGGAGACCTACGGTTCATGCTGTCCAATTACAGGACTGGAAGCTTTTTGCCCAAGGTGACGGTTTATGAGAACTACTACAACAATAATGACGAGCAGACATTCGGAGTTGATATCGAGGCTCGAGCACGAAGTGATCGTAAGCGGGTACCTCTGATTATTACGACTATTCTCACGTTCCTGGATTCACACTACCCTGACCTAGAGGGCGACGAGGCACGCCGCAGCATCTGGCTTGTTGAGGTTCCCCTAGCAGCCACGCACCACCTCCGCAATCAGATCAATACTGGCAAACTCGTGCCGCCTCAGCTTCTGGAGAAGTACGAGGTCCCGATAGTTGCTGCAGTGCTCAAGCTATACCTTCTTGAGCTTCCTGACAGCCTGGTAAGCTCGCACGTGTACGAGATCATCAAGACCATCTACACGTCAACGGCACAAAACGCCTCGGAAAGCGCCAGGATACAAGTCATTCAGTCTACACTTGGACAGCTTCGTCTTGCCAACATTGCCACGCTTGATGCCTTGATCACGCACTTTACCCGACTCATCGAGCTGACGAGTGCCGAGGACGAGTATGTGCAGAATCTCTCCACCGTGTTGGCGCCCTGCATCATGCGGCCGAAACAAGAGACCGGCCTGAGCATGAACGAGAAGTACAACGTCCGCTTGCTACGCGATTTGTTTGCGCACAAAGACGCCATCTTTGGAGAGCTCAAGCGGCAGTCCAGTCTCACGCACACCAACTCTGGCTCCACACGCCAGGTCCGCGCTATCAGCACCGACGAGTCGAGGAGGCGAGAACATATGGAAGAGCGGCAGCGTGCCATTGCAGCTGCGCAACAAGCGCAGGCTGGGAGCAGCAGCAGGAGCCGGAATCCCAGCCCCGGTGGACGTGGACCTTTGGCTGAAGGCGGCCATCGTCGGGATCGCAGCCGAGGGCCCGAGACACGATTCCCAGTTAACACCACCGCCGCACAGAACGTCGCCGAGCGGAAACATATGTCGCCGACTACATCGGTGTCTTCGAGCCACCGCGACAGCCTGGGCGTACCCCAGAGCCCCTCTGCCACGAGGGGCGGCCCGCCTTCACCTCCGAAGGACAGCGAGAAGCCTAACGGCACCTCCTTCCACCAGCCACCTCCACGAGAATCTCAAGAGCATGACAACACTCCACGAAGCTCCGTTGAAGCCGTCAAGCGCCAATCTGGTCCAGCGGTGGCGGCTTCCATATCCTCGCCTTCCGACTTGAATCAGCCAGGCCACCTCTATAGCAGTAGTATCGACTCTTCCACTCCTGGTGGCGCAGCTACCTCGAATACTTCCGATCCTAGCTCCGCGAGCAGCGTCAGTAAAGGCGAGAGCACCCCGACGAAGAAGGATAGTCTCACTCGTCGCTCATACCCCAGACGCGGCACGGTGACCTTGCAGAGGCAGAGTCTGGTCAGTAAAGGTGAGGGCGAAGAGACGAAGGAGGCAAAGGGAGTGCAGTTGGAGGACAAGCCGATGGATTTCGACTAGGAATGGAATTCGTCCGAGCATGAAAGCGCTCCGATGAAATGCTAGCTGGCTGAGGTGGCGTTTTGTGGCGCGGTGCTCCTCTTGTGAAAGTGGCCCTGTGTGAGCTGTGATAAGCATACTAGAGCACGGGCATTGTACGTCTGTGTCAACGGCAGAATGGGATACCTGTAACGGATATGGCTCTTTACGGTAGCAGTATGAGCATGTGTGTATGTAGAAATGCGACATCTTTTAACCCCGACTACCTATCGCAGAAAGCTTTCTTCGCCTGGGGCTTTCCCGTCCATCCCTTTCCAATCATAGTGAGTCCTTCCCACGTATCGCGTCAGACCATATGTTCCGAAGAAAAGAATCGTGTTTACCGACGTGTGCAGAGCAAGAGCCAGACCCATGCGATTGAAGTATGAACCTGCCGCGTTCCAAGCCGTGGCCGAGGTGGGAGCATGAATGACCTGAGAGATCGGGCCGCCGCCAAACGGCATGTAGAGATGCGATGCAGCCGATACAGCAGCGGAAGTCTTGGGCGTGAACGCCGAAGTGACATAGGTGATTGCCACGCTGCGTAACATGAGGCTGTCGAAGGGCAGAGTCAGAATGCGGTGGAAAAGACTCTTGATCATCTCGTTGAGTGCTCTTGGGACAAGGTGCGTCAAGTCCGTAGAGCGCCAGGTGGAGAATTCAGTTTGATCGGGTTGCAAGGGGAGCATGTTGTTCTCGTAGTCGTCGTGTCGTGGGGTGACATTTCGCTTCATGAGATTCCAATTGCAGTATTGGAGGAAGCGATGGCGTATCTTCATGGTTTGGTATGCGACCCAGCCGACTGGATCAATGGTGAGCCGAGGGCTCGGAATCGGAGGTATAGTACTGTCGTTTATTGCTTGGTATCGGAAAGGCGTGAGAAGCCTGAGGACTGGTGCATCCTCATCTTCATCGGAGCCAACGATAAGAAGCCTGGCCAGAAGCAAGAGAGCGGCTGGTGAGGTGAGCGAGCTGAGCAGGTTGGGACCAGTGAGGAGCTTCCAACCGAATTGATGAAAGGAGCTGTGATTCCAAGGCCAGAAAGACTGCAGAGGCGGAAACAGCGGTAGAGCGGGAGCCAGACCCAATCGCTGAGCGGTGGCGTAGTAGTCCATTGGCAAGAGCGCTGCATCGATCGCGAGAAGTATTACTTCAATCGCGAAAGTGAACGCCAGATCCATTCTCTTCAGCGCCACGCGGGAAAGACGCCTTTTCTGAATGAGAGCCTGCAACCGGCCAGTGATCTGCTCCACCGCAAATATCAGCGGAAACTTGACCAGCATGTTCACCGTGGCGTTTCCCAGACTTGGGAACAGCATGGCCAGAGTGAGCCTCACGTTTCCTGTTCGGAGCGATCGCCATTCTTGCAACAAGATCTCAGACATGGAGAGCCTTGGGTCATACAGCCCAACCTGAATGCGCTGAATGAAAGATTCCGTCCAAAGTCTCGCGATGAATCTCGCAAGTGAAGTAGCCCAATCCAGAGTTTCTCCCGTGTCGTGTTCCTCGCACAGCAAGGCCTTCCGAGAAAGCCGCGCGGCATAGCGCCTCCTCTCGTCCGCCAGATAGTTCTGATCCTTCCTCTCCACCACCCCAACGAGAGCTAGCACATCGTTCTGAGCTGTCCGCATTCCCGCATTGAATCGCTCTATGGCCGGGTTGAGGGGTCTTCCTTTGGAGTCGTAGAGCTGTTCGTAATCTTGACGAGGAAAATGTGAATGGTCTCTTTCAATTTGAGCATTTTGAGGATTGAGATCACCTCCTGGAATCTGTGTGGTATCGGGATCTTCGAACGCAGAACGACCAAGGGCCAGGCGTGTCAGGTATTGTTGTCTACCCATAACGGCCAGTCGGGGTTGCTCGCTCTTTGGAAGGCGAGTATCATCTCGAAAATCCCGTGTACGCTCTCAGACAGGTTCGTGAGGTGACATTTTCGATTCAAGAATACGATCAGAGCTTCATGTGTATTCTTTGCAGCGGTATGCCATGAGATATCCCGACGTGTAGTGAGAAGGTGTTTCTAGGCAAGAGCGTAGTCAGACGTACTGTAGGCCTACGCCAAGCCTCGCTTTCGCGTTCGGAGTCTGAGCCGGCGCAACCGAGACCCTCCAAAAATTCCTCCACTTCAACAGCGTCGGGACATTTCGACTTCATCTCGCCAAGTACCATACCTCACCACCACTGCCACGATGGGTCTCTCTGGTGTCAAGAAGTGGGTGACTTCTTATCATACAAGCGCAGTTACCATATCAGGACAACATACTGACTGTCTTCCAGGCGCTCCAAGCTCTCCCATGACCCGAACAATACCGCCTGGTCCAAATCCACTACCAATTTCGGCCATAAGATATTGTCCAAGCAAGGCTGGAAACCAGGCGATTACTTGGGCGCTGAGAATGCGACCCATAGCGAACACTACACAGCTGCAAATGCATCTCACATCCGTGTCATGCTCCGGGAAGACAACTTGGGATTAGGCGCAAAGATTGGAGGCGGAAATGCGGAGACGTTCGGACTGAGTATGTTCTCTGGCTTGCTAGGCAGACTGAACGGCAAGAGTGAAGTCGAGTTGAAGGAGAAACAAGATCAGATGCGGGATGCAGAATTGAGAACGTGGACTGGAAGGAAGTATGGGTACATGAATTTCGTCAGCGGCGGGCTATTGGTCGGGGATAAGATGGAGGAGAAGACAGTGACAACGAAATCGGGTGGCTCTAGCAAGAAAAGGAAAGCAGAGGAAGAAGCCGTGGAAGAGATTACACAACAGGAGAAGAAGAACAAGAAGCGAAAAAGCGAACCCGATCAGACGACTGCACCGGACAGCGCGGGCGCCGAGAAGGTGAAAAAGAGCAGCAAAAAGGACAACAAAAACGGAGATGCGGGAAGAAATGTCTCGGTGGGGCCTGTCCAAGATGACACTGAATCGGGTCCCCAGGCCGAAGACATGGCTAGGGAAGAAAAGAGGAAGAGGAAGGAACGCCGGAGAGCAGAGAAGGCCTCAAAAGTTACCAAAGCTTCCAGCGAAGATGAAGAGAAAGCCCGCCTCCAAGAGGAGAAGCGTGCGCGAAAGGAGGAACGACGGAAACGGAAAGAAGAGAAGCGCCAAAAGAGAGCTGCCAAAGAGCAAGCTACAGTCCAACCGTCTACCTCAAGAAGCGAGAGCGAAGGCACAGCGACGCCACCTGTCCAAGCAAATATTGGAGGCCGACAAGCTGTACGGCAGCGATATATCCAGTCTAAACGTATGGCTTCTATGGATCCCCAAGCCCTCAAGGAGATCTTTATGTTACAGACAAAAACACCTGCATAAGAAAGAGTTCAGACACTCGACAGTATTGATCCGCAGTCTCTTCTGCTGGATTTGAAAGACATGTTCTAGGAGGACTCTTCAAGTTACCTGCGATCGCTCATGGCCTTCTTTGGCCACTGTCCCATGCTGATCAGCGATCGGAATGGAAGGAGAAAGTTGAATGGCTAGTCCAGTTGATCCGATAGGAAGCGAATGATCATGGACGTTCAGTCTCGTCCACGTCATCAGCTCAATTGCAATAAAAACGTCTCGAGGTCCGCGAAGTACCTGACCTCAAAATTCAGGGATCGATCCAAGGCGTGATCGAACTCCCCCAGCCAATGAAATCGCGGATGTGAACAACCAGGAGCAGTTCTCCTCCTATAGCCGGATGCGAATGAAGCAATCAGAACCTTCACAACACCCAGCTGCCAAGTCCCGAGCTAGCCGTGGAAGCTCCACTCAACTCGCTCTCCCGCGAGGAGTTGCACAGTGCTTCATGATGAAAGCCGATGTATGAAAGTACTTACCAGGATCGGCAACTGCAGCTGGTGAGGTGGGAACTCTACAAGCGACATCCGAGACACCACGTGGGCTTCAGCACCCAAACGACGAAAATCTTCACAAGTGGATTTTTCGGAGCCGAGACATTGCTAGGCCCAGACAGGATCGAGGGTGCGCATAGGTTACCCGCCGTACCGGGTCCCGAATTCTGTTTTCGCTCTCATCTCACCCTGCCAACCTGCCTATAAAATAACGCGCTCCTCTTCTCTCCTTAGGATAGTCCTTGCACAGCAGAGTCAGTAGGATAGATAGGCTCATTATTAGATAGTAGACCACGAGGAGAGGACCCACACACAGATCTCTCGTCTAGTAAAAAATAAACCCAGACCTATCGCGGAGCCCTCGAGGGGTACGTAATATAAGGTATTCCGCGGACATTCCCTATTTAGATAGTAGTAGAAAGAAAGGGAAGGTACAAGACAAGACATGATTTTCTCTTTTTATTTTCCACAACGATAGCACAGCTTAGAACACGAGGCCCATCACCCATCACAGATCGTTCGCCATCTGCAATCTGCAAGAAAACAAGGTTAGAAAATCGTCCCGACATGATGGCGTTTCTTTGCGGGTAACGTACGTTACGTACGTACGTACTGGTCGGAGTAAGGTAGGTAGGGAGGTAGGGTTACGGGATACGGGAGTACCTGCGTGGCAACAAAAACAAATTCAGGGGAAAGGGGCGGGGGTCCCAAAATCCTGGAATGGTGGTCTCAGTCAGTGTAACAAGGTACCTACCTGTCGAGTCGAGGGATTGATTGGTTGGTTGGGTTGGGTGTAATCTGCAAGAAGCAAGAAGAAGCAGGTAGTGTAGTCGATCGAGCAAGTACTACTACGGGTTGGAATTTTTAGCGGGATGCGTGCGCCATCTTGTTTGTTTGTTTTGAGGCCTTATGATTCGGCTGCTCGAGAGAGGTTTTTAAGAAGAAGAGAAGAAGAAGAGAAAGTAGTAGATAGTGAAACGGAGAGAGAGAGGTCGATGTTGGAATTATTAGGCGAAAATATTGATTGATATATATTTGGATAGGGTATCTCAACGGACGGACGGACGGGGAAAAAAAGACAACAAATCGAGTGTCCTTTTTTTTTTGTGTGTGTGTGTGTGTGTGTGTGTGTGTGGGATTTTTCGTCATATGACGAGTGACTTCTGTCCGCCACCGTTTCCTCGCAAGCGATTCTCAATCTCCTGAATCGTAAACTGCAGTCGCGTTCTCAGATGCCCTCCGACCGAAGCCTGCAGGCGCGCGCCTTCGGGTAGATGAGCAGTGGGCGAGGAGGCATCGCCGGATGGGACGGCCTGATATCGCGCCATGATGTCGTTGAGGCGCTGCAGCTGGCCCATGACGATCTGATTGCGGAGAGCCCAGCAGACATCGTCGTCGAGTTGGTACGTTCCCAGGGTGAGGGGGCCGTCGACGACGGATTCGTTGGTGCATCGCTTGCCTTCCGGGAGCTCCACGTACGGGTCGCGGATGACGGCGATGGCTTGATACCACGCGACGATCTTCGAGGCGATGAGGACGACGATCATGGGCAGGTAGAAGTCCTTGGGGCAGGAGCAGGAGACCAGATCATGCATGGTCTGGACTGCCCGGGCGGCGGTCGCAAGTGCTTGGTCGACTGACGGTTGCTTTGCTCCCGTGCTGTCAATCTGTATTGCGGGCATTTCGTACAGGCTGCTCAAGGTCTCGGTGGCCAGGCGAACACATCTGTCTCCATCGTTGCCGCTTGGTAACGGAGTTGGAGCGGGTATGTGAATGAAATCATCAAAAGACGAGCCAAAGTCCAATCCAGGCGCCCTGGTATCCTGATCGAGACTGGATGCATGTGTCGTGGGACTGGATATGGAGCCTCGAGGCGCGCCGTGGGAGGCATTCATCGGTAGACCTGCCACCATTCCTGAGCCCTGGTTGAAATCGAAGAACCATTCCGGATGCGCCGTGGGTGATGCTGATGAAGAACTGCTGTCGCCGTGATGAGCCTCTGAGAACTGGAAGACGTCGGAGCCATTGTTGGGCACCATCGCCGGAGGAGTGGGATATGCTCCGGCCGTGGCAGACCATGCCTGCTCTGCTTTGGGTGCTGTGACCTGCAACTCGGGGACGGAGTTGTGTATTGGGAGAACGGGAGCATTGGAGAGCTTGCGATTGAGGCCCTGACTTGAGCGTGGCGGTTTGCCCGCGCGTAGTGATCTGCTGTAGTGGCAGTCTCTCCCCAAGGCTCGACATCGTGCGCACTGGGGGCGTTCCTGCGTACACTTGATCTTCGTGGCGGAGCAGTGGTCACAAGCGGCGCGATATTTGATTTGCGACATGTTGAGAGCGAAGCAGAGCGGGAGTGTGTAGAGTTAGACAAGACATGGAAGCCCATGGTGAGCATGATCTATGTCTGATTTGTACTCAGTCTGCGGTCGAAGGACGTCGAGCTGGGTGAAACGCCCTGCTTGAACCCATAGTACAGATGATAGCCGCCATATCATCGGGCGCGGCTCGCTGAGGACGGCCTGGTCGACTGGGTGTTCTTGTTATTTTCAGTGGCCAATAGATGCCCTGCTTATTTGGCCGTGAGTATGACCGCCCCCTAGAATCGTCTACCCCAGGGCAGGGAAGAGACAATCTGGCAAAGAGATCAGCAGCAAGTACAAGGGCTACCCCTATCGGCGCGTGCGACGGCTCACACCACCCTGGTGCGTCAATCTCATATTCTGTGGTGAGTGTGATTGAAGGTAGCCACTACAGGCGCTGGAACGAAAGACGCAAGCATCTGGACACCGCATTACGCATCGCAGGCTCCAGAAACGCGGAGAGCTCCACGCAATAGCCTTCTCGGCATGGGCTTTGTAGTCGTGGTCATTACGATTTGTGGCAGCCAGCCTTGTCTCAATATCGTCGCTGGCGTGCGTATCATTTGGCTATCCCGCGCACTTCCTAGCTCCCTTGGCTTCATGAGCCGTCGTATTGCCCTGTGAACCGCAAATGCGGGTCTGGACTCGTGGAGAGAAACCTGGGGAGTTAGTTTCAAGGGGATCTTGGCACGCATGCTAGCGCCCAGATCCCGCCCTAACAGCGTCGTCCAAGCCAGTCGGCAGCATCTCTGAAGAATGGTCCGACCGGGCTTTGATGAACCTTATATGAGATATCAGCTGAGGTGTTCTACCCAATGCGTGGAGACTTCCAACCACTGGCAGGAACAAGAATCTTTTGGAGCACTTGCACACTTGTGGTGTCCCCATCCGACGGCGCCTGGTAGCCGGGCAACTACAATCGCTACGGGGCGGAGAGTGAGCACAGTAGGCGGTGAAGCCGAACATCGTGATTTTCACCCAAATCGGATAGGTGCGGAATATGCCTGGTCGTTCGGCGTAGTGATCGGATGCGGCTTGGTCCGTATAGTGTCTTCTAGCACCTGCTTGGCAACAGTAGGACATGGCTCTTCGCGAGCCGCGTCCCCCACAGCGTGCATCCTGATCACTCTCCAGTGTGTTTACTGTACCGAAGCACATCGGCACCTTGCCGAGCACGCTAGGCGACAGTGGCACTTGCTGCTGCTTCCTGCCCATGGCGTGCGTACGGGTGTGCTATGGCCATGGCCATGCGGACTCGTTTCCGCATAGGTCCACGCAAGGCAAAAGCGCCCGCGTGCCCTCCCCAGCATTAATGCCGCAAACAAATGAGACAGACATCTGATTGCCAATGTCGCTGCCTGCAGTGTGGTCGTTATCGTCATTTGTCGTGGTAGAGGTGGTGTCCGCCAAGTAGGCGAGGCGCGTATCAGCGGCAGATTTCCCACCACCCCAAGCTCTCAGGGGTGGTGCATATCTAGCTGGCGGTGAACTGCAGAGGGCGGACCGTACTTTCTGCATCGCATATCGAGCGAGCGAGCGGCGCAGCTAGTGATGATGAGGAGGTGTTTCTCCGATAGCGAATGCAGTCGCCACATCTCGCGTTGGTTTCGGTGCAAACGGTGAAGGAAGTGTTTGGCCAACGTCAAAAGAAGGTTTGCTACCTTCCAGTGTGCCGGCTTGGGCCGTGCACATGCAAGCCAACCTCACCTTTCTTTCACCCTTCCGCCCGTAACACACGCTCCGACACGAGTGCGAGTCCGACGGATGAGCCATGCCTGTATCTCTGCACATGGACGGCCCGAGGACTTCTCCAATGCTTGGCTTCCTTATTGAGTGCTGACGGCCGCACGCTGACTGACCCAGGTTCTCCGACTTACTACTCACTTCTAGAGTCTTCCGACGTCTTGGCTCCGGCCATGGTTCGCTAGATTGCACACGAACGGATGGCCCTGGGGCAAACTAGGAGAGGCTTGATTCTTCCTCTGAGCAGCTGGCACCACCCTCTATTGACATTCTCGGACATCGGAGTTCGTATAGACTTTCGAATCGACGATGAGTTCACGGAGTGCCTCTAGCGTGAAGACCTGACATGGATTTCCACATGTTTACTCGAGATCCCGGAAGGTCTGGACGCATCAGCGATCGTTGCTGGGGCTGTCCGACTACAAAGATCTGCCTCCTGAAGAGCCCATTCCAGTCAACCCCTCTTCTTCCTTCGCGCGAAATTCATCGGGATGACAATGTAGACAATTTAGACAATCAGAGAAGGAGCACTGATTTGATAAGTATAACTTTCATTGACAAAAATACTATCCGACTGTTTCTACATCCTGGACAGTCCTTCCCAAGGCAGCTATAAGTTTGCCTAGCACCCCGTCTTTCCACCTTCCTTGAATGATACTCGACAAATGGTAACGCCGGTGATATGCCAGACCCGGTATAATCGGAGCTCGGATACAAAAAAATGAGATCAAGAGACTACGCCTCTAGTGCCAGACTGTCGAAGGCCTTGCACTTTCCCGCACTAACAGAGTGGTATCCATCGTAATTCGTAAGAAGGAAAAACACACAAAAGGGCCGCTTTCGATTGCTTTGATAGGTTCGATTCCGTGGAAGGACGGTGGCATGGAGGTGTTGAGCAATATGAGATTGAGGAGAAGTCGAGAGGTGTCGAAGTAAGGCGAAAGGTGGACAATCGAGCAGAAAGTGGCATGCGATCGTCGTCAAAGCTGCTTTTTCGCAGGAACGGAATGGTGGTGAATCGAATGAACGTCGAATGTCGCATGGAGCCAAGAACTGGAGGGTCACACCGTGGCCTGACATTCAGCAGCAGCAGCAGCAGCAGCAGCAGCAGTGACTGGTTCCGTCTCCGTCTCCTGGTCGATCTTCTCGATCCGTTCTTGTTTGATCGGTGGTTCTTCCGACGAAGCTTTCGAGCTAGGCTCAGATGTCTCTTCAATCTTTCTTCTCTTTCCCTTCGGTGCTGGGTCCAGGGGTGTTCGGCAGTACCTGACAGTGCGTGTGACAACATGTCTGACATGGACCTTGCCAGGTTGGCTGGTTGCATCAAAGCTGGTGTGGTCACGAGGGGAGAAGGACGCACTCCATGGTGCTGCGCTGAGTGGAGTGGAAAGATAGGGCGATGGTGCGGTCTGAGCGGACCCAATCGCCGGGGAGAAGGGCGATTGTGGAATCTTTAGGCGTCGAGGTGTTCGCGCTGACCTGGGCCCTGGCCTGACGAATTGGGATTGAGATGATGGAACGATGATGCGAGGGGATTCTGGTCTTGAGGTTCCGGTGGAGACGCCGCTTCCAATCGACGAAATACTGCTCTGTTCGGTGGTGTTTGAATAGTTGGAGTCATACGAGGTGTTGCGGGATAGCGAGGGTTGCGATGTTGTTGGGCCGTTGCTGGTTGATCTATGCCCAGACGCATCCGAGGCCTTATCAGAGGACTTGTCGAAGCTTTTCTCGCCGAAGCTAAACTTGGCACTCGTGCCCGTGGACACTGGACTCCGGATATCTGGCGAGTAGTTCTTGAGGAAGTCCAGGTACGCGGAAGGTGGAGTGATGGGAGTCTTCAAGTCGTCTCTCTTGGGGAAGCTTGGCGAGGCCGCCAACGGACTGCACATCTCCGAAGGAAAGGCACCAGATCCCGGAGTCTGCAACGAGGATGCAGTGCTGGCTCGCTTGTCAAATCCAGCGGCGGCGGCCATGGTAGCGGTGGCAGTAGCGGAGGTCATTGTCGTGTGCCGCCTTTTGCGAGAGGGAGGGACCGAGAAATCAAACGAATGAATCGGTAGCGACGACACCCAAGGCCTGTGTGCTCGGTCAGCAACACGGGTGAAGAGGTGCGGGAGGGGAGGGCGAGGCAGGCAGGCGTGGGTTAAGATGAGTTCAGAAGGGCCGCTTGACTTACCTGAGGATTCCCGGCGGTGCTTCAGAGCGCACTGCTGCTGCTGTCCCGCGAGCGAACATGCAACTCATCAGCTGGGTGCAGAAGCGCTTGTCCTGCTATTCTTGGTGTGGGCGCGTAAATCGAAAGTGTTTACCTCGCTCTGCTTCAAGTGACGCTGTTGCATGCACGCAGCGTTCCGACGAGCGAATGAGAAGGCGTTTCCAGATCCTTGGTTCGGTGCCAGACCGAGAGAAGCTAGTCGATCAAACGTGCCGCACACCCACGGGATTGTGATTCGCAGCAAAGGAGTCGGCGCTTAGCACCCTGACAATGTCTGTCAAGGGCTGTGGTTGTAGCCGCGGGGCTCCTGATTGGCCGCACGGCGGAGGTCGGTGATGGGAGCGGGCCGTGGAGATCCTCTCAGCTTGTTCAGAGCCAACACAAGCGCGCTGTCCGGTGTCGCCGAAGGGTGACGACGACGACGATGTCTTCCTTTTGCTGGTGTCGAACGAGCGAAGAACAACTGGAGTGTGTGGTGGTGTCGATCGCGGGTCGTAAGCCGGGTCCAGGGGGTCGGGTCGGGGACGGGAACCTCGCTGAGGTGGCCAATCAGAAGATGGGACGTTGTCGACGTCCTCCGGTGGATAGGGAAGACCGGGAAACCTTGTCTTGGAGCGAGCGACGATCTGTGATGAGTGTGAAGGACGGCATATAGGGCAAGAGTATCGAGACATGCACACTTTATGTCCTTTTGCAAGCGCTGCTATCGCGAAAGATAGAGGCGCTTCTTGCCTGGCCAAGGACTGTCGGCGTCAAAGAGTTCTGCATTTCAAGACGTATCCAGCCGACGTGTCCAGCCATGCTGTTTGATAGAAAGATACCTTACGTGCTGCACGCGCTTCCTGGCCCAGCGAGACGCCGGTTCCGGAATAGGCCTCAGCTGCCGCCGCCGTATAAGGAACTCCAAGCAGCCACTCGGCTGCCTACAACGCCTTGTACTTCAAGTTGGACGTGTCCGTCTCGGTCGACCGCAGGCGCTTGTTGGCCCGAGGATGGAAAGGCGGCGAAGCGCCTGGCTGTCAACTATCCGACACAGCTGACGCCAGGTTGGATCTGCTTTGCACAGAATCTGCCCATTGGCTTGTTATGCAAGATGCCACATGGGACCACGTTTTGTCTCATGCTGCGGAGAGGATACGACGATCTCCCTGAGTGGATGCAGCGATGATTGTCTACACTTCGTTGGCGCCAGATCCTAGATCCTCATCTTTCTGGACTGTCTCGATATCCGGGTAGGTACCGACTGTCAGACTTAGTTGGCAGGCGTTCAATGGTCTGAGAATCCAAACGCCGCCGAAGCGCTTCTCGCGTCTCGCATGGAAACGTCTGTTGGAATCTCCACTTCGTGATCGCTGGGCGTGAACATGGCGTATCACGGCACGCCGTACCATGGCTGGAACGGCGTTGGCATTCGCGGCTACCTGCGAAGTCAGATGCATTCAGCCATCCTCTATCATCTGTCAGCGCCCCGGGACGACTGGGCACCGTTGGAGAACTACCGTGTCTCCATGAATGGATATAGTTGACGATTGGTTTGCGCGATGTGGCTGGTGTTTTGGGTTGCCGTTGACGCCTCACAACCACAACCATGCGGGCCGCGTATGGAGCGGCCGTCACGAGTCAGGTGCACCACTTAGACCTTTCTGGATTTGGAGCAGCTACACCTGAAAGCATGATCAAATTGCAACCTGTGCAACCAGATTGAACTGTAATCTTGTCAGAAGATAGCACTACATGATTCCGCATAGATATTCAAAATCGCCGTCAGGGATTTCCCAGCGCAAAGTAACCCTTGAATCGATCATTGCCCTGCACGCCCGCCTTGTGGATGACTTCGTAGCAAGTCATCAACAGCTTCGGAAAGCGATTGCCCCAATAGCTCAAGTAGCCGCCCGCGAGTGGTCCAACATGCTTCTTGACGTGCTCAGGCATGTCCTCGTAGTGATTCTTCTTGTTGCGCAGCGCTCTCAACAAATCCAGCAGACGGTTGCCACTGTACTTCCTCTGCTTGCCAAGAGTATCGACAAACTGGCGATCAAGCTTCGACAGGAAATCGGCACGCTCATATGGTGCACCGATGACTTCTTCGGCACGGTCTTCCAGCATCCGGAGATGAACCGAGTCGCCAGCATAGTCATCTTCGTAAGTGCCACGCGGCTCACGTTCAAAGTGGTCGGAGCAGTCGCAAAGGAAGGCCAGACGCTTCTCAGGAGACCAGAAGTAGGGATGATTGAGCACAGTCTGTGCTGTCGGTCTATTCTCCGGCTGATGCTCCAGCATTGAGCTTATCAACTGCATGGGCTCATACGCATCAGACCATTTCTCCAGAGCATCCATGTTCTTCCTATCACGCTTGATGTTGAGTTCGCGCAATTGCATCCAGCCATTCTCGTCCTCGAAAGGATGGACGCCGTCCGTGAGGACCCAGAAGAACAAGCACCCGAGTGAGAAGATATCAGCAGCACGCTTGACTCCGCTTGGAGCACCAGCACCGCTTTCACTGTTATTCGAGGTGCTGTGAGTGTTGTTGCTAGACGTCTCTCGGGGTTGCGTGATAAGCTCAGGAGCTTTCCAGCCCGCAGTTCCGGCGTTGGCGGTTTGATCGTTCAGGGTGCTGACATTTTCGGGGAGGTTCTTGCCGAGCCCAAAGTCCGAGATGACCAGTCGGGTCCCGTTCAGATGGCTCTTCTTTGGGAAAGCGACGAGGATGTTTTGCGGCTTGATATCGCGATGGATGATACGCAAGTTGTGCAGGTGGTGAAGGCCAGCTGCCAGCTGTTGCAAGGTCTTCGTCATGTCCTGCTGCATTGCGGACTTCAACGTTTGGAGTTGTTGTAACCTCTCTTCTGATAGCTTCGCCACATCAGGCTTCCAGGTCTCGAAAAGACTCGCCTGGCATAGTTCCACCGCAATGTACAAGAAATGGTCGTCCTTCTGTTGGCAAAAGTAACGTACGACGTTGGGATGGTCGTCACTCTGTTGCAAGAAGGACACTTCCTGAGATGCCAACGCGTAGTACTGTGAAAGCATTCGCTTGACGGCGACTGCGCGTCCCTCAAAGGACCCTTCAAACACGCTGGTGCCACAGCTTCCAGTCCCGATGATTTTGTCGGTGTGAATGACAAGGCTGTTGATTTGCAGAGGGCCAGATACCTGAGAACTTTCGGACGCGGCCACGCTGATGACCTCTGCCACCTGAGGAACCGCGGTGCCGTACTTTTGGGCTCGGAACTCAGCTTGTGCTGCCTCTTTCTCCTTCTGCTTCCTACCCGCTCGCTTTCCCCTCGTTGCCTTCTTCTTCTTTGGCTCAGCACCTTCCTTGGCATCTTCATCCCCCTCGGCTGCAGCCTCGTGATTGTCGGGGCTGCCCTCTTCCTTTGGAGGCTCTGTGAAGCGCACTCGCGGGGCAGGATTACCTTCGTCGTGAGGAAAGATGGTCTCCTTGGCGGGCTCGCCCTCGCGAAGCATTGGTGTTTCTGGCAGGGGCTTTCCCAGTTCTGCAACCTCTCCATTTGGCAAGGTAATTCTGGGCGCAAGTGGCGGCAACTTCAAATTCCACGGTGCTATGCCGTATTGTTTGTACAGTACACCACAGGACACCAAACCGATCATGACAAGTGTGAGAACAACCGTGGCCAAGGTATTGATGCTGTTTTGGGCGGGGTGCGGGACTGTCAGATCAGTCTGTCTGCCATAGATTATCTCCTCGGCCGGTGCATCAATCGTGAGTCGATTGTTTCCTCCTATCCGGTTGCTGCCCGGAGGTGCATTGTCCGTAGACAGGTAATGAACACCCGCGAAGATGTTTCTTGAAAGGGGCACGCCTTTGGAGCTGCCCACGAGATCGTAGTATCGTGCTTGGGGGGCTCTTTCGGTCACTCTTGGATACCTTGATTCAGACAAAGCGTACCAATTGCCTGAATCTGTACAATTGACCCATACGTTGTCGATGTCTTCATCGTCAGATTTACCATCCGTGATCTTCGGTAACTGCGGCTGCGGTAGTATGACCAGTGCGGCGTCGCTTGACGGGTCTCCAAGAGGGCGGACAACGTCGAAAACTCTCGCGACGGGCGTTGCAAACTTCTTCTGGTAGCTGACTTTCTTACTGCTTGGCAGCTTCGGCTTTCCCGGGTCGACCTCGACGCTCTGGATGTAGCCGTTGAACTTCGGATAGATGTACCTGTTGTCCATGGTCGACTGATACTTGCTGCGCAGGTCATGGTCACGATTGTTCGTTCCCCACTCGAAGTAACGAATTGTATTGATTGGCTCCGCAGTGTTTCGATCCTGGATGCCAATGGTGTATTCGGTCCGGCTCAAGGTCAATGTTCCAATGGGGTCACACTCGGGCTCTTCCAGATCCAGTGGGCTCGCCTTCCTGCAACTGCGGTCATCGTTCACAATGGAGCCGGCCGAGCTGAAAATCTTCAAGATGTTGCCGGTTGCAGCATCTACCGTGTAGATGGTGTTCTTCTTCTCGGCAGTGTATGCCACTGCCGGATATCCATCACCAGCGTACGGGGCCAGATCGGCTAGCTGTTTGACGGTGTATGGCAATCTCTGGAGACCAAAGCCGGGAGTCAAGAGGTAAATGATACCATCCTGGCTCGGCTCCACAACGAACAGCGGATCCTCCTGCTCCAGGCCATTCTCGTCCACGGTGTTGTTGTGTCGGTGCCGAATGCTCTCGACCATCTCACGGTCAGACTCCAGCTTCCAGCGATGGGCGCCGGTCTTTCGGTCTCGTGCGTACAGGCTACCATCCACAGTCGCCAGGAGCATAATGTCCTCGACCTGCCAATCCTGCAGATTCCGCGCCGGTTGTCGCGTGGTGATGCCGGCGGTGCTTGCCGGCAACGAGGCAGGAGGTTGCCCGCTGGCCGCCGAATTGGCGGCAGCAGAGGACACAGTCGCAAGGGCGCCATCTTTTGGACGGGCTGATGTACGAACAGACTTGTCATTTTTGTTTTGGATGCTTATGTCGGTGTCGCGGAAGCCTCGCTGGCCGCTGTGGGGCGTCTGGAGGGTATCGGCGACGGTCGCCCATTGCTTTTCTGCGGCAGAGGCAGCATTGGCGAGGTCGTCGGCGGGACGGTGCTTCTCGGGCGGGTAGAGTGGCTGCTGCTGCAGAGCAGAGGCTGCGATAGGTAGCAGGAAGCTTAGGGTGATGAGGTCGCGGACGCGCAGAGAAGGGCTCTGGCGGGAGCCGGGCGGTCGTCCTCCTCCTGGCGGCATGCTGCCATGGGCGAGTAGGAGGACGTGGTCGGCTGAAAGCGGTGGTGGTGGTGGTGGTGGTGGTGGTGGTGACGACGATGGATGTGTGGTGGTGGATGTACGAGAACGGATTCTAGGGGAGGGGGAGGAAGGGAAACGTCAGGCGTGGGAAGGAATCAGGCATGCAGTCACCTGAAGTTCAGGTACTGCAGCTGTTTGCGGGCTGGGCGGGTCAGCGCTAGGCGAGACTAAGCGAGAGTCTATTCGAGAACTGGAAGCCCAATGCCGCGAATCGAAGCAACAACTTAACATCGACCATCCCATCACACAAATCAACGGCCTCGACGACAACAACCGCAACGACAACCGCATACGACCGACTCCCTCGACGCTCCGCCATCACCAGCTGCATCGACCGTGCCTCTCCAACTCACCTCGACGCTGCGATAACCGCTGGCGAACATCACCGCAGTGCTGTGCCTTGCATTCGCAGCAGCCGTCGGTACCTTGCGGAACACCTGCTGCGAGGGCTGAAAATGCTCCGACAATAAAACGACACCGCTCTTTTTATCATCATCATCTGCGACGGAAGGAACAAAGCAGCTTCTCGCCAGACTAGCGCCATCTGGACGCATGTGTCCATCGTCTCCTTACATCGACGACGGTCGCGTTGCTGTGATGATGTAGCGGCTGGAATACAGCTCCCACACCTTTGAAACGAACCGGGCACCGAGTCAGCGATATCCTTTGTCGCTGCCACAGCTGGGCTACTGGGAACACAGACGACACCGGTCATTCGAGCTAATCCATGCCCTCTGCCAAAACCCTTTCGCGACTCCCGTCCTCCCACCTCGCCCTTTCTTGACACAGCAGAGTGCTTCAAGTACTTGCTGGGACACGCCTCTCGGAGTCCGTATGGATATAACCTCGAAACGTCTGTCTTTGCCAAGACGAATCAGCGAGGCATATTTCTTCACACTGCGCTCATCCTCTGTGCGGTATGGTATGCTCAGAGCTTGCCTGAGTTGTGGACCCGCAAAATGACAATGGCTCTACGCCAAGTACTTGCGAGTAGGCGAGGCTCGACGTTCGTATGTCCTGGACTTGGGCGGTAAGTACAGCGATTTATGGAGACCGGACCGCCATTGATGCATAATCTCATTCAATTTTCCGTGCCTTCTTCTGCCGTCCGCCCGTCTCCTTCTCCCACCCATCGACCCTTACCTCGCCCTCATCTCCATCAAACTCGATCTCGCAATACTCCCCCAAACTGCGCTCTTTCCTCGCACTCAACCACCTCGCAGCCAACGCTCCAGTCTCCCGCCTAACGGCCTGCACACCTTCCTTCCGCTTCACACTCATCCCATGATCCGCACCTTTAACCTCCACCACCCAACTCCTCGCCCTCATCTTCTGCCTCACTTCCATAAACTGCTCCAGAGGACACTGCCTATCCTCCGACCCCAGAATAAACAGAACATCCATCTCCTCCGGAAGATCCAGCAGGATCTGCTCTCTCCGCTCCAGTTCCCGCTCCCCCTTGCCCGTCAACAAAGGCCACGAGACCAAGATCAAAGCCTCCACGGCTTCCCTCTTCTTCTCCCCCAACGCCGTCAACACCGCCGCGCGAGCACCCATACTCCGTCCCCCGATCGCCACTTTCTTCCCCGTCCCCTCCCTCCCCTCCAAGCAGTTTTCAATCACGGCTTCAAACCCCCTCACCCGATGGCGTAAATTCATCGTCCCCTGGTAACACACCACATCCCCCATCCCCACCCTCGCAAACCCCACGGCGAAATCCCTCGTCGCCGCGTTCGCGATTCCTCCACCGGCGCCGTGCGTGAAGATGAGAGATGGAAACTCATGATCCCAATCCTTCGTCTCGCGACCGCCGCCACGTCTCTCGCAGACAATCTGTTGCTTCCCGTCGAACGGGATCGTGAAATGCGAAAAATTCTCCTCCTCCTCAGCGTCTTCTGTGTCTTGCTTATTGTTGTTGGCGGAGACGGAAATGTCAGAGTCGAGTGTGGGATCTTTCAGACCAGAATGGTTGGGATTGTCGGCGGTGAAGTCGTTTTGTTCTTGGTCTTGTTCTTGGTCTTTTGCTTTTGCTTTTACGGGATTCTTGCGTTTCGGCATGCTTGGATTGGACTGTGTGTGTCTCGAGACCCGTTGAAATGGGACTTTGGAGCTTTGTTTCTTGCCCCCTGTGTCTACCTTGGTTTGTACAGCACAGTACAGCACAGCACAGCCCCTGTGTTTCTACAGCATGACGTCAATATACCTTATGTCTGTCCCTGCGCTTCGCTTCGCTTCGCTTGAGCAACGAGCACGGACGTTTTATCTCTCTCACAGACAGTGCCTCAAAGAAATACGTTTCAAAGAGCGAAGCTTGATCTCGTAATACACATATTTCTTCAAAAGAAAAGGTAACACATGTAGCTAGTGGGAGAAAAGAGACTAGATCGACACGATCAGCTCCCATGCCCAGTCTGGTCTTGTGTGCATGCACAGCCATCAGTAGTAGATCGCCGCTACAAGCGAGCCTTATTAAAAAGACACTCGAAAACTAGTTTCATCTCGAGTACATTCCATTGTCACTTCTACTCAAAACTGCCGAGTTTCTGGGTATCACTCGCTCTGGCCCTCTATGATTCTGCTTCGCTGAGAAAAATCCACACTGAACCCGTCATGCCTCCAAACCAGCACGTTCTCCTATTCACTGCCCTAAAGCCAAATCTCTTCCAAGCGCCCTGTTGTGTTCGTCTTCGTCTTGGGCCCGATGCAGTGGTACTCCATTCTTCCTTCCTTCATTTTCAAGGCTGATGGCCGCTCCAGCTGTACCCATTGAAGTAGTAGGGTGCATCGGCGCCATCGTAGTAGCCCGTCTGCGGGTAGAGGTTGTTGTATGCGCTCTGGTTCTCCGTCGTCGCCTTGAGTGGACTCGTATGTTGCGCATGTGGGCCCCCGCTGTAGCCAACCGGTTGGGACGATTGATCGCGATTGCGGTTGAAGTTGTGGGCAGCAGTTGTAGCGGCCTCTGCGGGAGTAGGGTTCTGTTGGGAATAGCCTGCCTGCGCGTATGGATGAGCGTTGAGCGCAGAGGTCGCAGCGTGACCACTGCCCTCTGAGCGAGTAGGGCTTTGCTGACGATATCCTGGCTGCGGATAATGGTACTGGTATGTACGCAGTCCCGTAGAAGCATATGGCGGATGGACAGTGACAAGAGCTTGTGCTGGCATGGTGCTGCTGTAGTAGCCTGCCTGTGCACGCTTGCTCTCATTTCCTGAACCGTTGCTCGCCGCCGAGTAGTATGAGCTACTGGCTTGCGACTGAGTATCGTCATCTGGCCTGTTGTTCAAACCGTCGCGGCCCGCGTCCATGCCCTGCCGCATGAAGGAGTAATCTTGGTATGGGTAGGAATTGGTGATGTCTGGCTGAGAGCGAATTGATGGGCCGTCAGAGTCGGTGTCCCGCATGCGATCGGCGCCTAGACTCTGACGATACGCCAGCGAAGTCCGCATGAGATATCGATGCCGGGATTCCGCGGCGGCGAGAGCAGTCCCGGCCGCTTCAGCTTTGGATTGGGCGAGCTTAGGCGGTGATGGTGATGGAGATGGAGGGTGGTGGGGCGGTGGTTGCAGAGCCGCTTGTGAGGCCGCCTGCATGGTATCAAAGGACCACTTCTGTGCTGCTGCGTTCAGAGCTTGCTTCTTGAGCTGAGCTTCCTTGTTAGCAGTCTTCGTGGCGGCTTTGGCAACCTTGGCGTCCGCAGCGGCCGTGGCTTTGCTCAGTTGCGGCAGCCAGTCCTTGTCGTCCTCGAAGCCGCGAGAAGCATCAAAGCATTGGCGATACTCGTCGAGTTGTGCTTTGTCTTTGGCCTTCTCCCCTTGACCAGACGCTTTCTCGTCGTCGAGGCGCTGAAAATGCGCCTCAATTGGTGTCAGCGTCGGCATGGTAGGGTTGATGTTGGCTGACGCTCCGGTCTGAGCGCAGTGTGTTTGGAAGGACTGCGACTCGAGTGTTTACGTGATGGTGGTGGTTTGAAAGCGGGTGTCTGAGCTAGTGTCTTGCGGGCCGAAGCTTTTCGCTTAGGATTGACAAACTTTGCTGCAAACGCATGTGAAGTGGATAAGGAGCGTTTAGGTATCGCTTAGTCAACAAGACAATGCCATTACCACAGCAACACCAACAGCACAATTCATGCACTCTCTTGAAGCAAGTGACGCGTTCCACAATATACTTAACGGGTGACGGGCACAGAAGATTTGCTTGCAAGCTGGTAGTGGTGGCCGAGGACGATCAGCCCGATGGTGATTGTTTTCCGGCTCAGTGCTCTCTCCCGTAGGCTCGTAGCGCGGAATAGCCTGGAGCATACACGTTAGAACCGCCATACATCTCCGGAACTCTCCGATGTCTTCTCAATCTGACGTTGCCGCCTTGCATCTGAATGACACGGGTGACTTGGGAGTCTTGAGGTATGTCGGTGTCCCGTTGTCATGCCAAAAATCGGTACATTCCACCATGAGATCTCGCTCAGGACCTTTGAGGGATAGGAAGATGGTGGATGATGAGCCCCGGGATGACAGAGTGTACACACGGCTCTTTCTCCCCAGTTGGAGTCTTTCGAGGTCAGACGAATCCATGCTCTTCCGAACGTTCTATACAGGTACTCTAGTGGCTGTAGCTATTACAGGCAGCGTGAGAAGCCGAATTGGACCAAGAGATGTTCCGTCCGCGTGGTGATGGCTCACGAGCCTCGAAGCATCGGAGGGATAATCTTGAGCCCGCCAAAGGCCCAAGACGCTCTCGAAACAGCATCTGCAAGGTCTTGATGGGATTAGCTGGGCGTGAGGCCCCTCGAAGTTCAGAGAGCGCTGATGCAGTGCGCGAACTTAGCGATTGTAGAAGAGAATAGACAGGAGGGGAGGAGGAGTTTCTCAAGATGGAGTCTACACGCACGGACCATCCCGCTCCACACGGACCGCAAACCAATCTGAGCTTTGGATAGCAAAACTTGCTGACCTACTACTTCAACTTTTGGATCATTACAAGACGTTTCCTTTTTTCCTGCTCATCAACGTATCGGGCTTTCAAGCATAGCGATCCAGGAGCCAGCACAGCGGATACCTTATCCCCGATGTCCTCAATCCTCTCCCGTCAGAGACGCATTCGCTGGAAGATTCCTATTCGCCCTTCTCAACATCTCCATTGCCCTTCTTGTTTCTGATGTCCGAACCGCTTGGCACGATGTGGCTGAGGTCGAACACAGGAAGGTCGAATGGGAAGTCAACGGTCGTGAGCATCAGGGCTAGGAGCAGATACCAGCCGAATATCAGCACCACGAAGCCGGTTGCGCCGCCAGCCTGCTCAAACCATCAGTCGTTTTCGAGGAATGTCTCAGCAATTCTCGGCACTTACCGTCAATAATTTCATGCCAACGGCAGTCATTCCAGGCTCGAAAATGACCCATTGAGCTGCTGAGACGAAGATGAAGGTGAGCATCAGGAAGAAGAAGGTCAGAAAGAAGATCAAGTTGATCCTGAGCGCGCAAATCATGCAATAAAAGGTGAAGATAGCCATCATCAAATTCCAGAACGCTGGCCACATGTCAGATAGCGAAAACCTTCCCCGCGAATTCTGCGATCACTCACCAAGCCCGGAGTTGTATTCTGGGGAATTCTCTCCCGCTGCCGGATTGCCTGTTGGATTTGGCGAATATCCAGCGTAGGCATTGAACGAAGGGACAATGTTCGCACCATATGCCAGGAAGTATGCTCCGAAGACGCCGAAGAATGTTGCCGGGAAAGTGTTGCCCAAAATGAACTCCAGAATACAGGAGATGATCGCCAGAAGACCACCGCTGAAGAAATATGTTCCCACAGTGGCCTCACCTTTGTTGGTGAATCCCCGCCATCCGAGAATCGAGAAAATGATAGGACAGTATGCGATCAAAAAGCCGCCCAGACCAATCGGTGTTGGGTTTCCTAGGACCTTTCGAAGGTCACCGGAGACTTTGGTCTGTGGACCAAGGTACATGCGCTCGAACATCTCCGGCGTGATGGTGATGCTCCCCTCGGTTCGCACCTTCTGGAGGTAGGTATTGTCGCCATTGCCGCTGGCCCCCTTGGTGGCATAGTCGTAATCTGCGCCGCTCTGCATCTTGACGAGCGTTCTGAGAACGTGCGGAGTGCACTCGTTTGCAAAGTCGAATTGGAAGGCAGTCAGAGAGAGAGGAGGTAAAGGCAACTCGCGGTAGGCAGAGTAGGGCACGCGCTCTTTATCAACGCAATGCACCAAGATCAACTCCAAAAGACTGGCACTACTAACATAGCTCTAGTGTTATAACCTCTGAAGCCGTAGATCAACCTCGGTCACAATGCGGAGTACACGGCGCGATGCAGCCTCGCTGCATGTTCCTGGGTGGACAATCTTGAGGACCAACGACATGTGACTGGTTGGAGTGATTCATGGTGCTCCTGGATCGATTGGAAAACAACTGCACGATGTCGATCGCCTTCGGCTAAGGCATGGCGAGACAACCGACGGCGACGGCAGAAGCTCGAAAGGGCAATCATTTCACCCGACCACCCTAATAATGAGGACGAAGCGCCGTTGCATCTCTTCTTCCAGAAGAGGCTCACGCGGCAAACTCAAGCTTCTCCACGTTGCGGTCCCTACCGCCGCCAAATGACCTCGTTGCGGCGCCATTGGAATGAATCCTTCCAACATGTATGGTGTATACCAATCTCGATCTGCGAGATCAGACAAACTCCTTGTTCCGGGTGCACACTTTCGCAAGCATTAGCCTCCATCCATCTCGCTGGATATGGCTGGAAAACTGTTGTAATCTCGCTACAATGACCCGTGAGAATAGTGCCTGCACGCGCGACGTGCATAGTTGCTTTGACAAACACCATGCCGAAAGCAGAATGACCCGGATCGACACGCAATGTGGGGATAGAGTTACTCCGAGCTCCTCTGCATTGACTTCGGTAACGGACGCCATCTCATCACTCGTCCTGTGACGTCTCAAAGCGAATTCACGGTGGTCAATGTCTTGATCAATGGTACTTGTGTCCGTATGACTTGCGCCACAAAGATATCCCCAGCATTCTACATTCAAACTCTTCATAGCAAAGCTCCCCGTGAGCAGAGAAGCAGAGCACCGACTGACGACAGCACTACTCTGTACTCACGATCCGGTGCGGCTCTTACGGCATTCGCGGCTCTTACCTCCTTCTCCCACTACAGATCAATGCTAACATGTGATAGGGCCCCGAAGCTCTTCTCATAGGATGTACGCCCGGTGCCAAGACGACAACAGCGAAAGCGACATCTGACTACTTCCCTATAGAGAGACTGGGAAAAGCGGGCATCTCTAATGGTCTTCATTGAAACCGATCTAGGGTTCATCGCAGCAACGAACCTTTGAAACATTGAACTCCTCTTGGCGATTAAAGTTTTGATTAGCTGGATTGACTTGCCTCCCATGTTCATCCAACAGGCGTCACCGTCGACTCCTTCCAGGTCCTGTGAGGATGAGATTGTTTCCAGCATGAGCTCAACGAAGTGAAGGACTGGCATTTTCCTGAAAGCGAGCGCACCGATCACGGATTTATGCTGAGGAGGCAAAGCTTCCGAGCTGAGGCATGCACCGGACTTCCATTACAACGGTCGATGTGAATGTCGGAGCACCACGAAAGAACGGCGCATTTGCAAGTCAACTAGAGAGGCCGCAACCAGAGGCTTGCAGCAGGCACTGTGCGGCGAGGGGTACAGTCAGCCACTTGGTGACAGTCAATCAGCAAGTAGGTGCCACATGGTTACGCATGAGCGGAGCCACGGCATGCTCGGCCTCTTCCAAGGTAGCTTGTAAGGACGAGCATTTTATATACTGTCTCAGTACAGAATTGAAGCTCCACGAGCAAGCACAGAGCCAGCACATTGGGGTCATGGCGTTTGACGGCATGCCATGTGAGTAGCAGAGATACATTTGAATGTCAGTATCAAAGTTCTTGGCATGTTACAAATAACCTTTGACATGCGCATATCCACAGCAGCTGGACTCTGCAGTGCCTCTGACATCACCCTCGTGCCCCGCCTGACCCCTCGCACTACAGCACGAGGTCCGCATTTTCGAGAGCAAGTCAATAACAGCAAGTCGACTGATCCTTCTGAGGAGTCCTCGTCGCTGTACCATCAACCCTCCAAGAAACCATCCAGGTGTTCGTTGCATCTGCAATTCATCCACTCAAATATCCTCTAGCCGAATAAGGAAGGAACCCAACAATCATGGCTTCGAACCAACCACAGATCCCCAAGAAGATGAGGGCGATACAGGTAGTCGAATTCAAGAAACCGTACCAGATTCGTGAGGTGAGGGGACCTCGCCCTTCTAACAATTGCCAAAATTTGCGAACCCAACTGATAGAACATCTCCCAGGTCGACGTCCCTCAACCTTCTGCTCTCACCCCACCCGACATCCTCGTAAAAGTAGCCGTGGCATCCAACTGCCACACCGACGGCATGGTGCAACAAGGCGTCTTCGGCGCCCCTCTGCCACAGATAGCCTCCCACGAAGGAAGCGGCACCATCGTCGCCCTCGGCTCCGACGCCTCGCAGAAGTTCAAACTCGGAGACCGAGTCATGTGCGGGTTGCCTTTACATCCCTGTGGAGCGTGTGGCGACTGTCTGGGCCCGGAAAACCAACGGCAGTATTGCACACACATCCAGGGCCACATCGGCGTCACGACGAATGGATGTTTTGCGGAATATGCGGTCTGCGATATGAGGAATACGACGAAATTGCCGGATGCGGTGAGTTTTATGAGTGCGGCTCCGCTGGCTTGTGCGGGAAGGACGGTTTTCAGGAGTATTCTGAAGACGGGCTTGAAGAGTGGGGAGTGGATTGCCTTTGTGGGATCAGGGGGTGGATTGGGACATTTGGGGATCCAGTTCGCCAAGGCGATGGGGTTGAAAGTTATTGGTGTGGATGCTAGGGATGAAGGGCTGGAGTTGTCGAAGCATTATGGTGCGGATATTATTGCGGATGCGAGGAAGGGGAAAGAGGATGTTGTGAAGGAGATCCATGGTGTGACAAATGGGCAAGGCGTGGATAGCGCGGTGTGCTTGTCGGATCATAAGGATGCTGCGGGCATCGCGTGTGCCGTGACGAAGATGCACGGGACGATGGTGCAGATTGCACAGCCGGATATCATTGAGATTCCTTTCCCGGAGATCATCTTCCGAGACATCAGGGTTGTGGGCTCCTTGATTTCGAGTGCAGAGGAGAGTATGCAGATGTTGGATGTGATTGCGAAGCACGGTGTGACGGTGACCACGCAGCACTTCCAAGGACTGGACAAGATCGAGGAGCTGGTTGAGAAGGTGCACAGCGGCAAGCTCAAGGGTAAAGCCATCATTATCGTGGATCCAGAGCAGATTGAACACGAGAAGAAGATTGGGGCCAAATTCTAGAGAGTCCATAGGTAGAAAGCAACGACAGCCGAATGGAACAGGCAAATTGATCTTGAAAGAGCTCGGCGTTGGGAGGATGCAGCAATCGCTTCTCCTTGTCTCGATGCCGCAAATTGTGTCTGGAGACAGCCATGCCCGAGCATTGGCTTAAAACCATCCTGTTGCAGAGGTATCTCCCTCCTTCGCCTGATCCGTTCTAGATGGAAACGAATCGACCACCGACCTCTCGATCTCTCACATCAGCGACAAGGCTGTGTAAATGTCAGCAGTGACAGAGGAAAGTCGGAGGCCTTTACAAGACGGATTGTCGTTGATTTTGTACTTCTGACGCCTCCAGTCAGTCTCCCAGGCATGCGCTAGCTGGTTTCGCTTCATTTGTACATATATGCACACGACGCTTTCATCTTTTGCTTTTCCCGAAAGAGCGCCATTGAAACGCCGCGCCCGTGTCCATGACTCCCCTGCAAATGCCTGCGTTCCGTGGTAATTACTGCAAGTTACACCTGCCTTTCGCATCTTCAAATCATGTTCTTGTTCTTCTTCAGGTTGAAGGCTTTCTGGTCCTTCAACCATCTCCGGTAGTCTTTCACGCTTGCAATCTTCTCGCCGTAGTAGTCGGGAATCGGATTCTGCGGGCTCGAAGCGGATGGATCGGCACGATATCGCTTGATGCGAGCGTAGAAGGACTTTTCTTTCTGGTTTCGATGCGTCAGCCGGAGCACGACCTCTTCCATCTCTTCAACTTACCTCCGCAATCAATTTATTCCACCCTCTCCTCGCCGCCCAAAGACTGAACATTGCGCTTCCAAACGAAGGACCACACAGCCAGCCACCCGCTGCTACCGCGAAAGTCGAAACTCCCAGCACAATAACGGGATCGAGTCCGGATATTTGCGCACCCCATGTGTCAAAGTCTTGATTCGCCAGAATTGGTGTCACCGCTCCTACTGTTACGACTGCCGTTACAATAGAGCAGCCCAGGTTGATCCATCGTCGTTTCTTTCGTAGGTCGAAGAAGCGGTCCCATGTCAGGATGTGTTCGGGCACGGCGTCGGAGGCCGCAGCCTGGCTAGGCGAGGAAGCATGGCGTAGACCGATTTGTACTGGGGCGCATTGTTTCGATTGTGGTAATGTTACTGTGATGCTTGGTGTGAATGTGTTGCACGGGAGTTGCGGGTTTGATTTCGTGAGAACGCTGAATGCTGCTCTGAGATGGATCGTCGGCGTCGACAGTGTGCGCGTGGCCGATGTGATGGGTCGAAGACAAGTCGCTCGCGGGAATAGTATCGTCGCCATGATCGGTGGTAAGGAGTGCTGTGCTGGGTGGGAGTCGAAGGATGATGCGAGCTTAGTGGACTGGCGTCGAAGCTTCTCTCCCACTGCGCACGGACAGCATGTGAAAGCTAAGTTGCTTACTACATGTAAGGTACCCCTTCCAACGACCTCTTTTGGACCTCGACAATAGGCAATTGTGACTCAGGTAAGTCATGTTAGGCCCAAATGGGCAGTCTCGGCCCGTCATGGCCTTTGCCGAAGGCAGCCTGGCATTCGACAGCGACATCCCGTTGTAGACCTTTCTGCTACTTTCCTTCTAACCCAACTGACAAGCACAGGAACACTTCAAATGTTAAATGGACACAAGCGAAAAGCTCGAGTCATGACGGTAAGGCCATAAACTACCCTCTGATAACTAGTCCTCCCCACCTAACGATCAGCAGCCACCAAGGTCAATGACAGCCTGCTACGCCGTCTTCAACATCACCGAGCTAGCAGAAACCGTCCTCCTGCTCCTCCAGCCAGAAGAAATCCTCCCCATCCAGAGAGTCTGCCAGCAATGGCACAAGATGATTCGCACATCAAAGGTGGTACAAGAACATCTCTTCCTGAAACCACTTGCACCTACCAGTCACCGTCCTCGTCTGGAAAACCCCTTCTTCAGTCTCCTTACTATTTCACTTTTCCCTCGAAATGATGTGGAAGCATTCTGGCGCCGGATGCTCCTGACTCAGCCACCACTCACGGAAGTCCAAGTCTGTACGAAGGAGGACTGGAGCGATGTTACTACGATCAAGTCCGCCACAGGCATCACTTTGGGAGACGTTGCTTCTCGAGGCATCCTGTATGGAGTCAAAGGGAGCGCGGATTGGAAATCGTATGACGGCTACCACCAACTGGTGAAGCTAAGGAAGGCTCGTGCCCTGCAAGAAGCAGCGAGCGAGCTGGAGGTAGACGATGACGGGGATGGGGAAGATGGATTTTGGATGGAAGATATGAGATGGTAGGAGAGTTCTTTTCACTTTCGATCCCCGTTGCTACGTGAGTATCTCGGCGGTCTTCATGCAGGAAACGCCATGAAGCTCATACTCTGCTACTCAAGATACCTCTCAACTTGAGAATCCCTTGTTTCGTGATCAGACATCCGTAAAGCCCTAACCGCAACGCCGGCGCTCATGCTCATGTAGGAAGATGGACTCCTACTCTACCTCGACAGCCTGCTGCTGACTCCGCTCGGGCGCGTTTCTCTGTCCTCGACCCGGCCTGTAACCCTGGCCGTTCTGAACTCCTGCACCAGACACTTCAGCCTCCTTCTCGGTAATGAATTCTTCCTTCTGCGCCCGGATAACAGCCAAGACATTCGTTAAGCTGCTCTTCCACGTCTCCAACCGACTTGCTACCTCGCGCCACTGGTTCTCGCCAAAGACTCGGTAGGTGCTGCGGTGGATCAAGAACTCCTGCTTCTGCTGCGAAAGCTTGCCCTCGATCAAGCCAGATTGGATACTGTCAATCACCCATCTCTCCACGTCTCCAACGGGCACCTGCAGAGCCTTGGCGATCTGTTCGTATGGCAATGTCCGCGTTGACGATGCCTGCGCAGCAAGGGAAGCGAGAGTGAGCTTTCGCATCTTCTCATCCAGAAAGCTCTCGTTGACCTTGTTGTCGGAGAGGAACGAGCCGTTAGCTTCTTTGAAGTCCTGGAAGTCGTCGTAGTTCTCGGAGCTGAAGATCTCCAACAACTCCATCCAAGTTGGATCCGACGTACGAAGCGCCTGGATGCTCTCAAATGCAGTCAGGTCTTGGAAGTCGAAGTGCTTCTTGCTCTCCAGCGCAAGCTTCAAAGCGCGAATGGAGAGGTCATGCGCTTCTTGCGAAGAGGCATCGTCTTGGATGGTCTTGAGCGCCTTCAAAAGATAGAAGTAGCTCTGTTGTGGGCTCTTGGCGGCAGCATCTGAGATCGCAAGGTAGAGTTTCCTCGCCTCGGCTGGCTCCAGCTCCCACTCCTGCACCCAGCTGTCCACGTTCTTGAGTTGCGGCTCAAGTGTGACGAAGTTACCCGAGCTCTTGATCACATCGATGATTGCCAGGAGAATGTGGAATCGTGTCTCATCGTCGGGCTGAGTGGTATTGAATATCGTGCTGAGGATCCCCAAAGCGAGGCCGGCCCCGTTTTGTGGGGAGGATGTGATGGGTTGGGTGAGGTATTTGCACAGGCGCGCAATGTATGGATCTGGTTCGGGCGCTTGGGAGATGAGGTGGATCAGCATGTTGTATGCGGCCTGTAGTTCCCTCTCTGGCTTGCTGTTGAGCGCTGAGCTGGCGCCCACGAGCGTCTTGAGGGTGGCATCGCGGTCGCTTGTGGGGACGTCTTCAATATTGAGGTATGTCGCGAATTCGGTGGCGAGCTCCTCGAAGGAGCCCTCCACCATGGTGAGGTTAGGCGCGCCAGGCATCTTGTCGATTTCGTGTGGTGCTCAGATGTCGTGTCGGGAGGTAAAGTCGAAGGTGCCGGTGCGGGTAAAAGAAATAGGTGGTTCCGCCTTGCTCAGCCCGTGCTCTTATTCCGCGCGCTCTTGCCGCCAAGCCAACAAATGTCTTCAGCAAGCGTGTTCTCGCTCTTTTCCTCAAAGCGAAAGTGATGTCTCGTATCTGACTCCGCAAATGGGCGTTTTGCCGCACTTTCCCACCAAAAGATTTCGCATCCCACTTCGCGAAATCTTGGCTAAATTAGACTTTACCGCTAGCCTCAAGGGCTCAGTCCGAATACCGATGCGCATATGAAAAAAGTCCCTCTGTAACACCTTTCTCTGAGCATCCACATCCGAAATTAAAGTCGCAAGATGGCAACAGAAGAAATGGAAATATCAGAGACGCGTGCGCAACCCTACACCTTCGATCTCGGCCACATGCTCTGCATAGACTCGAATCCTCTCCCAACCTTCACACCCACCAACAAAGAAGAAATCCTCAAGAAAACCGCACAATCCTGCGCCCAGGCTCTCATAAATCAGCTCCTCACAACCTGTCCCATCAAGCGATCCGACGAAGACGGTGGTCTGCAAATAGATCTTCCCGCGCCGGAGACTCAACTTCCTCGAGAAAAGCCTGTACCGAAGGAGAAGGAAAAGACGAAATGGGAGAAGTTCGCAGAGAAGAAGGGGATCAAAGCGAAGAAGAAGGACGGAAAGTTGGTGTTTGACGAGGCGAAGGGCGATTGGGTTCCCAAGTACGGGTACAAGGGAAAGAAGGGAGAGGGCATGCCGGAGAGCGATTGGCTTGTGGAGGTGGATGAGAAGGCTGAGAGGAAGAAGGCTCGAGAGGCAGAGGAGGAGAAGAACGGGAAGAAAGCCAAGGCGAAGGGGATGGGAGATATCGCGAGAAGAGATCGAAAGCTCAAGATGAGGAAGGCGAAGTGAAGAGCTTGGTGAACGTGGTCTGCGACAGAATAGCTGCATCAGAACACACCACAGATGGTGACTACGGCTAGATGCTTCAGGCCACCTGTTGCAAAGAGTACGGCTCAATTTGGAGCAATTTCTGCCTCCCAGGCGTCTCCCATGTCACGGGCGAAGACCTTGCATAAAGGCATCGATGGCACCATGATGGTCCAGGGGAGACATATCTGGCTGGGGGGGAAAGACTTTGCTCAGCGTTCAAGCGCTTGTCATGCAATCATGCCATGTACACTGTATCACTACATTATATCCCGTGCTGCATACACATCTCTAGAGCTTCACCTGCCATTTTGGATTCGTCCGTATCCTCTCGCCATAATAATAGAAAATGAACGGGATTGGCAACAGTGCCACCCCAAGGAACGCCAGTAGACTGTTTCCCCATCCGAGTCCAAGACTGTTGTACATACTCAACCCGAACAACGGGAAGAGTCCGCCAAGCAGACTCCGCAGAATCGTGTTCGCAGCCATCGCGCTCGCGGCGTAGAGCGTGAAAGTGTCGACCAGGTAGGTATTGATGCACATGAAGCAGCCCATCAATCCAACACCGACGAACAGCGTCCCCAGTAAAGGCACAGCCCATTGGACATGGTACTGTGCTGTCCAGCCGTAGATGAAGAGACCAACCGGAATGAAAGGCCCAGCGTACATGAGCAGCGGCAGCCGATACTCGGGTTTGATGCCTCCTCCTTTCTTCTTCGCAAGGTAATTCATCATCCGGTCAGAGCTTCCACCGATGACACCAAGTCCAATGAAATTGCCTACTCCCAGGCCGATGTAGACCAATCCGACTGTCGATTGCGAGAAGCCGTAGTACTCTTCGAAGACAAAGGTGAAGGTCGTGAAGAGCAAGTAGAGAAAGCCATAAACAATGGCCATGTAGAGACTCATGAGGCCGCAGATGGGGGAGAGGAACATGAGCTTAGACGGGCGGACGATGGCGCGAATGAAGAGTTGTTTGGGGCTCAGGCCATTGTCGAGTTTGCTCCGGAGGTCCATGTTGCCGGTCGCCTTCTGGAGGTGTTTAGTCTTGCGGGCTAGAAGTATCGGTGCGTAGGTTTCGCGAAGGAATAGAAGAGCGAGGATAAAAGTGAAGCCGGTCGCCATTGCAATGACCCAGAAGATCCATCTGTGTGAGAAATCAGCCATATTTCTTTTAGTCACTTGCACTCTTAGACGTACCGCCAATCTTTCGCTTCAGCCAAGAAGCCACCAGCAACAGGCCCGATCACTACTCGAGGTTAGTAGTGCTCTCATTTGCGATTACTCCCGAAACCAACCTGGTCCAAGGAGTGGCCCCATGGCCCATATCGCCATTGCAGCTCCTCGCTTCTCAGGTGCCATCAGATCAGCAATTGTGCCACCTCCTATGGTGACCGGCGTGACGCCCCAGCATCCTTGCAGGAAGCGAAAGACTATCAGCGAGCTCATCGATGGTGCCAGGGCACATGCTACCGTGAAGATGATGAAGGCAATAGTCGTGACGTGATATACGATCAATCGGCCGTACAGCTCTGAAGCTGGTGCGATCAATAGCGGCCCGACCGCGAAGCCCAAGACGTATATGGAAACCACGAACGTCGCGAGTGTACTGCTGTCCGTCCCGAACTCTCTCATCAGCTGCGGTACTCCAGGCGCAAACATCGAAGATGCTAGTGGCGTGAGGAACGTCAACGTAGAGAGCACAGCAATGTTGCCCCATTTCAAGCCCGTACTCCAGTTCACGGGGTTTGCAGGATCATCGTCGGAATCCCATGACACGATGTTGGGATCGGGGTTCTCAACTGCCTCCGTAACCTCAGCAGGCGCCTTTTCCGGTTCGTGTGCGGCTGCAACACCGGTGACAGGCGATGTGATCGATGTCGCTTCTGAGCGCTCATTAGGATCGGCTTTTTCCAAGTCGCTGATATTGCTGTCGGGTCTAACAGCGGGCGTCTGTTGCTTGACCTCCTGAGTTGTTGTTGCATTTGTCGGTATGTCGGCGTCGTGGCCTTCTTGATATGCTGTCTCCAGGTATTCCGGCAAATCGCCACCTAGAAAGCCTGGCGTATGGTGTTTCGTCGTAGCCATGCCGCAAATCGCGATCTTGAGGGACCATCATTAGTGCTTATGCTCCCTACCACAGGCCTTGGAGCCAGATGACACTGCAGACTTTGTTTTCCAGAAATGCATACCTTGTGTGCTTGTGCAAGTCTTGCCAACTAGACTCGAGCTCGATGAGGGGACACTCGCCAGGCTTGGCTCCGTAGGTGTGCCGGTACAAGCCTTCTTGGGCGGTCAACAATTCTCCCAGAACGCGGACCGATATTATTTTTGTCTAGATCAAAGATAGAAGGATAGAACTTTGAGTAGATGATGCGACGTGCTTGTCCAGAGGAAGAAGTGCTAGAAGACAGTAGACCTACCTCGCTTGCGCGCCTTTCTGCATCTAATTCGGAAGGTTGGCGTTCCGTGATTGTGCATACCCAGGCAGAAGTGAGCTGCACGGGAGGAGGCTTGCACGATCGCTTGTTTGGCGGAAGGTTAAAACGACGGAGAAAGGGGAGCCCAAAGTACTCCAATAAATGCCGTTCCATAGCGCCGTGGAGAATCCGTTGGGGTGAGGTCGAGATCGTGTGGACCCTCTTCCCAGTGGAGAAGGCCGGAGCGAGAGTGATGGCCGGAATTCCAGGCGATGAGTATGAGTATGAGTATGAGAAACACAGTGAGACATTACCAGGCGGAAATCCCAGCGTATCGCCAGTTGCGTTGCCTGCATAGCACGTACATCCAGATCTGTAGGCGAGATTTGGACACGCGGCATGTCTCACGCTCGGCATCCCTTTGCCTGTACTGAGTTTCGGGCCACCAAAGGACTTCCGGGCGGGAGCGTAGTAGAAGTGTGAATGTTTGCACAGCAACGCGAATAATGCTTCACCGGGTAGCCGTTGTCCGTTGTGCGAGAAGCGTTTTATTTTTCTTTGACAGGGTGTTGAATATATACAGAGGAATAGAAAGGTCAAGGACAGGACGTGTGCTCTCATGAACAGGTGGATCGGTGATTAAGCTGCCCTGCTCCGGGCCCCGCTCCTGTGCCAGTCATAATGCATTATGCAAGACGAGCTCATGGTGAGGCCGAGCATTGTTCTGATCATGCATTTGTGGCGCTGGGGTTGGATATCGCGAATAGTAGAGACAAGAAAGCAGAAGAAGTTGGAGAGGTGTTGCGGAGGATTCGAAAGGCGAAGTCGCATCAAGACCTAGTGAGAGTTCGTGTAACCCAACGCCGAGATTGAGCCGGCGGCATGGATATGGATTCACCTACGACAACGAACATCGCCAAGATGAGTGAAAATACGCCAGAACTGCTCGACAGCATCGAAGGTCTGTTGTAGAATGCTTGCGTGAGTTCTCAACATATCAGCGATACCACCTGCCATTCATAATCACTCCGAGTGACGGAACGAATGTTGAACTCTTTCTACCTCGGTGCAACATATGACCTATCGACGCAGCGGGAACTGGCCGGGTGCCTAGTCGCCAAGAATTTGGTCAACTGACAAGTCTCCAGACTCCAGTGCAGTTCTATTGCCCGCCGATTGGTAGAGTTCGGAAACGACCTTTGTGACCGCCGGTGTTCGCCAGCGAAGCTGTCGAGTTGCGGCATGTACATAGACGGTGCAGATATGCGCATTACCGAAGCCCGCTCGATTTATCCATCTTGACAGGCCTGTCGGAATTGTACAGCTGATCATTGCCCTCGACTCCACGAAAGAAAAGAAGCCAACGGCACCCAAGATCCTCTGACGTCGCTCTTCACTAGCACAGACGGTTTTCGTCGTCATGGAGCCACGCACCGTGGCATGCACGGCGGGCTCTCGATTCGAAAATGCTTTAAGGCAGTGTTGAAATTTGCGTTGTTCATGATGAAGGAATGCAAGCGCGACAGGAAGAATTTTGATACCGGCTTTGCGCGCACAGACCGCCAAGCTTACTAAGTGTCACGCTAGTCGAACTCCGACGCGAAGACGCGTTGGAAGCGCGCAAGCTCGCTCTCTCTTTCTCAGATGCACATACTCACACCTGTTCAGCTGTTCAGCTTGCGTCTTGTTCTCAAGTGACGGTAAGGCATTTAAGAGTCGCCGGATTGGACGAGACAGGATAAGACTGAGCGCACCTTGGCTGCGCTGCCTTTCCATGCGCAATGGCTCTCCTCACCTACAAGAACATCGTCAATTACGCCGAGCAACAGAGTATGTTGCCCATCGCATCGCTTGCATCGCTCGCTAATGCCATCTAGGTGCCTTCAAAGACTTCCTCGAAAACTTCAAGTCGTCCTCAACCGAAGCGGAGGACGCGCTTGAAGACCTTCACCTCGACGGAGATGGCACGAGTGACGAATACGACTTCATGGATGATGTGGAAGATGGCGCGGGCGGTGTGAGATCAAGAACGAAGTCAAAGACGAAGTATATGAATACGTTGCAGGACGTCGCGGACCGGAAAAAGAATCAGGTTCTGATCGACCTTGACGATTTGCGAGACTACGAGAGAAGCATTGACGAGGATGGTACATCTGGCCTAAACCTCGTCTCCTCGATTGAGAAGAACGCTCAGCACTATGTTGAGATCTTTTCGCGAGCTGCGGATGAAGTCATGCCACGACCGCATCGTGAGCCGAACTTCAAAGACGACGTTCTTGATATTATCATGAGCCAACGTTCGAAGCGCAACGAGACGGTGCTGATGCAGCGAGAGGCACACATTGATGCGGAAGAAGGTGGCATTCCCGAATCGATTTTCCCACCGGAGCTTACAAGAAGGTATACGCTCAATTTCAAGCCAGTGACAGCTTCAGAATCGAGCAGTGAGAAGAGCGGGAAAGCGCTTGCTGTACGGCAAGTTCGCGGCGAACACCTTGGACATCTCATCACGATCCGTGGGATTGCGACCAGAGTTTCAGACGTCAAACCAAGTGTACAAGTCAACGCCTACTCGTGCGATCGATGCGGTCACGAAATCTTCCAGCCAATCACCTCGAAACAATTCACTCCCCTCGTCGAGTGCACATCAGAGGACTGCAAGAACAACAATGCCAAGGGACAGCTGTTCCTCTCAACCAGAGCGTCAAAATTCTTGCCATTCCAGGAGGTCAAGATCCAGGAAATGGCAGACCAGGTTCCGGTCGGCCACATTCCTCGACAATTGACCATTCATTGCCATGGTGAACTTGTCAGACAAGTCAACCCCGGAGACGTTGTCGACGTTGCTGGTATCTTCTTACCTACACCATATACTGGATTCAAGGCAATCAAAGCTGGATTGCTCACAGACACATATCTGGAGGCCCAGTACGTGCATCAGCACAAGAAGGCGTACGACGATATGGTACTAGCTCCCACCACCATCAGACGAATGACCGAGCTGGAGCGTTCCGGACAGTTGTATGAGTATCTCAGTCGCTCGATCGCACCAGAGATCTTCGGCCACTTGGACGTGAAGAAAGCGCTGCTCCTCCAGCTGATCGGTGGTGTCACCAAGGAAATGGGAGACGGCATGCGCATTCGCGGTGACATCAACGTGTGTCTGATGGGTGATCCTGGTGTTGCTAAATCGCAGCTTCTGAAGTACATCACGAAGGTTGCCCCTCGAGGTGTCTACACAACCGGACGTGGTAGCAGTGGCGTGGGTCTCACTGCAGCTGTCATGCGCGATCCAGTAACAGATGAGATGGTTCTAGAGGGTGGTGCGCTGGTGCTGGCCGATAACGGCACCTGTTGCATCGATGAGTTCGACAAGATGGACGACGCGGATCGGACAGCCATCCACGAGGTGATGGAGCAACAGACGATCTCTATCTCCAAAGCCGGAATCACCACGACTCTGAACGCGAGGACATCGATCCTCGCGGCCGCTAACCCACTCTACGGTCGTTACAACCCTCGTATCTCTCCAGTCGAGAACATCAACCTTCCTGCAGCCCTACTGAGTAGATTTGACGTTCTGTTCTTGCTTTTGGATACGCCTTCTCGAGATGCCGACGAGGAGCTCGCACGCCACGTAACCTATGTGCACATTCACAATGCTCACCCTGAGCCCCAAGGCGGCGGTCTCATTTTCTCGCCAAATGAGGTTCGTCAGTGGGTTGCAAGAGCACGCTCTTTCCGCCCGGTGGTACCCAAGCAAGTGTCTGATTACCTCGTTGGCGCTTACGTCAGGCTTCGCCAGCAGCAGAAGCGTGACGAGGCCGGCAAGAAGACTTTTACCTACACTTCACCCCGAACTCTACTGGGTATCCTCCGCATGTCACAAGCTCTGGCCAGGCTCCGATTCTCAGATGAAGTGATCGCCGACGATGTTGACGAAGCACTCCGACTGGTTGAGGTCAGCAAAGCCAGCTTGTATGATGACAACAAGGACCGTAGAGGAGATCAGTCTGCCAGCACCAAGATCTTCAACTTGATTCGCGGCATGCGGGAGAGCGGTGCTGCCGCGACTGGCGAAGGTAGCGGAGAACTCGACATGAGGAGAGTGAGGGAGCGTGTTCTGGCCAAGGGTTTCACGGCCCAGCAATTGGAGGCCGCCCTAGATGAGTACGCCAGTATCGATGTGAGTCTTACTATTCGTGCGTTGACGACCGGACGCATGCTGATGTTGCGATCTAGATCTGGCAAACTGCCGCCGAAGGAACCAGGTTGGTGTTCATCGACTCAGGGGAGGACGATGCAGACATGGGAGACGAAGAGTTCTGATCAGCCGCGTGTTGGTAATGTTTCTGATCAGGCGTACGGTGTTGGCTGCACAGCCGTGAGAGAGACGTCGGTTTTAGCGAATGGAAGAGGCCGCCCGGCGGTCTGTATGATTGATAGCTTGATTGGATGCAGCGCAGTGTAACTCTCACCAGCACACTTCATTCCGACGAGTCAGACCCATATCCAAGTGACATGATCTTCAGCCGGATGATCTGCATGTCACCCATGTGACGAGCACGTGCATATCGCCCGAATCAGGTGTGGCAGGGTCCTGGTCTATTAGGTAGCTGTGATTGGACGGGAAAGCCGCTCCTGGCTCTTTTGGCGGCTGGAGAACGCCGACAGCCGAACGAACGTCTTCGCTCTCTCCGAAACGTCTCTTCTTCAGACCATCTTCTTCTTCTGGTTCATGTCGCTGACAATCGCGCTTGAGAAGGCACCTTGTGTTGTGCGAACGAACATCTCCATCTCGACGCGGTGAGGCTGTGCCTCGCGCGGTCTGTTGGATTCATGCGCCAACCAGGAGCATCTCGCCAGAGCGCGAGCAGACTCGACTTTGAGGATTTCGGCTGCATTGTAACGCCATCGAGCTCGGATCAAACACGCACAACAAGTCCTGATAGCGAGAGTCTCGGGCCTCGCTCAGGCACCTTCAACGACGGACTTGGGGAAAAGGATCTCAGTGCTGCAGTCTCTGACTTCCATCTGTGGTTTTGCAAACGCAAGGTACCAGGCACTACAGACTCGTCTTTGTCCTGGCGCAGCTTTCTCCAAAATTGGGCTGTTATTCAGCCTCATCTGGAGTCTTGCGAGACCCCAGGCTCACTCAGCCTGAAGGAACCGTCCGTGACGCTAACGGCTGTTGCGATGAGATCTACACATAGGGCAGCGGCCTATCCGAGCTTCGACATCGACTTCAGCATGACGACTTTCGCCGCTTTGGAATGATTTGGACTCTTCCTACAATAGTTCACTGACCTCGATGCCTGGCCACCATGACAAGAACTCATGCTCCCGTCTTGCAGGACTGTGATTCGACCGGACGGGATCCCGCAAGTGCATGTTCATCCTTTGGTTTGTCGACAACCACACATCATCTATTTCCTTTTCGAAACTCCTTGTGATGCCCGGGACACCAAATGCGAGGCCTACCACGAGGCCATGACTTAGGGTTGTAGGGCCGCATCCGGCACGCCTATCCCAGGACCGAAGGAAGCTTCCATATGGGTGATTCTGTTCTTGTCTGGCCCCGGCTCCTTCTACTATCCCGCATGGCTGTGCGCTTCTGCGCCTTCTATTCGCAAAGAGGTCATCAACGTCGTGGCTTCGCATGGATACTTAATTTCCGCTGTGAGTATCATCTTCACTCTTGTCTTCGGCGTCCGGCATCATCTTGTTGTTGTTTTTTCTTGCTTCTGTTCATAAAGCAGTCACTCGACGAGCTCCATCAACACCATTCTGAACAATCCATCTTCTCCGTCAACCACTACGATACCGGCCAGTTACGATATATGAAACCATTCGAGCCCGTCCGAGAGACAACGTGGCATGCAAAGGGGCGGCATTGGTTAAGAGCCAGGCGATTGCCATGTCGCAGGCAGACCAGAGCTCTGTGCAGTCTTCAAGTTCGACAGAAGATGACTGGAGCTCGGTGACAGACCCTGCTGAAAGGCGAAGAATCCAGAATCGAATAGCGCAGAGGAAGTTTCGTAAGTCTCATGCCGTCTGTGCCCTGGTGAAAAACGTCTAATCTCAGCACAGGTGAAAAGTCCAAGCAGCAGAAAGACGACGCAGAACGACAGGTAGAGAACGAGAGGCAAGCTTCTGGTGCATACAGCGCCCCCGAGCCTGAGGATTTCGACAACTCTGAGGTATCGGGACTTCCATGGGGTAGCTTTTCATTGCGGCACATCATCGCCACGGGCAGAGCAAGGGAGCAGAACTCGCGAGAAACGTCGAGGTATGCGGCGGCGTCGAAGACAGGCGGCAGTTCGAGGTAAGCGGTGAGTCAAGGCGTCGTGCCGGACGTTTCTCCCAGTGCTGACGAGCGTTCTAGGTTAGGACTCCATCTTGTCGATGAGTATGCTCGGGGATCGCCTGCCTGGACTGCCTGGCGAGCTCGTGTGACGGCCCGAGAGCATGACCGTTGTTGAATCTACCCTGCACGCGACATTCGTTCTGGACCGATCGGCAGATGTGAGCGTGGAACGATACTCTTGGAAGAATATACCACCGGGGCTGAGGCTGAGGCCTTGAGGGAGGCAGGCCTCCCACGACCGAAGTCGATCTGTGCATGAGCAACATGAACAGAAAGAGAGGCTCCTGGCCAGTCGATTATTATCGCATCGCTGTGCCGCGAAAAGCTGGCACAGCAAAACCCACAACGGACAGGACTAGTATTGGCATTCTGAGTGTGTCGGAGACACCTGATCTTTGATAGCGCGGCATTCTCAGCACGCACTTGACAAGCGAACAGACTTGCATTCTGGACGTTGGGTTCCTCATGGGTAGAGAAGCACCTTCTCGATATCTACAATCAACCAACTACTTCCTTATCAAATGCATCTTCTCCAGTTCCTAGGTGTCCCCGGTCCGTGTGCTTCTGCCCCGCTCATTTTGGAGCAGCCATACCATCCGTTTTTGGAAGGGCTTCAACGCCGGCGACTGTATGGTTGAATTGTGGCTGGTCGATTGGACCACGGACGTGGGAGCCGGGCGCTTGTTGGTGGCCCTGCATTTTCAGCCACTCATCAGGCCATCTATATTTAAGCTGCACGGCGCAGCCCTGCGCTTCCGGGTCGTCGCAACCCAGAGTTAGGCCGGCTCCGGAGCCGGAGATCGACCTCATCTGTTGTACCTGTCCCTGTACCTGTGTAGACGTCTGGCGTGCTCACGCTGTCGCCGGTTCGATGCGTTTGACGATGGGCTTTCGCGGCGTGGATCGCGTACTGATGCGGAGAGGGAACCCCCGCGCACGTCGACTGCAGATACGGCCACTGCAGTCCGGCACCGAAGAGAAGCTCGAAGCCGGCAACAGTGTCCCAACTTTGGGCTCCACATCTGAACCGCTCGTGCATGAGATTGCTGTCAGGTGAAAGGCTAGAGCGCAGCTCATCCAGCGCAGGCCTTAAACGATAGGACAGTATGGCTTCGTTTTGGGCCTGTCCATGGTGAAGTCTTCTATGCGAACTGATATGTCGTCCACTTTTGGGGCCATTGTCTGCGGCTCAGGCTATCCCGCAGCGACCAACATCCACTTTGTACGCCGCCTTCGCCACGGAGGAATGCTATTGCTCCTTCCCACCGCAGGGCGAGCAAGCTCTCGCGTGAACCAACTCGTGATCAGCGTAGGAGGGCAACTAGAGCATAGCTGGAGTAGTGTTGCTCTGCGGTCCTGCGGAAAGTCAACAACAGGTGGCGTAGACTGGCGTTCCTGGCACTACTCCTCTCCCCCAACATGAGCAACTGAGGGCAGTGCTAACTCGACTCTGACTCCAGCCCCATACACTGTGTGCGGCGGCAGGAACAGCTCACGATCACGGTGAGGGCGCGGCGGCGGCGGCGGTGGTGGTGGTGTTTCCTTCTCTTCGTTCATTCGACCTGCGTGGCGAGGATGTCTTGTCGCTGCCCGCCAGCTGCCGGCACTACGGCCTTGACCCGGTGATGTCTTTCCAACACACTATGCTTGGTGACTGTGCCGGAAGGCTATATCCCCCCCATCCAGAGCCCTCTCGACTCACCACGCACCGAACCCGCATATCCACAGCAGGCAGCCCCGTCGTGCGGCGTGGTAAGGCGTAGTCGGCAGGCGTTGTGTGGGAAAGAAAGGGATATAAGAAACGTCGAGGAGTCGAATCCTGTGAGAGATGTCTTCACCAACTACTTCAGCTCCGACGTCTGCTGTGGAGGCAGGATCGCTCATGTCACGGGCCAGCGACGCTGCTTCCGAATTTGGAAGGAGGCTCACCATCGACGAACGAGACCGGAGGGAGGGTATGGCGAGGACGAGGGGCATGGCGAAGAGGGAGGATGAACGCCAAGCTGTCTCACGTGCTGCCACGAGATCAGGAGGCAAGAGCACGAGACAGGCGGCGAATGCTACCGCGAGCTCTTCCAAGGCTCCGGCGCGTGGTTCACAGCGAAAGCCGCAGGCACAGGAATCCTCTGAAGACGAGGAGAGTGAGGATTCAGACGAAGATGAGGCTGCCGATGGGCCTCCGAGCGACAGTGAGCATGACCCTCGCCCTGGTGCCGCTGGCCCTGGAGAGAAAGTGCTTCAAATTCTCTCTGCGTTCGAGCCGAACCACTACACGTACGACGAGATGCGCCAACAAAGTTTGCCAGGAAGGACGGAGCCAAGGTATCTCCCCACTCGTGGAGCAGACCGAGAAGACGCATCGCTAACGCTGTCACAGTATCTCCTACGGCGCCCTATCACGGACGATTGCCACCTTACTCAACTCCGACCGTGCATGTGCCGCTCTCGAACGGCAAGTCCCCATCGAAGGCCCCATCTGGTCCTCCCAAGCGGTCAACAACATGACAGCACGCGCCTACAAGATCTTCAACAACCTGCACAAATACGAACGCCAGCCGCGCGAGGGCGCCGACGTGATCGACACCGTCGCGGAGATCCGTCGCTTCTTCTCCGCCGTCGAGGGCATCCTGCGTCGCTTCCGCAACATGCCCGCCGACAGCCACCAGCGCCTCGTCTCCCTGCTGCGCTACGTGATCGCGCAGGTGATCCAGTTCGACCGCGACGTGCGTGGGCCCTCGAGCAGCGGGCGGCCCGTGTTCGCCGGCGGCTCCGACCAACATGAGCACAACCTGTACCTTCGCTTCACTTCCAGTCACGCGGACTGGATGTGGTGTCTCGAGACGCTGCGACGGGTAGGGAGCCTCTACGCGCAGTGTTTCCGCGTCGACGCGCAGTCTTGGGCGCAGATTATGCAGACGCTCCGCGCGAAGCATTCCAACGACCAGTGGCCCAACGCGACGGTCAAGAACTTTGTTCTGCATCTGCGTGATCGATTGAACGGGATGCAAGGTGAGCAAAGAAAGCGACATTGTCCCCGAGTGCGCCATCACATTACCTTACCGCGGCGCTGACTTCTTTCTCTTTTCCACAGTACCTCTCGAATAGGACGCAGCATTTTCCTGCATCCCGACGACGCTTGCTATCGGCTTTCATTGAGAGGGAAAGGGGGGGGACGGGCGCGGTACTCTTTGTTCTGGTGAGCTTCTTCGGTAATACCCTTGTTGGAGGAGACGCATTGTCGTTGCATTGAACCATGATGGTCGGCGTTTTGATGCTTTTTGACTCAACTCTATACCGTCCTTTCATCATCGCGTGGGCAGCATATCATGGCATAGATTCGAGAATTGAAAGGGATCGCATCCCTCATCACCCTGTGATCATCTTTGCCGTTGTGGTCTGTCCAAAGCTCTTGCTGATCGCGCGTGTCAATCGGTGGTGAAAACGCGGTAGACCCGTCGTCATCGCATGGGACGGTGTCTTGGAGTCGTGAACTCTGTCGCCAGCGCTTGTGGGGCGCGGTGGGAAGCGTGAACCATGGTAGCAGGAAAAAAGAAAGTGGAGGAAGCAGAACAGGAAGAAGTGGGAGAGGCGTTGTACGTATATAAGTTCCATCTACTTCTGCAATCTACATCCAGGATTCCGATCCATCATTGACCGGGCCAATCGAGCAGTTCGTTCTCCGTCGGTATCGCGGTGTTAAGACGGGAGGAGGCAGATCCTGGCCAGAAGGCCCATTGGACCGGGGGATGTGGTGCAGCCATGCGGCGCGGAATCTTCTTTGCTTGCCCACGGCGCGGCAGAGTTTCACCGCCACGTTGTGAATCTCTTGTTTCATATCTAAGGAGTGAAACTACTCACAGAGCATCACTTCGTAACTTCGTATAAGAGAGCTTTGTGCGATCGCGTCAGCAGCCACATTGACGGGCCCCTGCTTGGAAAATGGGCTTCAAGCCGGTCGGCCCGGCCTCATGTCTCCTTCGGCAGTTGTCGAAAAGACGGCCACACGATCTGCGCCTGCTGGTTACTTGTTGTCACGGTGGAAGCATTTCGATCTCGATGACAGCCTTTGAACCTGTTTGGACATCGTTCGTTTGAGGCTAGGAGTTGTCTGAGCCTTGAGTTGCGCAGTCCATCGATATTGCTCGGTACGCCGCAAGTCGACATCGACCAGGCTTGCCTCTGTAACCTGGATTGAACGATCATTGAGGCTTCTTGAATCGACCTTGCATCCAACACCGATACATCTTGAGCTTCCGCTGGCGATTGACCAGCATTCTCCTGTCGACAGCAAGATTGACAATATCAAAGGGTGGCCGGTGGCTGTCAGCATTGTCTTTGTCACCGTCAGACGATCCTCCATTTGCATCAGAAGCTTCGTTATGCCTCGCTCCACTCCAAATGTCTTTCAGCTCATCTTCCTCAAAGAAGTATACCCGTGTACCATCTCCGCGAACGTAGAAGTTCTCGTCAAGATACCGACCTTTCTTGAATCGCACTTGGGCAAGATCGCCTCGGCCATAGTCACGAAACAGTACCTCTCCTCCGGGCTTGAGGATAGCGAAGACGTTGCTGACTGCCTTTGTCCACTGCTTGGGTGACAGAGCGGAGAAGATGAAGATCAGAAGGACAACATCGACACTCCCTGGCTCCAGGCCAGGCGGAAGCTCATCACCTGCAATATCCCATACATCTGCTTGGAGTATCGGCGCAGCCTGTTCTGTGTATGCAGATTGTGATCTGATAATGTCGACGGCCTTTTTGCTGTAGTCACAGGCATGCAGCCTGAGGCTAGGATTCTGGTTCGTTGCAAGGATTGGGAAAGCTGTATTTCCAGCGCCGGCACCAACTTCCAACACCGTGACAGGTCCATAGTCTTCTTTTGTCACCTCGCCAAGGACCGGGAATTCCTGCACCAGCCATTTTCGATCTTTGAAGAAATTCGCTTGGTTGTTGCTATAGAAGCGGTCCCACCACTTCTCAGGTTTCTCGTTGAATCGCTTCTTATCGATTTCTGACACTTGATTCTCGCGCTGGAAGATGGTCTGCTGTTCAATGAAGTCGCTGTATTGAGGGTCTACCTCGACGTGGTCCCAGGCGTTATGTGCGAAGATGTCGTCTCCCTCCTCGAGGTACCGCGTCCCGAATTGAAAGGGATCCGTCCGCTTTTGAGGGTTTTCTTGAGAATCTGTGGCCGGCTTTCTTACCGGCTCATATGTAGCTGGTACCCCATACGCATCCTCTCCCGCGGCATGCGTTGATGGTGATGATGATGATGATGCGGGCTCATCTATTGTGACATAGCTACGCAAATGCTCCATGCCCTTGGCAAGTTGCTGTTTTGCCTGTTTCTTCCGCAGTGGAAGCTGCAATTCAGCTCCTTCTTCTGCCGCCATGGTGATAGATTTGTTGCTGCTTCGTTGTCGTTGTCTTGGCAAGTGAAAGACGGGATTCCAAATTCTGTCCACTCGGCTTTGACTTTCGTACCTGCCGAAACTCAGCCTCGACGGATCCGCCCGAGAACCGAATAAAATCAATGACGACGTGGTTGCATCGACGTTGACGGTTGCTCGCGTGTGCTAGATAGGACGTCCGAGGCATCTTTCACTCCCTTGCACTCTTCACAATGCCCAGAGTACAGCGGTGACACCTGCAGAACATCGACAACCCACGGCCGGCATCATGAAGGCCTTCCGATCAGTCTCTACTGCCATTCTTCAACCCTCGATCAGGAGCCCGACTTTCACATGCAGAGCCGCTTACCTCGCCAATGCTTCGATACGCTCGACGAATCATGAGAGACAACGACGGACGTTCGTCTCGAATCCTTTTACGCAAAATCAGACCTTGACCGCGCACCGAACTCTCCGCTACCCAGCCAGCGTAATCTATGAGATAGTATCGGATGTGGCCTCATACAAGACGTTTCTACCGTACTGCCAGGATTCCATCGTCACCAAGTATTCCGAGCCAGCTCCAGATGGAAAGAAATATCCAGAAGAAGCCAAGCTAGTCGTGGGCTTCAATGACAGCATCAGCGAGGAGTTCACGAGCAGAGTCTATTGCGTACCGGAGAGGATAGTAGAAGCTGTGAGCGGAAATCAAGTGAGCACGCTGGAGGGCAGTGAGGAGATCGGACACCACAGTGCGAGGCCCCCGGTGGATCAAGATCCGAGCAGGAAAGATACGGTCATGGCGAGCTTGCTCACGAGGTGGACGCTGAGGCCGTACCCTTACAAGCCTCCTCCAGTGGCTGCCACGCATCCCGACGGAGTCCACAAGAACCACGAGGAGACGAATCCTATCCCAGGGCAAGAGAAGACCGAGGTCAACTTGACGATCGAGTTCCAATTCTCGAACCCCTTGTATGCCGCCGTTTCATCGGCCGCGGCCGCGAAGGTCGCTGAAATGATGATCGAAGCGTTCGAGAACCGAGTCAAGGCGGTACTGGAAGGTCCAGGTTCTGTGGCAGGAGTCAAGAAGAGCATTGGAGGCAGTGAAGGCCTCTTCAAGGGCAAGATGAAGTGAGATGGGCCGGAAGTAGGACGCATGACTCGATCTTGCGGACATTGGAAGGTCTGATACGCAACAAGCAATAAAACTAGACATTAAGTGATATGAATTACACTGACAGTCTACAAGCCATGTCGACCATTACATCCACTCCATCTCGGCATGCTACCAAAAGTCCAAAAGGCTATCCTTCTGCATCAACTTGAATCCATGTAAGGAGTCGCCCAGACAAGCGCTCACTTGCGCTCGAGCTTCTCCGCCTGGGCCCGGGATCCCAATACGCTATCATCGCTTGAGCCCTTGAGCCCTGCAGCCGCGGCCGACGAGCTGTCAATCCGTCCCAAATCTCTCGAAACATGCCTGGAGCATGATGATGAGGGCACTTTTTGAGTAATACTGCATTACATTGACCTCTACGTCAAGATCCGAAGTCGTCCTTCGAACCCTCTCGCCATTCCTCCCACGGGTCCCAGTTCTCTTCTTCCTCTGGCTTCTCGCAGTCTTCGCAATCAGGTTTCCACCGAAGGCGCCGTCCTGCAGAATCCTAAGGTCTGCATCTTGGAAGCTGAGATGGCCCCGGGATACAGGCTTGCCTCCAAGCGCTATGAAGTCTTCCAGGCGCATTTCTTCTTCGTCGGTGCCGCCAAACACTTCGAGGTTACTCATCTCATCCTCTGCCTCGCGTCTCTTTTCCCACATTATGTCGACGCGATGATCTGGCGGATGTCACGTGGGTAGAGTAGAGCGGCATGCCGTTGAGCCTATCTCTTCAATCTCCAGACCACGATCGATCGCTCCCCGGTCTTCCGTTTGCGTACAATGAGGAGTCTCTGTCAACTCTGTCTAGTCCAGACATTTTTGCAGCGTGGAATGGAGCTGTGTATTCGATTAAAGGACCGAGTGGGTCTCATCATTGTCTGTAACGTTCATTCTTGAAGTCTGCACTGGTTTGCGGCGTTAGATGGCTTACAAAGTAGTCTTCGAAGTGAGCAGCGACAAGGGGAAGAGTGAGTTAGAGCCTACAGCCATGACGCGTTGGGCCAAAACGCGAAAGCCGCGCGCGGGCACCTGAGCAAAAAGCCACCTTAACAGAAACTTGGACTGCCAATTCCAAGTTTTGGCGATACATATCTCACGACATCTTGGACACATCTCAGAGCTTGCTGCCGGGCTCCTTGGACGTGGTGTCGTGTCCGAACACAATCAGACGATCCCAACGAGCGTCCTCGATCCAATCTCCTCGAGGCATGGCGGCACTCACTCTCCTGCGGGAAATCCATCTGTTCACAATTTCGTGAGAGATCACATCATCGTCGGAATTTGCGTCTTCGATCAGCAATACTGCGCATACGAGCCAGCCGAGACGGCTGCCCAGATCTCGTCCGTTCATCACCAGATCCTCTCTGGACCTCTGCTGGATGTCTTGACGAAGCTGCCGCCAAAACTCGGAGACTTGGACGGCCCAATCTGATCTACTGCGAGCGTTCAACCCCTTCGCAGTCGCAAGTACGATGGATTCCACTGCCTGGAGCGTATCAGCGCCTGCCGGCCCCTTCAAGATTCGGACGATGTCATCTGCCATGATGTTGCTTGTGCCCTCCCAGATACTCAACACGTTGCAGTCTCGGTACAGTCTTGCGACATTCACTGCAATGTCTTCGTTCTCGATGTAGCCGACGCCACCAAGACTCTCCATGCACTCTGCCAGCCCGGCTATTCCGGCCTTTGCTGTGAGCATCTTAGCTAGCGGCGTGAGTAGCCGTAGCAAGTCGGGACCGATGAGACCAGCTCTTTCGCAGGGCGAGACCTGGCTGGACTTGCCGGGCCGATTCTCTGACTGGCCGAGAAGCGCCGCAGTATACATTGCGAGGTGCATCATCGCGTGATATTCGACGTATTGCTCTGCCAGAGTTCGAACATGCGCCGGCAGGTCCATCAACAGGCGCCCGCGAGCCTTGCGTACCCGCGAGAAAGCCCTCGAGATCGCAAGACCGCGACCCCAAAAGCCGACTGCCGAGACAGCATTGTGGACGCGCGTGACATTAAGGACTGTACTGATCTCCTTCACGCCTTGGCCCGACTTTCCCACCCTCCAGGCCCGCATGTCCTGCAGAACAAGCTCTGCTGTTGGGAGCGCGCGCGTGCCAAGTTTGCTTTTGAGTCTCTGGATGCTAATTCCATTCAACTCGCCATCTGCGCCATTCGAGATGTATCTCTTCGTAGGCGCGAAGAAGGCTGAAATGGCGCCATTCGGCTCCCGGGCTAGCATCACGGTCGAATTGGCGTCTGTCGCTGATGAGAACCACTTGAAGCCGGAAATAGAGTAGTGGCCAAGTGGATTGCCGTCAATGTCTACCATTGAAGCCGAAGCTCCCTCAGTGGCTGCATAAATGGCCTGCGTTTCAGTGTCTTGCACATCGCTCCCACCTGGCCGCTCTGTCATCCACTGTCCACTGGTCCACGCTTTCGTAGGGTCTCGCGCTACCAAATGGTCGTATGCCGCTTGAAAGACTCGTCTTTCATCTTTACCCAGGTCGGCCTTGCCCAGCTGAGTCCTTAGCATCTTCGCCGCACCATCCTGCATGGCCGAAGGGCACGTCACAAGAGCACACCAGGGCGTCCAGATATGGTACTTCAAAAACTGATATACTCGGCTGTATCGGGCATGAGTTTGTTCATGGCCGATGGCCACAATCCCCTCTGCGAGGCCCATGTTTTGCAAATTGCGCCAGCCTTCACTCGTGACGAGCCTGTCCACTCTTCGTCCCCACGCATCGTGTGTACGCACATAGGGAACGTTTCGCTCGGCGTCTGCACACCATTCCCGGACCTTTTCTGTGGCTACCAAGTCGCTGAAACGCTGCAGATCCGGGGCTAACTCTTCCCGGACGTCTGGCGAAAGGTAGACTGATTATTCTCAGCATTCGATTGACACACGCAAGTGATCGAGTGTCAATCTCACATCGAGATACTCGATTCAAGGCTTCGTCTTCCCCCCAAGCGCCTCTCACGACAGGCGCATCTTGGAAGAAGCCGGCTGTCCCGCTTGAAGGCGACGATGGATGCTTTGGCTGATCCATGCCGACATCCGAGACTCGATTAGGGATGGAGAAACCTCAGAAATGATCATGAATTGATGCAAGCCGTAGACAGGGGAAGCCATGAAAGATGCACACGGTGCCAATCTGGACCGAGGTCCGGCTTCTCGACTCGGCGGAGCACAGTCACACTGCCGAATCAATCACGAGTATACCGTCGCTCTACAACTCGGCAGAGAATCAAATCCAAGCCTCTCCGTGTATGAACGTGTCCAGGGCTTGTTGCAAGATGGATGATGCATGATGTGGACACAGACTCTGCCGCAACAGGTCTCGAGACGGAATGCCCTATTTTAATATCTCTCGCAATGTTTCGCATCTTTTTATAAAGTCGCATGGGAAGACCGCCGACTGATGACTTCTAGCCGCTCCTCCGTATGTAAATGACGAGAAGCCGGTCACCTATCTCAAACCCAATGATCACAGATATACTTTCTTGCTGGCTGCCGCCCTCAAGACGAAACGTTCGGTATGGCTTGAGATCATTATTATTGCTGTAACGAAGCTAATGCGTGCTAGCTGATGATTCCGATGCCCGCGAATACCACGGAGGGACCAGTCAACAAGCTACAACTGAAAGCCCAAGGATGTCACTTTGTCCTCACCAGCAAGGACGATGCCTCTGAGTGGGCCGATGTTCAACTGCCTGACAGTCACCTAAAAACCGTACCGCACTTCCTCGGGGAGACCCAACAGCCTCGCTACCCTTGCGATGTTTCACCTACCTTAATGAAGCCAGGGCATAGCCCGTGATGGTGACACAGGGTTCTGGTACGGTCGGAAGGATATCGTCATGGCCTCAAAGCTGACCTGCTGATGAGTAGGTACCACTGGCGACCCAAGGCCATCAATGTATCCTGTGAATCCTGGGAGGGCTTTGCCCAGGCAGCTGCTTCGAACCGCGACAATCCTCCTGACCATCAGCATGCATACGTCACTTTGTTGCAAGGACACTACATGCCTGTTACCATGCCACTAAGTTGGGGTCACGGTATCCTCACGGCAGCATGATGGCCTTCGACGACTGGCAGCGCCACTTTTATGCCTCCGGCTACAATGCCCCACCCAAGGACGGCTGAATACGCCTCTAAGCCTACACAGTTCTTGCCTCGAGGCAAGAAGAACGGTTTCGTCTGCGTGCCGAGTGTATTTAGGAGTTGTTCAAGGACCCTTCAAAGCTAGAGATGCTGGGAACCACTTGACCTCGACGCCGGATACTGGATGTCGAAGTATACTCGTGTTCAATCCATCATCGCCTCGACGGAGAGCGATGGTTATCCCCCGCGGTTGAAAGATTCCAAGGATCGGAACATGCATCGTTTACGCGAGACGCAGGAATGCTTCTATCTCGAGCACTTTTGTTGCTGATCGTCCATGAAACATGTACTCGGCGTCAAGATGTGGAATTCCAACAATACTCTCTCGCGAATCATGATCCAAATTTCCAGATTTTCCATACGAACGATCTGGTCCGCATGGTCCCCGATCGAGGAGGAAAGGAAGGGTTCTAGACCACGACAGGCCGGATCGATGATTTCGGCAAGCTCTCTTCCATGATGAAATTTCATGTCAGGACTTGTGTTGTAGCGGGGCGACGCGAGGCTCAAGTCGTTTGCACTTATTGATCCCGTCGACGGATCGGTTGAGGAAGCTAACCAGACTGTTCTGGAAGAGGCAAGGCTGAAGAAGGATATGGTCGACCATTTTGACGAGTCCCGAGAAGCCGCTGAAAATCTTGGCAAAAGGAAGTGTGAAGCGGAGGAATGCGCTGAATGCGTATCGGGATGAGATTGAAGGCTCTATCTATACCGAGCGAGATTCGAAACCAACATTCTGGCGAACAACACCTAATTCGTGATGTTTGTTCGAGCAGGGGGCGCAAGTCATTTCCGTCGGAGAAATCGCTGACATGCTTCTCATCACAGGCGGACCGCATTGGCACGGCCGTAGCCGCTATGGTATGGCGGAGACACGGGAATACTACGGTGGTAGTATGCGAGGCGGTCAGGAGAAGTGGGGCACTTTCACATGTCAACGTCACGGCTTGACTGGTCACCCACAGCCGTGACTATCAAGTTGTCGCGGGGTTTTTGGGAACTACTCCACGGAATCGGACGTTGGACCATAATTGACGCTTGAACCGCATGGCATACAAAATCGTCTCTTCCATGGCGCTAATGAGCGACTGCATCAGTGCAGTTCCGTTGTCTACAGCGATCTGTGTGGCATTCAGAGGCTATCTCGACAAGCACTTCCGCGGACTATGGACTTTCCGACGAGACTTGCCACTGGCCTTTGTATTGGATAGCATTTATCGGAAAGAAAGATTGCTTTGCGATGCAAGAAGACCTTATGTTCTCGACAGCACGGATCCCCGGACGTTCCTTGTCGACCGACCGCTCAGAAGAGCCGGTCGCATTTCACGTCCCCTTCCCGCAGTTTCACGGCACGAAAGACGACGAACATGTTGATACCACGCTGAATCCCTCTCTGCCTGCGACCGCTCTTTCCGATTGAGACACTCCCCTGATCTCTATCCAACCATTTCCCTACCTCTCCTTTCGAGAGGTCCCTGACGAACTCGGTCACCGCCGTGCATTGCGAAAGCCGAATTGAGTTACATCCATTCCATAGTCCTGACGCAGGAGTTCGCGAAAGCCGCATTCGATGCGAATGAAGTCGTCCGGGCGGACCTGGCGGGGACTGCTAGGTGTTGCTGTGGGCTATGTCCGATACAGTTCACCTCGAAAGCAATCGATAGCGTCCGCGGCGGCGGAGAGCATGGGAGTATCGGAGGCTACTACCGGAGTATGCGAGTCCCAGAAAGTCGTAATATGTATCCGAAGAGAGAGGGTTTTGGAAGTGGAGACTTTTGGCGCCCGCTGTGGTCCTCGGCAGCGTGTTTTGAGGACTTGGTCGTCTTGAAAGTGAAGCACGGCGGTGGACGTCGGTGCTCGAGTTTGGTGCATCTCGAGTCTTGTAGAGGACTGTGTGGCAAGAGGGACAGGTCTTCCCGCGCGCCAACCAGGGCCTTGCGCATTCTCCGCAGCACTTGTGATGGCAATCTGCCTCCACAGGTCTGGAGAGGACTTTTCGACAAAACGGGCCAGCCAGAGAGGTGTTCCCTCGTCGACATGTCCATCTTGTGCTGAAACCCACGCGACGGCGAAGTGTGAGCCGGCCGATGAAGAATCCAACCATGAGCCCCATAATTAACTGAATCGGACCTACGCATGCCTCTCCCCCAAAAACATCTCAAGCCTCCTCATCACCCCCCGCTCCATCCCCAGCGGACATGCCGGACTCCAGACATGCTGAAAGAGCGACGAAAGCCTGCGAAACCCCCTGTCACATTCCCAACACACAAACGGCACTTGATCATCCTCATGATCCGGATCCCACAGGAAGTCAGTCTCCCCTCGGAGCAAGAAAGGCCGATAGTAGGGGAACAGGAATTTCTTCCAACCGCGGCACAGAGCCGCGGAGCGGTTCAGATCCGTCAGCTGGATCCCCGAGGCGCAGGCGCCGGATTCCAGGTGGAGGATCATGTCTGCGTAGCGGCGGAAGTGCTGGTAGCAGCCGTAGCATTCGATTTTCTTGGGGAGGTGGATGATTTCGTGCTAGATAGCCCAGAAAGAAAAGAAAAGGATCAACAAATCTGGGTTGTCCCTGGTTCTTGCGTTGTCATGCGAGTTTTGGGGGAAGGGGGGAGGGGAGAAGGTCTTATTTCTTTTATTTTTTTTTTCTACTTACGTGGTCTCTCCTACTGCTGTCGTCGAATACCGCATCGCAATACCGGCAGCCAGTCTCGCGGCGGATGTGCTTCCAGAGCGAGCGCCACAGGTGCGGTGCCGTGGCTTGGACACATCGTAGTTGGGCCACAGTGGGCAGAGCGTCCTGGTCCGACATCTGGCAGGGTGATGAGTACCTATGTATGGTTCGAATGCCTGTCGCGATGAAGGCTGATAAAGGAAAGAGTTTTGCGAAGACCAGGTGGACTTTCCGTGTGTAGGCCTATTACTTTTTCCAGGGGGTATCCCCGTCACATGACAGGGTTTTGGGGTTAGTTTGTGATATCACTTGTGAGAACGCTTGCGTTAGTGCTGAACATGTGTCAGGTTGATGTTATATCAGGCACTGATATGATTATTATAGCTTAGTACTGTATGTATAATAAGGGTATAGTTAAGTTAAGAGCTAGTCGGTTACTATCTTAAATTCTAGCGAAGGACTCCCGTAGCTTCTTAGAGTTTACTCTATATAGATAGATAGATAGATATATAAAGGCAAGTCGCCGGACTAGCGTATAGTTCGAGTATATAGGTATTCCTAGCTAATTAGCGATTTTATACGAATTTTTTTTTTAACTAATTAGTTCGTACGCTCTAATACAAAACCTAGGTAGGCTTCTACTAGTACTTTCTTGCTAGGAGAGACCCCTAGACCCCCCCCCCCCCCCTTCTTATTAATTGTATTAAACGCTACGGGGGACTTAGAAGGTCTTCTCGTCGCTACGCTATAGTCCTCCGCAAGCTCCGGAATAGCTAAACGCTCCTCGTCGACCCTCATCACCGCCTGCCCTTCGCTTAATAAAGCCAAGCTGATTTTGCAGTCTTTGAATCGACATCTTCTCGGACAGTGAATGGCGCAGCTCCTTTCCTGCCACGGTAAACCCGATAAGTAAAACGTGTGAGAGAGATACTCAACCCTATAAACAATAAATCACATCTTAAAGCTTCTCCTCAACGGTAGTGGCCTTCCTCCTCGCAGCCAGATTCCTCTCACTCCCCACAGCAAAGCAGACATGATGACTCAGAGCCACCAGATCGCCACCTTCATCGTAAACGAGCACTTCCAGATCATACCTGCCATTGCGAATCATCTTCGTCTGCAAGCGGGAGAACAGAAACCGGACGCCGGCCGCCGGTAACGCCTTTTTGACTTCCAGATTCAAGAGCAAGGTGGGATACCAAAACGGCGCTTTGCCCTTCGACATGGCCCGCAGTTCCGGCACGCTGTACTGCTCGTCGAGCTTCGGGTCATACGGGTCAAAGCCATCCAGGTAGAAGGATTCCAAAATCTGCGGGAACATGTCGGCGAGGAAACCGAGGGATTCGTGGGTCCATGTGGACGCAGGGTCGCGGAAGCACATCCATTGGTCGTAGATGTTCTGGGCGACTTGGCCGTGGCGCGGGAACCAGGCGCGGATCTGTTGCGTTGCTTTGCGGAAATTGGGGTTCGGCCATTCGCGTTTTTCCGTCCAGAGGGGGTCGTTGCCGGTTAGGAGGAGGGAGGTGGTGCCGTCGCTTAGCGGTATTCGCTCGGGATGGGGCGCATGGTTCGTGAGGTATGAAAGACCTTTTTCCGTATGGAGGTTGGATTGCGTGATATACCTGTGTGCCCCGTGGGGGAGAGGTCAGAGGCTGTGTCGGGGGAGAGGGCTTCGTATGGGTGTTCTGGGTGGGAGGTGATGTGGGAGAGGAAAGATGAGAAGAAGAACGGGACGACTCACCCAACCACTTCTTCACGGTCATCTTGAGAGAGCGAGACATGGACGACGCTGGTCTGACGTCCGAGCTTGACATCTTTGACATGGAAGCGTACGGGACCCGTCTGTGTCCTGCGGAGGAAATCGAGGTGAAGTGCGAGAGTATGAGGTTGGTTCTGCTTGCGGAGAGTCGTTTCGAAGTGTCGCTTGACAGCCGTCTACAGAGAAATGCAGAAGAAGCGAAGAGGTCAGTCGATATAGATATAGATAGATAGATAGATAGATAGATAGATATCTATCTCTTCTGCATGTTCCTTGCGGCGGCGGCTTCCCCCAAACGAACTTGAAGCGAGAGGTCCCACTCACCAGCAGCGTCGCCGTCACGTATCCACCATGTGGCACTGGTGATCGTCCTCGTCGTTAGCCAACGGTCTTCTTTCTGGGCAACACGATCGGAAGCAGTCGGTCACGAGAAGGGAGAGGGATTGATTGACCCGCCCGAAGACACACCGGAGCCAATGCACCAATCCTCTTGAAAGTCGGCGCTGTAGGTATGCGGATCCAGCTGCTGGACGGCCGTCGCTCGCTGGAAAGCCATCCTTTTATCTTGTATCTTCTTATCATCATCAAGAGACAACGTCCGGGTCAGCCGGCATTCTTCCGTCATCCAGGCGGTTTGGGAATCATCAAGTCCGTACCTACCCGTTCTGTGTACTACCAGGTCTCGTCTATCGCCATTCGTGGGATCACACTAAAGTGTTGAGAAGTCTGTGGCCATGTCCTTGCTTGCTTCGTGGGCATGTGATGAGGTCGCTCGCTTCCCCGATTACTACACACACCATGCCTCGGCATTCGGCTGCTGGTCTGCTCCAACATCTCCAACCTCCACCGCGCATCGTCAATCAATCAATCAATCATCATCCCCGAATCTCCACATGAGGAAATCCGGAGCAGACCCACCCGAACCCACCCACCTGTGCCACCACATTCAAAATGCAACTGACGCCCTTGCATCCGAAGAAATGCCTACATAGCCCCGTCACCTCACATGGGTCGCCACAAAAGTTCATTGGTAGGAAACCACCGGGAACTAACGGACGTCCGCAAACTCTGTACGGTTTGTGCAACCAAACAATAATTTACGTGCGCTCGGTTGATGAATGCGCTCATTCATCATTCAATGTGCACACCGTGATGATACGACATCTCCAAGCTCAATATCTCCAACTCGCGCAAAGGAAGAAGAAGAAGAAGAAGAAGATATTGATCGATCTTTTTCGCATTTTCATGCCCCACCCCAATCGATACACACACACACCCACCCGGCGGCTATGCGCTGCTGGGAACAGGAAGAATTTTTCCTCCACCTCGTCCATTCCATACTGTATGGTACTTGTACTGTACTGTACTGTACTGTACTGTACTGTACTGTACTGTACTGTACTGTACTGTACTGTACTGTACGTACGTATCCAAAGAGTACTTATACCACGGTACGGTACCCCCAACGTACATGTACCCCGCGATGTCCGACAACACAACACGCTGATGCTTTCCAAGTCAGCTGTGTGTGTGTGTGTGTGTGTGTGTGTGTGTGTGTGTGTGTGTGTACGTGTGTACATGACATGACATGACAAGACTTTCTGCTGCAACCGGAAAATTTTATTCCCATGCTTTCCTTTCCTTCCCCCCGTTTCAACCAACCATGCACTGCCCCCTCCGGAACGCCACGCTCTACCAAAAGTTTGAACCCAGATGGGAGAATGTCAAGTCAGCAGGCCTCTCATCTCATGTATCTTGCGCTGAGGCCGGAAAAGGCGTCGGGACTGTGTCTTCCGCTGTTTGCGAAACCTTGAAAGTCTACACTCTGCTGGCTCGCATGGCCGAAGCCTTGGGGTTGGGTTGGACCCTGCACGAATGGATTCATGCTGCCAGTCACACTGGACACCGGCATCGTCGCGCTCCTCTGCGGGACCGCCTGCTGGAGAGGCATGGTCCCGTCTTCCGGTAGGGTCTGCAGTGGCCTCTGCGGCGCCAGCTGAGGGTAACCGTATAGTGCCAAGATTGACGACTTGTCGTGTCTCGAAGGATGTTGTGCTTGCTGTCCGGGCGCCAACTGCTGGCCGAATTGTCCATACTGCGTCTGCTGTTGCTGCGGCTGGATTTGATATTGCTGCTGAGGCATCCCGGTGGGCTGGGTCTGCATAGGCTGCTGCTGTTGTTGTTGTTGTTGTTGCCATGGATTCTGGACGTTACCAGCGGAGTACTGCTGCGTTTGCTGAGCTTCGAATGGGGACTGCTGCTGCTGAGGCTGCTGTGAAGGCTGTTGCGGCGCAGCAGAGAAGAAATCCGGTTGCTGCCCGTAGATCGGCTGAGGAGACGCAGCGAAGGGTTGCTGAGATAACGTCGACGACTGCGTCTGCTGCTGCCAAGGCGCACCGAACGGATTGCCCTGCTGCTGCGGCGCAGGTGCCGCTTGTTGTTGTGGTGCTTGCTGCGCCCACGGATTGGAGGGGGAGAGTGACTGCACTTGAGCAGGCTGCTGCATGAAGGGATTGCTCGACAGGCTGGCCTGTAGGCTGGGCGCCTGCTGGTATTGCTGTCCGTACCCTTGCTGTGGAGTAGGTTGCTGGAAAGGCTGGGGGGCTTGCCAAGGATTCGACGGCTGCTGAATTGTGGTGTTCTGATAGTATGCCTGCTGATTGCTCAAGGTGTGAGGTCCTGACGAGCTTGTTGCCGACACTGACAGGTTCTGGAAGCTGTTCTCCAACGTTTGCTGCGGTGGTGCCGGCTGAGAGGACAGGAACGGGTTCCATGAACTTGACGCAGGTGCCGCGGTTGGAGGGACAGATGACGATCGCGGAGGAGGGACCTTTGTCTCTTCCCGGATATCCCACGGATCCTGCATTCTCTTCTCCATGGAAATGCCGTTGATCCCCGAGCTCTTCATCGACACCGGTGTGAGCGCTCTCGGTGCAGGGGTTACGGTCCGCGTGAGAGGCCTACTGTTCTCGCCAAGTCGTATCAGCTCCTCCACCGTCTTGTCCAAGTTTCCATTCATGCTCTTGAGCATTTCCGCGTTTCGCGAATTGTCGCCGAAGCCCATGTCGCGCAGGTGCGTGAGCTTCGCATTGAAATTGTTGTCCACCGTTGTGATTTTCATGCCAAACAGACGACTCGGCTTGTTGTCTCTCTTCGGGCTCGGGAGGTCTCGCTCTGCAGATCTGTCGCTTCCGGTGTACGCAGGAGACAATGGAGGAGTGAATCGATCGGATTTCTGTCGCGGAAAGGTCGAGCTGGAGGATCGCAACGAGAAGCCAAACTTCTTGGTGGGCTTCGGGGGGAGGTCGGGCGGCTCTTCGCTCCAGGAGCCCATATCGGTGCCAGTGCTGCCCGTGTTCTGTCTGGCAGCAGGTGCATTGCCCTTGGACAGCGTCCGCAGGTCGTACTTCTGTCGGATGTATCGCTCCACGGCACCGTCCACCTCGTCCGCATCCACGGGGATGTCGGGCCTCACATTCTGCGGGTTGTAAATCTTGTTGCTCGCGATGTTTCCCACCTTCTTCATGCCATCCACCTGTTCTGTGCTCCAGCTGTCCATGGACAGCGACTTGACCTTGGACACGTGCGTGCCCAGCTTCCGGTGCAGCGCCGCACAGCGCATACACAGGAAGACGCCGAGATTCCATGATGCCCACCCGGGGTTTTTGGCGGCGCAGTCTGCACAGCGGTCGTTGCCGGGGACGGAGCGAATGAGGTCCTGGAGAGCGCGCTCGTTGCGGGCCTGCTGACGCTTGGTGATGACGCTCGCCATGGCGTGTCTGGAGGGGAGGGGGAGGGATAGTGATACTGGTGACGGAAAGGAGAGCGGGTGCAACAGCGCGATCCCCTTTCTTTCACTCCCACTCTCACGGCAGTCGGCTCGGCGGGGCGGGGCGGGACTCGGAGGGTATGCGGATGAATAGGAATGCTCACATGGGAGCAAGAAGAGGAAACGAGAAGGAGAAGTCGGACGTGGAAGATTTCGTCATGTTTGCAGGCGAACTTCAAGGGCGGTGGAAGGGTGGAGGACTGAGGTTGGAACGAACGACTTAATTTAGCCGTTCCCGCCAGACCAGACACCACCAGCAATGCAATGCAATTCCGAGTTCCCCTTTGAGCTTGCTCCCAGACCAAACGGAACACCACGAAATCCGATGTGCGATGGACTTTCCCATCCATCCTCACTCTGCCCGCTCCGTTTCACATGTCCATCCTCCCATCGCATCGCATCGCATCGCATCGCACTGCCCCGAGACGGGAGTGCTGCTTTGTCTCGAGCATGCCACGGCCCATTCATATTCATCACGCTGCCACCACACCACACACCACACACCACACACCGCACCCTCCTGCTGGCCCAATCAGGCGGGCGCAATCACGGGACATTGGACCAATATCGGTCTGCACCACCAACCATCCCGGAAGATGGAGGAGTCGGGTCGGGGAGCCGCCAGGTCCTGAGCCGCCAGGTCTTGTTGCGATGAAACGTATCGCCCACGATTCCATGCGTCCGCTGCCCTCTGCCCTGTGCTGGCCGTCGACCTTTGCCTCCCACTCGACTTGCTTGCTCGAGTACCGACCAGCGCGCGCGAAGATGTGTGATGGGATGGTCAGTCGCGACCGTTTGCATAGGGCGCCTGTGACGTAAAGCTTATAGCCGATCTCACCTAAGGTACGTACCTCCTGACTCCTATACCGTATTGTATCCATGCGAGAAGAACATAGGAGGAATGTGCAAGCACTCTCATCATCGATCCTGGCTTGGGAAATTTTGGCTCGTCGACGACTGGACGTATGCAAAACCGTCTTGTGGTCCTCTGTGCTCTGATCCCGTCGGCAGTTGAGTTGCACTAGCCAGTTGCGAGCGAGGATGCCACCCACACTGATCCTCATCCGGCATGCGGCAGCCTTGCACAATGCAACAGATATGTCTAGTCTTTCCACACGCTCTGTTTGCACGGTGTTGACTGACATGGACCACGCAACTATGATCTGCACGATCCCCCTCTAACAGATGGTGGAATCCAACAATGCGAAGACCTCCAACGACATCTCAAAGCAGCATGTCCGCTTGCTTCACGCGTCGAGAGGATCATCACCAGTCCGATGCGGAGGACTTGTCAGACCACCCTGCTCAGCCTACAATGGTTGATCAAAAGCAACGTCCCCGTAGAAGTGGACGCCATGTGGCAAGGTAGGTCCATCCACCAACTACGCCTTGAAGCACATCCATCTACAATCCTACTAACCTCCACCAGAAAACTCCACCCAACCCTGCGACACCGGCAGCCCCCTCCCCACCCTTCAAAAGGAATTCCCCTCGCTCGACTTCACATCCGTAGACCCTACCTTCCCCAGCAAATCCCCCCCGTACTACGCCTTCACGCCCGCGGCCAACAAGACGCGCGGAGCAGCGTGTCTCCAGGACCTGTACTCGCGGCCGGAAAAGGTCATCGCGGTCGTCAGCCATTCCGGGTTCCTGAGGACGGGCATCGCGCGACGGCGGTTCGCGAATGCGGATTATCGCATCTTCACGTTTGGCGGGCTGGAATTGTTCGAGGATGAGGGGACGGAGCGGAAGGGTGGGGGGTTGGGGAGGAGTCAGAGGGGGATTTTTGAGGTCAGGGAGGGGGATTTTCCGCGCGAGGAGGAGGAGGAGGATGATGATGATGCAGAGTAAGTGGTGATGATGATGATGCTGATGCTGGAAACGATGGAAGTTGAAGAAGAAGTTGAAAAGTTGATTTTCCCTTTCCCACAGACCAGAAGAACCCGAACATCCCAACGAAGAGCCCCTACTAGCCGCCGCGGCGGAATCCTGGCTCTCGCCACTCTGGTCCCTGCTCGCGATTTTCGGTGGTGGCGGCGGTGGTGGTGGTGGCGGTGGCGGTCGGGGGTGAATGATCGGAAGGAGGGAGCACAGCATAGACAAGACAAGGAGAGTGGGAATTATTGGGAATTACGAAAGCGCGCACTACCTATATTAGATAGATAGATGGGATCGATGAGATGAAGGGAATGAATGGGAAAGAAGTGCATTGCATTGCATCTGTGTATCGATGGGATGGGATGGATGGATTCATTCAATCGACCTCGCATGTTTGTTACCTAATGTCTCAGATTGATCAATTAAGAAGAAGAAGAAGAAGAAGAAGAAGAAGAAGAAGATCCAGAACCTGTTTCTGTTCTGCTCCCCCGATTTAGGTTGGCCGCGCGTCACTCGAGCGCTTTTTTGGCTGGCTGCTTACCTTACCTTTATTCATCCATGGCGGCAAGCAAAGTAGTATTTCCCCCGGAGCATGTGATGATAACGACCTAAGAGAAGCAAGCAAGCAATTCGGCGACTTGGGGGGGGGGGGGGGGAAATGCGGGTGTTGCAATGAAGCAGAGAGAAGGTGAAAGGTTTTTTTTTGTTTCCAAATTCATAGATACATCGATGGGTTGCTATCTTGCTATCTCCCTTTTTTTTTCTTCCCTTTTTTTTTGTTATATATCTATCTGATAGTAGTACTAGTAGTCTATACACACCGATTAGGATTATCCTTCTTTTGAGCTTTTTTTTTCGCGGGAACGGTGATTTCCCATGCAGATGGTTCGAAGCTCTGTTCCATTTCCTTTCCATTCTTCGTGCCATGCTATTCCATACTATGCCATTCTTCGTGTGTCGTTCTTTGTTTGTCTGATTTCTGTTCTTGATGATCGATGATAATGATAATGGGGGTGATAGTGAGGGTGGTGGTGGTGATGAGAAGGGTGGTGATGGTGATAATGGTAGGTGGTGGTGATGATAATTGATGATAATGATGTTGGGGGTGATATGCAATCAGGGGTATACAAAAGATGCGTATGACTTTATCCCCTTAAGTCAGATGCGCCGCCAGTTGAAAACGCCGTGTTCATGATATTGGTGGGTGTGTACGACTCAACCCGCTCGCGTGGTAGTTTCGCCATGTTATTAGGGAAGAATTGATTCGTCGCTCATGCGATGCGATGCGATGCGATGCGATGCGATGCGATGCGATGCGATGCGATGCGATGCGATGCGATGCGATGCGTGTGGTTTTTAGAAAGCCTGTGGAAGACAACATGTTAGATAGGAAGATTTATAGACGGGATGTGGAGGGTTGGCTCTTACCATGGCGATACCGCCGACGACGAGGAGACCCATTGCGCCGGTGGAGAGTTGGCTGGCGCCACCGGTGCTTGGGACGAAGCTGGTGCTGGGGGACGAGGAGGAGCTTGGGGAGCCAGTGCCGCTGGGGGTAATGCTGCCGGTGCTGTTGGTAGCTGGGGTGACGCCGGTGCCGTTGGTGTAGGTGGGTGCGACCTGCGGGATGGCGGTGGCCGAGGCGGCGAGCGCGAGGGCAGTGGCGACGATGCTGGTGAACTGCATTTTGTCTGATGTGGTGGTGGTGGTGGTGGTGGTGGCGATTGTAGTGGTGGTAGAGTTGATTGATCGATGGATGGTCTTGTTGTTAAGATTACTCGATAGGATGATGGAGGGAGGAGGAAGTGTCGAGGTGGATTATGTGATGTTCAAGTAGAGATGCTGGAGCGTTGGAATGTATGCAAACAGTAACGGTGCAGAGGGACTGGAATGCATTTCTATTATACCCTTTGTTGTGGTGTATGCGTACGTTGCTCGGGGAGGCTGTAGCCCTACGACCAGCCAGCATGGCCACGCAAGCCGTGTTTCACCCCGGCCGCGGCGAGTCGGAGGACGCAGAAGGCAGAAGGCAGAAGGCAGAAGGCAAGAAGATGGCAGAAGGGTGTGGCTGGGCTTGCCACCATGATTTTCTTCTTTCCCCGCCGAGTGTTGCGTGTTCTCGCTCTAACTAAGGTAGTAATAATAGGTGTGTATGGTGTATGTACTGAGGTGTCGGCGAAGAGGCGAGAAGTGTGCGGCTTAGCTGACGTTATTTTGGTCGTCGCCACGGCCCACGCCAGCGGCCGGGACGTTTCCGGCCCGAAACCTTGCTTCGGAAAATCCCTTCACACTTGCTTCGAAAAGAAAGGGGCTGGATCGCGTCACACGACACTGACACTGACATGCACATCAACCTCCCTCACGGTGCAACATCTGCCTCCCATCTCTCACAGATTGAATACTCTATTTTACTTCCTGTCTTGCCTGTCCAGCCCAACAGAGATGAATCAATTGATCAACAGAGATTGATGTGACCGGGGGTGATTATCTGGTGAAGATGAACACAGCATCCTGTGCTCTGCTCGCTGCTGCACACTGCTGTCGACTCCTGCCGGCTCTGCTCCCCCGCCGCCACGCCAGGGAGGGGAGAATACAACCCGTCACATGCGACGGATGTGGAGTGACGCGCTGCGCTCAACACTCACGCTGTGACTGATGATGAACACTCACCCTGTGACTCGGCACAACCATCACAACCATCGTCGTCATGTCGGCTCTCTGCACATCGGAAACCATTCACACGGACCTGGCCGTAGCAACCAGCCCATCGATTCTGCCTCTGCTGACTACAGTACTACCCACCTTGCCACCCCTCGAAGCAGAACCACACAAACAGGTTGGAAGCCCACCTTCCCACGTTGTGCCTTGCCTGCTCTACGAGACGAGCTTGTCACCGGAAGGGCTTGTCAGCATACCTGTACCCGCTCCGACCCTGTCAAAAGTCTATCACCTATCGTCCGGGTAACACTGCAGCATCGACTCGGATCGACTATAGGTCCACGCCAACGCCTCTATATATCGACGTTCCCCTCCATCGGAAACGCATCGTGTTCTAACCGGAATATGGTAACTGCATGTTGCGTCCCCGGGATCAGGAGAGCAGCACAGGCGGAAACTTGCATGACGAAGAACGCATCGCATTTGCTGCACTACATTTACCTCGCACTTTCCCATTGACTTTCTGACATCCAGCCTCTCTGACTCTTCTTCTCTCTCTCTGTCTCCCTCACCCCCTTTCTCCAGCACACGGTCCGGTCTGTCCTTTGGACTTTATCCTCCTGCACGACTTGACAGCTTCCGCCAAGCCCTCTTATTCAACCCTCGACACGACCGAAACTCACCTGAAACTCGCCCGCCGACATGAGGAACAGCGACGTCGAGGCATTCCGCCGTGCTCATGAGGCTCGGTCTCAGTGCAAATCACCCCGCGAGTCCAACCCCTCCTTGGAAAGCGTTCCAGAGTCATCAGTCACCCCCGACCCACCTTCATCCGGCAAGAAATGGTGGAAGCGTTCAAGCAAGAAGGCTTTCGTCAACCCATTCAAGGAGCTCCGGAAGTCGGTGGACTTCTCGCCTCACATTTGCGAAATGGACCATCGATACTGCACTCGTCATCACCACTACTGAGCACGAGCGACATGTCGACTGGTGATACGACCCTGATCACCCCTGATGATCGCCTCTGATGATCACCTCTTCCTCCGATATCTCGCATATTGACGTCCACGGCCTCTCGCTCAACGACCCTGTTGCTGCACACAATCCACCACAAGACGCCAAACGTTCCCGTTCATTGCGCTGTTGCTCTCACGAGACCCGTCTTTAAGCTGAACGCAACCTAATGGTCATCGATTTCACTCGCTGCGCACCTCATCTCTCGCTGCAATAGCCAAGATTGCCCTGCCGTCGACATACCTCGACTCCCGACCACAATGGCCAAATCACCCATCCCTTCAAGAGACGCACACCCAACCCACACCATCGTCGTCTCCGCAATCCTCCATCGTCGCCTCGGCCCAGACGATCCGTTCTGGGAAAGCACCATCGACCCCAACTCCTCCGCCATCCCAGGTCCACCACCACTGCAGCCCAAACCTCTCCAATGGCCACAGTACCTCGCTCGGAGGGGGCCCATGTATACTGGTGGGCCAAACCTCCCTACCGCTTTCGAAGAACCTGATCTTGCGCATATCACTGCCAATCGGCAAATCAAAGACGCTCCTGGAGCTAAGGGTATGGTGGAAAATCGGTGGCGATGGAAGGAAGATGGCCCATGCATGTATGGGAGGAGGAGAGCGGATCTCGATTGTCAGTCAGACTAGACTGTCGATTGCTTGATTGATTGATTGATTGATTGATTGATTGATTGATTGATTGATTGATTGATTGATTGATGGGCATGCAGTTGAGTGAGTAAGACTGGTGCCTAGTACTTACTACTAGTTCGTAGTTACGATCCGGAACGCGGTAACTCCGGAACGCGGTAACTCCGGAACGCGGTAACTTGTAATGTAAATGTAAATGTAAATGTAATGTAAAGATCATGAAGATGAGGATAATGATAATAATGATGATGAGATTGGTACGATACGATACGAGGAATGCTCCAAAGGAAATCTTCCATGGAAATTTTACCTGCCTTGCCTGCAATGTGCGTGCGTGCATGCATGCAGCCAGCCAGCCAGCCAGCCAGCCGGCCGGTAATTGCCCTGCCATCCATACGATAGAACATTCATCATCATAGCTGGAGTGTTGCTGTTTTCCCGGCTTCTCCCTTTTTCCCACTCCTATTATTCTCGTCTTCTTCGTTCAGAACAAATTAGAAGAAACCGTAGGGAGATTTGGCATATATCTAGAATCATGCTATGCTACATATGATATGATATGATATGATATGATATAGCGCCTCAACACCATCGCTGAAAACTTCCAATCAAAGAAAAAAAAAGAAAAAAAAAAACACCACCACCACCACCACCAACCTACCCATCTCTATCCATCCATCCAGAACAATCATACAATCAGAACCGCCCATCCATCCATCCATCCATCCACCCATCCACCCATCCACCCATCCACCCACCAATCCACCCAAGATCCATCCCCATAAAATCTAAAATCTAAAGTCTCACCCCCCTCACAACCAACCACAGCGCAACGGGAACCACAACGTTATCATTCGCCCCCGTAAGAACAGCCTCGAGGAAACTGGCCACACACGCACAAACCGCGGCCTTGCCCAAAACAACAACACTCCACCCCCAACCCCAAAACGCCACCACCCCTGTGATCCTGTCGCTGTTATTGTTGCTGTTGTTGTTATTCCAACAACCCAAACCTTCCCACCCTTTAGCCGCGAGCAAGCCCACCGTGACGGCGAGCGCAAAAGCCGCACTCCCTTCCAGACTCTTGCCGCCCACCCAGAGCCATTTCCGGCGCCCGTAGCGGCGCCCGATGAGCGAGGCCGCCGCGTCGCCCATGCCGACGCAGATGACGCCGGCCACCATGGCGATTTCCCGCTCGTTGCCGGCCAATTCCCATTCGCCCCAGGGGGAATCGCCGGCGGTGCGAGGCATGCTGGCCAGGGAGAACCAGAGCGGGACGGCGCAGCCGATGAGCAGGAAGACGTGGCTGACGACGACGGGGCCTCGCAGGTCCCTTCCGTCGACGTAGGGGGCGACGAAGCGGCCGATCGCGTTTCCCAGGGGTGGGACCTGTCCTGCGCGGATGACCTCGAGGAGGAGGAAGATGGCGAGAACGAGGGAGAGGGCGAGGGAGCAGTAGCAAGGGTCGATGAAGACGGTGGGCACAAACATGGCGACCATAACGCCATGGAACACTTTCCGGCGGGTATCCACTTCCACGAAAGCCGTGAGGGAGAACACCGCCAGGAGACCCGCGATCAGGACTGCAATCCAGTATACGATGAGGAGAAGGCGGGTATTCGATCGTCCAATTTCGTTTCGTAGTACGTCCATGTCGACTGGCAGGGTCGCGGTAAGGTTGCTCCAGTCCGGGAGAGGTGGCAGAGGGACCCATTTCTTGAGAAGATCCGATTGTAGCACCAGTCCTCGCGCCCAGGGAATCTGTCCCAGTAGATAACCAGCAGCCCATCCAACGGGGTTCTGCCGACGCAGAAACGCCCGGTCCGAAACATACCATTGCACGGGACCGATGATGATATTCCAGATCATGAGATACGTAAAGCTCGCATAGTACCACTTCCTCTTCAGCGCTTGCTCCGGCGTGAGTTGCAAACACCAAAGCAGGCTCGAATTTTTCGTCTTGCGTCTGTTGCTAGCAGGCCGTTGAGATTTTGGTTCTTCCCGCGATTCCAGCCCGGGGACCGTATTGCGTCTCCTCCTCGGACTCGGAGGGACATTCACAGTCGAGACGACTCTCTGAGTAGAGACCGTAGCGCTGCGTTCGAGAGCAGTGCGCGGTCCAGATCCATTCAAATTCAGACCCGCCATATTAAGCTTCGGCATCCCGTTCGCAGATTTAGCAGACTTATGCTTGATCGACCTGCTCGGCAGATCCTCATCCGCATCGCTCTCCACTCCCCCAGAAGAAGTGAAAGCACCAGCAGCTCTCTGCAGACTGATGAGATCCGAGACCGCGTCGACGAGCGACTTACGCTCCTCAGCAGTATGTCCTGGCCGTCTCAGTTTCCATCTCGGGATCCTCGCTAATTGGACATTCCAATGTAGCACCGGGCCACAGATTACGAAGAGCGAGACGCCTCCAACCCAGAGACACGCTTTGAGGATTACGGCCTGAGGGGATTCCGCAAGCAGTAGCAAGTTGATCAGCGCGGCGGAGAGTAGATGCAGCTCCGAAATCAACAAGCTCGTCGTGGTCAAATAGTGCAGCGGCACCATTAACGCGTGATGGAGCGGGTAGAGGCTCACCAAGGTCTCCGGCGACAACCCTTGCGGCGCTTTCAGAAAATACGGTATTGCGGGATGCAGCTTACTCGGCCAAGCCGTATTCTCCGCCACGATCAAGGGGAGAATCGAAACGAGCCAATGAACCGTATTGATCTGGCCCAAGCGACTCGACCTGGGGAACAATCTCTGCGGCAGACTCGCCAGTCCCAGGATCAAATTCGGTAAGATGACCGCCGGATTCGCCGGCGCCACGGAGAGAGCGACCAGCACTGGCAGTAGGGGAGGATAGAGAACCGTAGCCGGATCAAACGAAGCGGGAACTCTGAACCTCTGCGAGAGTTTCGTATGGGGCGCCTGCGTGTCCACAATCGACAGCTTGATGGGATAAGCCAGGACCAGCAAGGCAATCGTCCCAAAATGACACAGCAGTTCTCGCTTCCAGAACCACGCCGTCTGTCCGACTCCCTTCCCGCAGAGCACAATGACCAGTATCAACCCCATGAGAGCAACCTCGCTCGTCCTCCTGACAAACTCGCCATACCGCCTCCTCCTGACTTCTTCCCTCTCTTGCCTCTGCTCGTCCTCTTCCTCGTCCTCTTTCTCAAACTCAAAATACCCCTGCACCTTCCTCTCCTTCTCGTCCAACTGACTAGGCGTCAACAACACCTCCTCCCTCTCCTCCCCCGTCTTCAACCCCTTCCGCGGCCGCGCGGAGGAAGGCGGCAAGGCTTTCACGAAAGAATGCGCATAGGGTCGTTCGTCGTCCGCTTCCGTCCCGCTCTGACTACTGCTCTTTTCCTCCTCGCTTTCTCCACCACTGCTACTACCACCGGCCTCCTTCTCTTCCCCTTCCCCTTTATCTTCGCCTCTCTCCCCCTCATGCGAATACAGATACGGTCTCGGCGTCCGCGTGAATTCCCGCCTCAAACCCTCCAGCTCATTCCCGTGGGCGAAGGAGGAGGAGGCATACTCGATCACATCAGCCTGACCTTCCGTCGTCGCGGCCATGAAGGATCCTTATGTACGGTTGTCGTTTGCAAGTCTCATACTTCTTCCATCCGGCAGTATTGTGAGAAGAGAAGGCACCATGGTGTTGTGGTCGTTTTGATGTTTGTAGTGGTTGTTGGGACGCGTCTTCGGATGCATGTGAGTGAAAGTGACCGCGGAAAGAGGTTGAGCTGCAGACGTCAGCTGTCCCTTCCGCGGCGGCACGCAACATCTCCACCGACATCAGCCTGTTCAGCTACTGTACATCACGACATGGCCGGTTTGCGTCGTCAAAAACAACCAGAAATCAAGCGGTGACGAAACATACGCATCACACTCAGCCACTCCGGAATCTTTCATCCCGGTCTCGTCTGATTGTACGGCATGGATCGAGCGAACTCTATGGACAGCCGTGGTTGGCCTCAGGCATCAATCAATCATCCGATCCACACTGGATCGCTTTTTTTTGTATACCACATGCTGCTATCTATGCACACATTTCCATGCTATGCGTTCCGTAACTACAAATACTTGCTCTGCTTCAGCCACTCCTCGACGTCCTTGGCATCTCTCTGCAGCCATCCGATCTTAGCGCGAATGGCATCCCGGCTCTGCGCCAAATTCCGATCAAAGCCCTTGGTGCTCTTGTCCGCGAAGAATTTCTCCACGTCGTCCAGTTGCTCTTGCTTCGTGAAGCCCGAAGTTGCCATCGAGACAACGCTGCCGAGAAGTGTGAAGGAAGGTGGCATCTTCTCCCTGAGCAGATCCCAGTTCTCCTTCATCCACGCCCAGAAGGCTTCGGTACCCTCGCGGTGGGCGCGTAGACCAGCAAGTGGCAGGTAGATGTCCTGTTCCTTGACGTTCTTGCTGAGAGAGTAGTTGAGCGAGCGCTGGATGAGCTCGGGCTGCCTGGCACGGCCGAGGGAGCGCAGAGCGGTGTTGCGCTCGTCGCTTCTCTTCCCCGTCTCGTACTCCTTGACGAGAGCGTTGTATTCCTTCTCACCACCGTACGTGAGCACTACAGCGTAGACGCTGGCGCGCAAGTTGGGATGCAGTGCTGCTCTGTCGCCAGCTACGAACTTGTCAAACATGTCAAAGGCAGCAGCCTTGGCCTTCTCATCGCCCGACGCAGCCGCGGAGCCGAAGAGAAGAGCCTTGAATTGCTGCTCAATGTGTCCATCGCTGTCCTTGAACGTCCAGCCAAGTTCATGCGACTTCTTGCTGGTGAGTTCGCGCTGGAAGGCCTTGAGCGCATCTCGCGTTTTCTGGTCCTCGAAGATCCAGGCTGAGCGCACAGCACCGACTCTAGCGGTGATCTCATCCCAGACAACAAAGTCAGACTCGGTGTCGAAGCTCTTCAGCAAGGACAGGAGCCCGGAAGTCTTCTGGTACCCGGCCGCTGACAAGGCACCAGCATCCGCAATCATACCAGCACGGTCCTCAACGCTCAAGAGACCTTCCTTGGCATTCTGACCCAGCTTCTGTAGACGTTCTGGGGAGTACGAAGTGCGATAGATACCAGAGTGGTCGGCATTCAACTTGTAGAAGTCAAGATCCGGCACTTTGAAGTCAGCCTCTCGCTGATTTAGGGTAAGCTCCTCGTCGATCCCCTTCTTGGTTCGCAAGCCAAGGAAGACAGGGTAGAGGGTGTGATCCTCGTCAGGCTTGACGTCTGCTGTTCTAAGGAAGCGGTTCTGCTTGACGTGGATCGAGCTCTTGGCAGCATCTTCGGTGACGGTGACGACGGGGAAACCAACATTCTTGGTCCAAATGTCGGCCACGCGCTCCACGTCTTTGCCGCTGGCGTCGCTCAAAGCAGCCCAAAGATCGCCGGTCTGAGTATTTCCGTACGCGTGCTTCTTGAGGTAGCGACGGATGCCCTCCATGAAGGTCTCTTCACCGAGATACTTGGAAATCATGCGCAGCACGCAAGAACCCTTGGAGTATGAGATTGCATCGAAGATCTGGTTGATTTCATCCGCACGCTTGACGGGTACCTCGATTGGGTGCGAGCTTCGGAGGGAGTCGAGACCAAGCGCAGACTGAAGATTATCCGTGACGTAGCCTTCCCATACCTTCCACTCTGGATAGAAGACATTGCAGCTGTACCAAGACATCCAGGTAGCGAATCCCTCGTTCAGCCACAGGCCATCCCAGAAGTCCATGGTCACCAGGTTGCCAAACCATTGATGTGCGAGCTCGTGCTGAACGACCTCAGCGACTCGCTGCTTCGTCGAGGCGGAAACGTTCTTTTCATCCAGCAGTACATCGACAACACGGTAGGTTACCAGACCCCAGTTCTCCATAGCCCCAGCCGAGAAATCGGGGATAGCGACCATGTCCATCTTTGGCAGAGGGAACTCGCTGGCGAACTGCTTCTCGTAAAACTCCAGGGTGCGGGCACCGAGATCAGCGGAGAACTTGCCGTGGTCAATGTCCTTGTCTGGTGTACAGAAGACTCGGACGGGAATGCGGAAACTGTTGTTCTCGTGCACTTGAAGCTCTCCAACGATGAAGGCAAGAAGATAGGTCGACATGAGAGGTGTCTTATTGAAGGTCACTGCCTTGCGCTTGCCTCCCGTCTGAGCCGAGTCGACCTGCTTCTCGCCCGCCACGTCCATGTTGCTCAGGCAGGTCATCTTGTCGTCGGCGATCAACGTCACGGTGAAGGTGGCCTTCAGAGCCGGCTCGTCGAAACACGGGAACGCTCGCCGGCAGTCTGTCGGCTCCATCTGGGTGGTTGCGATATAGGCATCCTCTCCACTCTCGGTCTTGTACGATGAGCGGTAGAAACCAGCCATGTTGTCATTGAGTGTTCCCACAAACTTCTGCACCAGCTTCGCCTTGGAGCCAGCGGGTATGGTCTGGTCGAAATGGACCTTGGTGGTCTGTGTGTCCTCATCGTGAGTGAGCTTGGGCGAGGAAGCGATCACGGTGTCTCCCGAGACGACCTTGGTGTCCGTGATGTCGAGCTCCAATGCATTGAGCGATATCGACTTTGTATCCTCGACAACATCCAGATCCATCTCGACCGTTCCATCGTACTTGAAGGTAGTGAAGTTGGGCTCGAGTGTAAGATTGTAGTGAAGCGGCCTGACGTTCTTTGGCAAGACTTCTCTTCCCTTTGAGATATCCACGCTGGCATCCGCCGTGTCGGCCTCGCGGTGGTGTCTGCACATGGCTGCTCTTCTATGCGAGCAATGCCGCTTTGAAGCTGGTAGCTGGCGGGTGATGCCAGGCAAAGGCGTAGTTCTCGTGGTGGACGATGTGAGGGCGGCGGTCGCGAAGGAGCGATGTGTATGTGTCGAGTTCAGGCAGCGGTGGTGTTGTTTGTTTGGTGCAGTTGCGTGCGGCAAGATGAATGCGGGTCTCTGTGTCGCAGTGTGGAAGCTGCTGCTGCTGGTGCTGGTGCTGCTCGTGCTTCTGTTGGAGGGGCCGGCCGAGACCGATGTCGCGCTGGTGAATCGTGACCGCGACGGCGAAGTGAGGCTGCGAGCAACAACAGCGTTGACGCCGGTCCGCCCAAACGAAGTTCGTTTCATCAAGAGCAACACTCCGGTATTCTTCACCCCTCCGACTCCAACTCGCTGCAACAATACACACTCCAGGCGCAAGACTTTCCGCGTCGGCGAGATCGTGGTTGGCGCGCTGCACTAGAAGCCCACGACTTCACTCGATGGAGCTGGTCCGCGCGTGATCCCGACCCTCACTGCGGATTTTCCTTCCCTCCAATTCCTTCCTCTCCTCTCAACACGAACCAGTGCGAGTACCCACGACGACGACCAAATGACGGGTTTTCAGCACTACATTCAGTGTCCAGCGAGCACGGAGAGCCTAGCGGTCCAGAGCCTTGTGGTAGAATTCGACGCCTAGAGAACCCGCGCCCAGAGGATGCAGCACCTCCAGTGTCAGACGACTTTCACGTCCAGGTCCAGAGCACTATTCTGCATCCACAGAAGCCGCTTCGGAAAGAACCAGAAACCAAGCCATCATCACCTCGACAGCCACCTCACGTGAGCTCTCCATGGCCCAGAGCCACCTACCTTATTAGTACCGCAAGATCAGTCCTCTCAGCAAGACCTTCCACCCGCGAGCTTGCTGGAGTTTTCGACGTTGAACCGTCACCCCTTGCAAGACCAAAATATCTCCATCCACGTTGTTTGAGGTGCTCATGACTCTTTCCTTCTGGATGGGCTACCATAGTTTCAGTGGAACAAAAAAAAACAAACGTCTCTCTCTCATCGTGGGACTTTTGCCGCCTTGTGGCCTCAGGCACTTCATTCACCCTTTTCGCTGTTATTGACCAATATCTCTCCATATACAAATGCAAAGTTCTTGCCATTCGCCCTGCACTGCAGTCTCATGCTGCTTCCCAGGAAATCGACCAAGCAGCGCGGGGGGGATAGGCTTCAGCAACTCCTTGCGGGAGAGGCATGCGTAGCTCATTGGCATGTTTCTGCAGACTACGCTACAGCCTACTCTCACATCCTGTAGACCTTCCACTCGACGACTGCTACCGCTGATTCTGCGTTGTCTGACTCGTCGTCACCCTGGGTTTTGCTCTAGACATGCAACCTCCTCCTCTCATGCCAGGAAATTTCATGCCCGAGCGGTGGTGGCTAGAGAAGAAGTTGTATAACTTTAAGAGGTGGAAGATAGGGGAATTTTGGAGCTTTGCGTAATTCTAGAACCACGATGATGGAGAGTCTGCTCAAGTAGTATAGATAAACCCCGGCCTGCAAGACGAGGTCAGTAAACCGATCAACAAGTAGGTACAGGTAGCGCAGAAAACAAGGCAGACGTACACTCTATCGCCCAAGATGCGGATTTCTTCCTCAGTCTTCCCTTCTGTCAAGTGATTCCTCTTCCCAGCTCTTCTCCGTCGATTCTCCCACTCGAGCATGAAATGCGTGAACAGGCTGCCACCCAGGAGGAAGAGCGACAGATAGCCCAAAACCACGGCATGCCCGTATGTGTAATCGGGTCCCGCAGACGTCGGGTAGAGGTTGGAACTGACGACGCCGTTGAGATTGCCCCATCCGATGACGAAACCCAGTGTCGCGCCGCGCTTGTAGACTCCCTCGACGTTGTTGGCGGCCCAGGAGATGGTATTCGCAATGCAGGGATCTGTGGAAAAAAGAAAGAAATTCTAGTGAGCGGCAAGTGGTTGCCAGGCCAGGGATGTGGAATGAGATTGGAATGCGAGCGCAGGCTACCGACTTACAGATTCCGAGCGCACCCAGGAAGATGCCGCCGTATTTGACCTGCGGATCGCTGGAGCCCAATAACATGGCGAAGCCGGCGATCCCAAGGAAAGAGACTCCGATGTTGCACCAGCCACGAGCCCGTGTTCGATCGGCGAGATACCCGATGGCGATGGTGAGGATTGCCGCTGCGGCGTAAGGCGGCACAGAGAGCAGGTTCGACGTGGTGCTCGTGTAATCGGGGTTCATGGCTTTGATGATGGTGGGCGTGAACAGACTGAAAGCATAGAGCGGTCCGTCACAGCCCATGTATACCACCGCAAAAGCCCACGTCTTCCAGTCCTTGACTGACTCCCAGAAGTAGGCCATCTTGAAGGCTTCATGCTCGGCACTGGCTTGCGCGTCTGTCCTCAGGCGGCGAAGCACCCGCTTGCGGTCGTCTGGAGAGAGAAACCTCGCCTCGTCGGGAAAGTCGTGAACCATCCAGTAGCTGATAACACCGATGACGACGGTAGCGAGACCTTCGAGGATGAAGATCCATGCCCATCCATGCTTGCCGCCAATGCCGTCCATGAGGGCGATTGCGGCCGCAAGGAGTCCACCGAAGGATCCCGCAAGCGCAGCAGCGGAAAAGAATACGGCCGCGCGGATGCCAAACTCACTCCGTCTGTACCAGCAGGACAAATAATAATTGACGCCCGGAAAGAGACCCGCCTCCGCCATGCCGAGGAAGAAACGCGCGGCGGCCAGGCCAGAGAAGTTGTGAACCAAGCCCATGCAGGTCATACAGATGCCCCAGAGCACCATGATGATAGGGATGAAGACGGACGGACGGAGACGCTTCAGGAGAATGTTCGTCAGCGGTTCGAAGGCAGCATATGAGACGAAGAATAGGGATAGAGCCGCCTGGTACTGGCCGCTCGTCATGTGGAGGTCATCGATCAGGCCGTCAATCTTTGCGTTGCCAATGTTCGTCCGGTCCAAGAAGCTGGCGAGGTACAGCAATGTCAGCCATGGGATCAGCTTCAAGTCCAAATTCCAGAGCAGTTTGCGGTCAATTTCGGCTCTTTCTTCTTCGCTTCTGCCCTCGTCGGGGTCGTCGAGGGCGGCTAGACGCAGGTCATCAGTCTTGGTCGCGGTCTCAATCCCCTTCTCCTCGTCTCCCGGACGAGGAGCACCGCCGCTGCTGTGTTTCTCCATGATGCAGAAGTCTCGATGATAAGGACGTTTGGGACAAAAAAGACGAGAAGAATGTGGCGAGGAGCGAGGACGCGATTAACACACTACAGCGTGCTGTCCATCGCTTCACTACCTCAGCTTCATCGTGCTCGTGATACCCACCATCTCAGCAACAACTCGGCTGCATGCAGTGCGATCTGCACAACCCTGTGCTGGGTGACAATGTGCACTGCAGCCGGCGTGCATGTTGAAGTCCGCCGAAGGAATCGAAGCGCAGGGGGGTCGCCAGAGGTTACAAATCCGCAATAACGTTTTGCCGGTGTTCAGCTATGAGCTGCGACTCACTTCACCACCATAACATCACAGGTTGCGTGTAGGAGTGAGCTGGCTGGGTAGCTGAGCGATGTGAACTTTCAATGTTGACTTCGAAGTAGCCTAGTAGCGCGAAATTAGCGCGCTAGAAAAGCTTACGAGTGTAGGGGAACGACGGTTTTCCTGCTTGACGCTAGGAGTGTAAGCTATTGATTCGAGTCATGTAAAACAGTTAAATGGTTTCTGTGGACAGGTAGTCAAGACGATGGCGAAGCAGGTCGTATAACGAGCGAAGTCGCAAAGACTTCCATAAGCCCACTAGACAGATATCTTCTCGATCCAAAGCTACCCTCCTCTTGCGCACCTCGTAATTTTCCTACCACTTCTGGGTCGCATAAAGCTCGTAGATATTGTCATCAAACACAAGCACATTCCCTTCCTCTCCGCTAGTACTCTCCAACTGCACAATCTCCACGCGCTGCAAGTTCGCAAAAGACGAATCGAAAGTCGCCAGGACAGGTTGCGCGACGAGCTGCGTTGCCTTGGGATTGAAACTGAACTGCTTGATGGCGACATAGCTCGCATCAGACGCCTTTCTGTAGCCCTTGACGTCGAAAATGCATTGCTGCGGGAGTCCTTCGGCGCCTTCGACGGTGTTGACGGAGCAGCCGTAGTAGAAAGCGAGCTGGTCGAAGGTCGAGGCGGAGGAAGCGACGCTCCAGCCGGCGTTGGCGCCTGTGAGAGAGGTCTGTCCGAAGCCGGAGACGATGTTGTTGGGTTTGGACTCCGGGGCGATGCCTGTGAGTTCGGCTTGGCCGCCGACTCCGACTTGGTTGACCGCCCAGCCGGTGTAGTTCAGACCCCTGTATGTTGTGAGGGTGTTGGCGGCTGGGACGGCGGGGACGACGGTGATGTCGTCGTACTGTGAGACAAGATTGTCAGTCATCGCCCCTGCTTGTTCTGAGGGGCGGGGGTTGGCAACATACGTTGGCATCAATGTATTGTCCCTTTGGCTGAGAACTCTTGCTTGGAGCCGTCGAAGCCAAGATGGCGAAGACTGGGAGAGCGATGATCGAGGACAGCATTCTTGCGAGTAGTGCCCGGCTTTCGATAAAATGGATGTGGTTTTCCTCGCCAGACGTGGCCAGGGGGGAAATGTATCGATTTTATGGTCCCATCTGTAATATTGAGCACGTACGTGGCCTGGTCCCGTTGAATCGATCAACTTGACAGCTGCCATATGGAGAGGCGAGAGAACGGTCTCTGGGTGTTCTTGCAAGTCCAATGCGCTCGGAGGCCAGCCGACTGGGCTCTGCAATAGCCCAGAATGGCCTAACGCTAGAACGTGAGCGGGAAAAGGCGTTTGTACAGCTCATGCATACAGTGTGCAGTACGCTTGTGGGCAGTCTCCAGCTAGTGGGCATCGTTCTTCCCGGAGCGCGAATCGGTCGCCTTCCCATTGGCACGATACACGAAAGGCTCCATCGATTTGGCACGGGTTGCTCATCTATACCGAGAAGAGAAGCCACACTTGGACAACATGCGCTCGAGCGTAGCGCCGCGTTGCAGGCGGCGTGGCGATGTACCTGTACACTTCGGCCACTGCCGATGGCCCGGGGCAGTGGCCTAAGCCTACAATGTTGAACAAATTCCTGGCTTCTCCATTGCACTCAAGGCTGCCACGGCAACCGCGTAGGCTGTAATACAGACGCAAACTTGCACAAATTCAATGGTCATAAATACAATCGTCCACTTGGTCCGCGGGAGGTATGCTTTGATATTGGCTGGGCTGCATCCTGTACGAAGATTCCGCTTAGCGGAAACAGATAAAGGCGCGGTAATCTTTATTTCGACTTCTTCGAGGAATCCGTTGGCCTTATAGTAACGTGACGGGTCCGCTTGACTAGGCTCGAGGTGAGGCTCCATAGTAGCTGAAAGCAAGAGATGCCCCAGTTATGCCGCTACTAAGGAATTGCGCTAGGGGTCAGGGGGAAGTGATAGCAACGGACAGAACGATTGCATCTGTGAGCACCATGTGGGAAGCTCTTGGTACTTATTATTGCGTCCGCAACGCGGAACCACGATCTGAGAAGGACACAAATAGTCGTTCTGGAGCGACACATGCAGACTAGCTAACCTTATGAGCTCGTTATGGCCAATCATAGCACGGCCAGCCAGGTGTGGCTGCACACTGTTTGTCGCGGCTCTGCAGTATCATTGAGAGACTCTGGATCGAGTTCTCGGGTTGAGGAGGTCGCATTGGTGGGTGAGGTTAAGTCAAATCGGCTTGCGAGGTGAGCTGGTCATGGCAGGCGCAGCTCTCAGCACGTCCAACCTCACCTCATGACTCTCGTCTCCATCCCTAATAACGACAACAACGACGATGTGGCTGGCACAAACGGCAGGTTGCACGATGCACGACTTCTTCGAATGTAGCACCGGAGGGCGTTGATTCGCTGAAATCTGCGCCGATCAGCAACGCGTAATATGCCGTGTCTGCTGCATTGGTCCGAATCTGGACCTTCAGCCTCAGCCTAATGCGGCAATAAGGCGCCGTCGCGATATGCAAGGCTGTACAGCCTGATATAGGAGGCGCATTTAGGCAACGGGATAAGTTGGCGGTCTCCCAGTCTTGCTAACGACCAAGATTGCTCGAATGCTACGCGCGTAAGCGAGCAGCTGTCTACGCGCTAGTAACGATAAGACTTCTTCGTACCGATATCGATAACCTGATTCTAGAAGACATCTACGACGAGTACACGGACGAGCCGACAAAATATACGATTCTCTCTTATACCTAGTTTATAGATAAAGAGGAAGTTAAATTTACGGACCTATACCTACCGATTAAGTAACTTAAAGTAAGAGAGAGATAGAGTAAAGTCGAAGGTAGTAAGCGGTAGGCTTAGAAAGATAGCTAGAAGTATATCTAGATCGATACGCTCTATATCGATAAGAGTAGTAGTACTAAACTAGGTAAGGCAATTAATTCTATATACCGGTAGTACGAGAAGTCCTAGGTATATTATATCTACCTATAAGACTTACTAGATCCTACTTCTTTCCTCTAGAGCGAAGGAACGCGTAATAAGAGTATAAACGTCGCTATAGATTTACTAGGTCCCCTTAATAGGTACGTACCTTACTCCGACTAACTTACTCTCGCGCCTATAAAGTAGAGAAACGTAGGGAGTGTCGCGACTTACGGAAATCCGGAACCTACTATTATTAATATTAATAATAGCCTATCGGAGCCTATACCTAAACCTAGAGTAACTAAGCTAAAGTATCTTATTCTATAGGATAGCGTAGTTCTTAACCTAGAAGCCCTCTATAGGTGTCGCTAGTTTACTTATAGCTAGATATTATAGGAGTTATTAGCGCCGAGTACTATCCTCTTCTTTAGTATATCTTAGATATAAATCGATACCTACCTACCCTTCTACTAGAAGATTAGGGACATTACGGGTATATACGTAGAGGTACTTTTAAAGGATCGTCGTATCGAGACCTATAGTATTACTTAGCGTATGTTTTAGACTTGAACGAGAATAACTAAACGAATCGAAGATAAGAGCTACTTACTATTAGGAATTCTATAAATTAATATAACTATTATATATAGCGAAGGTTATCGCACTTTCCGTCGACTATAGGAACAAGTAATACGTATCTCGTAGGATTAGACCCTATTTACTTTTACGAAGTCGTCTAGCTATCTAAGCCTTCTTACTAAGTCGCTACGCGATTTTATAGGCTATAAAATAATAGTACTACTAGGCCTACCCGGAGACATTAACTATTAATTAATTAGACGGATAGTAGAGTTTAGAGTATACGGATAGTATACTAGTCTTATACTCGACTACGCGCCTTCCCTAGACTAATTATAGTATATAATCCTAGGTCTTAAAGAGAATACCGGGAACATATCTACCTATTATACTATAGGTATCGTAAGTAGTCGGCTATATATTATAGGTAGATTACGGCTAGGACGCTTACTAGCGCTCTTTAGGGTTAAGCTCGACTTAGCTAAAGATATACGTAATATAGCTTATACGAAATACTAAGTAACGAAGTTACTACTATATTAAAGATATCTAGAATTTAGCTTTTAGTATAATATTTTATACTGAGTCCCTGAAAGGGTGTCCTAATAACAGTTTTGTATAGGTATAGCTGTAGCGGAAGGTGTCTACAAGGTAGGCAGGTAGTAGGAACTAATATATTAATTGAGTTAATTATCTAGAGCAATGTATAATCCTCCTAAACTTAGAGTTCCTAGCTATAGGTTACATAACCAAATCATGTAACTAGCCCTGTCTAGTACAGCCGCTAAGGACTACACTTTCTAATAATAGGTACTATATAGGGCTGTCCGCTCGATCCGTACGTAGAGTATATATAGATCGGAGGTAGATATATACGCTTATATCTAGGAACTCGTATATTAGATTAGTCGCTAGTTTTCGTAGTAGATAGTAGTTAATAATAGGATTTTAGTCCTATTATATAGAGGATACGAAAGTAACGCGAAATTCCGGTAGTATAGTGTCGCGTAGAGTATTAGTAGAGTACGTACTAAGATTAATACGGGACTTTCTAGCGCTAAGATCTAATATTACCTCTCTAGCTTTACTAGTAATTTTCTTCCGAATTTCCGGGCTCGAAACTACGCTACTATATACGTCTATTCTATATATACTCTATTAGGTACTCTTATAGCGACTATTACTATATAAACTATATAGGACGAGAATACGAAACCGTACTATCGGTAAACACTTCGTATATCGATAATAATACTAATATACTAGCCCGCGTAGAATTCTACTTCTTATATATTCTCTCTCTTTTTATCCGTATAAAGCGCGACTATATAATCTATATATACTCTATACTACGATCTCGCTATTATCGCTACTTCTTTACCTCTAGCTAGCCTCGTAGTTAGAGTACCGTACCTATACTAGTAGAGATTATTACTACCGCTATTAACGAAGTAGCTACTATTAATAAGCTACTTAAATTCTTTTAGTATAATATACTATAAGGAGCCGCTCCTTTAGTATATACGTTTAAAATTATAATATAGTAGTTAGATACTACTACTTAGTAGATACTCTAGAATAATAATCGTATATCTTAGTTAAGATTTATTTAATATAAGAGCGAGGCTCTATTACTATTAAAGGGTAAGAGTACGAGTAGCTCTATAACTATAGACCCGTCGTCTCTAATTACGTAACTAGAAGATAATATATCCGGTAATCTATTATTAACCGAGTTAGAGCCTACTTTATCGCCTATACTAATACTAATACTAGCGTAGCTAAGTATTAGTACTTCTAGAGTTATTACTACTACTACCTAGCGTATCGCTTATATAGCTACGCTTATACTAAGTACTACTAATTTATTAGCTACCGAGCTATCTTACGACTTTACTTTAGCGACTCGCTAACTAAATACCGCTTAAGTAGCTACCGCTCGAGTAGCTCTTATATAATAGAATAGAAGCTCTCCGCCTATATACGAAACCTCTCTACTAATATATATTAAGTAAGAAGAATAGTATAATCCGATTAGTCGTCGTCCGCGTAAAGAGCGCTTATAGAGTTTTAATAGCCTTATACTACTACTACTACTATAGAACGATCTACTAGTAAACTCTAGTAAGATAGTAGAGGATACTATCGACGTTAATAGTATAGACCCGGAAGAAGAGATTATAGACTAAGAGCTCTACGATCTTATTAATAGGGGTATTATTAGGCTATTTAGCTAACGGATAAGCTCTAGTTAACTTACTAGTAGTATACTACTAGTACGCGAAGAATTAATAGAGGCGAGAGTATAAGATAGAGTAAGTAAAGAGAGTATAACCTAATACTTAGGGTAAACTATAATAGAACCTACTATTAAGAATAGTAATAACGATAAGATAGATAAGCTATCTATTTAGTAACTAGTAACTATATAAGCGGACGACTCTACGGCCGAGAAGGTAGAGTAGTATACTACGCCCCTACCTAGCCTATCTAGATAACCTAAGCGTAGTAGAGTATTACTAAGAGTAGCTAATAGATTAGCGACTACTAGTCCTAATTATAGAGATATTTAGGGCGCTATAGCTTAGTCTATCTCTCCGCGTTAGATAAGGAAGAAGATAAGAGCTATATTACCGAAAGCGATAGCTATTACTAAAAACGATATACCTACTCGTAATATACGTAATTACGCTTATAGATATTAATAGTAGGTAGATAGGGTAGGATTTATATAGAGTATAGTAGAGATCGCTTATAGAGTATAGTATCCTTTACCTTATTATCCCTTCTTCGGATATAACGTATATATAAACTATAGCTTTAATTCTTATAACTTAAATTTAGCTTCTAGTCTCTTTACTTATATTATCGAATATATAGCCTCGTAGGCCTTTACTTCGAATTTAACTATAGAGATTAGTATATAGAGTACTAGTAGATTAATATAGTCCCTTTCTTTAGGATTACTAATCTCTATATAATTCTTCTAATAGGTAGCTCTACTATATAAATTTCTCCTTATTACCGAGAAGATAATATACTCTAAATATTATATAGTTCTAATAGTCGGGGATACTATAATTAACTTAGTTAAGCTAGGCTTTTAGAATATCTCTAATTTTCTAATAGAATATAGATTAGTATATAGAGTACTAGTAGAGTAATATATATATAGATATATCTTATATATTAAATAAGCTTAATAGTCTCTAATTATTCTTTCCTCCCTTCTTACTTAGTACTATCTATTTAAGTATATATATATATCTATCTTCTCTTTCCTATTATCTAATTAGATAGATCTACTATATTATAGTTTAAATCTATTATTAGATATCTACGCTACCTATAATTTCGACGAAGTTATAGGTAGCGTATTTCTTTTAGAGTTAGAAGCTAAAATTCTACGAGTATAGCTACGTAATAAAGATTACTATATAGAGTACTAGTAGATATATATTATAAAGACTTCCTCTATAAATCTTGAAATCCTAAAATTCTAAAATTCTAAAATTCTAAAATCCTAACTAAAATGTCCGTTATATAGATCTAGAGCTCTATTATACTATATACTTAGTAAGAATCCTCGTAGTACTATTAGTTATATCGTAGTTTTAGGCTATAGATTCTAAGCTTATTACAAGATAGATCTATTATTATAGGCCTACCTAGTAGCTTAGGTACTCCTACTCGAACCTAAATGAAGAGGGGCCGATAGTAAGAACCTTATTCTTACTACCTCTTTCTTCGTTAGTCTGTGTAGGAGAGCTATGTGCCGGCATCCCCCTTCTTGCTGTATCTAAGCATCCTTCACTCCACTTAGCGGAGTGGTGCGCGGCCGCTAATTTACGAGCCCATCCCATACGATGTAACTTCAACTTCTCCTGCCACCAATTGCCGAAGACTATGGAACGCTAGAATGTGCTGGCCCAAAACAGAATATCAGAGTACGGGGATTGCTACCTACAGTCTGGACAAGCCTTTGGATCCGCTGTTGGGAGAATCCCAGACAAACATTTCCAAGCACAAGCTGAGAAGAGTACTTCGCCAACCAAGGCCTACATATGTGCAAACTCTACATGGTGCATCTCTATGGAGGCTCCTGGAGCTCGGACGAGATGAATGTTCTCCGTCCATACCGGAGTTGCTTTGAAACGCAAATGAGCCTCCACGCTGGTCCATCCGATCATCAGCAGTGCTGCATAGCCCTCTCCTCCATTCGTGGCAATAGTCTCGCGAGTCAATCCGTAGGCCCGGCCGACACAACCAGCAGCTGATCCCAACACACGGCAGAATGCGCCGAGGTCTTCTCGGTACCTGGGCGCTGGCGGATCCTGGATGAATGATACGGTTACCAGCTCGGTGACCGGCGCAGATAGCGCTTCACCTGCATCGTGGCCTGAGACTTTGTCCACGAGGAGACTGGTGGTGGAGTTCATGGAGGTGCCATGCTCCTGGAGAGCCTGTTGTAGCTTGTCGTTTTGGACATCCAGGTCTACCCAAAACGTTAGAGATCTAGCTGATCCGGAGATGGGCCATGGACAAACTGACTGATCATGGCTTGGACGGTATTCGGATTCTCGACTTGATGTCCCACCCACACACTGGGTGTACGTTGGCCAGATATCGGGCCCAGGAGTTCCAGGTACTTCGCCATGGCAGATGGCACAGGACCTTGCGTGTCCCCTGCATCAGCGGAATCGGGGACGACGATGGTCAGAAATGAAGCCATGTTCAGAGTACGAGGGTCTTGAGCGGACTTCGGAAGAACAATGTCTCTGGAAACCCAGTGTCGTTTGCGATCGTGTCCCCCTATACATTTGAGTTTGGAGCTCGCACCTGAATCAACGCCAGGTCCTAAGGCAGCTTCAACACCTTCGACAAGTCATGACGCCTACCACTTCCTTCATTGAACCTTGAGCGCGAGTTACTACTACGTCTCGGACTCCGACCGCAGCCCTACCATCCCCGGCCAAAAAGCCCAACCAGAAGCAAGATGTCCGCCTCGATCCCGGTCTTTGCAGGCCTTGGCTCACGCAGCCTATGGGAGAGCTCTCGCAAAGTCCTCACACATGGTAGCCAGGGTGAGACACGGGGCTCTCTGGAGTGCCAAGTGCTACTGCGCTCGTGCCTGCAAGCTTTCAGGGACGGAATCACACGTGCGCAGCATCTTGGTCTTTTGCGTATCCGGGCATCAGACGCAGACGCCATTCGATTGAGCGACTTCGCAGTGCCCGCTACGCTCCTGGATCCAGCTCCCAAATATCATCGCAACGTTGTCGTCCAGCACGTCACAACTTTTGTGAGCCAGATTGCTCATTACTTGCAGAGTGGACCATCGGACGGTCTGGACTCCGGGTCCGATGCAATTGTCGCCACGGCAGGTTACTGTGTTGGCTTATTGCCTGCTGCCGCGCTTGCATTGTCGCGAGATACGCTTGATCTACTCGCACGCGCGCAGGCTCTTTTCAACGTCGCCCTCTGGCTCGGTATACACGCCGAGCGTGTCCGCTATGAGGAACTCGAACTCTCAGGAATGCCTTTTGGCCACCATCTCCCATGGGGTGTTGTCGTCGAAGGCATACCGCTGGCGGATGCGGAAAGACTTATCAGCAACGAAGAGGATGTATACATTGCAGGTGTGAACAACTCCAGTTCTGTAACATTTGCGGGCCGTGGTGCTAAGTTGAAAAGCTTCACGGACAAGATGCTGCACGCATACCGCACAACTCCTGTCGAAATCTACTCCCGCTATCATCATCGAGTTCGTCTCACGGACATGATGTCGGAAGTCATGGACAGCGTGAGCAGTTCTTCATCGGTCTTGGCGGATGCAGTTTACTTTCGCCGGCCCATTGCACTCGGAGATGGCTCGTGGATGGAGACCGAGGGACCACTGCCGCTGCGCGACGTTGTTACTTCTATCTTGGAGCACATCCTGCTCCAAGCCACACGCTGGGATAATGTGCAAGCAGCCATTGCGACAAAGGCAAATGACTATGTTGCCGCGTATTCCAAACCGATAGCCATCTTGAACTTTGGTCCTGGCTACGGATTCTCACCTAGATTGGACGGCTTGAACTTGAGCCACCATGCGAGCGTATCAAACGTTGCAGCCAATGCGCCTTCTCAAAAGCACGCTGATGAAGGCTTCTTACCCGACGATATTGCCATCGTTGGCATGGCGGTAGATCTCCCCGGTGCTCCAGACTACGAGACCTTGTGGCGAAATCTATGCGATGGTGTCAACACATGCACCGAGATACCTACTTCGCGATTCAACGTCAATGACTACTATGCGACCGAGGCTGAGCCAGGAAAGTCACACCCGAAACTGCATACCAAATACGGCAACTTTGTCGAGGATATTTTCATGTTTGACAATGCATTATTCGACATCTCCCCGCGCGAAGCGAAAAGTATGGACCCTCAGCAGAGAATCATGCTCCAGGTGGCGTACAGGGCACTTGAGGACGCTGGCTATACCCCTGACTCGACGGCTTCCAACAACCGCTACACTTTTGGGTGCTGGGTAGGCAATGCCACTCTTGACTACACCGATAACTTGAGCCGCGATATCGACGTCTATTACAGCCCTGGAACCCTCCGCACATTCCTCAGCGCCCGCATCTCTTACGTCTTTGGATGGAGTGGTCCATCCATCACGGTTGATACCGCTTGCTCGTCATCCGTGGTGGCTTTACATCAAGCTGCGCGGGCTATTGCAGCAGGCGACTGTCGGGCAGCACTCGTTGGTGCCTGCAACGCCATCACCAGTCCAGACATGTATCTCGGACTCGATCGAGCACATTTCTTGAGTCCTTCAGGCCAATGTAAGGCCTTCGATGCCAGTGCTGATGGCTATTGCAGATCGGAAGGAGCAGGGGCGTTTGTCATTAAGCGCGTAGGAGATGCGATAGCTGATGGAGACCGGATCCATGCCGTCATCAGAGCTATCGATATCAACCAGAGCGGAAATACGCACTCGATCACCCACCCACACGCCCCGACTCAAGAAGCGCTGTTCAAACACATGCTCAATAAGGCAGCCGTCAACCCCCACGATGTGAGTTCATTTATTCTCGATGCTTAATGCCATTCCGTTGCCGATCAAGCTGACCTTTCTGAAAGGTTACAGTGGTAGAACTTCATGGCACAGGGTAAGTCGGAAATGAAGCTCAGACTACCCAGTTTTGTCTTTCTGATTCTGTTCTGTCTTAGTACTCAAGCAGGCGATCCGAATGAAGTTGCTAGTGTGCGCCAGGCTATTTGCAGCAATCGCAATCCGTCGAACCAGCTTCATTTGACCTCAATCAAAGCCAATATAGGCCATCTAGAGGTGCAACTTCCCCTAACTCACCCTCTCCAAACCTTCAGCTGACTCTCAATAGGCTGCTTCTGGCATGGCAGGTTTGGCCAAGCTTGTTTTAATGATCAAGAATGGCCGAATACCGCCCCAGGTCAGCCTCAAGACACTAAATCCCCGTATCCAAGAACTCGGGGTAGACGGCGCCGTGATATCGCAACGCGGCGATGCTTGGAATCCACCAAATGGCGCACCGCGTATTGGCATGCTCAACAACTTCGGTGCAGGCGGATCCAATGGAGCAGTCATCCTCCAGGAATACCTGGCCGACGAGTTCCATGACCCTACCGTCCAAGACATCAGTCGTGTCTGCGGCATAGCCGCCAAGAGCGAGAAAGCTGTTCTCCAACTGCGCGACAACTTGGTCAAGCATTTGCAGACTCTGCCAAAGACTCCTGCAGTTCTCCGAGACGTTTGCACAACTCTCACCGCACGCCGCATGGTTCAGCCTCATCGTATCTCGGTCACTGCTCGATCGATGAATGAGTTGATACAGAAGCTGAGTATTGCCAAGCCTACCAAGCTGCAGGAGCGTCGTGACGGTGTCAGCCATACAGTCTTCCTCTATTCCGGTCAAGGATCACAGGTGAGTTCTCTTTAAGACGTCTTGTTCAAGCAGCCTTTGTGCTAATCTCGATCATCAGTACTTGGGAATGGGCCGTGAACTGCGCACGAGTAGCGCCATCTTCGCTCAAACTGTATCAGAGTGCGAACGCTGGCTAATAGCGCACGGCTATCCTGGCTGCGAGGAGATAATTGCTTCTGAATCTGATACTGGAGAGGCCACTAGTGACCCCTCGAAGATACAAGCCTTTCAAGCGGCCGTCTTCGTGATCGAACTTGGTCTGGCTCGCGTACTTATGTCTTGTGGTATCAAGCCAGCTGCAGTGATTGGTCACAGGTGAGAAAACAGGAACAACCACATACTACAGGCGCATCCCGGCTAACAAATTAATCAGCTTGGGCGAGTATGCTGCTCTTGTTGCCGCAGGCATTTTGCAGCCCTTCGACGCCCTGGCCGTAGTCGCTTTGCGCGCTAAGCTGATCGTTGAGCGCTGTTCGATGAAGACAACCGGCATGCTTGCGGTCAACGCATCCGAGGAAATAGTCCGAGGCATCATCCACAGCAACGACGCATTGAGCAGCCTGGTGATTACATGCTGCAACAGTGCGACCGACTGCGTCGTTGGAGGTGCTGTCGAAGTACTCAAGAACCTGGTCACTCACTTGAAAGAGCACAAGCTTGCCACATGCAAGCTGCTTCGTGTCCCTTTGGGGTATCATTCTGCTGCAATGGATCCGATTCTGGACGAACTTAACGCCGCTACCAAAGATTTGATGATTCGTCCTGCTCAAATACCGTTTGTCTCGACACTCTTTGGGCGCATCATTGATGTGGGAGAGACCTTGGAAACGTCATACTTCTCGAGGCATTGTCGTGAGCCTGTGGCATTCGACACGGCGGTGAAGGCACTCCTGGCCAGCTCTATCGGCTCTAGCATAGCACGCTTTCTCGAACTCGGCCCCCATCCGGCCCTTCTTCCTGCATTGGGACTTTCTGTCGACAAAAAGCAAATTGAATTGCTATGCACACTTCGAAGAGAGCTTCCAGCAACTGATAGCCTGGCGCAACTGTTCGCACACCTGTACACAGCCACAGACTTGGTGCAGTGGCGTCATTTTACACGTGATCAGGGCCGTTCCCGCCTTGTCAACCTCCCCGGTATGCCATTCTTCAAACAAGAATACATGACGATGTTCAAGGTACGGGAGACAAACGCGCCTTTGCCCCTTGTGGAGAAGCTATCTGATACCACTGGATTCCTCACGGACATCATACACTTGCCGTCTGACAGCGACCCGTCCGCTGTCTTTGGAACTGCCCTCTTGCGTCTTCGCGACCTCATCTCGGGGCATATCGTTGGCGACTTCGCGCTCTGTCCGGCTTCTGTTTACCATGAGCTTGTCTTCGGCGCTCTACGGGCCCTCCACGCAGACGAGGGAAGCGACAGTGGCAACTGGGCTCTTGCAGACGTGGAATACAAGACTCCTTTGTTATATCATGAAGGGCCAGAAACTGCCGTGCGTGTCTCTATGGATCCTAAAGCGGAAGGGGTCTACGTCTTTTCGGTTTCCACCACCACTAGTGGTTCCACTGATAGCTCAGCCGTACACTGCACCGGGTTTGCCCGCCAGAAGCAGAGCAAGACAGCGAAGAGGCAAAGGCAAGCCACTGAGCTCGCTCGGAAGCGCATGATGTTTCAGTCACCCTCGACAGCGGAGACACAGCAGATTCTCCACACCAATACTCTTTACGACAAGGTCTTTACGCGGGTCGTACGATACTCCAAACCATACCAGAACGTCAATGTCCTCCACCTCGGTGCCGACGGGAGGGATGTGTACGCTCGATGTCAGTATCCTGCCGTGCACATTGGTGACAGCGGTCTCCGCGCAAATCAAGCGGTTTTCATGGACGTCCTCTTACATGTGGCTGGCTTTGCGGCAAACTTCCAGGCTGACGACGATGGCGACCTCTACATTTGCAAACATGTGAGGTCCGTCCAAGATTTAAGTCCTCCTGGAAAGCCTGGAGACCAGTTCGAAGTGTTCTGCACACTCGTGGACACCAATGCAAAGGACCAGACCTGGGGCGATGCCGTTGCCGTCGATACGAACAGCGGCCAAATTATTGCCATGATCAAAGGCATGGAGTTCCAACGGGTTCCGCTGGCCAAGATTCATCGATCCTTTGGACTGTTGTCCCGGTCTAGTCCACCTGCCAAGATGATTCGTGCAAGATCGACCACTACAGTAAGCTCGCGGCCGCAGCAAGCTCTGTCGCAACCTGGCAGCCACGAACCCACAGACAGATCTGCAGCTCGTGCCCTGGATTCGCCGCTTGAAAGTAGATTTTGTGCGCGGGAGCTCATTGCAGAGCTCTGTCAACTCCCGGTCACCAGTGTTACGCACGACATGCCACTGGACGCGCTTGGTATCGACTCACTGATGACGCTGGAGCTTCAAAGCGAGCTGCGTGCACGAGGCCAGGCGATCGATTCAGTAGTCCTCAAACAGTGCCGACTCGTGGCAGATGTCGAGGCGCTGTGTACACAAGATGCTACTTCTAGTTCAAAATTCCTGTTGTCCTTGAGCCGCTCGACAATTTCAAGCAGTGGTATATCAGCTCCGTCCACGATGCAGTCATCCGGATATCTGGTGCCCAGCTCAGCCAGCTCAGTCCATTCCAGTGACGATGGCATGTCCTCGCACACGCTGAAGCGTACGACAATACAATCGCTCCCTTCAAGCAAAAGTACTTCGTCGTCGACGCTGATGCTACTGGCCGAAGCCTGCGCTGTCGATAAAGCGTCTCTCGTCGGCGATGTGGAACTACAGTCGCTTGGCGTAGACTCCCTCCTGATGCTAGAGCTCCACGCTCGGGTAGAACAGCTGGTTCCTAATCGCAATATATCTCTGGACGACCTTTCACGATGTGTGACAGTGGCGGATGTGGAAAATCTGGTAGGTTCTTGAAATTTGTGAACCCAGAGCTTTGTAATACCGTGTAGATGAAATCATTTTTGGCTCGCTTTGCAGGAGACATCCTGATGGTCCATAGGTACAATCGCCAACGCCTCCCTCTCGTCACCAAAATGCCGAGGTAACAACGACGCATGATGCGCTTTTGTCGAAACTGCTCCCAAGTATCACCACTGCCCTTCACTTACACTCGAACCCAGAAGTCATCCAGCCACCTTCCCCCAAGACCGGTGGTAGAGTGCCACTATTCCTCATCCACGACGGCAGCGGAATCTGCACACACTATCACCGCCTCTCCCCCCTCGACCGCCCGGTGTTCGCTATCCACGACCCCCTGTTCACCGACCCATCCGAATCCTGGCCCACCCTTGAAGCCATGGCAGAGCACTACGCCTCCCTCATCAATCCCTCAGACACCATCCTCCTTGGCGGCTGGTCCTTCGGGGGCGTCGTAGCGTACCAAATCGCCGAGATCCTCCGCCAGCAAGGAAAACAGGTGCAAGGTCTCGTACTGATTGATTCGCCTCCACCGGTCGACCACCGACCTCTTTCCGCGAGTATCATTGAAGCCGTCACGGGCGGCAATCAATGCCACCGCGGAGATCTGGCAAAGCAAATCCAGAAGCTCGCCAGCATGAGTTTCGCCTCGTGCACGCAGTTGCTCGTGAACTTCCAGCCTCTGCTTCCGTCACGGTCCAGCGAATTGGTGGTCAAGAAGTGCGGACCGCCCACGGTTTTGCTCCGTTCCGTCGAAGGTTGGAAGCGTCCAGGCGAGCAGGACGCGAGGGTAGAGAATGCCTGGCTGCAAGATCGATCGGACCCCCGGACGGCGACTGATGAGTGGGAAGTCCTGCTACAGCAGAAGCTGCACTGTATAGATATCCCGGGCGATCATTTCGCGCCGTTTGAGGCACGGAATGTGCAGGAGGTGTCGAATGCGATTGACGAGGCTTGTCGGAGGTTGGATGGTGTTGGAAGTATCTAGCATATATTCGAGGCGTATAGGATATCGGAATTAATAGAAGGATCTAGGGGGCTTAGGCATAGGTATATAAAGGAATCTCTGTCGAACTGGTACTCAAGTATATAGCCCGACTTCAAGTCGGGCGCGTTCGTAACGTAGTTTAGTAACCTATAAAATATTAGACGTATCTTTTAGTCCTATTCGCGACTTCTAAGTATTACTAGCCTATCGCCGAAACGTAGACGGCGCGGAAAGAGAATAGCTATATATTCGTAGGTTAGTAAAGGGAAACTATTAAAGCTCTCTATTATATAAGGTAATCGTGCCCTACTATACCGTACCTTCTAGTCCGTACGAGTCTAACAAGCTTAGTCGGGAAGTAAGTCTAGAGGAAATCTTTACGTAGTCGGTCTCTGTCTCTAGGAACGGGAACGGTATTTAGACGACGGAGATTTAGAGGAGGCAAGGCATACGAATTGGAAAGCAGAATCGCCTATAGGCATTTAAGCTAGTTGTAAACACCCCGAACACCCCGGTAAGTTGTAATGTACATTTAAGTCAAGATCTAATAAGTTCCTTCATTATGGAAGCACTTACAACACCTGCGGCCGCCGTTAGAGACTTTTTCAGAGACAACCCAACGCGAGCAGTTGACCCAACTTCAAGTCCTCTGGCCCCTTTCCAAGCGTTCCTTTCCCTTCCCTCCCTCGTGCATACACCTTCCTCGCTGCATCCCTACACTTCTCCACCCCGAACTGCTCCATCGCATTCTTCCTCATCCCTGCCAATCCCGGATTCTCGAATTCCCAATGCCAGTACTCTGACTCTTTCTCTGTCCTTCCATCATTCATGATGACTTGCTTTGTTACCACGTCCTTGAAACCTGCGTCTCGGAGGATCTTTTCCACGGGGGACGCGTCCGTGGGCCAGTGTTCTGGATTAAAGAGGGTTTGAAATTTCCCGGGGACTCCGAGTTCTTCGTATACGGCTTGGTAGAAGAGTTCGACGTCGGGTTTGTTCCAGCTGCCGACTCCGTAGACGAATTTTTGGGTTGGGTCTTTGGCTTGCAGCTTTGATTTTGAGAGGAGGCGGTGGCCTTCTTGAATTGCTTTGAGAGGGTCGCTGCAGAATTGGATCGTTGCGGTTGATAGGATGTGTGTGAATTGGCCTCTGCCCTCGGCGGGTTTGAGGTCCATGGCGTCCAGCTCCATCGTTTCTACTTTTCCTAGCTTCTGTTCGTCCACTTTCTTCAGCATTCCTTGACTTTGATCTGTTGCGAGTATAGGGGTGTCGGGAAAGCGGCGGGCCAGTTCTGCGGTCAAGACACCTGCGCCGCATCCCAGTTCCAGGACATGAGCAGATGGACTGTCCAGGGGTGAGATCTGGTGGGCTTTCTCGACCATTTCGATTGCTGGGGGGCCCGTCACGCCGTGGGTTTTGGCGTAGTCGTGGCTGCCCCACTTGTCTTCTGGTCTGGATGCCATATTTGCGTCCTTTGTTTGATCTTGTCTTGGTGATGATGAAAGATAATGGCCTTGCTGCGAGGAAGGTGGGAGGAAGAGAGGTCAAGACAAAGTTCAGTGTGAAGTATTGAAGTTCCACTATGACGGATGGGGTACCTCTCAAATACGCCTCAGCCATTTGCGGTAAGTGCAAAACCTGCGGAGTGATGTCGCTCGGTCAATGTCTATCTGAACTGTAACCTCGGCAGCTTCGACCTCGTCCCTGAGAAACCTGTGCGAGGACTGTCTAAAAGAATGGCCGTAGAAATGAACCTATCTTCCGGAATCCAGCATCAAAGCGGGCACCGCTACGAAGCTAGTGACTGAGAGGGTCGCCCGTTGCTTGTTCCAATGGCACTGATGCTTGATTAGGGGCGATGCGGTTTATTCATCTGCTAATGGCCAGCTGTCTGACTTCTGTCGAAGTCTTCACTGGTGGGCCCTTTCGTGGCAACGTACTCGAGATAAGCTTGCGGCAAGAGAATGTATCCATCCACCTGTTATGTATGGTATTGTTACCGACTGTACGTTAGCTGTCAGAACCTAAATATGCTATCTTAAGAGAAGCACGAGAAGAATCAAGGAACCGACCGTCGCCGATAAGCAAACGCAGCATTTCCTCCAGCCACCTAAAGCCGCCGACGCATACGCCCGCATAGCCAGAGTCAGGATGATCCGATTTCCGTACTGGAGAGCGGTCGAGATAGGGAGCTCCACGACAGATGGATTGCTGGCTGTCTTGTGCTCTTTTCTAATCCTGTCATTTTCCGCAGATATTTCTCGAAGGTCGTATACAAGTCGAGCATCGAGCATACTTGCTTCTCTGTTAGCGTCAACGATGGGTCCCCGAAGAGTCTCCTCGTTCTGGAAACTGCTCGAGATCCGGAGCAGCTCGTGCAGGAGGAAAGACTGGTGCTGTTCTGGTACCGGGTGTAGACATCATGCTGCTTAAGGCCGCCCTGTAGAGCGGCGAATTGGGCGGCGACTTTCGCTAAGCGACATATACCCAAGACTGTGCCTTGCAGCAGAAAAGCTGAATTGAGTTTGCGACATGAATGAGCATTGCAGTCACCTCAGCTGACTGGACTTGTGGGGGTCGCATTTGGCGGCGCTGTTGTACGCAATTCATCACAAGCATTGCGGCGTCGTCCGTTCTGATCTTTGCCATCTGGTCATACATATCCGAGTCTCTGCTCATGATCTGCGCCGGAACTGCTCATCAGCCGAAGATGTTGGAGATGCAAAGTCCAATCGTGAAGACTCTATCCGCCCTGGGAGTTTCATGCTAGCATTCATCAGTCTTTGCGCTCGCATTTGGAGCAATTACGCGTAGCGGAGCTGGAGCACTAAGTCGTCCAATCCATCTCTTACAGGATGATATGGTACAATCCACCACCTCGTAGCACGTCCGAAGCGAGAGGCTCCGTGTCGGGCTGTAGCGCACGCCGTCCATTTGGCGGAGTCGAGGGCTTC